TTAATAAGCTTTTCAGATCTTCCCGATAAATGATGTGCACTTCAATGATTACCGTACATTTTGGCATTCCAAACGTCAAATGTTCAATTGCTTTAATTATGTAAACATCTAGCTATCAACTTACAATGATGGCTAATTTTTTTCTAGATAACGCTAATTTTTTGTTTAGGAAATGTTCATTCACTGAAAAACCTTTGGTTTCAGATCAAGCAGTTCAAAATCGTTAAAAATTGTGACATATGATTTAAGCAATGTCATATTTACAAACATAATATGATATTGGTACGAAGTTATACTTATCCTGCATAAGGATACACCATGCCATTCGAAAATACGATATAATGTTCGTCTATTACTGTAGGATATATATCTCATGTTATCTTAACCTTAATCTGTAATTGAAATCAGAATCTAGGGTTTAGATTTCACGCTCTCTGATAACTACGCTTTCTCTGGTTCATTTAGAGGTAAGGCCATAAAGGGAAAAGCTGTGACAGTAACAATGATGAAATGGATAAAAAAATCATGCTAAAAGATTAAATTCTGAACACCGCGGTAGCTCTTTTTCCCGTTGATCTACGGCGGATAATTTTGCCCATGCAAAGTTTTTGCCCAAGCAATCCGGTACAGTCCGTAATGAATTGGAAGGCGAACTTGACCTTATATTACAATATCTGTCATAAAAATCAACCATTTGGTGCTTTAGTATTTTGTCGAGTACCATTTTGTATTGTCATCATTAAAGCGAACGCTTCATTTTGTTAAGTATGTCGTTGTTTAAGAATTCCGTAATAGGCATCTCACACCTTATTTTCTGCTTCTGTGTTTCAATACAACCCCGTTGCTAATATTTTTATTTTTACTTTTTTTTATTACGGTTTTGTCCTTTTCTTACCTCTTTCTAAGCATTTTTGCTAATCATTTAAACTTGACGATATGGATACTCAAATCTGCCCACATATAGAACCTTACAAACCGTCACAGCACGAGCTATTGAATGATGTTAGTTCTAACAAACAACCTTTAAAATCTGATTTTAAACAGCACGGCTTGTCCTCTAAAAGTAACTACTCAAGCTCCAGCGCCATCTCCAATTTAAGCGAAAGGCTCAGTAATGTTGATTTTGATACTCCCGCTAAAATTTTTCAGAGTAAGCACGCGATTCATCAATTTGAAAATATTACGCCTGACGTCTCCACACCTGTCACTCCTGCTGCTGTATCAAATGCTAAATTTAATTATGAATCCGGCTCTACGTCGGGAAACCAAACACCCGACCGAGAGTCGCCTACACCTCGTTCTCTATCACCCGAACCCTTTGAAAACAATCGCGATCAGGATAGGCCCAGTATGCCCAATTCTCCTTACCAGTCCGATTTGGATAGCAATTCGAATTCTGGGTCACCGGTAGGATCAACTACAATTAGTCGTGTCAGTACACCATCACAATTTGTTTTTAAAAAGCCTGAATACGACAGCCATTACCATCATACACATTTTCACCACTTTGAAAAAAAAGATACCATCTTCCATGATTTGAAGCGCTTTTTTAAAAAAAATCAAGAGAAGAAAAAAAGGAGGTCATTAGTCAAAGAACAGTCTGGTGTTCGTAGCAGTAGCTCATCCGTATACAGTAAACAAAGTGATTTATCATTTGCTAATGAATTCAATAAGAATATACAAAGTCGATACGGCAAGTGGGGTAAATATTCATTATGATTCTATTAAACTCGCGTTTACTCAGTTATATTTTCAGGTGACTTCGTTGGAAAGGGGTCTGGTGGATCAGTTAGAATCATTCGTCGTAACACGGATGGTAAGACCTTTGCAGTAAAGGAATTTAGAAAAAGAGCAACAGGTGAAAATGAAAAGGAGTACATTAAGAAAGTCACGGCGGAGTTTTGTATTGGTTCCACCCTCCATAATCATAATGTCATAGAAGCGTTAGACATCGTACAAGAAAATCATACTTTCTACGAAATCATGGAATACGCCCCAAACGACATGTTTACTATTGTTATGAGTGGCCAGATGGATAAAGAAGAAGTGACTTGTTGCTGGCGCCAACTCTTGGATGGTGTTCGGTATTTGCAATCCATGGGTATTGCTCATCGTGATCTTAAACTTGATAACATGGTCTTAGATGATCGTGGTATTGTAAAGATAATTGATTTTGGGTGTTCTACTGTTATTAAGTATCCCTTCGATGACCAATTCCACAAGAGCAAAGGTGAAAAATAAATTCTAGTCTGTTTTTAACCAGGACTAACTTTTGTATTCTAGGTATTTGCGGCTCGGACCCGTATATTGCTCCTGAACAATATACTCAAAAAGAGTATGATGCTCGTAAAACAGATCTGTGGTCTTGTGGTATTATTTTAGTATGTATGATAATTCGTCGCTTCCCTTGGAGACTTCCGCGTCCTGACAAGGATCAATCTTTCAGTAATTTTGTACAACAAGACAATAGTGGAGCAGAGAAATTATTCAAGCTGTTGCCTCGTTACGCAAGGCCCATTGTTTCCCGGATTTTAGTCCCAGATCCAGAAAAGCGTTGTACACTTGAAGATGTTTTTGAAGATGAATGGGTGAAAAAGATAGATGTATGCACACCAGATAGACCTGCCAGTAGCCATTCTCATCATTTGATGTTCAAACCAAGTAAAGAGATAATGAAACGTGGCAATATCATAGTTTTGCCTCCCCGTAAAGAAGAAAGCTAAGCCTAAGAAGACCGTTCCTATCTTTCAATCATCATGAAAAATCTATTGTACCATATTAATTCAGAAAGCATCATTATCATCTATATAGTCATAATAAACCCCCAAAGTCTACTTGGGACTCAAATTTACTTTGTTATATTTTCTTTGATATATAAACTAAATATGTATTCGTATTACCACTGCAGGACCACTAAAACCTATTCAAGGGTACAAAGGTTAAGTGAATATCATAATGTGTTTATGTGCGATTGGCAAAAATAGGCAATTATTTGGTCTGTGTAACAGTCGGTTTAATATTAAGGCGAAAGGAACATGACGATGACCAATTTCCTTTATTGAAAAACAGGGCCATGCAAAAAAAAAATGTGGAGATGTAATTTAACTGAGTTTCGATTTTGTGTATTAAACTAAAGTTCTATAGTCGACGTATTACAAACAAGATAAGATAGCCACATTATTATTGTGATACTTAGAAAATCAAAACAAATGTAAGATGACAGAATTATCAATCACGTAAACAGCCAAGACAGGATTGAATTACTATTGGAGAGGACTACAAAAAGCCAAAAAAATAAACGTGAAAAAAAAACATGCCACATGTTATGCGTATTTACATTTCGAAAAGGGCCATGTAAAGCTTAGACGGGCCGTGCAATATGTATAACGATGGTGATCAATTAAAGAAAAGGCTATTTGTTCTAGATACAGTGTTTAGGATTTGAATGATTTGCAATCTTAATGCAAGGAGTAAAAAAACACTTTGGTAAAATAGGAAAATCGCAAATAGCTGCAGCATCAAAAATACGGTCTTTATAAGAAGGAAAAGGAACAACCTTGATCTTGTTTGGATTATGATTTTTATACATAAAAAAAAGGATGCGGGGAAATACAGTTGAAGCGGATATTGTATTGATTAAGTTTTCCTGTTACTCAAGGTCCAACCCCAGATTCGGCCTTTATAATGTGATAATTGATGTTGATTACATATAAACATTATAAAACAAGTACTAAAATTATCCAGGGGTGCAACCAAACAATTGCTGTTTACACTAATTCTACTAAATACAAAATTAAAATGAAATAAAAGGAGTAGGTTAGGTGGGAGTGGCTAAAATCAAGTAGTTTGGAATAGGTTGGACGGAAAAAAGAAAAGTTGGGCTAAATAATGATCCTACAGAGTCGGTCGGAATGCCATCTTTTTTCATGGCCCGGACGGTGTTTTTTGCATTTTACCTGGCCCTGTTACTTCCAATAAGAAACTTGCTTATCTCATCACAAATCAGAGAGCGTCTCACCTTGAGAGGCGTATGACAAGGCTATGACTATATTTTTTTGTTATCATTGCCCAGATGGATTGTATGCTTGAATGTACACAAATAAATACGTACATTTTTACGAGCAAATAAGAAGAGGAAAAGACAAAAGCCCATCGTCGTCATGAACCTTAATTTCGGTAAATAACAAGGTATTTTTCCCAGATTCATGTGAGCCCCAGTTTCCACATGTTTCATTGGAAAATGATAATTTTTTTTTCTGTGTAGCCATTCCTGATTTGGTCGAGTGACAGCAAGTACAAAACCTTGGGGTTTTATTTATTTTCTTTTTTCTTCTGTTTCTTCACGCTCTTATTTTTTAAACCCTCCCCCCTCTCTATTTTTTTTTTCTTGTTGTTTTGCTTCGACAGAGCTTGCACTAAGTAAAAATAATAAATTATAATGCTGTCTTCAAACAACTTTATCAGAGCTGCTAAGGTATGATGTAACATGTAACGCTTGATTATTCTATATCTAATATATATTTCATTAGGCTTTCGCCCCTGCCGTTAGAACTCACGTTCCTGCACGTACCTATGCTCAAGCTGGTGCCAACTGGGCTTCTCAAAAGGTTGCCATGTCTGTTCTTGAACAAGACAAGTTCATCAACTACCAAAGAATCGAGGATAACCTTGAGATCGTTCGTAAGAGGTAAATAAAAAAAGAAAAAAAGAAAAAAAAAAAATTTAGTCGGAGAGAGTGGGAAGAATAATGGAAGGAGAGAGGGGTACCCTTACTGTAGAAATATTTACTAATTTTAATTTTTTTTTAAAAAAAAGATTAAACCGTCCTTTGACTCTTTCCGAAAAGGTTGTTTATGGTCATTTAGATGATGCTCACAACCAAGATATTGTCCGTGGTCAATCTTACCTTAAGCTTCGTCCTGATCGTGTTGCTTGTCAAGATGCTACCGCTCAAATGGCTCTTTTGCAATTCATGTCTGCTGGTATCCCCACTGTTGCTGTCCCCTCCACCGTTCATTGTGATCATTTAATTGAAGCTCAAGTTGGTGGTGTTAAGGATTTAGCTCGTGCTATCGATATCAACAAGGAAGTTTATGATTTCTTAGCTACCTCCACTGCCAAGTTCGGTCTTGGTTTCTGGAGACCTGGATCTGGTATTATTCATCAAATCATTCTTGAAAACTATGCCTTCCCCGGTGGTCTTATGATCGGTACTGATTCTCATACTCCTAACGCTGGTGGTCTTGGTATGGTTGCTGTCGGTGTCGGTGGTGCTGATGCTGTCGATGTCATGGCTGGTATCCCTTGGGAACTCAAGTGTCCTAAGGCTATTGGTGTTAAGCTCACTGGTAAGCTCAACGGCTGGACCTCTCCTAAGGATATCATTCTTAAGGTTGCTGGTATCTTGACTGTCAAGGGTGGTACTGGTGCCATTGTTGAGTACTTCGGTGAAGGTGTTGACTCCATCTCTTGTACTGGTATGGCTACCATCTGTAACATGGGTGCCGAAATTGGTGCTACTACTTCCATGTTCCCTTACAACGAACGTATGGGTGATTATCTCCGTGCTACTAACCGTGGTGAGATCGCCAACTATGCTAAGCAATTCGGCCACAACCTCCGTGCCGATCACGATGCCAAGTACGATGAAGTTGTTGAAATTGATCTTAACACTCTCGAGCCTTATATCAACGGTCCTTTCACTCCTGATCTTGCTACTCCTCTCTCCAAGTTCAAGGAAACTGCCATCAAGAATGACTGGCCTCAAGAGCTTAAGGTTGGTTTGATCGGTTCTTGTACCAACTCTTCTTATGAAGATATGGCCCGTTCCGCTTCTCTTGTCCAACAAGCCACCGATCATGGTGTCAAGGTCAAGGCCAAGTATACTATTACCCCCGGTTCTGAACAAATTCGTGCTACCATCGAGCGTGACGGTATTATGGATACTCTCACCAACGCTGGTGGTGTTGTCCTTGCTAACGCTTGTGGTCCTTGTATCGGTCAATGGGATCGTCAAGATATCAAGAAGGGAGACAAGAACTCCATCATTACCTCTTATAACCGTAACTTCACTGGTCGTAACGATGCTAACCCTCAAACTCATGCTTTCGTCGCCTCTCCCGAGATCGTCACTGCTTTGACCATTGCTGGTGATATGCACTTCAACCCCATTACCGATTCTCTCATCGGTGCTGATGGTAAGCCTTACAAGCTCGCTGCTCCCAACGGTAACGAACTCCCTCCCCGTGGTTATGATGCCGGTGAGAACACTTACCAAGAGCCCCCTGCTGATCGTTCCAACGTCAGCGTTGCTGTTGACCCCAAGTCCAACCGTCTCCAACTCTTGAAGCCTTTCGAGAAGTGGGATGGTAAGGATATCACTGAAATCCCTATTCTTATTAAGGTTAAGGGTAAGTGTACTACTGATCATATCTCTATGGCCGGTCCTTGGTTGAAGTTCCGTGGTCATTTGGATAACATCTCCAACAACTTCTTGATCGGTGGTCTTAACATTGCCAACGAAAAGGTCAACTGTGTTGAAAACGCCTTCACTGGTGAATTCAAGGGTGTCCCCGATACCGCTCGTGACTACAAGAAGGATGGTGTCAAGTGGGTTGTTGTCGGTGATGAGAACTACGGTGAAGGTTCTTCTCGTGAGCATGCTGCTCTTGAGCCCAGATTCCTTAACGGTGCTGCCATCATTGTCAAGTCTTTCGCTCGTATTCACGAAACTAACTTGAAGAAGCAAGGTATGCTTCCTTTGACTTTCACCAACCCTGCCGATTATGACAGAGTTGACCCTAAGGATAAGGTTTCCATCATTGGTTTGACCGAATTCGCTCCTGGTAAGCCTTTGACCATGCGTCTCACCAAGGCCGATGGTAAGACCGAAGATATCTCTTTGTCTCACACCTTCAACGAGGGTCAAATTGAATGGTTCAAGTCTGGTTCCGCTCTTAACCTCATGAAGGAAAAGTCTGCTGCTGCTTAAATTCTTTAATTTTACAATTAAAGAAATGAATTTATCAAAATGTAATTAATCTAATAAAAATGTATAGAAAAAAATTCGGATAATACAATAATTACCTGCTGTTGTTTACCGTTGTAATAATAATTTTTATTTGAATGACTCTATTTTCAACAATGCTTGTCTTCATAACAATGAGGAAGATTCTAAGAACGATCATTGAATGCATGAAACCTGCCTAATGCATAAAATATAAGGAACCTTACTCCCTAATTAGAAAACTTAATTTTTATAGTGTTTTGCTGATGACAATAACAAGAAATAAGGAACAGAAGATGACAGGCAGGTAACGACTAGCTGCTTTCGTTTTATTTAATGTCACGATACCAATATCGAGATGACAGACATGCAGTCGTATAGGTTCAAGTGGAAGTTAGCAATAATATACTTCGACGTATAAAAAAAATCAATCAAGACATAAGTTTATTGATTACGTGTCCAAAGATCTTTTTATATTAGTCGACAAAAGCTACAGAATGAGTTATGCTGTCAATAATATAAATTTGAATTTTCATTGGCCATTTAAATTTCTATTTAGAAAGTATTGAATTAAACTCAAATATACAGCCTTTTTTCTTATAAGTTTATACTCGATATCAAATGACCATATATTTCCGCATGCAATTGTATACGAAATCCTCAAATAATTGATACGACTCATTCATAGCTACACTTTTAAAGCGTCATTTGTATCATTTTTTTTAGGTTTAAAAAAACAGATGCATTATGACTCGTCTAACGATATCTGTACCTGTACCCAGAGAACAACATGCTATTTTACATGCAGTATAAACAACTAATATGCTGGAAGTATTTTGAGGACTTACGGGACCATTCCCGTTGAGTACATACAAAAAAGTAAAAAAGCAGGAGATACGTTGGTTGGAAAGCTAACCAACGTGTGTACATACTGGCGGGCCATACGCGAACTTGCTCCAGCAGCATTTTTTTCCTCTGCTTAGTCAAGGTTGATCCATAAAATCTCCTTTTTTATCTTCTGAATGTACTAATTTCAATCATGATATGACAGGCATAATTTAGCTCTATGACTGCGAACAATAATGGTTATACCCTTTATTTCTACTTGTAGTGTTAGGGGTTATTTATAAACTTAATTCCATTTAAGCTTCCAGTTTGACAAATATTCCAATGACACGTCCATCTTTAACGTAATTATTACGTGTTTTTACATATGGTCATATTACAGCCACACTATAACCAAAACGGAACATGTTAGGTAATGTAGGGAGATGAGGAGTAGTATACCCTGCTCGTACACGATATTTATTTTTGCAAATGTTTAATAAACGTGCTTTATTTTCTCTGATATTTATAGACTTACCTTTGATTGTTTAAGATTACATTGGCTGCACGTGTCTCTTTCGGACGAAGGACCCTCTCTATGCTCCTTAATCAGTTTTCTGGTCCAATCTTCCAACATGTCACACAAACTAGTCGGCGAACGATGATCTGCAAACTATCAGCCATATGTTTATATGAAGTTGTTTTCAGCTGATAGGAGTGTTTACATGGGCTAAACAATTTTAACCAAAGGAACAAGTAGCCGGTAGCAGATCTCTGATGTATGCTAAAGGTAAGAAAACTTGTTTTATTAATAATTAAATTAAGATGAGTAAGGGAATTATGGCTTTTGACAAATTGTCATTTCTCCCTATATTCGTCAAATTCACTATTAATAATCATCTGACATTGTCTCTAGAACATTTTTAGGGAAAACAACCATAATAGGAGTGTAATTGTACAAGAAACTGGACCGTGTTTTAATAAAAGAGTAAAAATAATGTCAGCTTGTTTCTGAATAATCCGTAATATCGGTCTCCCTCTATCTACGGGGAACGGCGTTTTGGATCCGTTTTTATAAACACAGAAAAAGAATGTTGTTTGTTATAGAACCACACTCCCAATGATATCAAGGATACATTTGAGGAGAAAGGTTATTAAACATATCTCAAATGTATCCATGCAGTAACAAGTTATGTTATGCGTCATCAGTTCTTTGCAGTTCTTTTTTACACACCCTATTTATTCTACATTAAGCAAATTAATATCATGTTTAGCAGCGTAATACTAAAGAAGACACACCCCACATAATAGAAACCTTGAGTTTGGGTATGCATTCTTTTCCTTTTTCCTTTTCTTTCTCTTTCTTTCTTTTTCTCTTATAACTTTCTCTCTTTTTCTCTTTCTCTCTTATCTTTCTTCTTTATTCCATTATGACAAAAGAGACTCCTCCCGGGAGTAACTCTTGGAATCCCATTGCCCCAGATCCAGGTTCAGGAAATAACATTCTCAACATTGTTACTTTGAGTTAATTTTTTTTTTCAGGAACTTTCACAAAGCTGTGTTCTAATATCGGCGCAAATGGAATTCAAGTCGAACAAGTAGATTTATTACTTGACAGAGAAAATCTGTATAGCATGAGGTGAATATAATTACCCTTTTTTCGTTTTGCATAAAATAACTTTCCAAATGTAGACCTGTACATGGGCTTATGATTTTAGCAAAACATAAACCGGAACCGATATCCTACACCATGAATGAAACCACGATCAATAATAGTGTATACTTTTCAAACCAGGTATTAGTTTTATTCATCTATTGAACAACACTGGATGATTAATATTCTTATGGCCCAATAGATTGTTCACGATGCTTATGCTATGCATGCTTTACTTAATATCTTGCTAAATTGTGCTACGATCGACGTCGGAAAGGAATTAAATAATTTCAAACAATTCACTCATGATTTCACACCAGCGGTAAATTAGTGAAAATAATGCGTTTAAATATGATATTATACTAATAATCTGTTTCAGTTAAAAGGACTTACGTTAACAAATAGTCACGTATTTAGACAGGCATATAACAACTTATCTTCTAGGTATCTATCTGTTCTAACCCTTTTTATGCAAGAGAATTTAATTTTTTGATAAAACCCTTAGCCATCGCATGAACCAAGAAGGCGATAAAGATATTTACCATCCAATATCCTATATCAAATCTGGTGGCCATTTATGGGAACTGGATGGATTGAAAAGAGGTCCTACGAAACTGGGTAAAATCTCGATTGTGTCTATAAAATTATATTTGCTTATTTTTTTTGTTTTTTTTTGGGTTAGGGATATGCGATGAAAACAATTGGCTGGATATAGTACATGTCGAAATGACTAAAAAAATGGAAATGTAAGACCAATTACAAAATTTATAACACAAAGATTTTTAAGTATACTTTTTGACAGGCACAATAAACAACGTATACCCGCCACAGTATGGGCAATAATTGAGGATCGAAGACTTGTTTATCAACGGAGGTTGATAGGGAAAAATTATATTAAAAGAGAAATAGAATGTAAGCTTGATTATTATCAACCAGAATGGCGGGCTACCATGGATATAAATCAATGGGAGGAGGAATATAGATATGCCATGAATAATGTAATGTACTTGCACTATATAATTGTTAACCGTATAATAATATCACACTGTTATAAAAGGAAAGAAATAAGCGCGGACAAATATTATTTACACGGCTTGTACAAAGTTATTGTGAGTCATTTGATCAGTTACCGCCAGATGAACAAATAGGCGTCAAGTCAATTTTAAAAGAATATACCAAACAAGAAGACATAATGGATGCCTGGTTACAAACACAAGATGATTCACTAAGATTATACGAATGTCTTGGACTAGAAGATGAGAAACAAGAGATGTATGAGGTAAGGAAGAGAAAATAGAATTAATGACATTTTATATTATTTACCGACAGTATGCCCTAGAAAAACCACATACGGAGACAGCATGATTACATGCCTTTTATCCATTCATATATCCAGGCACTCTTTGAAGAAGGCCACTTACAGCATCTGGTTTCAAATTAAAGAATATTCTATTTCAAATACAAACATTCTCACCCACTACAAACAAATCGTTCATTATTTAGGCTTTTTATTTATTTATTTATTTTTCCCTAAAAAAAAAAAAAAAAAAAAAAAACCACGATTACTACTGCTAATAATTTTTCCCTGAACAATATATACCACAAACAGAACAAACAACTATGCAAACAAAAAATCAGTCTCTTAATACTATACCAATTTTTTCCATCATCTTTTTTACAGAAAGCACACTAAAATAAATAAATAAAAGTTTATGTCTTTTTTTTTTCGTTAGTACAAATTGAAATAAGAATAGTTTTCAATTACTTTTTTGTCTAGAGCTTTGAACGAAAATATTTCCCTTAAAACCGTGTAATATCGGAGAAAGGAGCGCTTTGAAAGGGTTCAGATGTATTATGAATGTAACAAATAAGGACAAACACTATAAAAAGAAGAATGTTTTCTGACATATACTTATAGGAATTATCAATTTAAGAATAATCATCATGGGAAAGAAAAACCACTCTAGCCACAAGGAAGTCACCGAGAGAGAAGATAAGCACAGACCTAAATCTAAAGCCGAGAAGAAGTTGGAACAACACGAACATAAGCTTAAGGTAGAATCAGTAAATTTTGTATTGACATGACCACTTAAAAAACACATTTTTGTAGAAACAAGCTAAACTTGAAAGTGCCAAGAAGGGAATGGACTAAGCACAATGCTGCGCATATAGAGCTTAAAGAATGACCAAAAAAATAAAAAATAAAGACACTTTCGTTTCCATTTAATTTCTCTTTTTATCGCAATCGAAATATAAAAATAAAATAAAACATAGTATACACACAAACATTTAATCCCAATCAGGTATAAGATTAAAGTCATATCCAGGATAATTGTAATATGCATAATAAGCAATGTACAAATGATAGGAACCTAAATTGAACAATGAGTTAAGTCAGCAGCTGATGTAGCTGCACATGGTATTTACCTGGGATAAACATGATGCTACCGAGCACGATAAAAGGTGTACCTCTAGCCAACCACACCTATTATTTTGTTTTATGTTAAAATTGACAGTAGCGACTCTCTTATTCTATATACTAACTTCTGAGGTAATTTGCCCAATTTTTATCAATATACCGAGAGCCAACAATATACCACCAACTACAAAAAGCAATGTCGCTAAACCAATGGCACTCCAAGGAACTATTGATAACAAAGTCAATAACCTTAATTTCGTAATGTACTCTACATACTCGGGGTCTTTGCTGTTTCAAACTGAGCATCAGTGAATCCTCGATCCTCTTGCAATTCAGCAAATCTTCTCGACTTATTTTTGGGTTTAAGTGGATTACGCATCTTCAGGTAAAGAAATGAATACCTTCTCCGATTTTTTTTCTCCGTTTTATTTGTGTCGCACTTTTTTTAATGTAGTCACCATTTATAGTTCAAACACTGTAGTCACAAAAGCTTAAAAAGCATCTTCGGATAAACATATTTATGCTGTTTATAAAGTACTGAAGTAGTAATAAGAATGTTAACACCAGCCCAAGTCATACTATAATTTCATTATCTTTTGGTTTGAGACACAAGAAAGAATTTCAGTGATATTAAAACAATTCAGGAAAAACAGTTTGTCCACCAGTAAAAAATGACGAGGATGACTGCCGAGATATGTCATTCGACATATAGCCAACAGAATTATACATGTGCACAAAAAAGATAAAGACATTGATTTAGTTTTAGATCTACACGAAAAGTTTATTCTGACGAATAATGGGAATCACATCCGTTTAAAAAGCCATACGAATTCGATAATGTGTTGGTATACTTGTACAAGCTAAAACCTGTACTTATAGAGAAAGTATCGCAGAGAGAGAATAAGAGCTCGTATCGAACTCCAGAGAGGAAATGCTGCTACAGTTAAATTCAAATTTACTGTCTGGTTCATTACCATAAGAAGAGTTGTTAAAACTATTGATGGCTTTTCCTGAAGAGCAAAGAATATCCTCTCTATTGTCATCTTGAGATGTCGATGCTTCTTGGTCGGCAAAAATTGAAAATCCCTGATCCGTTTCATCAATCAAGTCTTTATCGGTATTATTACTTGCTGTTTCTTCAACAATTTCATTTTCACTGTCGTCTCCAATACAAATAATTTCATCAAGTTTTGTAGGCGATACATTCTTATCGAATATATCGTTTCTGATTATAACTGTATCACAAGATAATACTGATGAATCGGCTTTGGCGTTACCATGAGAACTTTCACCAGAATTGTGTATTAGTGGAGCGAAAGTCACATCAATTTCTGCGTCATTGCAGACATTATAGAAACCTGTTGGCTTTTTAAGTAAACCGCCATTTAACAAGCTAGGAGACTTAACCTTTTGATGTTGTGTGATATGATGCTTGATTAAAGAAGCATCTTTATCCCGATTGCCAACGGGAGCTATATAAGAGGGGCTGCCAGCAGATGATACTGATATATTGATAGAAGAAACTTTTTTTTCTTCCAGGTTTAATAGACTAGTTCCAGATAAACTGGTTCTATTCAGGACGTGAATAATCAAGTTTTTTTTTTTATATTGGACTTTAAGCATATGAAAAAAAAAATGGGTAGGTACCTTTTAGAAGATTTGAGTCTACTACCATATGATCTGGAGAATCGTGCTCGTTCCCTTAGTCCAGCATCTCTGGCCAAGTGCGAATTGTTGTCAAAATTTTCTCTATTTGATCGTCTTAAAGCGACTTGGTCCCACGTTAATTGTCTCGGGAGTGCTCTGTCTGCTATACGAGCAGATATATCATTTTTCAGTTTCTTTCTCGCCTCTGATACATCAATTAAATAATCGTGGGGGTCTAATTGTTTCCCAAGTCGAATACTAGATCAAGGAAGGGAGGAGCTTAAAATCAATGGAGTAGACGCTTTATTTATATTTTACATACCTCTCCAGTAACCATGTAACATGAACAACAGGACATGTAGACTATAAATTATATGCTCGGAATAAGATATTTTTATATACAAATTCCATGTTTTCATACCTTTTTCACAATTCTCATAATGCGAGAAGAGCTTTTCAATTCTGTAACAATGTAATCGGCATGAACACAAGAATCGATTTTTTCATACCCTGTACTTGACTCCAAGTACTGGAATACTTGCTGGGTTTTATCTGAGCTTAGTTTAGCTTCAATAATAAAGACACTTTTAAACATGCCCTTTTTTGAAGTTGAACGAAATGTTGAAATGAGGTAAGGGCTGTGAGTTTTTATTATTATTTTTTATTTTTGTGTGTAGGGTCATGTTATTGGCCACGTTTTATATTAAAATGGAAGTCGATATATTATGTGAGTATTGGGATTCCTGTCGACAACAAGTCTATATGATTTATCAAAGAAATCGTTTTGTTCAAATACCTGCATGAAATTTGAGAGACTGAACCTTAACTTTAACTTTTACAAATTAACCGGATACATTTTTATCCGGCTACCAATCTTTTTAAATTAAAATACGGTGCTGTCATGATTAAAATCTTAATTATAATAAATTTTTACGTCAAAGTGTAGACTATACGCCTTTTAATCAATAAAATAATGTTACCTTCTTTTGTATGGAATAGAATAATGTTATTGTATGCAACAAAGTCTTTAAGTAAACCGCATATGAAATCTTATAAAAATTTAAAATTTAATTTTTAATATTACATCTCCAAATGTCAGCTTGGAGGAAAATACAAATCTTTCCAAGTTAATCATGTTGCAACGTGATGCATGTGCCAATCCCAAGAAATACTGTCACAATAAAATAAATTTAAACTTTGATCCAATATATATTACTTTATCTGATCAAGCCAGACCAACTAGATAGAATAAAAAAATCATAAATCACCACATTTAGTTTTTATGTCAAGGAAATTTTTGTTCCGCTCTTCATTGCTACTACCATTCATAATGCTATACGATAAATAAGTCTAGTCTTTTTAAATACAATAACACGTGCTTTATTTACTGTCCTTTATGTTATACCTTTATGCTTAAATTCATTTTATATACATATCCGCGGCTGCCATAATATGCTGTACGATGAAAGATTTACAATTTTTACTGGCCGATACTCTTGACACACTTTATTATATTGGAAGCACATGTAAAAATCTAAATGTGACACCAATATTTATACTCTGGTTAATATATATATAGAGAGAGAGAAAGGCACCATATATTTTAAATCTTTGGTCTTCTATCATGGTTCAATTATATTCTACACTTATACCAATTGCACTTTCTCTTCTGGCTTCCTTAAATGTAGTTCATGCTGCTAAGACATGTGTGGTCAAAAAGAGTAATTCAGATGATGCACTGACAATTATTCAAGCATTCAACGACTGTAAAGACGGTGGTACCATTCTCTTTCCAAAAGGTACAAATTTCTATCCCAAGACGTTGATTTCCATCAGTAATTTGAAAAATATCAATGTTCAATTTTACGGTAACTTTGTTTTGCCCAACTACAATGCACAGTTCAATGGTAAGCCTGCTTTCTTTGAATTGAAAGGTGAAAATATCAAATTTGACGGCAATGGATCTGGTACATTTGTTGGCACAGGTCAACAATGGTGGGATGCAAAAAATAATCAAGGCCCAATCGTCTTTAGAATTACTGCCAATAACTCGGTGTTTAGAAATTTCCGTATTTTAGACGCCCCTAACGGTCATATGGCAATGACAGGCTGCGACAATACAGTTGTAGAGAAAATTACAATGAACAGTGTTTCCAAATCCAAAAATTTCGCAATGAATACTGACGCTTGGGGTTGCGCCTACTCTAATAACTTAATCTTCCGTGATTCTGTCATTGCAAATGGTGATGACTGCACGGCTATTAACGGAGGAACAAATATCACTGTCTCAAATATTCAATGCACAGGCGGCCATGGTTATTCGGTAATGCATACACGTATTATACATATCTGCTCTATCTTTAGTTAATAATAATGGTTTTCTTAGATTATCGGCGCACTTGCTACCGACGGCAAATTCCAAACCTTCAAAAATATCAACATTGTCAATAGCGCCTGTACCAACTGTTTAGCTGGTCTAACCATCAAGGCTAGCCCTGGCAGACCAGGTCTTTTAGACGGTGTTCGTTTCCAAAATATCAAGTTAAACAATGTTGCTAAACCAATTACTTTAACCACACATTATTATTGCGATGATACCTTCCAAAGTGCTTGTTACAAAAACGACGGCACGGCTATCAAGTTCAAGAACGTCTATATTGGTGGTATTACTGGGTAAGTATTTGTTGAGTTCTAGAAAAAATAACATTGCCAACTAATTATAATTTATAGAACTTCATCTTCAAAGGATTACCCTATTGTCAACTTGAACTGTGCCGATAAAACCCCATGTGAAAACATCACTATAAAAAATGTGAAGGTCAAAGCAATGCCAGGAACAAAAAAGAATGTATGTATTAACGTTCTTGGCTCTAACAAAATGGCTCAATGTGCATGGGAGGCAAGCAAATAGTGAGCAAGCGGTACCACGCATCGGCATCTAATTTTTCTTCTATAACACAATAAACAATTTACCCTTCACTACTATAGAAAATGTGTGTGTGTGTGTGTGTGTGTGGGGATTTGCATTCTTGAGTATTGAATGTAGTACACGCCCGGATGGGATGATCACTTGTCTCGGAGCTTTCATACCGTGAATCGGCGCCGGGACCTAAGAAAACATACCTTGAACGTACTTGTCCCATACTTTTTGAATAAAAATAACTGACACATTAACTGGGGGAGTGTTACTTTTTACCTGGCCAAGTTAATATAGTATTGTAACGCCATATTACTCGTGTAATCAATCAAGTAATCCCCGCATAACATCTAAAAATAGCGTGTTGACACGTATATTTGAGCATATGAAAGTGTAAAACTTAAAAAAATACTAGCAATGTGATCTCCTATCGATATATTACGTTACCAATTAAACATCACATTCGAAGATACAATAACAAGGCCCCATTCTTTCTTCAAAAAGGACGAAAAAACAAAAACAGGGCAATTATTATGAAGCCGCTTTAAAAAGGGCCATTATGGCTTTTCTTTTGAGTGGAGGAGTTACACATAGTTAAAAGATTAATTTCGTGCAGTCAATTATGTCTCAGTTTTGGTATCGGTTGGGTCAATACCAACCAAACAATTGACATTAATCCGACAAAGTGATTTCTGTCGGGTGGAACAATACCATGCAAAGATTGACAATCGAATTTGCTTAACTTGAATATAGTGGGGGGATGGGTTGACTTTAAATCTTGTAGTAACACATTTTGTGATGTAAGCTGCAAGCAACTATTTAAAGTTATGCAAACATCACGTTCTCCGATGACAATTGTTATTTTTTTTTGTGGAACTTCAAACTTTGTACATTATGCAATTCATCAAATAAACAAACGATGCAAATCGTGGCTAAACAAATAACTTAATTACTGAATGATCTCATGTATCTGAAACTAAAAGCTTAATCTATTATTACTTTTGAGGTCTTTATAAACATTTGTATTTAACGCTTCGGGAATTGTCAGGGTTGATCCTACACTACTCGCACAAAAACACACAAAAACACACACATACACACACATATACACACATATACACACATACACAAAAGGGTAAGGTTTCATAAACGTTACTCGTTGCATATAGCAAATTATTCGATGTATAAGGGAATATTATGAGGAAAGTATATTCTATTTTATTTTATTTTATTATAGAAATAGTAGAAAAACAGCGCTATGTATCTTTTTGTCTAAGTATTTCCCGTATCAGACCTCACAGTAGAGTAAACCAGCGCAATTCGCTACGGCCAAGCATTAGAATTAATTACGCAGAGCAGTCGCGTTGTTCCTGTATTTTTACAGCTTGCATAACCTTTTGAAAAAAATTAGATACGGGTATGCTTAATAAGATATTGTTTTTGTGTACCTACTGTTAAACTGACTTAATGGTCCGGGAATAGAGGTGGTTAAGCTGATATAAAAAACATTTAAAGTGCACCTAAGAAATACGTCCAAATGATAGCCTATAATAGATATGCATGTTTGGATTTCAAAGAACTAAAATAAAGCAATATATGGTTAAAAAATTTGGCATGACAAGTATGGGAGTAAAGCATTACATTTTAGAAAGTTTGAACAAAAAGAAAGAAAAGATATTAAAAAAGCCGAAATAATTGTTTCCTTCTTTTATATTTTCTTCTACACCGGAGGCAACTGATGCTTCGTAATATGCATGAGTGGAATAATACTTAAAAGACTTGATAGTATGTTTGTCAATAAAAATCACGTTAAACCCTAAAAATTGAAAGTCCATTTATACTAGTCAGGTACCAAAGGTCATACACAGTTTCGGTCCCAATTGGAATATCACAAAAAAACATAATATTGAATGAGAGCTCATCTGTGTATATATGATTATTTCACGTTTTTCATCCAGAAATTACTTATTCTAAATATGACTAGACCTACCAACCCCTCTTCAAGATATTCTTCTTTGCCTAACAGAGCAACTAGAAGTCGTAGTAGCTCCGTCTCGTCGGTGACAGACAATATTCAACAAGAAGATATGGTATCTATTGCTCCCATGAATACGTCGCAATTAAGCAGCAGAGATGATTCAGCAACTGTTGGTGCCTTTGTAAAATGTTTTCAGATAACAGGAATTAAAAATGATCTGAACAGTATAAAAAATGAGGTCAAGGAAGCCATCGTTACCGGAGAAATTTTGAGGGCACGACTTGACATGGTGGAAGATAAAATTGACAAAATATTGTCTATTCTTTCCGGTGAAGCTGCTGTTTCTTCAGCTACCCCCGCATTGACTAATGGAAATGTACCTCCTTTCCAAATAGGGGGTGCACTTTACAATAGTTTGTCGGTATGTCACCAAGAATAGAGAACCGTTCATATATCTAATCTACCTTGTAATTATAGGCCTGGATTAAAACGTCCATTGCTAACCAGAAGGTTGGTAATCTGGAGTGGAACCTATCTAAGGCATTTATGACGGTAGAGAACACCCGTATAACTAAAAATATTATCGATTTTGTTGGTGCTCAAATCACATTGTCAACCAAAAAGAACTGGACGGAATCCATTACCTACAACGATCTTCAAAACAAGATCAGAAATGTCTTTCGCCGTAAGCAGGATAACGAAAAGCAATCTCCCGCAGCAAAGCTTTTAAAAAATAAGAAAAGTACAAGAAAGGGAAGAAGAATTTCTGTAAGTTACGAATATGCAAGGCGTTTCCAAGGTTAATATTTAATATAATTGTAGAAATGCAAGCACAGAAAAAACGTGATGGTCAACGAGGAGTATGGCAAAAAAATGAGAGATGCTTATGGTGATGACATAGAGAAGCTCTTGATAGAGCAACTCCAAAGTGACGAGGAAAGCACGGATTCGGAAATAGGGATGACCGAAAAAAACTCACGCTTGCGGGTTATGGTGCCCCATTGGCGCACAAATGAGGTATACAATATGAGTGTATTCCTATTAATAGAATACATACTAAATCAATTCGTCTTTAGGCTCGTCGCGCCTTTCAACATTTCGATGAGTATGATCTCATTTTGAGAAAAAACGCCCAAAAAGAAAAGGAGACAAAGGATACGGGACGTTTCAAGCATGTGGTGATCAAGCCCGAATTTCTAAATCAGGCACCCGACTGGGCCCGAGTTCCTGAATTGTAAATAAACAATTTTTTTCTTCTTTTTTAATCTGCTCCCCCTTTTCCAACAACAATTTTTTACATATTCATAGTGGTTTATTGAAATTAAAAAAGGGCATAGGTGAATTAGCTTAAACATATATTTTTTTTTCTTGAGGAATTATTACAATGCAGCCGTTTTGAATTCGTGGATTACTAGAATTGTCAGAACTACATGCAACCGTGATTGCGTTGTGTATTCTATGTACAGGTAAAATCGAATGAACATTTGTATTTTCATAGCCTTTGCATATTTCCATAGTTTCATTTTCTAAAATGTTGTTACCAGGGTTGACGGGGATAAACCACCGTACGAAAGCGAATGTGTGGGGGGTAACACTGCCGTTAACATTTACGACGTGTTGAAAGAAATATTGTATCTCGCCGTAAAAGCAGGCAACGGACTCCGACGAATGATTGTTTTTAAAGAATGTTTGAATATACGCACCTTTCATCGATCTTGCCATACGGCTTTTGTACATAATATCAGATTGAAATTGTTTGGATATTCTGGCGTCGGCACCAACATAAATTGAAGGAATGTTATTGGAAAGTGAATTACCATGGTTGTTGCATAGATTTGTCGTGGTTAAATGAAAGAGATTGGTGAATGAACGATTTGGGTAGCATAGAGTGTAATATTCAATAAGAAGCATATGGTGTGAAGGATCGAGCGGAGTGGATTTAATTTCATCAAAGTTAGTAGGGATAATATTCGGATGAGAGTATAGCATTTCTGATCCGGTCACCACACCTCCCGAATTGGTATATTCATAGGAAGACAATTTGTAAAAATTAATGCGATCTTGAGGACTGGAGCTTGTGTATAAGGATTGGTTGATAGCGCTGGTGTTGTGGAGAATGTGGGCTTGATCTTTAGAAATGATATTGGTGCTTGTTAATTGTTTAATGAGAGACGAGATATGAATGCTTTCCAAAAAATTTGTCATGTACGAAGTTTGAATTGATCGAAGGTTTCTATTCTCTGTCGACTGCTTTAGGACACCATTCATTCTTTCGAGAGAGAAACAAGAAGTGTTGAATGTACTGCCATAGTATTCAATATTTTCTGACAGGTGGAGGACGTAATGATAGTTAGGTTTGATTGCCTCAGGGCCGAAAAGTACCACATAGTCTTTGCAAAAACAGCGGAAGAGTTCTCGTGCTTCGAATGCCTGGGCTGTAGTAATCGCGGGTTGTACAACAATTCTACAAGCTTGCACAAATTGTAACCAGTTTGCATAATGCTTTTTATGAAATCCATCAACTAATCTATCAGAAACAATCATGTACTTTAAGACATATTCGGAATAGTGCAAGGTCCAGATTTCGAATTCGATGCCCTTCATATAAGAAAAACCTCCTTTTATTTTGGCATGTATAGAGCTGCAACCGTTGGGCGTGATGATACTTGAAGCGAGTGCGGCCATACTGGAACATTTTTACACAAGGTTAGTAATGACATTTGCGTATATATAGTGTCATAAATTTATAATACCTCTGATAGTGTTGTGGTTTAAAAAATCCAAATTCTTCATACTTTGACATAATTGATTTTGCAAGACCCAGCCAAATGCAATGTAAATGATCCTGGGTGGTAGCTTTTACAAGATCAAGGTACCTCAAACTCCTTAAAACGCTATATCTCATACCGTGGGCCCTGTCTTGGCGATGTCTTTCGGCGTTATTATGGCTATTTAACCACTTGTCGGATTGAATGTCATTCAGCTTCTTATTGGCGTTTGCAGGATAATGCACAGCATCAAAGCCGGAATAATCCAAATTAGATGTGTCAGGAAAAACTTTAAACGATCTATCACATCGGAAACATGATCGCGTAGAAGAAAATCCAGTAAATCCGCTCAATTTTCGTTGCATGGGTAAATCGCACAAGATTTGATACAAACAGGCTCTGACAGTAGCACCGTAATCTTGGCCATGTTTTCCAGAGTTGAATGTAGACATTTGAACACCAAAATACAAGGAGCGAAGTTGGTTTGTAACAATGGATAATAGGCGTTGTGTTTGACAAGTGTTGGGTTCATGCGGTCCTTCGATTAATGCAAGCAGTATCGTGTTTTCTTTCTTTATGCGTTCCTCGACTGGTAAATTATTTACTTGCAGATAAAAAGCGACGCAAGAAGCGGAGGTAGTATCATATGGTTGGAATCCATCTATGTTTAACTGGGTTGTAAGTATATCTCGTCTTTACCTTTTTTTTTTTTTTTTTTTTTTTTTTTTTTTTGTATTCTAACCTGCATTCAATGTCAAACATAAAGATCTACTGCTGTTTACAAAAGGGTCGCCACTGGGAGAAAGAATGCTTCTCCACATTTTTCCCTGGGAGCAATGGTACATCATATCAGTTGGGTTTACAGCCTCTTCAAAACTACGCCATTCTTCACACTTCTCCTCGAATCCTTCTCTCAGATACAACTTTTGGATCGAACTTATAAGACAATGGTATACAAACTTTTTGATTGGAGTATCGGAACCGTTTTGAAATAATGGGGTTTGACAAGGTACTTTTTTGAGGATATTGATAAATGTACATATTTGTGGAGGCCCAGGCTGTGTTAACCCGTTGCTTGTAGCATAAAGATAAACTGAATAGCATTTAGGACAAGTTGCGTAGACAGTCATATCTTTGGTAAGATCGATAAATCCAGTTTGAAGCTTGATCGTGGGTAACGATTTTGGAAACTCAAAATTGCTGAATAGCATACGGAACAGATCAAGTAATTTGTGTGTAGCGATGATAGTCAAGAAGTCCATTTGGAATATAAGTACAAAACAACAAATAAACAAGTAAGTGGGATCTTGTGGTATTCTGGGATGATTATTTTGTTGGACTACGATTGTTTCAATAAAGTTGCAAATATTTATTCCGAAATTCAAGCCTACCTTTTTTTATGATAAATTTTTCACCTTGATCATCCAAATCATCTAGCATTTTGAGAACTTCATCGGTCCAATATATCTCACTGCTGCTTTCGACAATAACCTGATTTTCATTATCATCATTTGCATCAATGCTATAGGATTGATCAAAGATAAAGCCTTCTTCATAATCGCGCTCATCATCTTGAAACATTACTCAGCATCATGTTATAAATCATTTTTTTGTATGCATACCTGAAGAGCATTCATCCTGAAAATGGTTATCAACTTGAGTCGAACTGATATTAACATGTGCAAACTCTGCTTCAATAACAGATACGTTCAAACGTGAAAATTCTAAGCTGGTGTCTACTACGGCGTCATCTATTAAAATTTCTGTTAGTATAGATTACAGTTTGTTGTAGGTAAATATCTGATGAGGGTTACACACTTTCTTCTAGTTCATCCAAACTTCTTTTGGAAGCTGCCGCCTTTTGGCATGACTCCTCGTACATTTTTTTTTCGGCATGTCGTGTAGCAGTATTGATTGGAACTGAGCAACCGCCACACTTGTTGCAATGGCAAATCTTGGTCCTTTTTTTTGTAGAAGACATTATGATAGATGATGGAATTTGTACCCGGTTTTTTTACTTTATATACAGGGCAACAAAGACGTGCCCAATATACCAATAGAAAATTTACTGACACATGGTCACACTAAGTCGGATTAGTTGTCAATGCAACTGTTTGAAAGGCTGAGAGTGGTACACAACTCCCATCGCACCTCTTTTTTTTTCATGTATGATGAAACGACAGAAGAAATAATGTCACACGACATTTTTGATGCATCATAACGACGTTTTCGCTTTAAAAATTACTTTCTATGTCCAATCGTATTAGGCATTATTTGTACATTTTATTTAGCTCAAGCAGATATGCTTTATTGTGCAACCTGAAAAATAATCATAGGATACTATTACATATAACATATTCTTTTTATGCTTTAATGCTAATCTTGAAGCAATAAAAACTACTTTTACAGATAAAAAAATGGAGTGTAAATGTATGCTCTATAAAATACACAATATCCATCAGGTATAAAATAATTCAACCAAAGTTTTTTTGTTTGTATTTTTTGTGAGAAACTTTATCTTGGTTTTTTTTTATTATTGCACGTTCTACTTATTGTTCTGTGAGTATATCAAGCTCTGATGAATTGAGCAATGTTCAGATTTTATCTTTAATGATAACTGATATCAAAAATCTTTGGAACATTTCATAAATATTCAACAATGTCGCATCTTTTGGGAAACACATGACATACATTGCTGCATTAATTACGTACTCAAGCAACATAAACCCACCATTTGTTTTTCAGGAGCTGATATAATTGGCTTTGGACGGTGAGTCAAATAAACTTGTCGGTATTGTTCTTTTTAAACAAAAACGATGCTATTCCGGCATATTGGTTATATCACGAATTTGCGTTTTTAACACTGTGTTATTTGCTTCTTTTTTTTTACGCATTTTTTTTAAAAAAACTTAGCAATGGCAACGAAGGACACCACGCCCTCCTTATTTGTTCATAGCCCAGTTCTAAAAGCTCTTCAGAGGCTTGCCCAAAATCAAACCTTATGGACAGCACCCTTAATCATCATCTTGTTTGCTTCCCTAATTCGTTGGTCTGTTGCTCTAAATCCTTACTCAGGTATAGCAATCACTTGAACTACATAACAATGAGTCTGACAACAAGCATGTAGGATACAATTCACCACCAATGTTTGGAGATTATGAAGCACAGCGTCATTGGATGGAAATTACGACTCATTTACCGACTTTGAAGTGGTATAGATATGATTTACAATGGTGGGGGTTGGATTACCCACCTTTGACGGCATATCATAGCTGGCTTTGTGGTTTGATGTAAAGGGTTAATGATGTGTCATAAAAAAGTAATGCTTCTAATGTTATTGACAAAGAGGGTCCAAGATAAACGCGTCTTGGTTCGCTTTAGATACATCAAGAGGAATAGAAACTACTTCCAGTAAAGTGTTCATGCGATCTACTGTGTTTATATCAGAAGCACTGATTTATGTACCTGCTGTATATTTATACTGTCAAATTATATACTCGTCTAATGGACAGTACTTAAAAAAGGTAAGCAATACCATGATCATCAGTTACTACCTTTTTTTATTAAATTTGTTTGTCCTTAGCACATGGCGGCTGTATTAATTTTGATGCAACCTGCTTTAATCATGATTGATCATGCTCACTTTCAATTTAATAGCGTTATGTTAGGATTGACCTTGTTATCTATCGATTGCTTTCTCACCAGACATTATGTATTGGGATCTGTCTTCTTTTGTGCATCCTTAGGCTTTAAGCAAATGGCACTGTACTATTCTCCAGCTGTATTTGCATTTTTATTGGGCAGATGTTTTTCCGAAAAAAACGGCATAGTATTATTTGTTAAGCTGGGCGTAACTGTAGTAATTACATTTGGAATCATGTTTTCACCTTGGTTGAGATCATTGGATGATATACAACAAGTCATTATTCGCGTATTCCCTGTAGCAAGGGGCCTTTACGAGGACAAGGTGGCCAATGTATGGTGTGCTATCAATGTTGTAATCAAACTTAAGCAAATATTATCTGTAGAGTCGACTGTTCGTTTGAGGTAAGTAGGTGTTGCGCATACAATTTTCAGGGATTAAACTAATAATTTTGTGCATTTAGTTTATTGACAACTGTATTGGCCGTGTTACCCATTGGAATTCACTTGGGGATATCACCATCAAAGAAGCGTTTTATTTATGCCTTAATCAACTCTTCACTTGCTTTCTTTTTGTTCTCATTTCAAGTACATGAGAAATCTATTTTGTTGCCACTTTTACCTGTCAGCTTACTTGTATTGGAGGAACCTATTGCAACTACAATGTTTATGAATGTTGCCATGTTCAGTATGTTTCCGCTATTGAAACGAGAAGGGTTAGTTATTCCTTATTACATTACAAGCGTCATGTGGAATTGGCTAGTTGGTGGATATGGACCTAATACATCTTTAACCACAAGACTCGGTACTTTGGTAATTATGAGTCATTCTAAATTGATAAAAGAATTAACTAATATTTATACGTGCACATAGGGCGTCCATATCATGTTTGTCATCTGGCATATTGCCGAAGTCTCTATTCCAGCTCCTCCCAGCTTGCCCGACCTATATACTGTTATCAACGTACTCATTAGCTGCGGATTGTTCACCATCCTGTTCTTTTATTACGTCTACCGTCAGTTCACAGTTACGTCCTCTGCCATAACCAATCAAAAGAAGACACAGTAACAACCATAATGATAGTTATGTTAAGCCATTGCTTTGATAATAATGCAAATGTAGATAGACTCTTTATTTCAAAAATAAATACAAGCTGATAACAGCATTTATAGATATATAGATGCGATATACCGATGTAAACTTTATCATATACACTTATATATCAAATACATGATATCAAGTTACTTTGTTCAGACCTATCTCAGTTGCACCACTCCGTCTGCAGCGCTTTTTTTTTTTTTTTTAGTTAATTGATATACTAAAAGTTCTCTTTAATTCCCTGTTTTGTGCTCAGGTAATATAAAGTAGAATGGGAACATATAACACCCTTTGGCGTCGTTTTACCAGCATTCACCTTTGGCATAAGTTTCTCAAATTCAACGGCTGAAACTGAACTTTGCGACCATAATCTCAGTCACAATTGGCTTTAAATGCTCTGTCAGTAAAAAAAAAAAAAAAAAAAAAAAAAAAAAAAAACTAGTAGGCTAAAAAGATTCTTTTTTCCGCTCTTTGCTAAATTAAAGAAAGTAATGGCATTTCTTAAGGTAGCAGGTGTGAGTTACGAATGCGGACCAAGCAATGGGTTAAATAATTTGATGAAGCAATTAGGAAAAGACAGAAGTCCACAACAAGTAAATAAATTTGATATTTCACTAGTGGAATTTTTATATGTATTGATGTCATTTTAATTAGGTCCGTTTTAGTCAAGGCGAGAGTTCCAAAGTAATTTTCATGTACAATGATTAAATTTGTGTAATACGATTTCTGACTCTATATTTTTTACAAAGGTTACAAATGGATTTCGAAGTCATAAAAGTCATGCACAAACTGGTGACAAAGTGAGTTACACAAAAGAAGCATCAAAATCATCACAGCTAACATTGTGATAGTTGGCGGAGGAGTTTTTCCAAAAGGAAAGCAAAGCATGCAAAAATCAAAACCTTCAGAGCCTCTTTACACATAATGATTGGGTCAGAGATTTCACGCCTCATACAGTTGACTGTTCACCCATTCAAATCGAAGAATTCGAACAAATATATCAAGGGCCAAGCTGTGCATCGCCTATCAATCAATGGTCCGACGATTTTTCTAAATTTCATTCTAGACAAACCTCATCCGATTGTTCAGAAGAACAAATTGCCTTTGAAAAAGCTTTCGAGGAAATACTCGATGTCGGTGCGATACACCACCATGACTGGGACAAGGAGTTTGCAAACCACGAAACCTTGGAGTCGCATTATCAACCAACCTTTCAGCCTGCAATGACGAACGATTCTTTTGGAATAGCGGATGCTGATTTTAACAATCTACCAATACAAGACAAGTCCCCCATGCCCATTGTAGAGATTGAGCCGGAATTAGTGGGTAGTGTAGATAGGAAAAAATGGAATAGACTGAGACCAGATGGGATAGCATACGGTTACAGCTCGATACATCCAGACTACGATGTATATATCCCGACCAAAGATAATCCCTATATGATAAGACGAGATGCAATTGATGGTATGGAACACACAACTTTGGCTGATTCGATATTAGCTTTAGAGGCAAAAGTACAGTTAAATCCGAACGATGCCAAAACCTGGGAAGAATTGGGATTAAAACAGCAGGAGAATGAACGAGATAGAGCAGCTATTGCAGCATTAGAAAGAGCTGTTCTACTTGATCCTAATTGTCTAGATGCCTGGCTAGCACTTGCTATTGCTTATAGAAACGAGCACTGTCGTATGGATGCATTTAATTGTCTGGAACAATGGATTGCGAATAACTCGAGGTATAAGGATATTTTACGAGAGGAATTAGGTGTGTATCACAAGGATGGAATCAAACGACACGATTACATTACAAATGTATTTTTGGAAGCAGCTCGAACCTCTCCCGGTAGCGAGGAAATGGATGCAGATGTCCAGGTTGGACTGGGTGTAATATTCAACATGTCTGAAGATTTCAATAAAGCCATGGATTGCTTTAAAGCTGCATTGTTAATTAGGCCGGACGATTACCAATTATGGAATAAAGTTGGTGCAACTTTAGCAAATGCTCGGGACAATTCTGGAGCCATTGAGATGTACATGAATGCTATCCAAATAAACCCGTTATTTGTACGAGCAAGGTACAATCTGGCTATCAGCTATATGAATTTGGGTCAACACCAGGAGGCTGCGGAAAACCTACTGTCCTCTCTTTCTCTTCAACATGCTGCTGCTCTTTCTATTAACGAAATTCATGGTGGAGTGCCTACCGAGCTACATGATAACACTAGTAGTAGCATGTGGGATAGTTTACGACTATTGATGTACATGTAAGCTTATATAGTTTCACAAATTTTGTTGTTTTTCTTCTAACCGTAATTTTCTATTTTAGGATGAATCATGAAGATCTTGCTTCTCAGTGTGATTTTCACCATCTAGAAGCTTTCCGTGGCTATTTTAACTTTTAATTGAGTTGAATGCTGGGTACGTTGTACGAGACGTGGGAGAATAAAGGATTATACTTTCTTGTTTGATTCTTTGTGAGGAATATAAGACATGCCATTTTTTAATCGCTCAAGAAAAAGAGACCATAAAAATCAGCCCATTACGAGCCATTTTAAATGTTTATGGAAGCGTTCCAGATTGTGATCTGATAGGCAATTCTTTTTAAAATAAAAAAATCAGTTTATTCAAATATACTTACTAGATCTACCAAGCTATTTTGTATTAATTTAGGATGCAGAAGCAACCAGTTAGTTGTGTGTTAAAGAACAAGTTTAAATGCATTATAAAAATCAACTCATTTGTGTCACTCTTAATAACAGAAAACTGCATAAAGTAAAAACAAGATGCAGCTATGTTTAATTTGTAGCTCTTGGCAGTAATTTTATTTATAGGCGAAATCTTTTAATCACGTATGTACTTATAGCTTTGGTCCATAGCTTTGTCACTTGAAGTAGAAATAAGAAATGCTTACACTTCTGTATTTATTTTTTTGATCTCGCCCCTTTATTTTTAATCTCAAAACATTGCTTTAACGACCAAATGACTTGTCGATGGGTGTCGTTGCTATGTTAACAATTACTTCACTGAAACATAAATAATTTACCTGTCATTGTAGTTTAAAAAGCTAGTGACTTTCAGATCCTATCTTCAAAAACGCCGACTCTCCGCATAGTATTTTGTATACGGTACAGATATTTGACAATTGCAGGTGTATCCTTTAAACTACGATGTCATATAGAATTTTTGTGTGTCAGTGATATAACTTTTGACATGACGCCAACATTGATCAATAAGTTTATTTAATAAGGGTTCGAGCAGTTTTTCAATATAAAGCCGGAAAGACGGAAGGGTATACCCCTCTCATTTCTGGTCCAAGTAAGATTGCTATTTGACAAAACAGTTTTAGTCGACTTTACCAGATAAAATAATTGATAAACTTATGGCTGTGTGCTAAATATTTATTATAGTAACTTTATACAGTACATGCTTGAAGCGGATAGAATTAAACCGAGGTGAGATAGTCAGCATTTTTCCCATTATGTGGCCTATAACCTGTTTTCGCAATCGTCAATACAAGCCAAAGAAGTACTATTCCCTATTTATGCATCAAATATATTTTGATGGGGTACGAAATTTAGTGAAACATGAGTTACAATCCGATAATGTGGCTGTAACTGATTTTCTCTCCTTAGCACATGACTATCATTCAATTTGTTTCGCTGCAATTATAGGATGATATTTTTCATGGTAAACCGACAATGTTAAAATAACCCATTTTCTTTTTCTGATTTTTTTTTCTTGCAAACTAAGTGTACCCCACCACAAGATCAACCTGTCAAAAAAAAAAAAAAAAAAAAAAAATCTACAACATATGATTTTTTTTTTTCAATATAAAAGCAAATACTTTTTCACACATGCCTTGGAATAAAAATAATTTAGATTTTCTTTCACTTCTTTTAGACTTTTGGCTTTTTATTTAAATTTTTATACGGAATGCCCACAGTCCAGGAACTACTTCCCTTTTTAATCACTTTCGCTATTATCGCAGGCACATATTATGCTTTCACCACAAAAAGTAAAAAAACAAAAAAACAAAAAAACAAAAAAAAACAAAAAAAAAAAAACAAATTGTTAAAAAGTTAATAGCGAAATTAACCCCTTCATTTAGGACAAATATTAGATCCTAAAGTTTTTAAAAGTTTCAAGCTGATTGAAAAGATTCCAGTAACATACAACACATCAAAGTAATCAAAAGAAAGTTTTCATCATCAATTAAAATTCTAAATTCTAAATGTACTGTAGATATCGTTTCAAACTTCCTCACCCAGACGATGTATTAGGACTTCCTGTTGGACAGCACATTTCAATAATGGCAGAAATAAATGGAAAGCAGATTTCTAGAAGTTACACACCAGTTACCCCTGAAGAAGGGCGTGGACATTTCGATTTAGTTATCAAGGTAAAAAAAAAAAAAAAAATAGCCATAAAAGGCGTTTTCTAGAACAGACAATTTGACTCCATCGTATTCCAGTCATACCCCACTGGAAATATCTCGAAATTAATGGGCGAACTTCAAGTAGGAGATTCGATTGGAATAAGAGGCCCAAAAGGAAATTTTGCCTACAAGTCAAATATGGTGAAATCTATTGGTATGATTGCAGGTGGTACGGGTATCACTCCAATGCTTCAAATTATTCGTAGAATATGCAACGACCCACTGGATAAAACAAAAGTCAGTCTATTATTTGCCAATGTAACCGAAGAAGATATTTTATTAAGAAAAGAGTTAGATGAAATCGCTAAATCCTCACCAGACAACTTTCAAGTTCATTACGTATTAGAGAAACCGCCTAACAATTGGACTGGCGAAGCTGGCTTTGTCACCAAAGAAATGATTGAAAAATATTGTCCAAAACCATCCAACGATATCAAACTTTTACTATGTGGTCCCCTGGCCATGATAAAATCATTAACCACTGCAACAAACGAGCTGGGTTATCAAAAACCTAGGGCTGTCTCAAAAATGGAAGATCAGGTCTATAAATTCTAGTTTATTAACCCCAATAAAATTACTGTCACCGCGTACATCGAACTTCCTTATAAAGTGTATTCGTACTACTATATTACTGACCCAATGGTATCCATTACCGCTAATTGTTACTCATTGAACTTTTCAATTCACCCGGTTAGACACTGATGAATCATTGTAATCTTATTTTATCATATCAAAATTTAAAGCAGCCCGATCTGTTTTATTTGAAAGTGATTTATCCAAGTCAAATTCCGTCAGAGATACTCATTCTGTCAATATGCGTCGATAAACCAACACTACGTATAATGTAACTATCCTTAGTGTGAAGAGACGTTTAAGTTCCCTTATTGTTCTTCGCTCAAAGTTACTCAGTGATCTGTACTTAACAATGCATGATACGTATTTTCTATATCATAGCAGACTTTTCTGACTAGAGCAGCGCACCACAGTTATGTTTAATGTGATATTATTGGCATCTTGCACGTCTTGAATCAATTTGACCAATGGTTTTTATCCTGCGGGGAGACAGAATGATGACTCACTTTGATAATATCAAGAATTTATCGACTATACAGAAGAAAAAAAAAGACACTATCAGTTTAATAGTTTTAAAAATAGTACGCAAATATTCAAGTAGGAAGGCAGTTACAGTGCTTTTTATGCTGTCGAGCCTGAAAGGCAACGTACTACATGTGAAAAGTATTTGAAATGAATATGTTATTAAAAATACATGCCTCGCAAAAGATACAAAATGTAGCTGGGAGTTACGCGGTAGTACGGAAGATATTATCAATCTTAATTGGAAGAAATGTGTCATGGCATGAAAGATATATCATTTCTTCATGACACTGATGCCACTCTAATATTCTTTGTTGAAGTAATCCAACTTAATTAAAGATCAGCATTATCATAATCGCCATAAAGACGCCCAGGAATTGTAGGTTTTGTCTTTCGATTGTAAACTAGCCCTTGTTTTTTTGTCGTAGAGGTTCAGGCATGTAACAAATTGCAATAAAAATTATTGTTATTAACGATGTCTCTTTCAAATTTCCCAACATTTTCTTATGAAGCACCACTAGACACACAATGTAACAGATAAATAAATGGCTGTTGCAACTATTTTTTGATTCTTCAATTATTTAGTCAAGAACCTGTATACAATTAAATCCATCAACCGATTAGGTGTTTTAGCTCCTTTCGATGAGTAACTTGTTCGGTCGTGGGATAGCGACAGAACCCATCACAGATACAATTTCTCGGAAATGAGGTGCTTTACGGTAAATAAAACCGCTTTGTATCACCGTAATCTATTTTTGGGGCCAGAGGAGATGGATTAGTATTCCTAGGTACCATTGTATACATGAAAAGTTAAACGATATTTTCACAAATAAGAAAAAACGAATCGTAAAGAATTGGTTTACTACTAAAATACATCTATGATTGACCATTGATACAGTCCCAAAAGTTTTAGTTGGGACTTTGTCAAAAAAGCAGCCCGATGTGTATATCTAAAAAAACGAAAATTAGCTCTTCTACGAGGGGTGGAGTTTTTCTTCAATTTTGGCAACATGAGCGGTTCTGAGATAGGGACAGTAAGCTGAGAGTAATGAAATTTTAGGAAAATAATATAATTTTCGGGCTGGTTGCTTCGATAACTCTCTTTATGATTCAGTAAGAATGAGTATCAGTTTGAGAGCGTTGTCTATATAATAACAATGATTGCCTAAAATTTTAAACTGCTTGGAACTTTATTTTAATGATAAAAAGAGATGTTCATATACAACCTTCCTTTATGGAAATCAAGATATGAGAGTGTGCGAAATAATCCTTTTGACTTATCCACACGACTACCTTACAAACTATCAAATTTACAGGCATCGTTCCTAACATAATTCGTATTTATACCATTTATCTTGTATTTTTTTTTTTTTTTTTTCAAAGCATACTTATTTGTGGAGACTACAGAAAAGTATTATCTAAAGGCATATTTACATCAAATATTAATCAGGTAAAAATAAATTCTCTCGCAAATCCGTTTTTATTTTCGCACGTTGACATATAAACATATTGAAGGAGTATTTTATGATATCTGAATTTGGGCAAAGAATGAAGAGTGGTAATTCAATGTTCATGATGAATTTAAACAATAGTTGACTCTCTGAACTTTGCTCTTTTACTGTTAAATAATAAAAATAAAATAAATAAAAACTACACCACCCGTCTTTGATTTAGCCCATTCGATAATAGTTAGTTCGTGGCTACAATCCTAAATGCTACTATTGTGTCAATACATATTAAGGTATTAATAAAGGCAGAAAAAAAGTCTTATCTAGGGTATCAAATCTCGTTCAACATTAACACTTGTGATATACGTAGAGCCTACATATACAGTTTGAGGTTAAAAATACATACAATGGATATGATAATTAAATCCTCTAGCTTGGTAGAAGTTTAGGTGCCTCAAATTTGCAATTAGACAGATAATGAGGACTTAGATGATCACACTTAAGTCTGGGATACTCACTAAATACGAAATCGCAAAAATCGGGAAGGGAATTATGACTCTATTGCTTCGTTACACTGTCCTATCAAAATAAAAAGTTAATTTAACTTGTTTTAAACCGCTTTCCATTGACCCCATCCCTAACTAGGATGTTTGTTGACCCGCTGAATAGATGTACATAATTGCTGGATACCTATAGCTTGATTCAATATGTGGTTGATCCAAGGACCATTTGTTGTTTTCTTAAATTTTATTATAGGAAAAGACTTATAAATGTGTTGAATCAAGATAGAATAGCTTAACATCTAATGGTTGTCTGTTTATCATACTTTACCTATAGCGATCTTGTTTTGGGGCAGTATTGGTCGCGGCACGTAAATTATGCCGATGCCGCCTTGTACATGACCGAACATACGCGCGCCGCGATTAAATGCCGGTATTGGGCGTTTGATTCACACCGAACCGGCGCACTTTCCCAACAACTAGTTTATGTCAAGCAAACGCCACTCATCATGTTATCTTTTACCCGACCATGATACATTGGTGTAACTTTAATGAGCAGGTGTTTGTTGTACATCCAAATTGGTTTACAGAACGATCTATTTTCGCCAAATTGTATGTCGTTGGCGACTTTGTTATTTCATTACAATACAGAGAGATGATAAAAGATGCGAATTAATTGGCATTGAATCGCACACATAGTGGTAAATACAGGTAAGGAATGAAAAAAAAAACAGAAAAAAAAAGTACCCTAAAAAAGATAAACAACTTTGGATACTTAAATCTGAATATGGAAAGTTTCCACTATTTTGAATTTTTCTTTCATGTGTACTCCATAAATATCTTTTTTTATTTTGTAAAGGAATCGGCGCATGGAAAAAAGTTCTAACAAAGAACAAAAGGTGAATTATAGCTGATTTTAATCTCACAGTATAATAGTCTTGTATAAATTTTTTTTAGTCAATTGTATTAAAATTAAACTTATATACATGTCAGATCAATTGGCCCAGTATGTCCAACCCGAGCAATGGGCAGATCACAGGAATAATCAGTTCGGAATTTGTATCAAGAGATAGTACGCTACGAGCCAAGATTACACAAATCTTTTGTTTAGTTATTTTGTGTAACTATGTGCTACAAGTAACCGAAGAAGCGCACTCATGGATTGTCAATGAAAGGTCTGAATTGACACGTATCGCTTTAATTACTCACTACATATCTAACATAAGAGGATATATGATCAATGTATACAATGACTAAACCAATATTTTAATCGATCCAGAGGGTGCAATGATTAACTTAGTGTCCAGAATTTATTTGATTCGGTCACATTTTTGTACTCAGTTTGAAGGGTTTTTTTTTGTATAAAAGGAAGGGCCATTTCTTGGATTATCGTCACTTTTTTTTTTCCTGGTCCATATTATAAAAAAATGTCCAAGGATGAGAAAATAGAGACTAGTATGCGAGAGCTGTCAGTGTCGACTGATACAGTCTCTGTGGTCGCTCAAGAAGAAAAACCGAAAAAGGAGAAAAAAGGAAAGAAGCCAAAACCACCTATGGTCTCCATGAGAAAGTTATTTCGATTTGCAACTAAGAAGGAGAAAGTATTAATTGTCATTGCTATTATTTGCTCAGCCGGTGCTGGTGCACTGCAACCTATCGCTATTCTTATTTATGGTAACTTCATCAACAATTTGACTGCCTCCCTATCAGATACCAGCAAATTACTCGAAAATGTTTTGCCAGTGATTCACTTGATGCTTATTTTGGGTTCCGTAGCCATGATTGCAGCATACATTTCAAATTGCTTGTGGGTTCTTACAGGTGAAAGTCAAACCCGTAGAATTCGCTCCTTGTATCTCAATTCTGTATTAAAACAAGATATGAGCTGGTTCGATGCTGCAGAAGATGGTTCCTTAAATACTAGATTGGCCTCTGATACTCAAATTGTTCAAGATGGTATTTCTGAGAAATACGGTCAATTCGTTACTCTCATTGCTCAATTTACTGCTGGTTTTGTTGTAGCACTTATTAGAGGTAAATTTGGTTTATTTTCTGTTGGTTACATATGAGTATACTAAGTGTGTTATAAAATAGGTTGGCAGTTAGCTCTTGTCATGTTATCCATCGTTCCTATACTTGTTGGAACCGGTATTGCTATGGCTCACTTTATTACTAAATACACAGGAATGGCCCAAAAGTCATATGCGGAAGCTGGCTCCGTTGCTGAACAAGCCTTTCAATCTATTCGTACAGTATATTCTTATACCCTTCAAAAGCGATTTGCGGAGCGTTATAGTGAGAAATTAGAAGATGCAAGTGTGGTAGGTGTAAAGCGTGGTATTGCTATGGGCTGCGGTTTTGCTACGTTTATGTTTGTCCAGTTCTCTAGTTTTGGTTTGGCATTATGGTATGGCTCTTCTCTTGTTATCAATGGTACTTTGACTGGTCCAAGGGTCTTCGTAGTATTTTTAGGTAAACATACATATCGTAGGATTCTTTTTCATTTTATACTTACATGTCTATATTATTAGCAATGATGATGGGTAGTATCGCATTTTTAAAATTACCTCCCAACTTGTCTGCTGTCTCCAGTGCAAGAGGTGCTGCTTTTAAATTGTTTGAAATTATCGATCGTGTCCCTGCTATCAACCCTGACTCCGAAAATGGCATCATTCCTTCTACCGTGTTGGGTTCAATTCAATTCAAGGATGTTGTCTTCAAATATCCCACACGTCCTGATCTTGTTATTCTCAAGGGCCTTAATATCAAAATCGAGCCTGGTATGACAGTAGCCTTTGTTGGACCCTCTGGATCCGGCAAATCAACTACTATTCAACTCGTCCAGCGTTTCTATGACGCCTTGAGTGGAGAGGTTACTCTTGATGGACATAATGTCAAAGATCTTAATGTGAGATGGCTTCGTCAGCAAATTGGTGTGGTCTCTCAAGAGCCTGTTCTGTTCAATATGACAATTCGACAAAATTTGCTTATGGGTACGCAAGAGGATGTTTCAGAGAAGGATATCATTTCAGCTTGTAAAGAGGCCAACTGTCATACATTTATCACACAATTACCAAATGGATACGATACGCTTGTTGGCGAACAGGGTGGTATGTTATCAGGAGGACAAAAGCAACGTATTGCTATTGCTCGTGCTATTTTAAAGAACCCTACCATTTTGTTATTGGATGAGGCTACATCAGCTTTGGATACACAGTCGGAACGTTTAGTCCAAAATGCGCTCGACAAAGCTTCAGCTACTCGTACCACAATTGTTGTTGCTCATCGTCTTTCGACCATTATTAAATCAGATCTTATTGTTGTGCTCTCTCAGGGTGAAATCACAGAACAAGGTACTCACGAAGAATTGATTAATTTAAACGGTGCCTATGCCAACTTGGTTAGAAAACAAGCGATTGATGTCAAAGAAAACGGTGGTTCTGAAAATGTCGAGTCAGAAGAAGATCCCGAAACACTTTTACGTCAAGAAGAATTGGAAGTACAAAAGAAGATTGAAGAACAAGAAAGAAACGCTCTTCATCCCGTGCCAACAACTCATACAACCAACAGTCATTACGACGAGGAGAAGTTAAAGGCAACCAACGAAATTGATGCCTACGACCTTAAGATCCAAGAAGCTACCAGAATTAGGAAGGAAATGAGTAAGCAACGTGCTCCATTCTTAAAGGTCTTCCTTGCTTTACGAGAAGAATGGAAATTTTTGTTTGCAGGTGTTTGTGGTTCTGCTCTCGCTGGTTGTATCTTTCCGGTTTATGCCTTTTCTTTCTCTCACGTTGTTACCATTCTCAGTTTAAACGATAGCGGTCAAAACATTCGTCCTGGTCCACTTTTAGGAACAAATTTATACTCCTTTATTTTTGCTATGCTTGGTATTGCTTCTTTCATTGGTAACGGTACTCAATTTTCATGTTACGAAATATGTGGTGAAAAGTTCTCCAAGCGTTTCCGTGCCAAGATTTTTGAGGCTTATTTAAGACAGGAGATTGGGTTCTTTGATATCGAAGAGAATAATACAGGCGCGCTCACTACAAAATTAGCAGTCGATGCAAGAAATGTCAATGAAATGATTACCAAGGTGTGGGGTGATGTAACACAGCTTACTGCCACCATTGTTATTGGTTTAGGTCTTGCGTTATCCTACAGCTGGAAGCTCTCTCTAATTACACTTTGTATGGCTCCATTGCTCACTCTCGCAACTGCTTACGAATTCCGTGTGCAAAGAGGCTTTGAAGATAGTACCAAGAAGGCAAATGCCCAAAGTGGTCAAGTGGCTGGTGAAGCTATTCGAGAGGTTCGCACTGTCGCATCATTGAACAAGCAATCTCATTTTGAAGAACGTTATTACCACGCCACTGATCGCCCACATCAACTCGCTGTCAAGAAGGCTTATCTTTCATCCATTGCTGCTGCTTTTAGTAAAGGTATCAACATGTACACCAGTGCCGTTGCTTTCTATGCCGGTGCACGATTAATCGCCAACAATGAGATTACTTTCCAACAAATGTTTACCAGTATGACTGTCATCATGACTACGGCTGAAGCTGCTGGTCGTTGTACAACGTTTGCTTCCACATTTTCAAAGGCCAAGTATGCCGCTATTGCTTCTTTCGAAGTACTTGAACGTCAACCCCATATTGATCCCGAGTTAGAAGGAATTGAACCCAAGACTGGAACACTTGAAGGTGATATCGATTTTAAGAATATTAAGTTTGCTTATCCTGCTCGTCCCGAAATCTCCATCTTTGACGGCCAATTCAATTTCAGCGGAAAGCCAGGCCAGACTATAGCATTAGTGGGCCCCTCAGGTTGCGGTAAATCAACTACGATTGGTATGCTTCAACGTTGGTACGATCCACTCAAGGGATCTGTTTCTCTCGATGGTAATAATGTCAAGTCTTATTCTGTATATAACCTCCGTAGTCATATGGCTTTGGTGTCTCAAGAACCTTGTCTTTTTGACATGTCGATCGGTGACAATATTCGATTTGGTATTGATGACGGTATTATCGTTTCTCAAGAAGAAGTGGAGGCAGCGAGTAAATCATCAAACATTCATCAATTTATCAAATCGCTTCCCAAAGGCTACGATACCCGTGTGGGTGATAAAGGATCTCAACTCTCTGGTGGTCAAAAACAGCGTATTGCTATTGCTCGTGCCCTGATCCGTAAACCCAAAGTGCTGTTATTGGATGAAGCTACTTCTGCACTCGATAGTGAATCGGAGCGTCTTGTTCAAGACGCACTCGATAACATTCTCCAAGAAGGTGGAAGAACCACAATCACCATTGCACATCGTTTATCCACGATCAAGGACGCAGATTTGATTTGTGTCGTCAAGAACGGCATGATTATTGAACAAGGCACTCATTGGGAACTTCTTCAATTGAACGGTGCTTATAGCGAAATGGTTAATCAACAATCCTTATCCGTCTTATAAAAAAGGGTCTTTACATCCTTTTGCCTTATCATCTTATTTATTTCACTCTATTACCCTTTACTTTTTTTTCATAATAAATTTAACATTGTATACCTCAATGGTTTTCCCCTCAAATGCTGTTATTATGCACATAAGTAAGTACACAAAGTGTACGAGCGTAACATTATATTTTTATTGTGAGAACGGAATAGGAAATCTATTTACCACGAAATGTTGTGTTTAAAATCCTCGTTTGTGTAAACTACAGAATACCTACAGAAAGAAAGAAAGAGAAAAACTAGGATCAGAGAGTTCTTACCAAAAGTTTAAAAATACTTGCCAAGACTGAAATCATTTTGTTCATCATCTGTAAACACATATCGACAAGGATTTTGGTCTGTTGTTTTCAAAAAAAAAAAAAGAAGGTTTCTAGGACCAGAAAGTTCATATCTATATCTAGTTTTTGATGAACTCGCCTGTATTATGATTTAAATCTTCTAACCATCTTTTGCCATAGATATCTTGCGGTTCATTTAAATTAGATAGGAAAGTTGTAATATGCAGATCAGGTGCGCACGAAGGCGGTGAGACGGGTAAAGTTTCCATGGTATCTACATTATGATATGTAAGTCAATGCGCCTTATGGTATCCACATGTGTGCTATTTTTTACTTTGTAAGAGACGTTGATTTTCTGCCAAAGCTAGCTGCAATAATTTTTGTACTGAGGCAAGTTCGTTACCAAGCCATTGACATCGTTCTTCTGTTACTTTCACTTGTTGGATGGAGGCGGTATGTAAATCTTCAAGATCCTGAATCTTATCTTCATATTTTAATAAAACATCTTCTAAAGTCTTGGTATAGTTGTTACGACGGTCTCTAAAAGCAGCCTGTGCTTTCCGGTTGCGATCTTTACGCTGTTCATTGGTGTAAATACGATGACGGCCTGCTTTTGATAGTGATTCCGATCTTTCAAGATTATTCATTATGAATTGTGTAAAAGGGTAAAATAAAATAAAAATAATTTTGGGACGGAGTATCTCGGGTTAAAAGGATCTTTCTCGAGATTCAAACTTAGTTTTATATCTCATAAACGTCAAAACACAATACATACATTGATCTACCCTGCCCAATGAAGCTTATCATTTGCCTTTGTATTGGAGAAAGAGAAGATAGTTTCCAATGAGTCCGTATTGAATTGAAGGGAAAAGAAAGCTACCGTTAAAGTGTCTATCTTTTTGTGGTTTAACTAAGCTTTAAAACCACGCCGTTGGCAAATCATCAAGTATCGAGTTACGTACTTGATCTCTCCCGAGGTTCCCTTATAATACTAGTTTAGCCATTTATTGTTTTTGGGTTACATAATAATCGAATCAGGATTAAAACTTGTACTATCAGGACGTACCAAGACTAACTCTGGTGAGGGCATTTGTCGATCTAGTCTTACCATCGTGTTGTACAAATGAGATCACACCTAATAATTAGCATAAACACCCAATTAAGTCACTTATTTCGTCAAAAATATCAATGAAATGATCTAGCAAATATTTTACCCATAAAAAAACATAAATAGATCAGGCCATTAACAACTGATCTATTCGTTCTCTGTTACTGCGATCGGAGTTGCCTCGTTTACGATCATTACATCTTGCGGGTAAATTACAAAACGTAGAATTACCAGATCGTTTTTACATTTTAGTCATCAAGGGCTTCATTTTAACAAACATCGCCCCGCGGTTTATATTAATTGGTTTATATTCCCCAAAAAAAAAAAACACGGAAAATAACTATGGGTAATTAATTGATTGTTTAAAAAATTAAGATGAACTTTTTTATGCTGTATCACATATTTCCCAAACATATTAGAAATAAAAATCTCGATTACACAAATTATAATACATTTTTTTTTAATAAATAATAATAATACAGTATGTAACTAGTTTGGATAATAAACATTTTGGGATAGACTATGTATAGTATTCGGCATGCTTGGATAAGCAAGCGGCAGAGGTAATATGGGTTGTCGACTGACTTGTTGTACATAATTATGATGTTGCATAGGGGGGTTAGGATATGAGTTGCTTAAAATTGTGTTCATATCTGCTTGAGGTGACGAGGTGGATATATGGTATGGCTGATCTCGTCTTGAATTTATAATAGGGTGGTTGGTGGGAACGATAGGAGGGGATCTTAGATGTATCATATGCGGACTTATCCTACTTGTCTGTTGTTGTTGTTGTTGTTGTTGCACTGGACTACTGGGCCATGTAAACCCGCATACCCGTGTTGGGCTTGCCCATCCCGTGCTGCCTGTATAGGAGGATGGCTGTGTGATGCCAGTATCGTCAGGTGTACTTACGGTAGAATTCAGGTCATATTTTTGTTCTGGTACGTCTTGTAAAGCATAGTTCCATAATTGCCTACGATCAGCAAAATCCACACCAATCGTCGTACCTATTGCGGCCAAACTGTTGTAAGGGGGGATATCGAGCATACTATCGAGATAATCAAATGAAGGTACAACAGGCAGCAAATCAGCTTGATAAGGATCTATGGTGCGATGTTGGCTATAGGCTTCTTGTTGTAAAGACGCTGGGTGCATTGCAGTAGTCTCACCATGATGAAACTGGGTGTCATAATGGGTATCAGATAAAGGTTGAGAGTTATCGGTATACAATGTTGCAGAGGAGCTTGAGTGGACGGATGAACGACTTGAATGATTAATTTCTCGAGATGACTCGCAAATGACTGGAAGATGAGCAAGCACTGCTGAACATTCGGGAATAACAGCCTGTTTCTGAAAGTTTCGTAAAATCTTGACACATTGGTTAAAGAAACCCCAGGATTGACGCGAGATTTCCGGATCTGGATCATTCAAATAAAGCGAGTGAACGCGAATAGCGCAAATGATAGCATGGGCGAGGAATTCATACCGGATTACGAGACAAGGGTCATCGCAAAGAACATCTACGCTTTTCGTAAGCAATGAGGCATAGATTCTTTGCTCCAGTGATTTTCGGTGAAAGCTCTTGGGGACACAGAAGAAAGTTTCTACCAACATGAAGTAATACACCGTGTTTAAATAGGAAATGACACTAGATTTCTTGGGCTCGTTGATGACTTGCTCAACAGTGGCAAATTGGGCTAGACCCCAAAGCTCTGGCGACTCTAGATTTGCTCTCCATTGAAATATCCTTTGTCGATACTGTTCCACCTGCTCAAATAATCGATTGTCAGGTATATCTTGTCGAATCGTAAAGGAAGCGCGAATCTGAAGTCCTTCTTCACCAATGATAGCGAGTCTAATTTTTTGTTTATAGACCATCACAATCCATTGTTCTTCATCATCATCACCCGGTAAAAATTGAGGTAAGGAAGTTCTTATTAAAGAAGAAGGAATAGACCATAGCCTTTCCCATTCGGTACTTTGCATTTTATCAAGACAGTAACAAGACCAAAAAACTCTTCTACAGAATTCAGCACCTTCCAAAGAAATGTTGGCACGCGTATGTGGGGTATCTAGATTCAAACCAAGCTCAAGACACATGCGAAAAGCCATGCCACTGTACATCCAAGAACGGCAATGTTGGTCGGACATGTTATGTTTGGATTTTGTCGGAAGAGGTTCGTACAGTGCCAAGAGACAGAGTGCAGCAACTGTACTCACGCGAGGCGTATCAAGAAAATCGTCTAGTAATCTCTTGGCGCGATTGTAAAATACGATAGCCTTGGGGACCTCTGGTAAAGTTGAGAGACCGCAGACGGTGCAGTAAATGGCATTTAATAACAATGGTGTGATAACTGGCCCTTTAGTACGTAGATGTTCGTAGAATAAACGCTTAGGAATCATGGGTGTAACCTTGTATTTGGTCTTGAAAAATAAATCAATTAGATGCATTTGTATTTCACTAGAGGGCATTTCAATAGGGTATGCGTATTTTTGTGGCAAAGGGGGCTCATCTCTCCAGCGAACAAGATTACCAAATGTGGGATACCCGTTCAGTACCTGATTAGGCTTGTCTTTCTCCAGGTTTTCAGATGCATTGCTGGTCCAGGAATCGTTTTGCATTGGTTTTGTGTTATTGACTGTTTTTTTCGTGCGAGAGAACAAAATAGAGTCATCATCGGATTCAATATAGCTATCGTTATCTTCACTGGCACCACTTTCTGTTGTTCCTTCTAGTACTGAAGAATCTGGATTCGATGATTGACAAACACGACCGCGAGCTAAAAATAATTGTGAGTTAAAATTTTTTTTATTGGCTAACTTTTTTTATTTTACCTTTGCACTATTATGAGAGAAATCAAAAATGGAATTTTAAAAATATTTTAGTACATGATGCCAAGCAAAAAAAAGAAGATTGATTTAATCTAACCTGCATACAAGGTCGCAATCCGTCACACTGCAATTAGAATTGTTGAATTGTTAGTCAAGAGTGATACAGATTGTCGAATTTGTTGTGCAAACCTTTATTTTCTTACTACGACAAACATAACAGGCATGTCCAACCTTGAGTCGTTTATATTTAAGTTCTTGCTTGGATTTTCCCATGTTGGTTTTTTAAAAGTTGCTGACGTAAAAAAGAAAAATTTGAAAATTTGTATATGTATAAAAAAAAAAAAAAAAAAAAAAAAAGTAAAAGAATAGAAATAGAAAAAAGTGTCGAATTTTAAATCATATTTATTTCATCTCCAGGAAAATCGAGGCCATGTGTCACCTTACTTTTGTGTAAACATTTAAACTAACTCGATTGGTAATATTTAATCCCAAATATGTACATATATAATTTTGACATATTTCATCCATTCGATGTAATTCAATTTAATATATAATAATAATAATAATAATAAAAAATTTCTATTTTCTCGTCTTTGATTATTAAAAAGAAACCAGGCAATTTTGAGCCACAAACTTTTTTTCTTTTTTTAAAACTCCAAATATAGACATTCGCAGTTATCAAAAATAGCATTCAAGAAGTACAATGGAAGAGAGCTTTTTTTATTGCAATGGTCTATTCTAGATAACATATTATGCTTGTTCATATTATTTTACCGAATAATGTGAGGATGACATACATGATTATGTGGTTGGAGCATAAACTTTTTGCTTGTTCATTATGAATTTATAAGCAAAATTTTGACAGCTGAGAATAACCTCCACCCTTTTTTTTTTGAGCTCCGGTAATTGGGTTTTGCCGACATGTGAACGGTACAATAAATTGCCTTTCCGTTCTGTGGCTGTAAGGAAGCTCAGCGGAACCTTAGTAAGGCCAATCATTGTCACGGGCATATTTATCCTACCGGACAATAAAATTTGAGCGGATATGACTGGAGCCGGGAAGGGTGAATCTGTCAACGAAAAATTGACATTAGTCTTCAGCCGGCTTAGCAATAGCCTTTTACTTTTTTAAATGATAATATTTCACAATGATTAAGCTTCAATGGCATCGTAACTTCTAAATACTTGGTTATCATACCGCTAACATAAGAAATTTCTTGTAAAGCTTAAAAATACTATTATATAAAGTAGCTACAAGACATTTAAGTTTATTGATTTGATAAGCATGCTATGCTGATAAAGACGAATCTTAAAATGCAAATTTGGTAATGATGATGCTGAAGCGATCGAAATTAGTCTTATCTTTTAATTAAATAATCTTACCTCGCTTAAAATCTTTTATTCTGGCTGGTAATGATATTTATTAAATATTATTATTTTACCAATCCGTTGGTGCTGAAACAGGCCAGCATCCTCTTCTTTAGCCCAAAACGTTATTTTCATTTGTTAAATTCCTTTTTTGTCGAATAAAACATTTAAAACTCAAATCACAATGTCCGAGAAAAATGTTTCACCAATTTTATGCACAGGCACCTGCGCGTCCTTCTAAATACGGTACTCCAGCTAAATACATTTTTTTTTTTCGTTTCTGACAAATGTTCGTTTTGGACAAATTACAAGTCCGTTTTATAATTGGCTCAAATTTCGCTTTTGTAATGACGTCCATACCGTTTGTTATTACATAAATTTGTTTTAATCTTATAATTATTTACCCTGAAATCAGATAACCTGCTCCTGTTGTTGCCCAGATAGAACCAAAAATGGCGGAGACATCAGTAAAGGATTTACCATTGGTGTAAGCGCAGATAACGGGAAGATAGACATTGCTGACATTTGACAACGAGCATTGCTAAGGCAAGAGAGGGTACGTCATGCTTTTACGGCTTATATAATTATATTCTCTTTGTTTCATCACTGTTAATAAATGATGCTATTAAAGTGACTAAGAATCAATGGAGACCGTTTATATCTTCTGGATTTGCAGTTTTTCGTCTACCATCTGTATATATCTAGATTTCTTGAGGACAATGCATTGTCAAAGGGCATGCGAGTCTAACTATTAAGATAGTTGATTGTTAGCATAAATTATTTTACCTCGTGATCTTTGCAACGGTGATCTGTTTACATCATGTATTGTATCTCAAACTTTCAAACAGGGATATTTCATCGGGTTATGTAAGCTATACTGGCAGGTTTATCTATATGTCGATTACGTTTAACTTTAGTGGAATAAACGCTTCTTATACATTATGCTGTTTTACTTTACGACCTGATTTAAAATTCACATTTTAATATAAATGTTTAGGCAAATATATGTCATTACTAGTGATACTCACTCAGGATCACTATATCATTTAGTATGCCCAATTCCTTCTCTCGTGCTTCGTCTTTGTACTATGTTAACAAATAGTTTATGTCGCATTCCAATTCTTCATTCACCAGACTTAAATGATAATTTCAAAGTGTTATTTTCTTGCAATACCCAGTTTAGAACATGACCATAATTGTTTAAGATCCACCTTTTACTCATGAAAATATCTACACACATGTGCGTCGCTTATTTTTTCTTTAGCTATTGGAACCAGAAATCCATAGTCTCTGTTCTGCCTTTCTTCCTTGCTACACAATCTTGATTTTCATTTAATATTTTTTTACATTTTGATCTAATATTTTAAAAATGGTGTACTTAATAAAGCAGCCTTTAGAAGTAACTAAAAACATACCTTGAGTGGCTGTGTAACTGTACTAATATCTGTAATTATTATTTTTTGAGGTTGTAGGATCCAGTTGTAATATCGGATTAGGTTCCGATGGATCTCTTATCTGGTTTACAAACAAAGAGCAGCGAATCCTGTATTTTTGGTTTATTCCATTAGGAGATGGTAACGTGACTGAGGGGCTACGGTGGTATTGTAGGCACCCATCATGTAAGTTTCATAAAGAAGCCATATGCCAGACTCCTATCACCTTATACATCTGCTTTCACATGTTAAAAGTTGCATCCATAGCTGACCACCTGTAAATCGTGACGTTTATTTTGATTGACTAGAGAGATTAGATAGCTTGTAAATAAGTGATGAATAAACATGCTATTTACTTCTGACATTTAATACATTGGCAAATTCATAAGGCTATCACCTTCTAGTATACGCCGTTTCAGGTACATCATATATCAATCTCTCTGGTTATCATTTCAGGATGTATAGTAATATCACAAGATGCATCAAATGGAAAGAGCCAAAGACTTGAGATTTAGACTAAAGGGGATTGAAGCTTTTATATATGAAAAAAAAATAAAAATAAAAAAATAGAGGTAAACTCTTGTTATAATTTTAACGGGGCATTACAAGTAATACGCTTTGGTATATAGAAAGGATGGATGAAAAGCAAAGGGAAATGTATAAGAAAGAGTTAAATATCATCATAATAATAGTGATATTTTATGCCCTGGATCTCGATGGACCTGCCGAATCGTCGTCTTGGCTTAGATCAATAGCAACAATTTTTTTTGCTCTAAAACCAAAAGGTAAGATATTTATTAACAATCATCTTTTTTGTTTGTTGCTCACCTTTCACCTTCGCCATTCTCATTGCTGTTGTTTTTCCTCTTTCGGGAATTAGAAGATCTAAACAGATTATCATTGGTCGGTCATATTATATAATTACATAAATTCCTTTTTGGCTTACTGTGCTACGTGTTCTTCCACAAAGAAGTCTAAACTATCTTCACCATCCACATAATCATCTGTTAAATTTCTATGATAGAGAGGAGAAGGTAAAAAGATTTAGGTAAAGTCGTATAAACATTCAAAGGGATCTTTATATTTACACTGTATCGCTTTCTCCATCACTATCGTCCAGGATGATAACCTTCTTTTCAGGTTGTTCTGCAGGGCTGGTTGCACTTGTAGGTGTTGCTGGAGATGATGTGTTATCTCCCTTGAGGCGTTGATTTAATTCCTCAATCTTTGCCTTTAAAATTTCATTATCTCTTGTTTGCATTCCTAATCGTTTGACAGATGCTTCGGTTTCCCTAATTTTAAAAGAGAAAGAAAAGTGAGCATACTGCGACACATATATAAGAGGTGGATCTTACTTTATTGCCTTGAGTTGGCGTGCACGAAGAGCTCCAACATGAATTAAAAGTTCTCTTGACGATAAATGTTGAATGCTTTGCAAGTACTGTTGCATCGGTTCCTCTGACAAGTCATCATCCAGTTCCGCAACTCTAAAACACAGATATAAAAAATTGTCAAAACAAATGAAAACGTAGGTATAATTTCCCATACTTTCTAATAATTTTGATATATCGTCTTTGAGTTCGTGCTTGTTCAAGACTATCACGGAGACGTTGTATTTCTACTCTGTTGGCTTCTAATTCTTTGTGTAAGCTGCTCATACTTGTCTCCAGTCCTACTTTGTCTTGCTGTAGCCTTCGTACTGTCATTGTTAATTCCAATGAGACCACTTCAGAGTGATCGACTGCAGCTGCTGAGGGTGCATCGTTTGTTGAAAGATAAATGGGTGAAATTATTTTGTTCTTGGAGATTCTTTTTTTGCAGAGTGGACATACTTGGGCGGACTTGCTCGCTATCCATTGAGTAATACTAGACGAACACAAAAAAAAAAAAAAAAAAAAAAAAAATAAGTTTCCATTCGTTACTTTTTCTTTCTACGCATGCTGTACCATGATTTGTGGAAGGTGTGACCACAACCTAAACAAGCGGGCATGTCATTGTCTTTGACAATTGGATCATAACAGATAGTGCAGTGGTAGGACATTTTAAAACGTTTTTTAATGAAAAAAAAAAGAAAAAAGATTTATTTCTTCACGCTTTGCGCGTGGGCATGTATAACCAAAATTAAATAAAAAAGACCGTCCAAAACCCACCCAACTAACGTGACTTTTTATGGGAGTGAACATGCTTTTACAAAGATGCTATGACATACATAAGGATAACCTGAACGCCACATCTGCCCTTCTGCCAATTCCTCGCTCCCGTTCATATTAAAATTCACAGTCAGAATTGATCCAAGACATCGCATCTTTTATGTCCAGATTTTTATGGATGAAGACTAAAACCTGTCTCATGTACATAAGTTATTCTACTATTGCGTAGTGTGACTAAAGAAGTATAGGATAAGCTTTATCAAATATGATCGAAATCCCCCTGTACATTTTCCGTCATTCAGCTACGAGTAGTTAACTTTGGCATCGTCAAGACTATACAGGCTTGTCACATTTTAAATTTTTGGTTGATCTGACTGTAATGAACAGCCTACAATGGTATATTTTTCTGGAATCTTCTTACTCAATTGTTTTTAAATGATCAATTAATGAGATCAACCAGAGTACGGTCACGAATTTACCGGCATAGGCCACTCTTTTTTGTAAATACTATGAAATTGTTTCAGCCACATATATACACACTTGCCTAAATGGCTACTCTTTATACGTCTTGCATGCATCGTTTTAAAAGAAACGTTCTAGAAAATGACAGTTATAGTGTCACACAAGCATATTAAAGTAAGGTTAAATCTCCCAAGAGAAAACTGCTTTATACCCCCGATCATCACTTTATAGCCTTTACAAAAAAAAAAAAGTTGAAGTGTATCAATGGTTTTTTTACATGATAAAATACACGGACATCTTCATTTGTAAAGACAATTTAATCCTACCAGTTCTCTCTTTTGTATAAGTAGTTTTTTTTTTTCACAGTATCCTAACCTGAGTGGACCCAGGATACTGCTCTAAAAACGGACGAAATTATGTATTGTGGTACGTAACATTGATAATGCAACACTTTTGCTAAAGTGAGGTTGTGACATATAAAAACAGCAGTCCCTTTCTTCACCAAAAACGACTCCGAATTTTTTTTTTGGTCTCTCTCTAATTTTCTTCTCTAATGTCCAGTAAAAGCAACCAGCGTGGAGATAAAGTAGTAAAGGGAGGAAAGAGCGACACACTTGTCCAAAAGAGTACTGTCAATAGTTTACTTAACCGAGCCATCAAGTTTCGAAAATCTCGTTATGTCGATCAAAAGTTTGAATTATTCAAGAAAAAGTTTGCACCTGTCAATGGTACTTCGGGTGTAGTTCATGCTACCTCTGCCTATGATAATATATCGGGCGGCGGTGGCGGTGACAATATTGCCGACAAGATTGACGCCAACGGGTTTGAAAGTCCTGCAAAAGTACTTTATTCAAAAGATAAACTCAATCAGGGTTGGAATGATATTCACCCTGTTGGATCAGGTTTAAAAGATCTCGGCCATCTTTCTTCATTGAATGCTGTGCTTCAAGTTTTGACTTATACACCTGCCTTGGCCAATTATTTGTTGGAAAGAAAGCATAGCGCCAACTGTGAGTTTTATTTTCTAATGATGTTTTTTTTTTGCTTCACTAACATAGCAACAAAAATCAGGTACTGTTCAGGATTACTGTTTCGTATGTGCTGTAGAGGAACATGTTCGATCAGCATTAAAGGGCTCGCCCTATGCTCTCCAACCTCGTGTATTTGTAGGAAAATTAAAAAGTATGTGTTCTTTTTTTTTCCAAACAAAAATGTTGTACACGGTATAGAATACTTATGTCGGTTTTATTAGAAATGAAGAATGGAACACCGAAAGATGCCTATGATGTTTGGACGTATTTCATGGAACAAATGCAGTCATTTTTATTATCAGAAAAAACATCCAAAGACAAACTTGTAGCAGAAACTACAGCATTATACCAAATCTTTGGTGGTCATATTCAAAAGCATCTTGAATGTCCTGCTTGTAACACACCTGAAAACACGTACGATTCCTTCCTTCACTTAAGCTTGGATCTCACACAATGTAGCTCCGTCGAAAGGTGTTTGACAAGACATTTTAAAGCTCAAGTGGCCGAATTCAAAGAATGTTTAAGGTGAGTCTTAATGACAATCTATTATTTTTATCCACATTCTACTGACATTACGAAACCCCTTTTCTTTTCTAGCTGTCAGAATGAGGGTGAATTGACTGGAAAAAAATCCGTATATAGACCACCCATGTCGCTTGCTATTCAATTAAAGAGATTTAATCAAGATAGAGATACTACCAAAATTAACAAAGTAGTCAAATTTGACGAAACAATGGATATCAGTCGTATCATCACACCCTCTGAAAAAGACAAGGTGAACTTGAAATATAATCTGTATTCAATCATTGTTCATACCGGCGATACAATCAACAGTGGGCATTACATGACCTATGTAAAGAGTTCCAACGGTATTTGGTACTGCATGGATAACGAGAATGTGCAAGTAGCCAGTTTAAAAAGATTAATGGAAGAGAAGCCATACATGCTCTTTTACACTATACCACCCAAGGTTGAAAAGAAGGAGAAGAAAACTCCTGTTCGTGTCGAAAAGAAGGCTGACATCCCAGTAGAAGCGGAAAAGGAGGAGATAACTGAACAAGAAGAGGAAGAGGAAGAGGAAGAGGAGGTTATGCTCGAACAGGTTGACGAAGAGGAAGAAGAAAAGGAATTAGAAAAAGAGAAATTGCGTCTAGCTCTGGAAGAAGCCTCTACCAAAGAAAAGGCAGAAAATGCAGCAGCTATTGTAGTTTCACATGACGAAAATATGAAATCCAAGCGTGATAAACTTGGTGCGTTAATCGAAAAGGAAAGTTTACAAAGTAAAAGTGCGCAAGTCAAGGACGATTTATTGGCTAAATTACAGAGTAATCAATACGAAGATAATATCAGTACTTGGGACGAGGATGTGGGAGCCACTGTAGAACAAAGAAAGTCTGTCTTGAAGCAATTCAAACAAAAAAGAAAGAGAGTTGACATTTATGATCTTGATTATGATCGCGGTAAAGTCAAGAAGATTAAAAATAAGCAAGATGATAAATTCGACAAGCCAAATCTATTCCAAATCACTGCAGAAAAGACTGCAGATAGAATTAAGAAAAACAAGGGTAAGCGTGTTGGCAAGACATAAAAAGGGGTGCTGGATTTTCCACCTCAATGTTAATTAGGCCCAATAAGCAATTTTGGATATTTTCTTCTACAAAAAAATAAAGTTTTCTTTTTTATTGGCGGAATAGAGTATTTCACCAATCCTTTTATTCACTAAACTAAGGTTTTGCATTGACAGAGTTTTAATGAAAGAAAGACTCAAACAAGATTTGATGTCTTTGTGCATAATCACATCTACACACAAAATCTTCAAAAAGGAATCATAGACAATTGACAGAACAAAGAATGTCGAGCATATTACTTTTACCTCTATTGTAAATAAAAGTTCTATAGCTATTTCAGTCATGTCTGCATCCTAGATACAGCCTGTAGTGCCGGTAACTGAATTTAGGACGTGACTGCCTTTATCCGACTAAAATGTCTGCCCGCACAAATTTATTTTCATGTTTTTGCTTTCTTCTTTCTTCTTTTTTTTTAAAAAAAACACTCTTTTTTTCCTTTCACATTACTGTTTAAGTTTTATTCATGGAGGAAGCAACGTCGGTTGGTACTGGCAACAGTCTAATTAGGCAATGTATATACATACTTGACGCCATTTATACAAACTACGACTTTATGGACTTTATTACGACTTTACACCTTATTGAAGTGAACTTGTTTGAAAACGTTTATGACAGTCTCGAATCGTTCAAAAGTGCAGTATTATCAATTCCTCAAATTACTGCGGAATTTATTGATGGAATTGACTTGAGGTAGTGACATAAAAACTATTTGTTTCTTGCTTTAAACAGGGCTTTTTTTTTAAATTTTTATTTTATTTCATTGTAGTGCTCAAACCAAAGTCCCAGAAGAATATTGTACAACGCCAATATATTCTTCCATTCAATGTCGCAAAGAAAGGTAATGCAAATATGAACAAAAGTTTATTTAAAAACGCAATCCGATACCAACACTTTTTATATTTGAAAATAGCTTGATGTATTCTGTAAATATTAAAACACATCAGGAAATTCATTTTCCACTTCACGACGCAATTAAGCAACCTTCCAAGTTACCAACGCATCGTTTACATATTATCAAAAACAGTCATTTCTTGCTCGATGCCAGAGATCACATCAGCAACTTTCTCGCTTTATTTTTCGATGTTGAACTCATGGAATCCACCGAAAACCCAAGCTTCTCACATATCAAGGCCAATGTGGCTATTGTTCACCCTTTGGGGGAGTGGCATGAAAGCCGCTTGGAAGAGTTTGAAGGCTGGATCAAAGTTAAAATAGCCTTTACAAATTCTATAAATACAGTTATACCCACTAAATTAGCACATCGATTATTTGAAAGGAAAGAACAGATAGCCCGTAAAGTCAGTCTGAAACCAGCTAAAGATGTCACAACAGCAGCAGATAGCGAATTAACACGTCAATTTGTACATAACATTACCGGCTCGCGTGTCGATCGATTCGAATCTTGCTATAATGTTACTATTCAAAACCTGTTAAATGTACAAAGCAAATATACCCCTCCTACTTCCACAAGGTACTTTTTTTTTTAAAGAAAGAAAAGCAGCATATGATATGTTATGTTGACTAAGCTTTTTACATCTTTTTTCTATATATTTAATATTATCTTTATACTTTGCTATAGTGATAAATCTCCCATCACAGCATTACCGAACTTATATCAATCTGCATCAAACATGCTCAGGTAAAAATAAAAAATTTAACTTGCTGCGCTAGTAAAAATTAATTTGTCTTCCTCTTTTTTTTTCTTTCTTTTTTTAGTTTGCTTACAGATACAAAATCAAAAGAAATTAAAAACATGGACGCTGTTCCCAAGGTCCAAGTACATGATACACAACCTTCCGAGATACATAGTACAGAACCTTCATTTGAAAAACACTGGAAAAGACTTGCGAAGTGTAAGTTATGAGACAGAAATAACATGTTATATTTTATTTTTATTTTTCTTTAAAAAAAAAAACGAATGTTTAACTCTTCTTCCTATAGTTTGTCATGAAAAGAATTCGTATATTGTATCGAAAATCAAGTACGATTCATATTTTAAGCGAGCGATTGATGCCGAGGGTTACTTTAAGCATGTTTATTTCACTCAAGATAATGACGTACTTCAAGTCTTCCGACGATCCACAGCGTCCCAACGAGTGGTGGAAATAGCCAGTTTATTGGCGCTCAAGGACAAAGAACATATCGGACAAATCAAAGATATCATTCATGACGAAGCCGGAAAGGAAATGATTGGTTTAACTATGGAGCGATATGACATGACCTTGAAATCCTACTTGAAATCACATGCTCATCAGCGACTTACGGCCAACCAACGCATGGATATCATTGTTCAAATGTTGAAGTCTTTACAAGAAGCACACCAACTAGGAATAGCCCACCGTGATCTATCTTCGGTTAACTTTATGGTCAATGCAAAAACACCCAATGGCCAGCCTCATTTGTACTTGATTGATTTCGGTAAAGCCGTCTTTTTTTCACCGCGTGATGCCAAAAAATGGTGGGTCGACTGCAACGACAACAGCCTATACAAGGATGAAGTCAAACCTGCCACCAAGGAAGAACTCGCTGTCTGGTGTAAAAATCTGCCTTTTGTCATGGCTCGTCCTGACCATGGCTACCGATTTTACAGATCTATACAAACACTTCCCCGAAACAATAAGGACCATTCCCTTTTACCTTACTTGATAGATCCTGCGGCAGAGGACATTTATTCTTTGGGTACAATGGTCTGGAAAATATTCTTGGGTATCGAACCTTGGCCTGGTGTATTCGATACTGACTTGAAAGGTTTGCGTGACACTGTTAGTCGAGATTATTACATCGATCAAGTACTCGACCGTGCCATGCCTGGTCCCATGAGCAAAACCTTCTTGCAAATGTTTTTGAGGGTACAACCTCAACATCGTAAATCTGCAGCTGAAATCTTGTTGTGGGTCCAACAAGATGATGTAAAAGCAGCATTGTTAGAAGAGTGGGGATGCGAAGACGGGTCCAGAAGAGCTGCACGAAATAACAATTTCTGCAAAGCCAACGCCCCTGAACCTGTTGTCAAAAAGCAAGCAAGAAAGGTGACAACATTACCAGCACCTAAGCCAGCACCAAAGCCAGTAACAGCAAGGTCTTCAACAGCAAAGCCAGCACCTGTAAGACCAGCAGGGAAGCCATCATCACAACCAAGGAATGTGGACAAGATCACTGGGAGGGCTTGTTTCCCATCCGGGTTACCTATTGGCAGACCACCAAGCAAACCTCCAGTCCCAAAGCCAGAAAAGACGGATAGAATTATCATCAGAGATGGAATCAAGTACTTTTCGAAATCTGGCGTACCAGTGGGTCGACCCAAACGAAAGGTGCCCGAAGAAAAGGAAGAGTCTTCTGCAAAGAAGGTCAATCCTTATTACACCTATGTCAAGACAGGTAGACCAAGAGGCAGGCCAAAGAAAGCTGCTCGTGGTCAAAAGGCCAACATCATCTATCCTGTGGAAATGCAGCAGCTCATGCCAAAAGTAAGTCTTGATCTGATCCAGGAAGACAAGACAATCAAACAATATAAGGCTGAGCCTCTTATTATAAAATTACCATCAAATTCATCGCAGGCAGATAATTTGTTACATTCACCTATATTATCACCTGAACCACCAATAATTTCCCGTCCTCCTTCTCTGTCACCTTTACCCGACCACTCACGACAATCCTCCCAATCCACATTTTTATCGCTATCTCCCGTCAGCAATGAAAATGTGGAGGAAGGGGGTGCGTCTCTCAAGAGAAAGTTTGAGGACGACGAGGATGAGCCAGCCAGCCCTAAAAGGATCCATCTTGACCATCCACAAGAAGAAAAACCACAAGAACCACCAAAGGCACAACGCATTGACACCACAGATGAATTTGACCGTGCCTTGTATTACATTCTTCGTGATCTTGGTCTTGACAAGTTGTAATTCCCTCCCTCCCTCCCTCCCTCCCTCCCCTCATATCCCCCCTTCATAATAAAGTTTTTCATCAAAATTTGTGCCAAATTATCTTGGTTTATTGTTCACATCAAGGCTTTCTTCAGTTGATCTAATGCTTTATCTACAGATTTACTAAGTTGCATATATTAGTGTATGGTCTCTCTTTAACATTTTTTTTTTCTTAGTTTTACATTTGCCGAGACAGTTCCTGGAGTTGAGATAAATCTTTATCAAGTTCATCGCAATGGGTAATGAGCTCAATAGACATTTTTGTACTGGCGTCAATTTCCTCTGATAGGTTTTTTACAGATAACTTGTACACTTTTCCCGCTTCGGCTGTTGATTGGGACATCTATAAAATAAATTATTGAGTCTTCTTCAATTGCATAAATGTTTAAACAGTTTTTTTACGTGTTTCATTTGGTGTTGAATAGACACGACATGATCTGCAAGCTGATGTGATAATTCGATCGATTTTGTTTGAAGGGATTGGTATAATGCCAAGTTTGCTTGACTGCTTGGTTCTTCTGACATGGCTGTAAAGAAAAACAAAAACAAAAAAGGATACTTTAAGTACCGTCGCTTATTAGCATAACGATTAATTTTTTGTTTGTTTGTGTAGCAATCACCTACAGTCTTATTTAATCTAATAATCGTGTACACAAGTACTGCAAGTATTGGATTGATCACTATATTTGAAGCAGCATCCTTACCACCAAAAGGTGTCCTGGTTGATCGTTTTTGAATTATTGCTAATGGATCAACCCATCATCTGGTTCAGCAACCAAAACTACTGACCTTAACTCGACGGTATTGCATTTTATGCAAATACTCCATAGTGATATATGCAAAATTTCCTGGAAATTTGATGGGAAGCTTCCCAAAAGGATGAGACAACTGATGTATCACAGCATTGTAAGCAATGTATAACATCTTTATATTATGTAACACATGGACTAGAATAACCTACTTATGAACAACGCCTTCTGGCACCTATGCTGCTATGACGAAATCCTAGGAAGATGATGTGGACAAACATCCAATGATATACCGTATATTCTTGAAAACAATGACAGGTTTATTCAAGAATTCTTTACTTAACATCCAGAGTAAATGTTTACCCATCCACTCTTCCAGCCACGTAAAAGCCAATGTATTTGGGTTACCAAGTTGACGTGCCACGACCTTTTATTAAAATGGGAAAGGATGAAATCCCCGAGATTGTCTAGGAGAGATGGGACTAGTGTCATTAGTATTCTACTGCCACCGCTTGTTTATATTGTCTGGCTTCATTTTCATCAGGAGATTCTATGTGATTTGTGGGCAGTTCAATCTATCCTTTAAGTTTTTCTTATTAACTCAATATCTTCGTTACTGTCAGAAGAGAGAGGCTGTGAATAAAGATCACGGTTGTGCAGACAGCTTACTTGAGTTTCCTTCTGATTTGAAGTGATTCTTTGATACTTGCTTTAGACCCGACATATCTTTTATTATCTTGGACATAAACTATTTAACTCTTCTTGGGGGTAAAAGTCTGCCCGTTTGTAGACTTGTTTATGTTATTATTGCCAATTCTCCATTGGCATATACACTATTAAACGTGCGGCAGATACGTCTAACTGTGATTGAATATTTTACCGTTACCCAATGTTTTTTTAAGTATCTGGGTCAGACAATGGAATCGCGTGGTACAGAATTACTTCATGTGTAACAGGTACCTGATGATGAAAATGTAGCAGAGAGAGAAATATTAAAACAAGCACTGATGATAGGTCACAATAGTTGGTTTAGTCTATTTGAACCTTATATGGGAAAAGATAAAGGCATTCTATTTGTATACTCAGAAAATATGGTGTTGCAATGTACTCACTATTTTTGCTGATAGGAATACATTTCCTGGTACTGGGGTTATTTGTTATTTTGAGAGCCAAAAAAAAAAAAAAAAAAAAAAAAAAAAAGGATTAATAATTCATAATAGGAGGGGGAGGGGGACCCTGAATAACAATAGAGTATCATTATACCTTAAAGTAGTAACCCGCAGTAATTTCATGACAAATTTGCTGGACAACGCACGTACCTTCCAGAAAGAAAAAAAGAGAATAAAAAAAGATAATTGGTTCTAGATTTAAACACCGTTGCTAGTAAGCACACTGAAAATTGCGGGAACCTTCCATTGTCATATTCCCAAAATTCATATAAATATGACATGTATATTTTTGTTTCTTCATATTAATTATAATTTTATATTTTTATAAACAATACCATGTATCCTATCTACATTCAAAGCAACCAATTATCCTTGAACGATTACTTGCAAGTTCAAGCCTTACTTTCTCAACGCAAGCATTTAGAAGAGCAACGTCGTATCCAAAAGGCCAGCCATCGACTCCAGGTGCTCACTGAACTTTACCGTCGCCGTGAATTAGAAGATAGAGCGATCGAAGCCTACTACCAAAACAAGAGAAAACAAGAATGGATGGCCCAGCAACAACAATTAGCACTCCAGCAACATTTGGAACGCCAGAAACAGTTGGAACGCCAACAACAATTGGAACGTCAACAACAATTGGAGCGACAACAACAGTTACATCAATATTATGCAGCATTACAAGAACAACAACAACAGATGCAGGATCAATACCTTCTTTGGGCAACTCAAAAATCGGCCCCTGCGGCTTGTTGTCAACCGGATGTGGCTGTGGCTATGCCTGTGGAGGAGCAAGCAGAGGAGTCTGAATCTGAAGCGGAAGATGAAGAATCTCACCGTGATCAATTGGCTCATCTTATAAAGCTAATTTTTGGAGTGGAGCAAGATGCTGCCGAGAGCCATGAGGAAGCCAAGGAAGATGAAGAGGAGTCTCAAGAAGAGGAAGATAACTACGAGGTAGAAGAAGTGGAATATGAACAAGATGCTGAAGAAAATGAACCAATGGTATTGGATGCTGACACTACAAAGGAAGATGATGATGATGAGGGTATACTTTTGGCCATGCAACATATCGATGACGATGAATCTATGGACGAAGACTTTGTTCATGTTCCTTCATTGGTGAATAAGACACAAGATATAGAGGACCTTGTGGATGAAATTCTTACTGGTACTGAGCATGACAACGAAGAGGCATTTACAAGTTTTGATAATGAAGACCCTGTCAAGATAGCAAAGTATGATGCCCTGGAACGTATTGAACAAGAGCTTGATGAGATCCAAAACCAACATGAAGACCATGTACTCCATGTGACGCTTGATTTCTCCGAACGTGCTGCATCGCCTGATACAATTATTACTGCCACGACTGCTGGAAACCGTGAATTTTTGAGCTACGAAGACCGTATTGTGAATCTTTTATTAAAACTGGATACGATTGAGGCTGATGGTGATGATCATATTAGAAATGAACGTAAATCACTCGTGAAGAAAGCTGAAGCAATGCTAACAAAGCTAGATGATATTAAACTTAAAGAATGGTCAAGACTTGAACATCATGATTAACTGATGTCTTTTTTTTTTTTGTAAATAATAATAAAGTGATGTAATTTTAGAAAAGATAACGGATAAAAGTTTGATGGGGGGTAGTGTAGGAGTTCCGAAAATACAGGTGCCAATTTCAGTAAATATAACCTAATATGGCATTATAATGAGCTCAGTCCATGCAATGTTACAAACGAGTAATATTGAGTATTTTTAGCACATTTTGTGTTTATGTATGTTTTGGAGGAGTTGGATTATGAAAAGGAGATATTTATATAACACCACATAACTGACTTTTAAAATAACACATTTATTCCAAGATGTAAGTATTGGGTAAGCTGTGAAAAAGATTCATATAGGGAAAATAAAGTCCAAAAGAGGGTATTATATTTGCCTTTTATGGGATTTAATTTTTCCAGAGTGAGTCATGATAGAGGGGGGAAAAGATGAACTCATACAGACAGCAGCACGTGGGACACAAGTTTAGTGCACAAATGGTACAATCAATGTAACGTGTGGACAAATAATAAAAAACCCGGAAAAAAGTCTTGGCAATTACTTGAATAAGTAAAAAAATATTTAGAATTAAATAGGTTTTATCAACCCCAAAGTAAATAATTTCACCTAAAATAGTAATCATCTCATGCGGTTGATGCTGATGTTTAATTTTTTGTGTTTAAAAATACTAGGTTCCTATTTTTTTTATTTTTTTTTATTTTTCTCTCTTCTTTTTTTCTTTTTTATCTTCAAAAAAAATAAATATTTTAGAATGCTAAAAGACAACTCATCGAGTAACTCTGGTGGATGCACCTATAGATTCATCGAAAGCTCTCTTGCTGCACTCTCCCCTGAAATGTAAATTTAAATCACTCTCTATTTTCTACATGTTATTTACTTTATTTGTTTAGTGACTATGATGTCGAGATTAGACAAGAACCAAAAAGAGCAAAAATTAGCTTAATCAACGAAAGAGGTAAAACCCAAAAAAAAAAAAAAAAAACTTTTTCCCTTCTTTCAAAAGATTAACCCCGTTGTATTAAAAAGACCGACGACCTATTGAACCCCCACCCATTTTGCAACTTCATTGGAAGAATTGCACCGAAGAAGAATTAAAGTAAAGCTATTCTTGTACTTGTAGATGTTTTGTTTATTAATACAAAAATCCATAGAAAATGCCTTCAAAGCCCCTTTTACTTTACAGTAGCCAATCTTGTTACTGAAAAAGATCCTGAAACTCCTTTATTACCAGCACAAAACTATTTGTCGGGCACGACCGTATCCTCTCTCTACAGACTCCGAGATGTCGATAATTCGGGTACACTACTTTGTATTGTAACAAACAAATTTAGTTTGTCTAACCCTTATTCATAAACAGATGGAGGCTTCTTTGTCTTCGGTGATCTTGCTGTTAAAAAAGAAGGAAAATTCAAATTAAGATTTTCCTTATTCGAAATCGTCGAGTATGTCATACACTCCCTCTGCAATTTAATTCGTAAAACTAATCGATTGAATTATTTTTAGAGGGCAAGTACAAAACCGTAGAACCATCTTATCAGACACCTTCACCGTCTTCTTACCCAAACATTTCCCCGGTCCCGTAGAACCTACATTCCTATCAAGGACATTTTCCGATCAAGGTGTCAAAATGAGAATACGCAAAGAACACAGACTTCAAACGTATGTTCTAAATAATATATATTCTCATTGATCACTAACATGATGTCTGTATCTAGTCGGAAAAGGAAAGCGGGATCAGCTGATACCCAGATAAAGAGATGTCAATCAAAAAGAGCTTGTAACGTCTTTGTCAACTCTCCTTCTTATGCTGAACCCTCCAACACTCAAAAAGACGTATTCTTTGGTCGTTGGCAATCAAGCTCAACTCATACTACTCCCCCACCTATAAATGAAGAATTTGATTATAAAGACTTGACAAACAAATTTCGATACCAACAACCAGATCCTGTACAACAGGCATTTCCTAGTCCAGAGAGTACAATACACACTCGTATCAAAAGTTGGTCTAGCAACCATTCGTCACCATGGACACCCATCATGAACAACATAGCAGAGTCACCGCCTCCTGTGACAATGCATTTACCACCACCCACAGTTTCCTTAGTGAAATACCACACATGCCCTGACAGCAGCAATCACACATATGATCGACTACCAACACCGCCCATTTCTATGGCAGATCTACATCAAAAAGCCACCGGGCATCATACCTGGGGTGCTCGACTACCCCCTTTAAGAGCCATTATGGATCATGTGCCTCAATCATCGCTACTACCTCTTTTGCTTCCTCCACCTTCACTCATGATAGATCAACAACGCCCTCGTTATCTATAATATATGTAAATAGTCTCCCCTCTTATTCTTTCCTTATTTCATGTTTCCTTTGTACAGCTATTTTTTCCTTCGTCGTTCTTTTTCATTCCTTTATCCTCCTATATATGCCCTAACCTCTTTTATCCATACTCATATAAAAAAATGCATTATTCTTATGACTCTTTTTTTTTTTTTTTCTGTATTACGATATACCACCAATAAATTGTGTCTTGATCATTGACAGTTATGATATACAAATGATTTTTTTTTTAAAGCGGTGATTACATTTGTTGCACGAAGCGCACTTTTAGGGGAGAAGAGTCGAATTTTAAAGTTAATGTAACCCGAAAACTCTTTTCACACACTTATACATCTATTTCTTTGTTTTGCTTTCCTTTCCTTCTCCTTTCTTCCTCTCTTTCTTTCTAATGTCTTTTCTTGCTACGCAATCTGTATTCAACAGGTTTTTAAACTCCCCTGCAGGACCAAAAACAATTCATTTTTGGGCACCTACGTTTAAATGGGTAACAAGATTCAATCGTGATCGTTTCATTTATTCTTACTAAAAACACCGCCAAATAATAATAATAAAAAAAAAGGGTATTGTTATTGCAGGATTAGGCGATTTAAAAAAACCAGCAGATCAATTAAGTATTTCTCAAAATCTATGTAAGCTATGACCCCTTATGAAACTTTATTTCCTTGAGAATGATATTCATTTATTTATTTACATACAAAAAAAAAAGCTTTATGTGTTACTGGGTTGATCTGGACTAGATATGGATTTGTAATTACACCCGTCAACCGTTTGGTTTCCTTGGTGAATTTCTCTGTCTTTTTAATAGGCACTACCCAGGTCTGCCGTATATTAAAGTAAATCAACACAGTTTCATTTATCTTTATCTTTCTGTTTCAATTGATATCATACTCTTTTTCATGTAGTCATCGTCAAACAGTTAAGGAGCCTATTCCCATGCCTGAAAAAGTCTTACTGTAAAACGCTTTTGTTCATGCCGATTAAAATACACACGCGTGTGATCGTGGGAAAAAAATATATAATAAAGGTGCCTTTTCTAATCTTATTGTTTCAAAGACAAAAGATTTCCTTAATTCAAAGTGGTGTATTGAACAAATGAATCATCGCGAAATTACTCTCCAGTTCGTCGGTTACAGGTGAATCCTCCTATATTTACCCCCATTATTTTGCAAGCAAGTCTCTGTAAATTGGAGAGAATTTTAGTATGCTCGTCCATTATGTTAAATTATCAGTGTGTTTTTTTGTGGAGGGATGATTCATGCGAACCGAATATCAAAGCCATTAAGTAAGTATGTTCTGATTGTACAGTCTCAACATCTGAGGCGATCATTTTGTATGAATCAATTATTACACTATCATACATGTTGTATGTCAAATTTTCTAGAGGCGAAAAAAAAGACAGCATTCCAGAACAGCTCAAAAGTTGCCATTGTCAGCACCAAACATCTCCGGAATAAGTTCATACATCACATAATACCTGCTATTTCGCTTTAAGCGCTAAAAAGATTAAAAATATTTTGTCACATAAAATTCTCCACTGCACAGCTACCACATGGGAGCCCCCCTTAGTATAAAAAAAAGAAGAGCTATTTCACACCTAATTTTATATTCTCTTGTATCGAAGGCTTAATTTTTGTTGTTGTAATTGTTAGTTTAATATGTTACAGATATACCACACATATGTGAATCATAATAAACACAAACTAAAAGATGGTGGATGATGTACAAGTGCTTGCCTGAAAAGTAAAAATTTGTTTTGACTTTTTAAAGAGTCATTCATATGCAATCGAATTAAGATTTCATGTCTCTGCGTACCTTGAGAATTAACTTTGATTTGCATAGACAATTTCGAACATCAAAATGTGACGTGCATTTTTTTTTCTCCATTATATTTTGACCCTCTTGTTTTTTTTTATTTTGACCCTTCAGACAACATAGTTTTAAAATGAGCGCAGGCATTTCTCGTAGTCGTTTAATGGAAGAAAGAAAGCAGTGGAGAAAAGACCATCCCCATGTAAATAAATTGAATATTATAATGTCAAAATAATAACGACATATACAAAAGAGGAACGCTTTTTACTAACATTACTTGTTAGGGTTTTTGGGCACGACCTGGAAAGAATGCGGATAATTCACTCGATTTAATGAACTGGACTTGTGGTATTCCTGGAAAAGACGATGTAAATGAGAACTGGAGACCAACAAAGATGCAGAAAAAATACTGACAAAAAAAGACGTGTTTTTGTAGACTCCTTGGGAAAAGGCCACTTATAAGCTTGTGATGATCTTTCCAGAAGGTAAACTATATTTGACTGCGCATTTTTAAAAAGTGTATGTCTTTAACCGTTCAGTCACTATATAGATTATCCTTCCAAACCACCCAAATGTAAATTCACGCCACCATTATTTCATCCCAACGTATATCCCTCTGGTACTGTTTGTTTATCAATTTTAAATGAAGATGAGGGATGGAAACCAGCAATTACAGTTAAACAGGTAAACATAGCAGCAACAGTAAATTTGTATCGAAAATCATCCGTGCTTATCTTTTTATTTTAGATTCTTCTTGGTGTTCAAGATTTATTAAACGATCCCAACCCTGAAAGTCCAGCTCAACAGGATGCCTACATGCTTTTCCGGTAAAAAAAAAAGAAAGATATAGATTAGATCTTGACAAGGATACGTTTACTAAATTAGAATATTTGGTTTGTAGTAAGGACAAGAAGGAATACGAGAGAAGAGTACGCGAACAAGCTGCTGCCAATAGAACATAAGGAGGGCAAAGCCCTTTTTTTACGTAATTCTAAATCAGCAGCCAATAACATGGATTGCCCTTTTTTTTTTTTTTGAGCACAAAATAAATATTTTTTTAAATTTCATTTGTCTTTTCTATAATTGTCATACTTTTTTGTAAGGAGTAAATGGCTTCTGTAAGTTCACCTTGTCTAATAAAACCACACAAATAAACAAGACATTAAAATTTTCTTTTTCTATAAGCATGGTGTACCTTCCTCTTCTAAAGAAAGGACTCGCCTCTCTTCACTTAATGTACCACCAAGTTATCGCTTGCCCATCATGGTCTTGAGATTATCATGCTTGATTCCGGCAGGCTTAGGTGTTTACAACAATATTACCAAAGCATACTCTCGAACTACACTGGACAGTACAGGCTTATTCCAAAATAAAAGTACACCACTAATCCACAATGTCGCTCTCGTTTGGGTATAGCAAAAGATCTACAATGTTTGTAATAACAACTTGTTAATTTAAAGACTTTGTCTCTCCTATTTTTTTTTTCCTATTAGTGTATTCTTGCAGGTTATTGGAGTTGGATTTTAACAACGAGTATGCTTCGAAGATGGTTACATCATTATGAAATTAGCAGTGCCATGGTTCGTTTAATTACGTTAACTGTCATTAACTGGTCAGTGTCCGCTTTTCTCAGTTCTCATTACGGTATTGATCAGCCCATTTGGAAGTGGATGACGATTTGCCTCATCTTTTTAATATCCAACGTATTGAAAATCACCTTGACATCCAATCCCAGATACTATTCTCACATTGAGGATATGCAAGAACCACGAGCCAATCATAAATCGACGTTTGTACGAGTGTTGATCCTGCCCTTAACCGTAGTGGTGTTCATTACCATGTTTGCCTCTCTTTATCAGGTAGGTCAAATGAGAAGACAGTCTTCTGTTTTGGCTGAGATGCGCATGGTAACACCGGTTGGACGACAACATCCTCAATTGGCTGAATCGGAAGTACGTGTCATGGTCTTTGTACTCTCGGCTTGGACACCCAAAAGTGTACAAAAGAGAAAGGTCTTTCGGGAGACGACCTTGAAGTTGATGCCAAAGGATAGTGAGCATATTTCATATTTTTATCGTTTCATCTTGGGTCAACCACCCAATGATCAAGTCAAGGAAAGTGTAGGTCCCCTAATTGACCAAGAAATTGAGGATTACGATGATATTTTATTATTGCCCTGTTCGGATTTGTATCAGGATTTAAGTCGAAAAGTGTATGCTGCTTTTGAATGGGCTGATGATTACAGCTTTGACTATTTTTTGAAAACGGATGACGATATTTTTGTTCGATGGGATACGGTGAGTAAGGAGATGGAATTGGCGGGACGTACACAACGTTATTGGAGAGGATTGGCATACTGGTAAGTGTGTGTGTCTGTGTGTAGATTTATGTAGCTGGTCTGATATCTTTTTTGCTAGGAATATACCACCAATTAGAAGTACTGAAAATAAGAACGGTGAACTCATCTATCCATTACCGATTTTCCCTCCTTATACTGCAGGTGCACTTTATATTCTCTCACGAGATGTGGTGCATTTAATTGCTGGTGTCAAAGGGCCTCGCATGTTTGTCAAAAATGAAGATCAAAATCTAGGTATCTGGTTATATCCGTTCAATATCCTACCCATCCATGATCGACGTATTCAACAAATAGATGTATGCGAAAACGATATGATTGGTAAACATTTTGGTGATTTTGGTGAAGCAGATGCGATTGGTGGAACCATGTATGATATGTTGGACAATTTAAAGAACGGTCGCAAGATGTGTGCAGGATTTAAAACGTCCGTGTGTGGTATGTGCTATCCTTGTCATGGTAAAGGAAATCATTGGAAAGAATGGAACTTTGATTGTGACGATAAAAAGGGGGTCACTTTACTGAATATGCCGCAGCTTACGGTCATGGAATAAATCAACTACCTACATAGACTATCTTCTCTGCCTGCCATAGATACCTCCCCCTCCTCCCTCCCCTTCCCCACATTTGTACAGTGACCTCCAGAAAAAAAAAAGGTATGGTCAGATTTTCTAAAAAGGCCATTACCTTATTTTTATATTTAGATTAGTGGGAGATTTACAAAAGAATATCACATAACATTACAATGTAATCTTGTTTTTTAAAATATATATATGATTCATTTTTGCCTACTTAATAATTAATATGATAGCCTTCATAACAACAGACATGAATTTGACCAAGTTGCGAATACCCAACACATTTTTTTTAGACTGCCGCAAAATTTTCAATAAATGCATGGATTGAGTGTTATAAAATTATAGCTAGATCAATTACAGGAATTAATATAAAGAGAAATGTCAATTAAGTGATCGCTCTTACCAGAAAACTAGGCTATGATTCAGGATTTCATTGAAAAAAAGAGAGCTTTCAATGACATTTTCTATAGATACGACGGCCATTGGCAAATATCTACAATAACCTTGGCAGCAGAACAGCAAATAAGAACTGTAACATCAGTTTTACATTTATTCGCGTTTGGTATTTCTCGGCTTCACCTTTTTTTTAAACCCATCCTTCCGGTTTTCTTGTTGAAACAGCCAATATCGTTAGTGAACTGAAGTAGGCTGTCCTCGACCAAAAAAAACATGCATCGACTCCTCTTCTATAAAGTCTGTTTTATGAATTCATGGTTGATCCTAAGGTCGTAGGCTCACTTGATTTGTAAGACGTCTCCATTCTTAGTCTGATATTTATTTTCATGCCATTTTAATTTGTACAAATTGAAACTTATTGATATATACTTTTTAGCTTAGTATTACAATTCCGGTATATAATAAACCCTAAGAACTGTACCATGAAGCTCGTTCAGGTCTCCCCCACCCCCGTCCATCCCCCCAAAATTCGGCTTGACACTTTATTTCTCACACACTTCTGCTTTAAACCCAGTTACACTTTTCTCTCTCACTCACATAAACATTAGAAAATGGCACAACGTCGAGTTGTCGTAACAGGGCTAGGTTTAGTTACACCACTTGGTGTTGGTGTCAAGACAGTTTGGAAGAACCTTTTAGAGGGACAATGTGGTATTGTTTCCTTGGCCGATGTCAAGGGGTTTGAAAAATTACCTGTTCGTATTGCTGCTTGTGTACCCCAAGGTCCAAAGGACCAAGGCCAATTTACTGCTAGCGAATGGCTCGACCGAGGCGTAAAGTATATTCTCTTTTTTTTTTTTGGACATTTATGCACGCGTATAACTTCAAGCTGACATATATGTATCTATTTTTAAAAAGGACGATCGAACTATGGCAAAGTTTTCGCATTATGCCATTGCTGCAGCACGTCAAGCCATTGCCGATGCCGAATGGACGCCAGAGACAGATCTTCAGAAACAACGCACGGTAATCAGGAACTTGGAACTTTTTAAAGTTCGCATATTAATATCTTGAAAAAAAAACAATAAGGGTGTGTGTATAGGTTCTGGAATGGGTAGTTTGGAAGATATCGTGGAGACATCTAGCGCTTATGCTACAGGAGTAAGCTGTCATGTAGACCTAATAAGTACCATCACATAAACTAATTAAAAAAGTGAACAGGGCTATAGAAAGGTATCACCTATGTTCGTACCCAAAATCCTGATCAATATGGCAGCAGGCCATCTTACCATGAAGTACGGATTCCAAGTAAGCCTTGATGACTAATAGACAATACTGGCAGATAGCTAAAATAAAAAAATGACATTTTAGGGGCCAAATCATGCTGTTTCTACAGCGTGTACAACAGGTGCGCATGCTATTGGCGATGCAATGAGATTTATTCAATATGGTGATGCAGACGTGATGGTAGCAGGCGGTACAGAATCCTCTGTACATCCATTAGCCATTGCAGGATTTGCACGCGCCAAATCTTTAGCCACGCAATACGAAGAGAACCCTACCGAGGCATCACGACCTTTTGATGGTGATAGATCTGGATTTGTGATGGGAGAAGGGTCTGGCGTGGTTGTGTTGGAGGAATACGAACATGCTAAAAAGAGAGGAGCCAAGATTTACGCTGAATTAAAAGGATATGGGTTATCCGGGGATGCACATCATATGACTTCACCACCTACCAATGGAGATGGAGCTATTCGATCCATGCGACGTGCTTTAGAAGTGGCTCAATTAAGTCCGGCAGAGATTGATTATGTGAATGCACATGCTACCAGTACACCGGTAGGCGATGCTGCCGAGAACAGAGCGATCAAAACCGTATTTGATGGTCATTGGGATAGATTAGCTGTGTCTTCCACAAAGGGAGCAACGGGTCATTTATTAGGTGCTGCTGGGGCTGTGGAAGCCATCTTTTCGATTCTGTCTGTGCATGAGGTAAAAGATGTATATTTTCAAGACCGATAACAGGATAATGACATTTTTTTCTTTAAATAATTATAGAACGTGGTTCCTCCTACATTGAACCTCTATAAACAAGACCCTGAGGAATTCAATTTGAATTACGTACCACGGGTTGCTCAAGAGAAACAAGTGAATGCAGTTATTACAAACAGTTTTGGGTTTGGTGGTACTAACGCTACTTTATGTTTTGCAAAAAGTGTTTAAAAAATAAAAATTTGTTTTAACGTAAAGGACTAAAAGATAAAGGTTTCAAGATAAAAGAGTTCATGTTATCAACTAAACGGACAGTTTTGTAAACGGTCTCTGGCCAGCCTTCTGTATTCCAGGCATCTTCTCTGGTTGTTTTCCGTGTTTGTAGGTCACTATATAGTGTGGTTGGTTTATGCAGAAAATAATAATAACTTCATATATCATCACTTACGGATAAGTCCACATGTGATAAACCGTGTTTAATTCACCCAGTTGCGTAAACCAAGCTCCCACGGGCTCACAAAACTGCTTACGACATTCCAATCCTTTTCTCCAATTCATTTCCCACTCTAACAATCTTCCGGGCTAATATAAAAAAAATGAAATTAGTATCGATCATAACAAATTGGAGAAAAAGAAAACTTGCTTTCAAGTTGTATTTTCGAAGTTCAAATATCCCGTTTGTAATTTTAGGTGGAGAAGTTTGCCAGAAGGAGAATTCTAACATCATGTTATTCTCACGAGAAATCAAAAGAGGTCTAAGTTTGTTCATGAATTCTTTATAGTCGGGATCTGCAGCTAATTTTTCATAGGTTTGCTGGTGGCCTGGATAACCTTTATATTCCCAAATATGAACTATTTTTTTTTCAAGACTTGGTGTTAAACATTTTTTTATGTATACAAAACCATTCAGCTTACCAAAGGTGTCGAGTTCTCCAATCTCGATAGACCAACTGCCGCATAAGTTGACATCGTTGGACGGATCATTGGCTATTTTGGGGAGGTGTTTGGATCTAGATAGACGAACAATATGATAAGAGAACACGATATATACGTAAAAGGGAAACATACAATAGAGAAATATACTCATCCACTTTGTCAGGCTTGACTTTATGAACTAATATAGGAATATCAGAAAAATAGAAGCTTGGAGTATAAATGAATAAATGTTACCTTGTAATTCATGCACGTATTTTCCTCTTGCCAAAACTTTGGAATGGGTTTGACGCTCCTCCTCCTTGATCTTTTTAGAACCATACAAGACGGCTTCAATGATTTCATTGGCGCGTCCTCCTTTTGCATCCTCTACTGTTGTATCGGTGATTTTCTCAGAAGAGGAGAGTATGCTCCGGTGAAATAACCTTTTCGTGAATACAGCAGTGGGTATACGTAATCCTGTTCTTGTTATTCTGGACAGCATCTTTTTTTTTTAAAAAAATATCTAGAAATATTTGAGCAAAAGAAAAAGGTTTTTTTATTCTTTGTTGTTTTTGTTGTTTAAATATTTTTCTCATGCAGCGTCATAAGGTTTTCCCACCTCTAGTTTACCTCCGCAAAAAAATTAGTTTCAAACACAAAGCTTAAAAAAATCATGTCAATGACGGGTTTTAAAGCGACTGTCGTTCCCGCACCAATGTCGGGCTTTAAAATATACATCTTACGTAATATTTCCATTTTTGGTGCGCGAAAGTAGTGCACCGAGCTATTACATAATATTTTCACTTTATGTTCGCTATGGCAGATCGTATTCATGTCTTACTTAAATACAATAAAACCTTCTGTTATAAAAATCACATGTCTCACCTTTAAATTTGTTCGCATTCTTATAAGATTAACACGTATAAGCAGTTTCACATAAATCAGGTTATTCCTTCATAGCATGCTTATGATAAAAATTAACAATTGGCAATACACATTTTACTGTTCGGCTACTTTGTTTTCACCAAGCTAAGAAGACGTCATTGCTTTTTAGTTTTTATCCGATAGTAACGAATACGATGTTATTCTTTCTTTCATACTTATCGGCAATGGAACGCGAATGCACTAGAATAGCAAAAGTACTTACGATTCCAAAGGTTTCGACCATTCGCGATTACTTTATTTTGTTACTTCAAAAATGTTCATTTTTTGATAGGTATAAATAGGACTAAAATTTAAAGAAGGGAGCTTTTTGAGCAAAGTACTGTTGCTTATGAAATATAGTACAAATACGTTGTCCCTTTCTTGACGCACCCATTCCGCGCACATAAAATGAAAATATTATGTAATAGCTCGGTGCACTACTTTCGCACACCAAAAATGAATGTATTATGTAATAAATATATTTTAAAGCCCGATTTCGGTGCGCTGTGGTAAGGCGATATTTCAGAGTACGAACCACTATAGCGCCTCAATAGCCCTCTGTGACCGTGTTTTGATGTAAAGCTTATGAAATGATACGAAGGGATTATATCTTGTGGTAGCCTGAGTAGTACTATGTACTACGCGGTGATATTATAAAGTCGTGGTTTTTCGTAATTCAATAAAACAGTAGTCCTTTTACATCCCTAATTTTACGAAATAGTACATTATCCTAACGTGCGTGGATTTTTGTATTATAGTCAAGAAAGTCTGCGAGTATAAAGTTTTATTAAGTCAACAGGTAAATCAGATCCCGATACAACATTTGGTGGAGTAGCTGGGCGTTACTTAATAGAACAAAGCAAGTCGAACGAATACTGAAGAACAACAGTTTTAAATATTATAGGTAATTACAAATCCTGGGAAGGCTATTTACCACTGGGTCCTAATTACAAATAATATCGTAGTCAAGAACAAAAATCGCTAAGAAATAGACCATAACATGTCTGTCTTAATCATTGATAAAGAAACCAATAAACAAATCACGGTGGCAACTGGGGAGACTAATACTCGGTCCCCACCCATGTTCTCTGGTACGGGTAGAACACAAGACCCCTTACGTTTCTTAGAAGACTTTGAGAAAGTATCTAAGTGGAACAATTGGCGAACGGACGAGAGGAAGAAAGAGACTTTCCTTCTATGTTTAACTGGTCACGCTGAAAGGTGGATGAAAAACCATCTAATGAATGATATGAAAACATTCGAAACCTTACTTTACGATGATGGTACTGAGAATTGCATTTTGTCCAAGTTCAAAGAAAATTATATCACGGAGGAGTGGTATGAGTTGTATACCAAGCATTACGAAGAACGAACCCAAACCAATGAAGAGACACCTTTGGAATTCATGGAGATTAAACGTTATCTTATGCAACGTGCTGGCCCTGATTGTATTGACCGTACTGAAAAACAAAAGGTTCGAGATATCATGAAAGGTTTACTACCTCAAGTCCGTATATTCTGTGAGAAGAAGCTCAAAGATCCTTTTAATAAAGAGGCAAAGAAGACACTTGATGGGTTAGATGGTTTGGAGAAGTTGTTGCGTTGGGCGGAGAGCTGCTTATACGAAGATCGTAAGGTGTTGAATGTTACGTCGGACGAAGAAAACATCGTGGGTAGTACATCCGTAAATGCTGTGCGCAGATTTGAGCGTAACAATAGTCGCACAGACCATTCAAGTGGTACAGCAAATAACAATAAGGCGAATATGACTGACTTTGAACGACTCGTATTAGCCAAGTTGGAGAAGCTGGATCTCATTGAGAATGAATTAGCCATGGTCAAGGATCGTGTTGACATGATGGAAAAGAACAATGCTGCTCAAGTAGGCCAATCTAGTTATCCGAGCCATAATGGTAACCATGGTACAGGTGGAAATAAGTTAAGGTGCTACAATTGTGATGGTGTAGGACATTTCGCTAGAAACTGTAACTCAATGTGTAATACTTGTGAACGTGCAAATCATTCGTCTTTTAATTGTCCTAAACGTAACCAGGAGAACGGTGGTGAAGGGCAAACGAATAATTCCCTCCAAGAGTCGAAGGATTTTCAGAACGGTCCCCTACATGCTTAGGAGTAGAGGGACCTTCTATTACAAACAATCCTAAAGCAAATAGTTCCTCAATACATGTTATCACGCACGGAGCCAAAACAGAAGAACACAAGGTCTATGCTACTGGTGCTACGAAGAAGACGCCAGAAGAGTTGAAAGCGGTTCGGTTACAAAATCTGGAAAAGGCTAGAAAGGCAAAGGCAGAGTATAAGAAATTGGATGTTGAAGCCAAACAACGTGGTGAGATACCACCCTCTATTGCGAGAAAACTGGAGCGGGAGTTTCCTATTATGTTAGATGACGAGAAAAAGGTGAAGCACCTAGATCTGAAGAAACAATTATGGGATACCCAAATACACGTAGCCCTACCTCAATTATTATACTATGCTCCTGAACTATGGTATCAATATCTCAACTTATTAGGTGGTCAACCCTCAACGAATAGAACAAAATCGATGGTTAAAGGTATGGCCGAGTCCATGGAAATTGACAAGGATGAGCTGCCAGCGGTAAATATGATCAATTTGGACACGACAAGTTTGGTACCGGATCGAACTAGTCTTCAATCTGTATTGGCCATTGTGGAAGACCAACGAAATTGTGAATTTCTGATTGATGGTGGTGCTGTAGTATCAATAGTCCATTGGGATCTGGTCAAACAATTGGGAAAGGAATCGTCAGTGTTACCTACGGATAAGGTGTTGAGGTTCGCTGGTGGGGAGATTGATATCCCGGTTGGTGTGGTTAAGCTAAAGTTACAATTTTCAGCTGAAGTTACAATTCATCATTCATTCTGTGTAAGCCAGAACCCGTTGACCCCAACATTGATTGGCATGGATTTTATCTTGGCGACTAAGGTAGCGACGAATCCCCATCTGAACAATTTGGTGTTTACCTCGGAGGAGACCAACAAGTTATATGAAATCCCTACTCACCCTGCAGGTGAAGGTTTCGACTTGGCAGTAGAGAATGATAACAACGCTATGGCTGTATCTGCGACCGTATCTGATAACAAAAGAAACCGAGAACTGAAAGACGTATTAATAGATTACGAATGGGTTTTTGAACCTGGGGAGAGTCAGCTATTATGGGTAAAGTTATCTGAACCCTCAACCAATTGGAAAGAGGATAAGGTCTTACAACCCTCTGGTGATATTTACAACAAGTACGGGTTGTATATCATGCCAACGGTGATGGAAAGGTCAGAAGTAGATAAACCTTATTGTATGGTGGTGGCCAATATGACGGTGAATGTCGTAAAGCTCAAGAAGGATACCATATTAGGACAATTGTTGAATAAAAGTACAGTACCTGTAGGAGTGCAGTACATGCAACAAATTGAGGAAATCATGGACATCATCACAGACATGTACATCAACCATCATGATAGTGATCAGGCAATCTATGCACCATCCATCCTAGAAGGGCCAATCTTCGAACCAACGAAGGAAGAATTGGAAACATTAGGTATTTCCAATATTTTGGTAGAAGTCAGGGCAAAACAGGCGAAGTCAAGTGTATATCATATCACTTATGGGTCGAAAGATAATGTGGAAAAGGCATCGGTATGTGCGGTGGGTGAAGATGACACGCCTAATTGGGATATCAACCCAAGCCTGACTCCGAGTCAAAGAGAGAAATTGGTCACGGTATTGAAGAAACATAAGTCGGTTTTTGCTACTTCCCTAAAAGAAATAAAATCCTTAAAAGTTGAACCATACACCATAAAAGTTAAACATGATGTTAAACCAGTGAAAGTCGCACCAAGGATGTTACCTATTGCCGCTAATGAATGGTTGAAAGGGTATCTAAAACAATTAACCGAATTGGACATGATTGAACCTTGTTCTGGTCCTTGGGCTGCAGCAGTGGTATTAGTACCGAATAACAAGGAGCAGCGAGCACCAAGAAGGAGGTTTAAGAAAATTCAGAAAGTACCGAAATTGATCTCCTCGCCTGGTAGAAAAGAACCAAAAGCAGTATGGTCCATATCTATCAATAATATAAATGAAACGAACGAAGTAGAGGAGAACGAGGTTGATGATATCAGTTCAATGGAAAGATTACAGTATGCAAGTAATGGAGTTCCTGATTCTGGATTAACGAGTGGTGTTCCGACTCAGCTGGCAGGACAAAAAGATCCATATCGATTATGTCTCAATTACAAACCAATCAACCTAGCAGTTCGAGATACAGGATATCCCATACCCAACATTAATTTCCTATTCACGTTATTGGCGAAGGCAGAGTACTATTCGGTATTTGACTGTTTAAAGGGTTTTTGGCAACTCGAAATTGATGAAGAGAGCCGGGATTATACTGGATTCGCAACAACGTTTGGTCAATATCGTTGGAAACGATTACCGATGGGATTAAAAGTTAGTCCGCAAGCATGGCAATCATGTGTAGACTCGATATTTTTCGAAGAATTGTATAAGTTCTTTCTTATATATATCGATGATGGATTAGTATTTTCCAAATCGTTTGATGAACATGTGAAGCAATTGGATATTATACTAGCAAAGGCCAAAGCTGCAAATCTATCACTATCGATTTCAAAATGTAAGTTCGGTTACCAAGAGGTGAAATTACTGGGACATCTGGTAGGAAGAGAAGGTTTCAAAATGGATCCAGCCAAGATAGATAAAATCGTAAAATGGCCAAGACCAAGAACTGTCACAGAAATAAGTCAGTTTGTAGGCATGATACAATATTATCGGCGTTATCTGAGGGATCTATCAGGTTTGATATCACCTATGAATAAGCTGAAACGGAAAAATGTTCCGTTTGTTTGGGGACATGAGCAAGAAGAAGCATTTCAAAGCTGTAAGGAGTTATTGACGGGCGATCAAGTATTAATTCATCCGGATTTTACAAGACCATTCATATTATTTACGGATGCATCAAATACGGGTATTGGGGGCGTGTTATCACAAGCGGAAGCGGGTAATGAAGACTTCATACGACCGGTATACTATGGTAGTAAAGCATTAACGGAGGCAGAAAAGCGTACTAGTATCTACGAAAAAGAATTCCTAGCCATCGTGTACTTTATTCATTTCTTTAAAGCATATTTGTTGGGTCATAAATTTGTGGTGTACACGGATCAGAAAAGCTTACAGTATTTAATCAAGTTCAATGAAGAAGCATCGGCGAAAGTAGTACGTTGGCAAGCTTCGTTGTTAGCTTATGATTTTGATATAATCTATCGTCCGGGAAAATTAAATGCAAATGCAGATGCTCTGTCCAGGTTACAAGCCGCATACTCAATAGGTCCAGAACTAGATGAAATTATCGAAGACTATTATCTCCCACTCAATGGTATCAAACATGGTCATGAAGAAGATGAATCAAAAATTAGTAAGAAAGCGAAGGGGCTAGGAGAAGAAAATATCTTTTCGAATGAAGATGGTATGGATCGACAGGAGTATGCTGATTTATGTGGATATCTGATCGCCTGGACCTTTAGAGAGGGGTTAAGTGAGTCGAAGCGGAAAGCCATTAAGAATAAAGCTAGACAATATGAAGTAAGACAGGGGACTCTGTTCAAGCGTGAATCAAGTACATTTCCACGAAGAAAGGTGTTACAAACTCATGAGGTCCTAGCGGTGCTGAAACAGAATCATGATCATTTATTGGCTGGACATATGGGTATATCGAGAACTTTTGACAAGATCAAGGAGATTTATTACTGGCCTGGCTATTACGATACTGTTAGACGTTACGTATCCTCGTGTCAATTATGTCAAGGTTTTGGTCCTCGAAATCCACCAGTCCCATTATCACTAGATGTAAAATCCTTCCGTTATGAACCGTTTTCCAATATCAGTATGGATTATATATCATTACCTCTTACGGCTCAGGGGAATAATGCTGCGTTGGTGATTATAGACAAGTTAACTGGGTGGGTTGAATGTAAGCCGACCGCATCACAAAGTAGTGCCTTTACATGCATGTCACTGTTCGAATGGGTATGTCAGTATGGAAAACCGAATCAGATTCATCTAGATAATGGGGTACATTTCCAAGCAGAAGAGGTTAAGGTCATGATGATGAGATCATATGGAATTCAAATCCGATTTGGAGTGCCTTACCATCCACAGGGACAAGGCAAGGTCGAGAGAGCAAACGGGACACTCAAAGCGATCATAAAGAAATTATCCTGGACATACACCAACGATTGGGATATGTGGGTGTCAGCCGCCGTATATGTAATGCGAACGTCGACTAAAAGAGACCATGGATATTCGGCGTTTCAACTGGTATATGGTCGTCAACCCCGAGAGTTGTTAGAGGCGGATCATGAGTATGAAAATGACACAGAGGATGATCAAGCCATTTGGGAACGTATAACGGAGATTATCAAACTTAATATAAATATCCTGCCAAAGGCCAAACAGAATATCCACAAGTACAAGTTAAATATGATCGAAAGATACAACAGGAATACTAAGATAGTCAAGTATTATGTCAATGATCTCGTAATGGTACATGAAAGAAGTCCTGCCGATAATAGGGTAACTTTGCTGGTACGGTGGTTAGGTCCCTTTCGTGTTGCTGAGGTCGTAGGGACGAATGTGTACGTGGTTAAAGACGAAGAAATGCGGTTGCCATTAACTTATCATGCAAACCAAATGAAGTTATACAAGACACGTCCTAGATTGGCAGTGCCGTTAAGTTATTATACCAAATAGAAATATGGGATAAGAGGGGTTGTAATGTGGTAAGGCGATATTTCAGAGTACGAACCACTATAGCGCCTCAATAGCCCTCTGTGACCGTGTTTTGATGTAAAGCTTATGAAATGATACGAAGGGATTATATCTTGTGGTAGCCTGAGTAGTACTATGTACTACGCGGTGATATTATAAAGTCGTGGTTTTTCGTAATTCAATAAAACAGTAGTCCTTTTACATCCCTAATTTTACGAAATAGTACATTATCCTAACGTGCGTGGATTTTTGTATTATAGTCAAGAAAGTCTGCGAGTATAAAGTTTTATTAAGTCAACAGGTAAATCAGATCCCGATACAACAGCGCTTAGAACTTCCCTTTATTTTCTATTAACTACATACTTTTTTATGCGTCTGTTTTTTTAGGACTATGAATACGCCTGTATTCTAGTATGTAAAGGCTCAAACATATTGATGAGTAAATATACAGTTAAATCATCCTGACGTAAGCCAGCTCTTGTTTATCAGCTTATAAATAAAACTCACCTCTGATTGAATAAACAATTAGATCATCCTGACATAAGCCAACTCTTGTTTATCAGTCTACAAATAAAAACCATTCAAACATTTTTTGTTTCCCTTCTTCTCTTCATTTGTTTCTTTTTATTCTTATGCTGAAGAGTATCATCTTTCTAAAGAGAAGTATTAAATATTGGGAAAATGTTAGTTAATAACAACTTTTGTTTCCTTTAAAAACACTAAAATATTACCTTTTTTTAAAAAAAAAGGATAGACTCCCATTTTTTATTATTACGGCTAAAGCTACACTTCTCGATACGATGAAGACTTTCCCATTACCCATTGTAGGCATTGTAAGCCTTTATCTTACATTACCAACCACGGTGGGTCAGAATGTAGAGTAGTAAGCTGTCTTTAGGTATCCGCTGATGGTTCCAAAATATGTAGAAAAATTTACAAAATACGAAGGTGCAGACATTGTCCGTAGCCGTCGTGTATTATGGAGAAGGTATGGTATTCTGTCCTTGTTTTTTTTGGGTGGGTTCTTCATTCTCACATCATTATTTTTTGTAGGCTTGACACCCATCAACAGGAACGAAAAAAGGCTCCGCTTGCTCAATATGCCATAAAAATTACAAATTAACTCAATCATTCTTCACCCATCTTAGACAGCATTGTGCTAAAATCGCACTTATAAATAATAAAATAAAATAAATAAATCGTCGATCCCACATGATCGACTCATATACCAAATACAATATCACAAAAGAAAAGAACATCAGGTATAAAAACTGAGTTACTACTTTAGAACTCAGTTTGACTTAAGATTTCTTAGAACCATCGTCCTCTCAATTCTGACAGAACAATAAGACTAGCTCATTGTTTACGAATCAATCCAATCATAAAGGCAATGACTGCTTAAATTTAAGGCACCATCGGACATGTATTATACCACCCAATGGTACCTTCACTAACTATTAGATAACCGTTTAAACTACAGATCCCAATAACTATAAATACCCTGCCTTCTACCATAATATAGAAAGGGATTCAGTTTTAAAACGAATAATAAGAATAAAAGCCTACAAGCACTATTAATCTTATTTACCTGTTTTTTATCTATTTTTTTCTGTGTTAAACAAAGTTTCTCCACAAGCATGACCTAAAATGCGTCCATTGTAATTAAGAAAAGAAAAAAGGGAAAGCATAAAACTAGTCCTGTGGATGGTTCCTTTTTCTGTTCGAAGTATGGTGGTGTACAGGCGAACCATATTGAAACTGGTTGCCATAGTTTCGAGAAGGAATACTCAACGAGTTGACCAGCATCAGCAATAACTTAGACTATGATGAACACCATGTGGATGAAAAAGAGGCAGATGAAAGTACAGATCAGCATTCGGTTAGCGAAGAAAAAACAGATAACGAAAAGACAAACAATGTTGGCATCACGCACATTCCACCGTCGACATTATCATTGGAGGTACCATCGACAACAAAACTGCATCGTCTCACACATCGCGACGTGATCTTGACATCCACAGACTCTCTCACCGCCGATAAGGCGACTCAAGAGGATACAATGATGCTGGCCAGATTGAGCCGATGGGTCCCCGTTGTATACAACCACAACAATATGCAGTACGAATTGTTGCTTCCATATTACTATCAAAAAACCAAACGATAGGTACGTGGTGCAGTCCCACCAACAATCATAATCACTCTTCAAAAGAGGTTATGGCGATCGATACTGATCACTTTATCCAACATTTGAGACTTACAACGTAACTAATAAGCACATATTCGACGTTGAAGCTAATACTAACTGGTTTTCTCTCTCTCGTTAGTAAAGCTTCGAAAAAACTGGCGGATAGCCTGCACGAGGAAATAACAGATGAAATGACTGATTTACTTAACAGGGATTGGCTACAGTATCCGCAAATGCGATACTGCACATCACAACTACTAGTAGGTGCGATCATCATCGAAGGTTCAAAAGCTATTGTTATCAACGCTTTGGAACCGTATTCTCGAGACACACTACTCGATGCACATCACGAGCGGAAGTTATTCGGCGCTGCGACGTCATTTCCTTCCGAAACTAATCAATACGGCTTTCTTTCAATATGCCAACTGTCAATTTCTGATGGTCTCAAATTGACTATCGGTTCGCGTACTTGCAATTTCCTTGTAACCTCTGGCCTTCGTCTCGACATTATTTCTTGATGTTAGCTCCATTGCAGCTTGCAAGTCCGAGCTGTCAAATCAAACACTTTCCCTTTCTCAGATGATGCCTTCCTTGTACTTGCTCAGGCAGGCGAGGAGCAAATTCGACCATTTGTCAACCTACACCATGTGCCGTTTGGTTTCAACGATTGCTTCGCAGATGGAATTACAACTGTTGACAATTTGGACACTAACAGATCAAGAGTTGAGCCACACATCCATCAGCCAAGAAAAAATTGGATCTTTGCTTCTCAGGGAAATTACAACACAAGTTATCAAAGATGGGGAAAAAGCTGTATTGAAATTGGATGTGATGTTTGAGATATGAAAATGGATAAAACAGAATAAAAAAAGAAGTAATAAGAAATGAGTGTCTACTTATCCTTTATTAAAATTATGGAGAGAAAGTCATCGCAAAAAGGAGGACGCTTTATATATCACACATCTGGGAGATTGAATCTGGTAAAGCTTGTTTCTTTCTTCTGAAACATGGCAGTTAGACTTACATGGTCTTAAGTCAATCAATACTTTCTTATATTGATTGGCCCAAATTACTGTTATTGGCAACACATTACTTAACAGTCAGTTGACTGATTTGGTAGACAGCATCAAAAACAAGCGAGAAAATGATAAAAAATCGAACTTATCAGCAAAGCATTATACGATTAGATTGGTTTACCGCCTTTCATGGTATTTTTACCCGCTCCTTTCTCTATTCATGCTCTACATTATCATACCTTCTTCCCATCAGTCATAAATAGAACAAAACGGCCGATTGATTATTCCATTCTTGTTATCAGCATTTTGTATTTCCCCTCTCCTTAAATGTGACGACATAAAGATAGTTGATTTTTACTGTCCTATTTACATATCGAGCTATTTTTTAATAAAAATAAAGTTAAATAAGAGTGTGAAGCACTTTGTATCCTTCATGATGATTTCTGACTGAGACAATAAATACGCTCTTAACCAAGTCAGACCAGGTAATTATACAATTTGGAGCAACAAAATAACTCAGTATGTTATTTCGAGGTAACAGAAATGATATTTTGTATATTAAGTTGTGTAGACTTTTGTTAAGTTTGATGAATTTCTTAGGGTTAATAGTTGTGATATTCAAACGTTCTTAAAAGTAATGTTGTAGTAGTTCAAATATCTTAAAAAATAAAAGAAATTACAAAGACAGTAAGTGATATACTTTGAGACAGCTGCCGAGCTGCCGACCGCCTCGACTCACTTTAACTAGAGCTGAAGACCACCTCTACCCACTTTAATAAGAGCTGACGACCACCTCTGCCAACTTTAATAAGAGCTGACGACCACCTCTGTCAACGTTTATTAGAGCTAACGACCACCTCTGCCAACTTTTATTAGAGCTGACGACCACCTCTGCCAACTTTTATTAGAGCTGACGACCACCTCTGCCAACTTTAATAAGAGCTGACGACCACCTCTGCAAACTTTAATAAGAGCTGACGACCACCTCTGCAATTTTAATAAGAGCTGACGACCACCTCTGCAAACTTTAATAAGAGCTGACGACCACCTCTGCAAACTTTAATAAGAGCTGACGACCACCTCTGTCAACGTTTATTAGAGCTGACGACCACCTCTGCAAACTTTAATAAGAGCTGACGACCACCTCTGCAAACTTTAATAAGAGCTGACGACCACCTCTGCCCACTTTAATAAGAGCTGACGACCACCTCTGCCAACTTTAATAAGAGCTGACGACCACCTCTGTCAACGTTTATTAGAGCTGACGACCACCTCTGCAATTTTAATAAGAGCTGACGACCACCTCTGCAAACTTTAATAAGAGCTGACGACCACCTCTGCCAACTTTAATAGGAGCTGACGACCACCTCTGCCAACTTTAATAGGAGCTGACGACCACCTCTGTCAACGTTTATTAGAGCTGACGACCACCTCTGCAATTTTAATAAGAGCTGACGACCACCTCTGCAAACTTTAATAAGAGCTGACGACCACCTCTGTCAACGTTTATTAGAGCTGACGACCACCTCTGTCAACGTTTATTAGAGCTGACGACCACCTCTGCCCACTTTAATAAGAGCTGACGACCACCTCTGTCAACGTTTATTAGAGCTGACGACCACCTCTGCCAACTTTAATAGGAGCTGACGACCACCTCTGTCAACGTTTATTAGAGCTGACGACCACCTCTGCAATTTTAATAAGAGCTGACGACCACCTCTGCAAACTTTAATAAGAGCTGACGACCACCTCTGCCAACTTTAATAGGAGCTGACGACCACCTCTGCCAACTTTAATAGGAGCTGACGACCACCTCTGTCAACGTTTATTAGAGCTGACGACCACCTCTGCAATTTTAATAAGAGCTGACGACCACCTCTGCAAACTTTAATAAGAGCTGACGACCACCTCTGTCAACGTTTATTAGAGCTGACGACCACCTCTGCAATTTTAATAAGAGCTGACGACCACCTCTGCAAACTTTAATAAGAGCTGACGACCACCTCTGCCCACTTTAATAAGAGCTGACGACCACCTCTGCCAACTTTAATAAGAGCTGACGACCACCTCTGTCAACGTTTATTAGAGCTGACGACCACCTCTGTCAACTTTAATAGGAGCTGACGACCACCTCTGCCAACTTTAATAAGAGCTGACGACCACCTCTGTCAACGTTTATTAGAGCTGACGACCACCTCTGCCAACTTTAATAGGAGCTGACGACCACCTCTGTCAACGTTTATTAGAGCTGACGACCACCTCTGCCAACTTTAATAAGAGCTGACGACCACCTCTGTCAACGTTTATTAGAGCTGACGACCACCTCTGCCAACTTTAATAGGAGCTGACGACCACCTCTGTCAACGTTTATTAGAGCTGACGACCACCTCTGCAATTTTAATAAGAGCTGACGACCACCTCTGCAAACTTTAATAAGAGCTGACGACCACCTCTGCAAACTTTAATAAGAGCTGACGACCACCTCTGCAAACTTTAATAAGAGCTGACGACCACCTCTGTCAACGTTTATTAGAGCTGACGACCACCTCTGTCAACTTTAATAAGAGCTGACGACCACCTCTGCCAACTTTAATAAGAGCTGACGACCACCTCTGTCAACGTTTATTAGAGCTGACGACCACCTCTGCCAACTTTAATAGGAGCTGACGACCACCTCTGTCAACGTTTATTAGAGCTGACGACCACCTCTGCAATTTTAATAAGAGCTGACGACCACCTCTGCAAACTTTAATAAGAGCTGACGACCACCTCTGCCAACTTTAATAGGAGCTGACGACCACCTCTGCCAACTTTAATAGGAGCTGACGACCACCTCTGTCAACGTTTATTAGAGCTGACGACCACCTCTGCCAACTTTAATAAGAGCTGACGACCACCTCTGTCAACGTTTATTAGAGCTGACGACCACCTCTGCCAACTTTAATAGGAGCTGACGACCACCTCTGTCAACGTTTATTAGAGCTGACGACCACCTCTGCAATTTTAATAAGAGCTGACGACCACCTCTGCAAACTTTAATAAGAGCTGACGACCACCTCTGCCCACTTTAATAAGAGCTGACGACCACCTCTGCCAACTTTAATAAGAGCTGACGACCACCTCTGTCAACGTTTATTAGAGCTGACGACCACCTCTGTCAACGTTTATTAGAGCTGACGACCACCTCTGCCAACTTTAATAAGAGCTGACGACCACCTCTGTCAACGTTTATTAGAGCTGACGACCACCTCTGCCAACTTTAATAGGAGCTGACGACCACCTCTGTCAACGTTTATTAGAGCTGACGACCACCTCTGCAAACTTTAATAAGAGCTGACGACCACCTCTGCAAACTTTAATAAGAGCTGACGACCACCTCTGCAAACTTTAATAAGAGCTGACGACCACCTCTGCAAACTTTAATAAGAGCTGATGACCACCTCTGTCAACGTTTATTAGAGCTGACGACCACCTCTGTCAACTTTAATAAGAGCTGACGACCACCTCTGTCAACGTTTATTAGAGCTGACGACCACCTCTGCCAACTTTAATAGGAGCTGACGACCACCTCTGCCAACTTTAATAAGAGCTGACGACCACCTCTACCCACTTTAATAAGAGCTGACGACCACCTCTACCCACTTTCATTAGAGCTGACTGTCGTATTTTGGTACGATTTACTTAAGAATAATTAAGCAAATCGTTTAAATAAATGAACTAGAAAATCAAAACAACCTTTGATGCTGCATATCAGCATACGCTTGTATACTGCTATACAACTTCTCCTACTACGAGTATATACCTCTATATTATACATTGCATGATTGGCCTAAATATGATATATACGAATGACAGTTGAATACATGACGCTATACCACTGAGTTACGATATCACCGATCGAGAAGAGAATCTTCTCAGATCAAACAAGAATTATAAGAAAGATAATGAATAAATGATCAACTACAACTATAATGTTCTACTGCCAATTACACTTGACAAACAAGTATGCATCTTTTACAGCAATCGTTGCATGATCTGATAAATAGATGTCTCGTAACACTAAAGATTTATTAGAATACTCGTGCTCCCGATCCACTGATATGGGACAACGTTAACTGGAAACAATTCGAATGAGTGATATTCATTTAACCCAAGACGGGAAACAAAGTATAGATCTATTCCAAAACCAGAACGGTTGACTCATCATTAAAAACCCAGGAGAGTTGTGCTATATAAGACGGATCAATTATTTCATAGCAGCAGAGTTCTTTTACATATTTTTATCTCATTATTTCTCAAGTGTATTGTTTTTGTCAAATACCACACACTCAACTCTTTATAAGACGGTATCCTTACTTATTGATTATTTCATAGTCTTATTTGATATCTGCTAAATGTTACAGGGCCTATATTTTTATCATAAAAAACTCCCTAGCTTATAAGAAAGAACTACAGAGACTCGTTTCTTCAATTGTCTATTATTTTTTTTTTCAAATGATCACACATATAATAATCAATCGTGTCAAAGTAATAATCAAATGAAAGCATTTCATTATATCAAACGATCGAATGGAATGAGTAGTTTTGCATCTATTTAAACAAGTAACCAAATTAACCAGTTACATACTGGCCATGTATTCAAAAAAAAAAAAAAAAAGGCAGAAAAAAAAAACCTGTGTATCTAAATGCTCACTCAATCCGTTCTAACAGGAAATTGGGTAACCGTTTGCTAGAAATCCATTCAGGTATGACTTATTTTATTCCATCCTATTTAACAAGAATTCATCCAAACAAGTAAATGTATAACCATTTTGTACAGCAACAGTAAACTTGCTGGGAGAATCGGGCAAGTGAAATTATCCTTAGATGACATTTAGTTATAGAACTAGTATGAAAAAATAAGGCAAGGGCTATTCCTCTTCTCTAACATATTAAATTTTATAGGCTGTCATCATGAAGCTGTCAATCTTTTTTTTTTTTTTTTATTATTAGTTTTCGGATTCAATGTTGATGCAATTTAGATTACTGGAGGTTAATATTATTTACTAAAGGGTATTAGGTAGACATTTCAATTTATGGAGCCAAGCATTAATTAATCCGATGTTTGCGATACCAATATGGATCATTCTTTTTTTTTTTTTTTTGAAAATACTATTGGTCCTTCAAACTTCGTGCAGGAAAATGGAGATAAAGTGATGTTTGTGTCTGACATGTGGAGGAAATCCTCAAATATTAACATTTCTTTTATTGAACCACGAGGACTTTTGATCTGACGCCATGTCTTTTTTTTTGCCCTCGAACAAGTGTATGCTTGAAGGGTTATCCCACCCCCCTTTTTTTTTATGTTCTTTGCTTCTCCTTTTTGCGTATTATTAGATAAAGCTCCGATCAGCTCATTTTACTTTAAATACATCAAGACAATTAAAAATGTGCTTGGCGTTTTTTTTTTTGGGTTTGTAAAAATCTTACTTGATAAACAGGGTGATTTTTAATTTTTTTTCGTACGAAAAAACATGGACAGTTATCAATTTTTCTAGGCTACCTGGTACAACTTTCGATACTCTAGAAAAAAAACTACTGCATTACTTAAATGAAAAGAAGTTTAATAAGCAAACCTTTATTTGTTCTTTATTGTGTCACCCAATTTTGCAATTGTATTTAATTTAATTTTTCTTGAATCAAACAGGTCTTCTTCAGGAACCCACTGATGATAGGGGGCATCTAAATGGTTCTGTGCGACTAAAAAAAAAAAAATTGGATAAGAAAGCCCAACTGTTCTGTTGTAAAAAAAAAATGTGCAGGTTATGATAGAAACTCACTCACAAAATTGATATGACACCCAAAAAGTTTAAAGCCATCCACAATTAAACAATCTACCACAACAGTCTCCAAATTAAGCAAGATTCGAATCCCAAAGCAGATCGGCGGTCATGATCAGCATTCAAACGCAACAGGTAACTGGCGGAAAAAAGTTTGATATTTATATATACCAAAAAAATGAAGATCGTAGAGAAAGAGACTTTCCCTCAAGATCAGTAACCACGGTGACGACTTCCAAAACGATGCATTTAAGCTTTTTGCGGAGTTTGTATTACAGTGTTTTAAAATGTGTACGTTTTAAAGCTTTCATAGATTCGTGTTGTCATATTGGAATAATAGAGTTATATGACGTGATGTAATTAAAGTCAATGGGATATATAGTTTACACTTTGAATCAATCCAGTGGTACAATTTTAATTGTATTTTTAGGTGATGTTCTTGCATGAGACAAGGATTAATAAATAAATTCAATATGATGGATTGTCTAGATGATAGAAATATAGAGCATGTAAATGACTTTTTTTTTTTTGGTTGTGAAACGATGATGAAAGAAAGATCGGGTATAATGCTGACATGCATACATATATCGGCTGTTTTGTCCTCCTCGGTACACATTGGTTAGGACACATGAGGATAGCGTAACGATTTGTTTATAAAAAAAAAAGACCCTTTACCCCACCCAATGGACTGTGGGAAATTTAATAGAGATACCTTACCTTTCAAAATTTGAACCCCATCCCCCATCCCTTAAACCACACACCAGATGATCCTTTTGGTCAGTTTGCAATCAATACTTTTTCTTTTCTTGTGAATGCATGAAACTACCCATCCCCCTAAAAACCTCATCCTCTTTTTTTTTTAAGAAGCATAAAATAAATGATTATGATGGAATAATAAATAATCCCTCCCACAACAACAAAAAATTTATTTGGACTCTACTACTACTTGTTCGGGCTGTTTCCAAACAAAGCTAGAAAGATAGCCAGTCCATGTGAGAGGTGCAGCTGTGGTGTCAGTGGATTTGATATTGACAAATGAATCGTGGCTATCCGTCCGTTCCAATTCGACTAGTTCATTGATGGGTGTGGATGGGGTTGCTATGGGTTCATCCGAAGGTGGAGGAGGAGTGACGGATTTGAGAATAAATGTGGAGAAAAGGTGATAAGGACTAATGATACCGCCTGTTCCTGCTGGTGGTTCTGCTTGTGTAGGTGGGGGAAGCGCTTGCTCAGCAGTTGCTTCTTCTTCTTGTTCATGCCCCTATATTTAATACATGTTAAGAAAAGAAAAAATGGATGGGGGAGAATATTTTAGTTTGAACCTTGAATACGGTGTCTGATATCATGCGTTTGATAGATTCAATGACATATTTGCCATAGATCAAGACGGATTCTTTTAATTTGGCTTGAATATCTAGTAAGGTATGATCTATGTCCTTCTCATGTGCTTGTAAAAATGGATCTAAATAAGTAGTGTAAAATACAGAAGCACCCTTTTTTTTTGTTGGTGGTCATGTTAGTTTTTTAAAAAAAAGAATCGTTTGTTTTGTTTAGACGGGAAACCAACCTGTGTCTGAGGCAAGATTAACCATAGAACAATGATTAATTTAATCTCAGTGTAGAAGGGAAACCTTATTTGCATGAAAAAAACATCAGATTTATTTATTATTTTTTACCGCAGCAGACACACACCAGCTTACCAGAATAAAAAGATGTCGGAAAAATATTCCACAGCAAGAAACGAAATGGAGACGATCCAAAAGGTCAAGAGAGATGCAAACTCTTGTTGGTTATTTCGCTTGATAGCCTTATAAGAAATATAAGCAGGGTATAATTGTAAAAGCCCTAATTTCACACAAAAGTAAATGCCTAATGTTAACATTTGAAGGAGAAAAAGAAAAAGAAGAATTAAAAAATAAACGTTTTTATTTTATTTACGAATAAAAAAAAAAACTCCCTATTAAAATACTTTATTTGCTCGGCATGGGTCGGGAAGTCAGGTGAGAGGATGATTAAAATAAATAAAGGGTATCCTCATAAGTTTTTTCATTGCGATATTCACCACTACTGATAGATGCAGTCTTGTGTAATAGGGATGTGAATACAATAGCAGGATCTTGACCCGTGGTCGTCTTTTGATGTGCCCGTTTTAATAAAAGCAACCGATTACGTGTTCTTTCTTGTTCCTTTAACGGCTCTTTTGCCTGTTGGATTAACCTTTTAAAGCACACTGCGTCTTGCGTGAATTTATTCATTTTTATAAGAATAAAAAGAAAAGAGAAAAAAAAGAAGAAAAAAAAAGTTTTTTTTTATTATTATTATTATTATTATTATTCACACATACACATAAATATCAAGTGACTTTGGTTGCGTAATCATGAATCAATGCCTTGACAGCATCCATTGTACCAAACGTAGCGCAAAAGACGCCCACAGTAGCCACAGCAAAGCAAGCAATAAATTCGAGATAATAGTATTTTCCTTTCCGTTTTGACCAATTCAGCTTCATCCAAAAGATGCTGGGTAAAATAAAGGTCAATGTATCTGAACAAATGGTCCCCACCAAGTTCATGAAATCCGAGAAAAAGGGGATAAACATGGCAATCACACCACATGCCACCACTTGGCCCAGGCGTAAAATGATACGCATTAACTTGCGTTGATGTCTTTCTTCTTCTTCGTCCTTTGATTCTTCATCCTCATCAATCCTAAGCCAGGATTCAATACGTGTGGTGAATACATAGAGGTAGAAAGGAATCACGAGTAAGACATGGATGGTGATGACAATCATGGCTACATTTTGTGAAGATCCTATAGGTAGACTCTTATAGATGGGTGACTCAACATGACTACCAAAGACGAGATAGCATACAAGACCCATGGTAAAATACATGATACTAATGACACAGGTGGCTACCAATAATACTTTGGACCATCTTTGAGGTGTCTTCATTGAAGCTTCCAAGTGTGGGTATATGACATGCCCACAATAGGAAAAACTAAAGGTACTAAAAGCAATCGGTATATTTCTGGTAATAGCTACATCATGATGTACAGCATGTGTCTTTTCACTAAAATCCGACATGGAGACAACACAGACGACAAGCAAGAGACAGACGGTAGCCATGGAAGCAAATGTACTGAGAAAGGAAACATCCTTCATATTCCTGACTAATATGAATGGAACACCTACGACTACAGCAATAATCCAAATGCATGCTCTTCTATCAAGCCAGATAAAACCATACTGAGATAGTATATCAGAGATATTTTCGCTGGCTAGTATTACATAAATGGTAGGAGTTAGAAAGAGCATGAGGAGAGAGAAAAGAGAGCCAATGAACTGGCCTGGTCTACCAAAGGCAGCGAAACCAATGTCTGCATAATCTTTAAGTCGCCTATTTTCAGTGTAGAGGCATTTGATGAGGATGATGCCTGTGAATTGGGACATGGATGCACTGAGGATTAAAAATAAGAGACCAATCCAGCCTGATCTACTGAGTGCATGTGCTATAGCCAATATACCTGTGCCTGCCACCACGCAACTATACAGATATAACCCCCAAAAATAAAGTTTAGGCTTAAAGATATAAAAATGTATTCGTTGTTTAAAGACCTTACATAATACTGGATAGAGTGGAAGTGTTTGACACATTTCTCATGTCATGAGTACTGTTATGAACTTGAACCGTTCTTTTGGTTGTAGTCGTTGTGGTGGTAACTACGGTATGAACCTCTTTTGTGGCATCATTTTCAAGGTCAATGACCTCAATGATATCCAGAGATGCAGAGTTCATTTTATAATAAAATGTGAAAAGATAAAAGAAAAAAAGAGAGATGATCAGTGGGTATCAGGAGAGAGAGAGAGAGAGTTTCTCTCTTTTCCCCCAACATCATAGGCAATAAGAGCGGCACAAAATATTAAGGTCTTAAATATAGATACGGCATATTTTTTTTTATTCTTTTAAAATGCATGTGTGTGTGTGTGTGTGTGTGAGTGGGGGGGGGGATAAAGGGGAATTTTTCAATTATTTCTTTTTGGAAGACTTGGACTTTTTCTTTGAGGGTTCATCCTCACTCTTTTTCTTGGTATCATCGGACTTGCGCTTGGGAGTAGCAACAGCAGCAGTAGAAGAAGAGGCAGGAGGAGTAGCAGGAGAAGGAATGGGAGTAGTAGTTCCATCACGAGCAGTTTCAGCGGCCAACTTGTTCTTGTAAGAGAGAAGTTCTTTATCGAATCTTGCCTTTTCCTTTTCGGCCTGCTTAACATAAGGTTGCTTTTCTTTATCTGTAAGTGCATTCCATTTATCTCCAATTAACTTGGCAATATCAACTGCCTTTAAGTCAGGGTGTTGGGCCACAGTAGCAGGGCGTACAGCTTGAGAATAAAGCATATAACTACTGAGATTACGCTTGGGAGCATTGGGATCCTTTTCCATCTTTTTCTTTTTTTTCTTCTTGTCGTCGGCATCTTCACCGTGGTCTGTACCGTTAGAAGCCACGTTTGAAGAAACACTAGCCTTGTTTTGTTGACTTTCAAGCAAGATATCAGTTAAAGAGAGTAACTGCTTGCTAATTTGGTTGATAATTGCAGCGGCTCTCTTTTTTTTTTTTTAAAAATCAGTCTTTTTTTTTTATTATATATATATGGGGGAGGGGGCCTGCCCAACTTACGGTACGCGTGTCGGTCATCAGAGGAGAAACTTTTTTTTTAGTGAGGGAAAAAAAGAGGAAAAAGGAAAATTAAAAACTTTTTCCCCCAGATAAATCTTTTATTTTTATTTTTATTTTTCTCTCTCTCTTTCTTTTGGCTGCGGCATGCGGCCGTGCGGCGGCGCACAACGCAATAATTTTTTTTTTCTTAGGCTCTCTCTCCCACACACACACACACACCCCCGCGCGCCCCTCCCCCCAGTTTATTTGGTAAAATAATTAAGTCCCCCAAAAAAAAAAAAAAAAAACGGTTTCCCCCCCGTTCCTTTGCAAATAGGAAATTCCAAATTGTAGATCTCCTAATTAATTATCAACCCAAAACAAAATAATAAAAAAATAAAAAAAAATAAAAATTGACAACTTGTTTTACCTGAATTAAAGAAGTTGTAATGGTTGTTTATATTCAATCTTTCATGGGTAACTCTTGCGTGTATATAAAGAGAGAGCTTTTTCTTTATTTTATTTTTATTTTATTTTTTTTGCACGCTTATTAACCCTCACCAAAAGATGAGATATACTCCTGTTTACGCATTAATCTTTTCTTTGTGCTTACTCTTTGGCTTGGTTTCTACGGCTTCTGTTCATCAGCAAAGGTATCTTCAGGCAGCTAGGGGACAAACTACGGCTAGAACTACTACTACAAAGAAGGTAACCACCACTACCACTAAAAAGGCAGCTACAGTCAAGACAACTACCACAAGTAAAGCTGCTCCCACCTCCCCGGCTGGTTCCGGCTCAACAAGTTTCTCTGGCGACGGTACCTGGTTTGATATCGGGCTCGGTTCTTGTGGTCAAACCAACACGGACACCGATTTCGTTGCAGCCCTAAATGCACCCCAAATGATGAACGGAGCAAATCCTAATGCAAATCCCATGTGTGGTAAGCAGATTAAAATCACTAATCCTGCCAACGGTAAATCCGTTACCGTCAAAATCGTAAGTTTTTTTTATCTTTGTATGGATATCATAGAATATTCACTCATATATATTTTTCGCTGTCTAGGTTGATACTTGCCCGCCTTGTGCTTCGGGCTCAGTAGATTTAAGTCCTGCTGCCTTTAGTGCCATTGCTGATTTATCAGCTGGACGTATCAAAATCAATTGGGTCTTTGTTTAAATAAATAAATTGAATAAAAAAGGAGGGGGGTATAATTCCTCATTGTTATTTACTTTATTATTATGTACAAAGGAAAGAGAAAAAAAAAGATTGGGTGTTTTAAGCAGGGTGGGAAATCACAGTCATGTTGGTGGGAGAATTGGCTAATAAACATCTGGCCATGTGTTCTGGTATATTTACTGAGTTGATATCAATGTCGATATAAGGACCATACGCTTTAATAAAGGCATGGATATGATCTGATGAGACCCATAAATCGTATCGAAGTAGGCCCAAGAAACTACGTTCCATACGGTTAATATCTTTGGGTGTATATAATTGATGAGTCAGGTAGGAAACATGTGTGCTGGTTAATCCTGTGCCGGCTTCAGACAAGTATTTAGAGCTGGTTAATAAAGCTGCTAGAAATAATCGATAAGGTGTGTCAGGTCCTCCCCGTGCATGATCGGGTAATTTGCTCTTTAATCGCTTCAAGTAGATCAATGTGAAAAGTTTGACGGCACAGGGGATCTTTTTTTGTTTGTAGAAATCTTGGATAAATTCATTTAATGGTGGTAATCGTCGTGCATTTGGTTGGTTGCTGCAATGAATCAAGTTATCCGTTGTCAATGTCGTGAACGCTATTATTTCTTTATAAGTGTCTTTGTTCATATTATACGGATTTTTTTTTTTTTTTTACCTAGTAACGCTTCTGGATTATTAGAAATGACTTGTGTTGTATTGTAACTCATAATGATGGATAAAAAAACATGAATAATAAAATCAAAAATAAAAAAAAAAAAGGGAAAAATTGTATCTTTTATATGTAATGAAAAAAAAAAAGGGAAATAAATATGAAAGATACATATATAGTAAAAATGCTATAGACATTTAAACCAATCAAAAGGTACCCTCTTATCACACGGATAAATATTAAGACGAAAAACCAATAAAGCTCACGCACTACAGGGTAGCAGTGGGGTTATTTTCGCCTATTATATCCATTATAATAATAATAAACAAAATGCATACTGATAATCTTGCAGCTTTTTTTTGACTTTCTCTCTGTCATCCAAAACGTGTATGGAGAGTGATCATCCTGTCTTTTTAGGGATAAAGAAGCAAAAGAATGTTATTACCGTGATAGGATCACACAGAAAATTATTGGTGCTAAAGAAGACTTCCCTGCACAAATGGTAGGCCACTCAGCTAGAACGCACAGAATCGGGTTGGGTACAGCTAGTCTCCATTGGTTGGGCCGTGTAACACGAAACAAATAAGGGGGGAATCAAAAGACGTATGTAGCGGCCTTTTGTATGTTTTCTTCAGGTAGTAAACAAAAAGGGGGTTCTATTACGTTTGGGATTTTAGGTTGTAAAGGGAAAAAAATAGGTATCCAATACCATCCCGGGACATAAAAATGACGGATAGACCTTTTTTTTTTTTTTTTTTGCATATGAAATCATAATGTTTTCTCAAGTATTTGAATCATTCACCCTAGAAGTGCTTGTTTGCAAAAAGAACGCACCGTGTCAATTCACTTTTGACACATGTTTATTCCCACCATGTTGATTTTTTCGTTCCATGTATATGAAAAATGTAGCAAACAAAATGAATGAGGGCGGCATAATCATAATACATACTTGTATCACCATTGTGATGATCGAAGCTCAGCATTTTAATTTATCTAGTGTATATGTGCGGTGCTCATATTCCCTATCTCTTAACCAAACAAAAGCAAAAAAAAAAAAAGTCATACTGATATGCGTCTTGACACACTTACATCGACTAGTAAACATATTCTATTCTGGATTGTTTTTTCGCGGATGAATGGTATAGTATTATTATTTAATTAAACATGAACGAGAAGCACATGTTGGGACAAATCGTCTGACAACCCCTCCCTTCTTTGCATTAAAAAAAACACAGAGGTGTTCTGACCTTAATTATTCAATAAGAAGAACACAGTTGTTATGGTTATTTACAAAGTATGTCATCGTACATGGATTCTATCTTTTCAATTAACTAGACAGATGGGTAACTAGGATACGCTATCCTTTTTTTTTCAGGCAGATATCATACGTGTGGCTTAAAGACACATCATCATCATCCTAAATGACTCTAAGGATGACTCTTTGTAAGTAACAACTTTGCTTAAGGTAGTGTCACATGCAAAAAAAAAAGTCAAAAAAGGTATGAATAACCAAAAGCGGAAGAGATTTTAAGGGTTTGATCGTGTATGGAGGGATGATACACACACACACACACACACACACAGTGAGATTAATATAATATAATAATTAAAAGACACAATAAATAATTTAAGTATATAGTAGAAAGATCAAAAGAAGAATCTCTCTACTACAAAGTAATGGTGGGGTTTTTGGCAGATTCTGTAACTGATGTTGCAGGGGTTGAGGATTGATACACAAGAGGTAAATTGTGGTTGCTGATAGACTTTGTCAAAGATGCATGTACCTCGTCACTAACAAAAAATAATTGAGCACGCGAAAAAGGGGGGGTCATCTGTTTGCATTTCAAAAAAACTTACTTTGAACACACGATAAACTTTTTGGTAGTAGCTTCAGATAACAAGGGACGAATCAGCTTAAAGATCATACTGTATCATAGAGAAAAATATAGGAGTGAGGCTAAATTAGCTCAAGCTAAACAAGGTAATTATTCTTATTTACCTTCCCCAATAGGGCACATTGACAAAATATTTGACGGCCTGAATAAGAATTTGTTTGCATTTTTAAAATATCTGTAACAAAAATGGGGGGGGGGACACAACTACTTACCAAGAACTCTGGATAGTTATCTTGCATAATTTTAATAATCTCCTTGGTAGCGGCTTTTGCATTTGAAGAACGACCAAACAAAGAAGCATTATGATAGTCATGAATGACTACCATGGAGTCGGTTTCAACAAAATCAATCAATTGAACTCCTCTCTCCATCACCTGCACTCTCCACCGAATAAACCTTACATTGTAAAATAAAATAAAAAATTTAGTCTTCTTTTTTTTCAATCTCCCTTCTACTCCAAACTTACTTTTCTACGTCGCCAAAGACTTCTTCTTGGTCAATATCGCCATAAAAGTTATAACATACGGGTCGACCTTCTTTATCCGTCTTGTAAACGTAACTGACAGACCCTAAAACACTTTCATCGTAGACTTGATCCAAAATCTCATCCGTCTTGAAATCTTTTCTCCAAATCAACGTGTCAATCAACATTTGAGAAGCCTTGGTTAAATCAAGGTCTCTATTTTTGTGTGTGCTTTTGTATGAGCATTTTATTATGACATTGTCAGTCCTCTTTATACCTGGCTCTTAAGAACTTGACCAACAAAACATCAAGTTTGGGATCAGTCGAGTCCTTATCAAGTGAAATGTCCCAAAGTTTATAATCAGAAGGAATGTTGGCAGCAGTCTTGACCCTGTCCAAGTCAGCTTTTAAGGCTTGTACAGCTTCCTTCTCGGCCTTTGTAAGGGGTGTAATACTCATGATTTATTTTATTTAACAAACAAAAAGGATAAAAGAGAAAAGAAAAATTAGATTGTTTGGAATATTTTCATATGTAAAGTTTTACAAGGTAGTACAACTCATTAATTGGATCTGATAAACAATATCTTTACCACCCCCCTTCCCCTCTCAAAACACCTGTCAATAGTAATCTACAACGATGTCTTGTACAACAGTAGTAAAAAAAAAAGAACAATGGGTAGAAACTATCATACTACGCAGAAACAAAAAATCTTGGCGATATTGGCAATATTTTTTAAATCAAGTAGAGAGACATGCTTTTCATTTCCAAGTTTGGTGTATTTGGGTGCTTTGAAGCAACCCCCGATATAGGAATCAGATCTGATAACTCCCATGGGCCCACGAGTAATGGGGGGGGGTGTCTGAAATAGCTTTTTTTGAATTTTACAGGTGCCGATACAAAATTTGACTTTACCATGTCTTATCACCTGTAAATATCTAGTGGCATAGGACCACTGAAATTTACCTTTTGCCTCATTTATCTTTTTTATCAAAAACCTGATTCGTACAAGAACCGTCAAGTAGATTTTCTCCTGCTGGTAAATTGATTATTCCCTTTGATTAGAGTTTTCAAAGAAAGAGAAATAGAGAAAAAACAGTTTTGTGTCAAACAATAATAAACAGCGCTTTTACAAGTATATATTTTCTAAATACAAGAAAGTTACAAGATAAACTTTTTTTGTTTGATAAGAAAGCAAGGACGTGTAAATACATTTATTAATTGATAGATAGGGGTATATAAAAGCTTTTTCTGGCAGATGTGATAAAAGAGGCTTTGTGCGTGAACCAAGTAGGCTTGAAGAAGGTAACCAATAGAGAGCAGATGTGTGTTGCTGTTAGACCATGAGAGAGACAAGCTGTTCAAAAAAATGTCCCCAGTTTGCAGGGCGGTTTATCCAATTCGCAGGAAATAGAATCGTAACTATGTGGAGACTACCATTGAAGGATCTTTGCTTGCACTAACAGCTTGTTAGCCTCCCAAGCCCAGGGGCACATATACTTCGTGACTGTAGCTACAAGCTCTCACTGGATTTAACCACGTTAAATCGCTAGCTTATACTACACCTTGAAAAGAAAACTTGAAGTAGAACAACTGCCTTTAAGGAAGACGTACCATGCAGATAGAGAGTTTTGAAGACGTTTGACGCATATGGAAAAATCGGGGGAGGCTTGTAAAGCTTTGTAGTATAGATTTGTAAAAGGTTAGAATACCAAGAGAGAACCAAGAGTTTAAAGAGATTTCAAGAGAACCAAGGAAAATGAATCAATAGTAGTAATAGTATGAATTGTAGTGGTAGTATATGTTGTAGCAGTTGTATGAGTTGCAGTAGTAGTAGTATCAGTTTTAGTAGTATTATGAGTTTAAGTAGTAGTAGTAGTCACATCAGTTTTGTGGAAATGACAATAGTAAGAAGATGACTGTAAGGATAGGAATCTTTAAAAAGTGCTTAAGTATTTAAAGTTCAAACAAATGTATCAACAAACATTTGGTTATATCATTGGGCGTATTCCCATGAAATTGATATGTAAAATCTATAGAAAAAAACTCAGCCGGCTTATCTATCACAGAAACCTGTTATAATGTAGTTCAGTCAGGAAGTGTTAATTATATCTATTATGTATATATAGTACAAGTCTAAGGACAGCCTTTGAATGAGTCTATTTCTTTAAAAGTGAACAAAGAATATAAGGAGACAAGATATTCATGACAACACTTGTCAAAAGATTAAGCTTTTTTTTTTATCATCTGTCACCGGAGTATTTATGCAGCTTCAAATTATTATTACGTCAATTGCATATACATTGATTAAATAAGGACCCGGGACCATGGGATCACTCGACGTTATGTCAGTAAGTGCCATTTCATGTATCAGGGTGTGTCAATTACCGAAGTATTTTTTTTTTTACATCAAAACCTAGCCTAAAATACACAGTTGTGTCGTTAGGCTGAATCATGTTATGGCCATTAAATGGTCAACACATTGTGACCGGAATAGACATTTCCTACAAGTATCTTGAGCTATTGGAGTCGTTTTACAACGTGAAGAAAAACATGACAATTTATAGCGACTCTCTAAAAATGAACAATGAAGCCCTAAAAAATCATAAATATGTTCAGCACACATCAGACAGTATCGCCAGTTGTGGCGCCTCCCAGCCAGAGAATTCTTACAAACTGAAGATAGGCTATATAACGACAGTCATAGAATCACAATGCATCATCTTCACCAAAAAACCAATTGCTGTTCGTCCCGATGATATGTCTCTTATGGTGGAAAGGCCAGTTAAGAAAAGAAAATCTCGTTCCTGTATTCTCTGTGATAGTGATAGTTGCAAAGGAAGGTTGAATGTCACCAAATGTACTCTTTCTTAAGTTTTATCTAGTTTTTTTTTAAGATGAACAATGTTGAACACTGTTCAACCTAATTTTTCCCGAGCGTCAGGGCGTTCAAAAAAAAAATCTATTCGGAACAGTCCCGGGTGTATGGTATAAGGCCCAAAAAAATCCACGTTGTATCTTTGTTTTTTTTTCTAAAACATTACCAACGATGCCACTCGTTAATACCACGAATAATACCTCTGACAAAGTTATTAAAAGGAACAAAAGACTAACGGATTTGGAATTGGATCAAGTAATCGCTCATTATGAAAACGGTCTTAAAGCAGTAGCCATTGGTAAACTCGTAAATAGGCCCAGAACAACCATCGCTAGTGTTATCAGTCTCTACAAGAAAACAGGTTCCCCTAAAGGCAAACCCTCGACTGGAAGACCTAAAAAACTTTCAAAAACAAGTGTTAGAGCTTTAAAAAGAAGCGTTCGCGCTAATCCGCATGAGCCATATGAGTTTCACAGGGAAGCCTTAGCCCATGCCGGTGTCCATGTTTCAAAGGAAACGATCCTTAAAACTTTAAAAGACGAAGGTTTCGGTTTTTTTTCTGCCATAAAGAAGTCAGCTCTGACGGATGAACAAAGGAAGTGAAGATTTACATGGAATAACGATACGTTCAACTAAACCAATACCCAATGAAGATAAAGAAAGCTTGTCGAACATTTTTTTTTAAAACGAAACGATATTTAAATGTGTTACATCCAACTGCTGTCTCCTCAGTGATGCAAGTGGAGAAAGGAGAGAGAAAAAGACAAAGCATAGTTCATTCATCAGACAAGCTTAATACATGTTTAAAGAAATAGGTCTAGCTAATCCTATCTTAATTTATTCTTTATAAAAGTTACCATGAAGTCACCTATCGAGTTCGATTTTTCTTTTATATTATATATATAAATGTCACTAGTTAGAAAAGGAATGTGCAGTGAAGTTGATAGGAAAATGTAGAGTAAAGCCACCACAACTTAGGAGCCTGTAGGCTGTTCTGTTGCGGATTACTTTTAGAACACTCCTACATAACTTAGTGGAGGTAGCTTATTACGCAACATTTATGAAAACATAATTCAGTAGTGGAACCAAATGCTTTTTATAAGATCACTTTAGATAGAACGTCTACTGGTAGTCTTAATATTAAGTACTGAGGGAAAGTAATGGGAATATGAGAATAAGATTTGAGTTTGGCACAATTACCATGTCTTCGATAGCCGACCAATCGGGACTCGAAACGCCACCTTTAATGCTCACTTTTGCATAAATATCACACTTAAAACTTGACGAATGGCCGGACATATTATAACGAGAGGTATACCGTAAAAGAAAAATACGGTTGATAAAAATAAGGAAAGGGTTGTAGAATATCAATCTAACATAGTGTTTTTCTTTTTAAGTTATTTCAGCAAAGTTGTCACTACCAGTATTTATATACCTGTTCCTGAAAAAAAACTATCACTTATGTATATACAAGACTCAAAACCCTTATTCAATAAATATCAGTTTATTTATTTGTGTTTTGACAATTGGGAATAATGATTAAGGTTAGATATAAAGGGTAGATTAGTATATATGATTACAATGTGCATGTTTTTTTTTTAGTTCTTGATTGGAGACAATCCAGAAGAACCCTTGACAGAACTGTCATCTACACCTTTGCTGATATCGTCTTCTTGGATGCTTTTGGGAGATCCACTGTTTGCAGGCGCAAGACCTAATTGGGAGACATCATACCCGTTCTTTTCAAGATATGCACGGAAAGCCTCATCCTCTTCTACCAAACTATCGGGCCCGATCTCGGGAAGTAAAAACCAAGCAATAATACTAGCAGCAATGGCAATACCACTACCAACTAAAAATGGACCACGATATCCACCCATAGCTTCCTGCATCGGAATGAAGGCAAGTGTACCAACAGTGGCACCTACTTTACCAATCGCTGCAGCGATACCATAACAAGTACCTCGAACAGCTGTAGGGAAGAGTTCCATTGAATTTAATCCCATGGTGTTACCAGGTCCATACTCACCCAGAGCTAAGAAAATACCGTACATGATAATGAACATGGGCATACAGTTCTTGGATAAAGGTTCATAGACACCACCAAGGATCATGCCGATGATACCTTGAGCAAACAAACCATAAGCCAAAGTTTTTCTACGTCCGATACGATCAACAGAATAGGCACCCGCTAAGCACCCAGGAAGGTAAAAGGCATAAAGTAAAATGTTCCAAGAAACTACTTCAATGGTTGATTCACCGCTGGCTACACTATCAATAATAACCGTCGAAAATACGCCGTTAGGGTAGGAGATAAAATCGTAAATAAACCATAAACCAGAAGTGAGTGTAAGACGAAACCAATATCTCTTAAAGATAAGTACATATGGAACCTTTTTTCTGATAGCACCCGCTTGATAGCTTTTAGAATCAGCCATTTTGAGTCGGACTAAAAAAAAAATCACAGGATTATATTTGAGCAACGTGACATTTTCTTTTTCGCATAATTTGAATTTACTTACAGTACAAGACAGACAATGGTGGTACAATACCCAAACCAAGAGAAATACGCCAAACTGGTTCTAAATTATCTTTAAAGATAGCAAGCAAAATAACGGGCACAATAGCAGAAATGACATAACCGAAATCGATAACAAAATTTGTAACCTATGAGGCGGAAAGTGATTAATTAAAATCTCACGAAGCTTACTACTTTCTTGTGATTTCACTTACTAGTACAAATAAGCCACCACGTCTTCCAGGAGCAACTTCGTCAGCTGATTCACCTGCAGATACAGAACTACAAGGATATTCACCACCCACGCCTACACCAAGTACACCTCTCGCTATAATCATCATCCAAAGCAAACCTGTAGTTGTCTTGCCAGATGATGCAGCAGATAAAGCAGCACCCAGGATTACTAAAAATGTGGTAGCAACAAGTCCGATTTTACGGCCCACACGATCAATAATGAGACCAAAACCTACATGAAAAAGTTAATAAAAGAAGGCATGATCAACCCAAAAAATAATAAAAAATAAAGGAAAAAGTACCTATTTGACCCACAATTGCACCCACGAACATGGAATATGACAATCTTGATTTCATGGTTGCATTAAATTCATCTGGACCATAAATTTTTGTAAGGAAAAGATTAACAAAACTGATGACACCAGATTGATAACCATCAGACAAGAGAGCAAATCCACTGAACAGAATATTGAAATAAGATGCGGTTTTTGATTTTTTGACGGGTAATTCATTTTGAGGGCTTTTATTACTATCTACAGTCTTATAGTCAATGATATTTGAATCCATGATGGCCTTCCTACTACCATCGATATCCGACATGTTTTAATAATTGTGAACGAAAAGCAAGAAAAAAGAAGGCAAAAATTCAACTCTTTAAATGGCTTATTTCTTTTTGTTTTAATCTCCGACTTGTTCTGTGATAATTAAATCCATCCCTTGAGTACACGTTTTTGAGTGCAAACAAAAATAATTTTTCCATTTTTGTGATCTAATATAAGGTTTTGTATTTTCATCTCGTATCACCATAACATTTTTATTTTAGAATAATATAACCACACGCAAAACCTTTGTGATCTAAGCTAATACATTAAGGATTTGTATATAAAAACTTAATTTCATCTCGTATCACCACATCAATTTTTCTAAAAAGTAATATCACCACACGCATTGGGCAAACCCTTTATTGTGCGCTACACTTTCTATCGTCATATAACGTTTGTTTCTGTGATTCACTCAGTATTACATTGTCTTGTCATCATAAGTGGGGAGTACTGCGTTTGTCGCGAACACAGCCAACATAAAAATGCCGGAAGAGTTTTAATGGCATGATCGCCAAGTAAAAAGTTCCTATCGAAAAAGGAGGCTTACATGATAAAAGCGGTACCTAAATCAATGTTGCCAAACTTATCTTTTAAACCATTATGTTTCACCATTTAAGCAGACCAGTGTCAGGTCAACGTGCTCCCTTCGTGAGGCCTTTGTGGAATAAGCTATGTTAAGTTTTGGGATGGGGCCTAAACAAACATCGGCGATGCTGAATCTGAAATACTGAAAAGAGAAAATGAAGTCCATTGGTTAAAATATGTTTATAGGGCATACTTGTATCTGTATTATAAGGACGTTTAAGATGCTTAAACCAAATCATTACTGTTTGAAGATACTTATTCAATATGAATGTGAGTCTTTAATACGAAATTAATAATAAACAAAGCACTTGTTTTGAAGATCCCCCCAATTGTTTTTGCAATACGATCTGTTGCTATGGTCAATGGTTTTCAGAAAAAAAACGCATTTAACGTCAAAACAAGACAATTGTAATTCTGCAAAGTGTTATTATACATAGTATAATTATATTTTAAAGGATTTTTCGCCAAACTTGTCGCCGTAAGACCCGGGTACAAGGAAATGGAAATATGCATGCAGGTGTATAAACATTGTGCATTCTCCCCCTTATTATGAAATCAAACATTTTTTGGGATCAAGAGCTATTTTATATCAAAGATCTAGATCCTAAGAATTAACTTGTGTTTGTGTTTTTTCTTTTTTGTAAACACAAGAGTTGCCCATCAAGTTTTATTATAAACTGCGCATTTACAAGAGAATGCAAGTGTAGCTGGAAAGCTTTACTTTTTGTATTATCAAGACATTACCAACTTTAGATCACTAGATGTGTAACATTTATTTGTAGCATACAAATTGAACACACCTTAACTTTAAAGTCTCCCTTGTCACTTTTGTTGATCTCATTGGTTTACTGGGACAACAGAAATATTTGCTGAAACTGTTTGTATTCATTCTGCTAAAAATATAATAGCATAGCCTTTTCTTATGTAAGATCTTTCACGAAGTCAGATCAAGTCTTTTCACCGCGGTTGAATGAAAATATCATGTGTTACAGAAATCAGCTTTTACATGTATCCCAACATATTAGCACTCAGACGTTTCAAATGGAATCCAAAATGCTTACCTAAATTTTTATTTATAGCGTCCACCTAGAGCCACAACAAGATACCATACAAACTTAAAAGCTGCTTTTATTGGCAGTGGTTTTTATGAAATTTCTTGTACGACTGATGATAAAATGTTTATATCTTGTATTCGAGTCTATATTTATAAAAGGGAATTAAATGACATATGATATGTAACCCTTACTGTGTTGCAAAAAAATGATATTTAATTAACGATTTTAGCTTGAGCTTCTTTATAATAATCAGATGGCGTTGATGTATACCACGTGGATATCAAACATACAACCAGTATGATAGAGGATACTAGGTCTTTTTTTTTCGCTTTGCATTCAGACTTGATTTTTTTTATGTGCATAACATACTAGGGAGCAATAGAATCAAGCTTGTCATTGTGACGATAGAAATCAGGTCACTTGTTATTTGGTTTTTGTTGTATTTTTTTTTAATTTCGCTTTGTATTGCATGTGCCAATGTATCATTTACTGATATATACCTTCCGGTGGTCAAATAGCTGTAAACTCTGCTCGGTCTTTAGAGTTAATCTGGGTCCACGCATCAGGTTAAGTTATCAGAATGCTTGCAACTAAGGTTCCAAGCTATTTGAGACTTAATTAACTGCAATTTACATATATATTGATCAGATTCTGGTTCAGTTTTAAAACGATGAGAGAGCCTCGTTTTATGCAATCATTGGTATAGGGTCAAGCGTGTTGTATACGTTTTTGAAGTTTTTAGTTAGTAAAAATATCGATCTTGTGGATAGCAAGTTCCCAACATTTCAATCGGATCGACTTTTGGTTGAAAACGTTGAAAAATATGATTTTATATTATTGTATAATGGAAAATAAAAGATGAAAGAGTGACATTATGCGTAACGATATGAAAGCCCTTCATATTAAAAAAAAGTTATTTTGTGGTATATATTTTAGCTGATAAACTGAACTCAATGACATGAAGTAGTGCCAAAAAAATAAATCAATACCTCTTGGGCAGAATTTGAGTAAAGCGCTCGTCCATATGAAAAAAAAACATCGTCTTAAAACTGAGAGATGACTATCTAAAAACCGGTATCTCCGGATGATCCTACCTACTGGGCTCCATTTAATATTGTCTTTCGGAAGAGCACTGTTGAGCTGCGTAAGAGCACTGTTGAGCTGGAAGGAAATAAACGTGTGATACAATATTGTCCATGTTTGCATAATTGGTGTAAACAAGAATTAGTGTACGTCAGAGCTTATTGTTTATGAAAAACCTCATTACTTGATGAACATTTGCCACCAACTTTGGTCGATTTGGATACGCGCCCACGCTTAGTGTAGTGAGAGAGGACACTCTCTGAGCTTCTCTATCATCAATGCAGTGATTTAGCAAGTTTTAGGAATACCTCTCATGTGTCAAAATGGAAAAAGTAAAAAGACGCACAAAAGCGGTATTTTGAGTGTCTGCTCCCTGAATGATTGGCTAGCATTGTAAGTGCTACATACTCGACCCAAAAGTACGTGTTTAATTTTTTTTTTTTCTTTTAAAAAAAAACTCTTTTCTTCTATACAATAATGTCAAGTCAAGATTCCATTAGTGTCCTTTTTGTTTGTCTCGGTAAAATAAAAAAACTGTAGTTTTTTAGACAACATTTCCCTAAAAAACATTCATGTAGGCAATATTTGTCGCTCACCCATGGCTGAAGCTGTGTTTGCTCATACTGTGAAACAACATGGTTTAAATGACAAGATTAGCAAGATTGATTCAGCAGGTACTGCTTCTTATCATGTAAGTCCATCATGACCTGCTTTTTATGTAGGAATCAAGGCATTTAACAAGAAAAAATTATTTCGACTGTAATTTTTTTTTAGGTTGGTAGTGTTCCCGACAGTCGCAGTACTTCCACTTGTAAATCTCACGGTGTCCCAGTCAAGCATCATGCCAGAAAGGTAAACAAAATTAAGGTTGTCAATCACAATGTGCTCACAAACCCGCAGGTCACCAAGAAAGATTTTGATAATTTTGATTACGTGCTTTGCATGGATGAATCCAATTTGAGTGATTTAAAGGTAAAAATGAAAACGAAGGGCTGGAAGACAGTGTGATTTATAAGTGTACGAATTTACAGAGAATTCAACCTAATGGATCGAAAGCCGTGTTAAAGTTATTTGGAGAATTCGATCCTCAGGGTGAGCGTATCATTGAAGATCCTTATTACGGTGGCAATGATGGTTTCGAGCATAATTTCAAGCAAGTGTCAAGAGCTAGTGAAGGACTTTTAAAATCGCTCCAACTCATCGGTTAATTCTTTGCATATCATCGATGCAGAAAAATTACAATTTAATATATAAAATGAGGCGTATTATTTTATTTTTCATTCCATTCCTTTTTTTTTTTCTTCTTACTTTGTGTCTCTTCAAAAATGCTTCATAAACCTATCAATATATGCTTTTTTAGAAATATCTTTCGTGTCCATGATAATCAATCGTTACACCATGCTATCCAATCAAGCAAACATGTACTACCTGTCGTCTGCCTAGATCCTAGATTGATGGATATCAGTCTACTCAATGACAAGTTGGGGTTAGACAATGTTACGCCTAAAACACATACTTTTGGTCTCGAACGATGCGCTAATTTTCGTACCAGCTACATTATTGAATCCATCATGGCTCTCAAGCAGGAACTTATCAAGAGAAATAGTGATTTATTAATCTTATTTGGTACTCCAGAGGACTTGTTTCCTGCTTTACAAAAACATCTTGCCAAGAATCACTACCAGCTGGAAAAGATACATACACATAAGGAGGTAAATTTAACTGAATGATAATTCTTACGCGTTTTAAATTAAACAACGACCTTCTTGTTTAGTATGCCTTTGAAGAGCTTGCGGTTGAAAAGACCCTCTCCAAGACCTTACCTATGGTCTATCATCATGACACAACGATGGTTCATCCAGATGATATTGATTTTGACAATACATACAAAGTCTATACCCATTTCCGCAAGCGAATTGAAAAGATGGATAAGCCTGTGCGTGAACCATTAGAGATCCCCAAAGAACTACCCTTTTTCCCCAAGGAAGCTATTGAATTCCAACCAAACGGCGAGCAGCATCTCCAAGCTCTTTACAAGGATGCCTCTGTCAAATCGGATCAACGAAACGCGTTTCCTTGGAAAGGTGGAGAGCAAATAGCAAAAGAGCGATTGAATGATTACTTGTTCAAGTCGGACGGTGTGATTGATTATAAACAAACACGAAATGGTTTGATCGGTACTGAGTATTCTACCAAATTCTCCGTGTTTCTTTCCCATGGTTGTTTATCACCTCGGTTTATCTGGCATGAAATGGAAAGACATAAGAAAGAACACAAACGCAACATTAAAGCAGCTGGTGATGAAGATGGTATTTATTGGGTCAAGTTTGAATTACTTTGGCGCGATTTCTTTCGATACCTGGTCATGGGGAACGGTAAAAAGATCTTTTTGTTGCATGGATTTAGAAACATGGCGCCGTTGGAAGAGGATCAAAAGAAGCCCAAGAACAGTTATTTGGATAAAGTTTGGAAAACAAATGATGAGTATTTTAACAAGTGGAAAACTGGACAAACGGGTTCTCCGTTTATTGATGCATGCATGAGAGAATTAATGTACACTGGATTCATGAACAACCGTGGTCGACAAAACGTGGCAAGTTATTTAGCAAAAGATTTGGAAATTGATTGGAGAATTGGTGCTGAATACTTTGAGTCTATCTTGAAGGATCACGATGTCTATTCAAATTACGGCAACTGGCAATACGGTAATTGAAAGATTAAATTTTCTTGTTTATGATAAATAATGTATTCATATAATATATTCTAGTGTCTGGTGTGGGCTGTGATCCACGAGAAGGGTTTAGACACTTCAATGTGTTGAAGCAAAGCAAAGATTACGACCCAGAGGGATTTTATATCAAGCTTTGGTGTCCTGAACTTCAAGACCTGCCTTCGCATTATGTCCATTGCCCCTGGCTCATGTCCGCTGAAGAGCAAAAGCAATACAACTGTGTGATTGGACGCGACTACCCTGAGCCCATGTCTATGATGGAAAGTTGGAAACGGCATTACCCTACTGCTGCCAAAGGAAGCAATAAAATCACAAAGTATCTTGATACAAAGAACAAAAAGATCAAGGTTAAATAAAAGTACAAAATAATTTTTTATTATTATTATTGGTATAAAAACAAAGCTCTTTTAGTTCATGATTTGAACCTTTAATGCGTTTGCAGAAGCATCGCCAACGGTATCAAAGGCCTTCAAGGCATCATCAAAAGCGAAACGATGGGTAACCATGTGCTTAATATCCAACATGCCACTGGAGATTAAAGCGATGGCTCTAGGGTAAGTATGATGGTATCTGAACAAACCACGAATATCGACTTCACGCATGGCAAAGTTATTTACAGGAATGGTTTGGTCATTCTTACCAACACCGACAAGACAACAGGTACCTGAATCACGGGTAGCCATGATGGCAGTTCTGAAAGAGGATTCAATACCTGTACATTCCAAGACAGATTCAGCACCTTCGCCATTGAACAAAGCACGCATCTCGGTAGCGGTTTCCAACTCGGATTTACCGGGAACGATCTTATAGGTGGCGGTAGCACCCATCTTCATGGCATAGTCCAAACGGTTTTGTTGGACATCAGTGATGACGATAGGATGGACACCAGCAACCTTGGCAACGGCCAAAACCAACAAACCAATAGGACCACAACCAGTGATCAATAAAGACTTACCGAACTTGGCACGAACACGGTCAACAGCAGCGACAGCGACAGACAAAGGTTCTAATAAGGCACCCTCTTCATAGGTCAAAGTCTCGGGGATCTTGTGTAACCAACGAGCAGGATGTGTGATATATTTAGCGAGTTGACCATGATGAGGAGGAGTAGACTTGAAGACGACATCAGGGCAAAGATGGTATCTACCATTCATGCATTGATCACAAGCGGAACAAGGGATACCACTACAGAAGGATAATTAAGACGGATGATATAATAAATACAGACGATCAGGACTTACGCTTCAACGGCAACACGATCACCAACTTGAAGAGAAGTGACACCTTCACCGACAGCAGTAACAACACCAGCACTTTCGTGACCCAAGATCAAGGGTTGAGTGGCAGCAAAGATACCGATTTCACCATGACGACAAAGATGCATGTCAGAACCACAGATACCAGTGCACTTAACTTGGACCTGAACGTGATCCTTTTCAGGTTGAGGCATGGGGATTTCAACCACGCGTAAATCGTTCTTGGTCATCAACATGACACCCTTGTTGATGGTATCTTGGGTGGGGATAGTGTAGTCAGAGGCAGGAGCGATAGACATTTTTTTTAGAAAGAAAAAGGTAGTTGGTGTGAGAAAAGCGTCTAATTGTTTTTTGGTCTCTTTTATAAATAAAATGAGCTTTCGGGAAATACGTTATGGACCAATAGGGATTATCTTTTTTCAATTCAAATTCTCCATTTGGGATGGAGAAAGAAAGAGAGAGAGAGAGAGAAAAAAAGAGATTTGAGCGGTTGTTTAATTACGTAAGAGAACGGGGTCAATATTTTGGTGTAATATTTTGCTTTTTTTATTTTTTTTATTTTTTTTGTTATTTTCTTTTCAATCCCTTCATGATTGATCCAAGCTGACGACTATTCTAATTTCACAACATTTGTCACTTGTGTTTAAAATTTCTTTCTTTCTTTCTTTCTTTTTATTAAAAGAAGCAGAGCCCTCGTGTAGTTGAATTGTATAGATTGCAACAGTAAATAACGTAAGATGAACATTTTTTTAAAAAAAAAGAAGCGATAATGTGTTTAAATCGTATCCAGTCAAATCCCCGATAGAACTCTTTTATTTCTTTTCCCCCCCTTTATTATTATTATTATTATTTCCCCTATGTATAGTCGAACTTCTCCTTATACCACCGGTAGACCACTGATTAATCCACCTACTTATATTGAATACCATGGATTACGCTTCTTGATTGTTGATGCACCCAGTTCCAACAATTTACCACTGTATTTACAGGTAAATTCAAACAGACTAATAAAGAAAGATGATAAACAAACGTTATACAGGAATTCGAACGTTGGAACGTAACAGATGTAGTCCGGTGTTGTGAAGCAACCTATCCTAAAGAGCCACTCAACGAGAAAAATATTCAGGTACATGATTTTGTATTTGTAGATGGTGAAGCGCCACCTGCTCCCATTGTAGATGCTTGGTTGCACCTCATCGAGGCACGCTTCAACCTTAATAATAATAACGATGATGATGGTGATGATGATGCAGAAAAGACACAAAATGGTGAGAAATTACCATGTATTGCCACCCACTGTGTTGCTGGCCTTGGAAGGTAATATATCATAGACAGCAGAAAAAAGAAAAGAAAAAAAGGGCATGGCTAACTAAATCAAAAAGAGCGCCCGTGTTGGTTGCGATTGCCTTGATTGAGGAGGGCATGCCGCCTTTAGATGCGGTGTCTTTTATCCGTGAACGTCGTCGTGGAGCCATTAATAAGAAACAATTGAGATATATCGAAACATATAAACCACGATCGAAAAATAAATGTATTATCTGTTAGATTTATGTAATATTTAGAAGGAAAAAAAAAATTATGCAATTTTTACTACTGATATAAGGGATTAAATAATAAGGGTGAAAGAAGGGGGGGCTAATGATATAAAATATTTAGTTGAAAAGAACTGATCCCATACGAGCTAAAAAGAAGAATTGGGTAATAACAGTAACAGATGCAACACCAATCGCAACAGCAGGAATGAGGTATGTAGATTGACCTCCACTGGTGGTAGAAGGTGCAGATGATGTACTAGGTGGTGTAGGAGTGAAAGAGGCTGCAGATGAAGCAGCTGCACCAAGACTAGAAGAGGCAGAACTGACAACTGCACTGGCTGAAGAAGCAACAGAGGCAAGAACAGAAGAAGCAGATTGGGCAACAGAGCTTTGTTGAGCAACGGGAGCACTAGTAGAGGCGGCAACACTGGTGGTAGCAGCAACACTGGCAGCAGTAGTAGAAGTAGCAGCAACGGCAGAGGTTACACCAGTGGAGCTTGCAACAGTTTGACCAGGCCAGAAGTTGGCAATACATTGATCGTAACAAGCATTGTCACCACTACATCCAGTAACACAGGCTTGACCATCGTTGACTAATTTAATATGATTATGATTAATTACCATTTTTTTTTTATATATATATATTCATCACATATCATAGCAACTTACCACACTTTTGGAGACAAGTAGTATCACTAGCATCACAAAGACAGGCAGCTTGGACTTGACTGAATAAAACAATACAAGCACTTAAGAGTAAAATGGTGAGTCTGGATTGCATTATTATAATAGATAGAAAAAAAGTTGTCAAATAAGTGAAAACAAAAAGAAAATAAAAAAAATAAAATAAAAAGATACTTGTATTTATAGACATCTCCTTTTTTATCTGTACGCTAGAACTAATTGGTAGCTGCAGTCGAAGTTTTTTTATGACATCTGTGATATTAAACGGAAATAGGGAGAAACGTCCTTTTTTTTTTTTTTTTTATTGTTTGAAAATATGCAGCCTGTACAAGAACCAAATTAAGTTGGATCATGAATAATCTCTCTCTATTCTCTCTATTCTCTCTATTCTCTCTATTCTCTATCTATTCTCTCTCTCTCCTCACTCTTTGCTTCTTTTGACAACAATCCGCTAGGTCACACAGAAAGAGAGCACATTTTCCCCAACTCTTTTTGCACCCGATCCAAAGCGTTCCTTTTTTTATTTTTTTTTATTTTTCTCTTAATTTCTTATTTTAAACATGTAAACATTGAGAGCCCTCTTTAAGGTAAAAGCCATATAATGATGATGAGGTTTTTTCCTTTATTTTTGTTTGGTCCAGATCACAATCTCTTGTAAAAATATTTGAGGGCGGAAACTTAAAAGCCGATGGTGTTACTTTAGCGAAACCGGGGGAACCTTTCCCATGCACACAACGACGGAGGAAAAAATCAAAAAAAAAAAAATTAGATTGTACGTTTTATTTTCCATTTGTTCGCATTAAAAAGAAGCACTAGAAAATATGACAGAGGAAAGTCAGATTCCTTCATCCGAGAAAAAGGTCACACACAGGCATAGAGTTCTAAACACAATCCTTCCTATCTTCTTATTGATCTTGGCAGGTATCTCCATTGCCTTTCAAGCTGGTAAATAGTTTAAACACACTGATCTAATATCATTCATCTATTAAATGTTATTTCAAGGTTGTAATGCGGCCTTAAATCACTATGGTGGCAGGTCGTTTTCTGCCATCATTAACTTTTCTATTGGCGCCATGTGTTGTCTCTTCTTCTTTATTTTTGATGTGGTCATTATCAAGACTCCCTTGCCCACCAATCACGTCAAAAGTAAGTTTTCGTACTATTCCCTTTTTTTTTCCCATTTCCCTCAAAAGTTTTTAAAATAGCCGCTCCATGGTACGCCTGGGTAGGTGGTATTATGGGTGCATTCTACGTAATCATCAATATCCTGACCGTACCCAAACTGGGTACAGCAACCGTATTAAGGTAGTAATATCTTTCATACCGTCATTCGTAACTTCTTTTTTTTTTTTGTAACCATCAATGACTTCACTGCCAGTATTTTCGTTTGTGCTCAAATCATCACCGCTTGTGTCATTGACCATTTTGCCTTGGTTGGTGTCACAAAACGGACTTATACTATTTGGAGAATTCTGGCTTCGTTAGGTTTGGTCGGTTGCGTCGTGGTCATTGCCAAGTTTTAGTGCGCCTACTCAATGTGGCGGCGCAATTCCGCCACAATACAGAAAAATATCTAATTATAACCGCGGCACATTTGTACATAATAAAAAAAAACTTCCCAGTGTGAGGAATAACATAGCAACTTTTCTGAAGGATGTATGAATGAGCCAATTATATTACATAGACTAACCACGGGCACAAACAACTAGTTTGTACACTGCAGTCGATTCCCTTAAAAAAATATAATATGCCGGCTTCATTGTATGAATGTCACATTTATGTAGTTGGTATGTTTATCAAGCTCATTTCGTTATAGCAGTTGATAAGCTGGTGCTGTTTATGTCTACATAGTATCTGGAGACTCGCTGAAGAAGTGTACACGGGAAATCTTCGGTTTGTTACGGTAAGTTTTCCTATTGCGACAACAGGCCCAAAAGCTATTCAGATTAACTTTTATCCATGACCAGATTAGGATTTAGAGTTGACTTTATTTACAAGCATATAAAAAAAAATCTTCAGGCAAAGCTTATTCATTTGTTGTTATGCAACAAATTACATCATGCTGAATGACGCCAAAATAATCTGCTCCTGGAAACAAAGCCACAAAGAATAGCACTCAACCAGATTTTTTTATGTATAATTTCCTACATTAAGAATAGTATTTACCCTCCTTATTCATTTGTGTGAGTAACTAATGTCCTCCAATGAGTATGATCAGATAGAGAGGATACAAAGGAAGCTCTTGTTTTTGGAAGTGGTCTTACTTTTAACTTGTTTGGGTTGATTAATCATGTCAATATCAAATTATGTCTAATTTGAGAAGCCAAGAAAAGTACTTATTAAACATTCACCTGACAAGGGTATTCATATGTATGATGCTTCTTTTTTTTATTGTAACCGTTTCCTCTTTTTTACGAAAGCTGCTTTTTGGGCACCCAATAGAATGTTGGTTACACTATTGCAAAAAAAAAACAAGTGACTTTTCCGCGGGAGACAGGTTAAATAACCTGTACAAGACACTTATTATTGAATTAATAAAAATGTGAACCCTTAATTTATACATTAAACCACTAGGCTTCAAAAAGATAGAAAATTGATAAACTAACTCAAGTATAAAAAGGAAAAGATCCTCTGTTTTTCTCGCGGGCTTCGCTGTTTCTTATAATAGAATAGAATAAAGCAACATGTGACAGGAAAAGCAACATTAAACTTAGAATAAACTCTGCCACTGATTTAAATATGGGATGCATAAATCAATAAAAATATTTGATCATCTGGAGTGGGATATGTTACGATGGTAAATTCATGGCAATTATTAAAAAGCTGTTTTAAGTTTTATTTTATTTCTTTCAGTCATTGCCCATTCAAAGCAACATGCTAAGAGTAGGATCACTTGAGACTAGAAAGTGAACGCTGGCCCAAATCCGAATGGCATTGTGGAGGGCAGTAGCAGGCAGTAGACTAGAATCACACAAGCTATACCAAACACACCTATCATTTACCAAACACGTTGACCGCTCAGAATGCCCTTTCCATAACATGCCAGAGACATGCTTAGAGCGAATCATACCTATACTAGAAAGTGAACGCTAACCCAAATCCGAGTGGCATTGTGGTGGGCAGTAGCAGGCAGTAGACTAGAATTACATAGGCTGTGTTTGGTGATTTACTGGTTGAACAGAGTTTGTAATTGTGAATTGCTCACCACGAAAACATATCGATACATAGAGTAGATGATTAGCGATACATGCGACTTTGTAAATTCATATCATTGGTACTTACACGTCTAGATCTTGATGCTTGTTTAATCGTAATTTGATACAAATCCACTCAGAATGCCCTTTCCATAACATGTCAGAGACATGCTTAGAGTAAGATCACTTGAGACTAGAAAGTGAACGCTAACCCAAATCCGAGTGGCATTATGGAGGGCAGTAGCAGGCAGTAGACTAGAATCACACAAGCTATACCAAACACGCCTATCATTTACCAAACACGTTGACCGCTCAGAATGCCCTTTCCATAACATGCCAGAGACATGCTTAGAGCGAATCATACCTATACTAGAAAGTGAACGCTAACCCAAATCCGAGTGGCATTGTGGTGGGCAGTAGCAGGCAGTAGACTAGAATTACATAGGCTGTGTTTGGTGATTTACTGGTTGAACAGAGTTTGTAATTGTGAATTGCTCACCACGAAAACATATCGATACATAGAGTAGATGATTAGCGATACATGCGACTTTGTAAATTCATATCATTGGTACTTACACGTCTAGATCTTGATGCTTGTTTAATCGTAATTTGATACAAATCCACTCAGAATGCCCTTTCCATAACATGTCAGAGACATGCTTAGAGTAAGATCACTTGAGACTAGAAAGTGAACGCTAACCCAAATCCGAGTGGCATTATGGAGGGCAGTAGCAGGCAGTAGACTAGAATCACACAAGCTATACCAAACACGTCTATCAATCATCAAGCACATTATCTTGATGATTCTCAAGAATGAAATGTTGAAAAAAACGCTCATTTTATTCCTACTAGTTTAAAAAAAGCGCCAATCAAAATCGACTGCGTATCGAGTTTACGTCACCACTTTATTTTATTAAAACTGTATGGAAATTGCTTTCCCAAATATAGGTCTACCTCCCTCACTAATCACTATACAGCATGTAGTACTATCTTCCTATCTCACTCCAACAAACCTAGCCAGCCTTCAGGTCAACAAACACGCCTACCTTCAACTTCCCCTCTCAGCCGTCTGGATTCGCACCAATCCTGCAACTATCGAAGTCGTCTCTAGTAAGCCTGGAATTCAGAAGATGTTTGCACCTCGACTTTTTGCATCGATGATAATAACACGCATATTATTCACAAAACCCTTTGCGCACGTACACATAATCCCAATCTGGCCAAACACTTTTTCAGACTATTGAACCAAAACACCCTCATGTTAAATTTATTTTTTACTCGTCAGTGCATTCCCCCAGGAATTACATTCTACTCATACAATCTATTTGAAAAATCCTATCTTGACCTGTCCCCCAATGTTGACTCCCTTCTACGACAGCATCAAACAATTTGCGGGAGTCAGGATTAATATCAATCGATTGGTACGACACCTCATGATGGAATAATCTTCTCCTTCAGCTGCATCCAACAGCCACCCTAAAACTAAAGCCTGGACGGAATTCCGGAAGACAAGGCCACATCCTACACAAAACATATGGCATCGTTTGGTTCACAACAAGGTTCCAGTCAAGCCGTTCCCAAATGTTTGGCCGCCAAATGTTTACCTCAGCCCTATGTCGTGAGTCCATTATGTCATCAATCCGCTAATCAGCGATTGTAACTTAATACACATAACCAACCACAGCAATCGCATCTACTACTGTACGAAGCAATACAATTGTAGTTACTCCGGATTGCAATTCTAAAACATATGAATAGCTTCAATTATCAATCAATAAACATTATCTTTATTTTACCCAAAGAAATTAATCATGTTGGTCAAGGCAGACCTAACCCTTCTGACTTGTTAGTTAAGCACCGTCCTCAAGCTTATGTTACCTTATTGTGACGTATGTCCGGATGTAACTGCAAATGCCGATCATATATTTGTCTCTTGTCCCCAAAAATGGTCTGTATGGGCCTACATACTACTTATTTTTAACCAACTTCAAGGCATATCCAAAATTGAACAACAATCCATCATTATCCCAAGGCCAAATCACCACTATACCCCATTGCAACTCCATACAACTGCTTGGCTCGACTATCCACTCTATCTGTCTATCGTACCGCAATGAGATAATCCGCTACATTACGTTTCACGTGGAGACCACCATAAAATGCACTCAACAATTAGTCGCTTCTTTATTTATAAAGCAATAAGATGACAAGGACACTCTGAAAACTTAAAAATCCAAATAAAAACCTTTACATTATTTTCGTAGTCACTCAATTGTCCGGACCAATGATAATTGTGTTTCATATTGTTGTCTCCTTCGTGTATAAAAACCTCCCCCCCCCCCATTTTTCCTGAAGTGCTGCTTTTATTTAGTTTTCAGTACTTTTTATTTCTTGAGATGTCAAAAAAGGAAATGTCTAGAACTCCGTATTTTTTTTGAACGTATTTTTTTCAAATAAACGTATTTTTTAGAATTACGCGTTGGTCGACATGCCATATCATCTAAACTTCATAGAATGATCGTTTTCTGTTTTCCATAAAATCTGCTTCGCTGTCATTACAAGCTACTACTGGAATGCAGATAGACAATTACCAAGCTCTGACTTGCTTGGGAGGTTTTTGTAAGTGTTTCTATTTTAAGTAAAGGCTCAAACATTATGGATGATAAAATAGACAAATGAAATTATCCTGACATAAGCTTGTTTATCTATAAATAAAGCTGGTTCACACACTTTATTCTTCTCCTTTTCTTTTCCCTTGACATACTTCTTTTAATGTATGAAAGTAACCGATCACGTAAAAAGGTTTGTTTAGTAGTGACTCTTGTTTCTTTGAAAAGAAGCTAAATTGAAAAAGATATATAATTGTGATAATGCGGCTGCGGCTAGTCTTTGCTATAGGAGGGCAGAGTTCTTGAGTTTTTGGAACTCACGAACCGTGAATGGCTGTGATTGCACTGTAAATAGGTGCAATTATACTGGTCTGCTGGTCTTCTGGCCGGAATTCCTGTAAGTGATATAAAAAAAATACGTTTGAAAAAAATACGGAGGTCTAGACATTTCCGTCAAAAAAGCTAAATCTGAATCCATCACCTCCCAATCTGAACAAGTTAAAAGGGTCCTATAAGATTGACCATACCTTACGTGCAAAGCTCAATCTAGATCACAATATTTTGACTGGCAGTGCAAAAAGTTGGCGCGATATAAAATGTGTTGTTCGTGACTATCTCGATTGCTCTGAGGTGTGGGAAGACCAACCGCAGCAATTCGTTTTGCTATTGCAGAAATCACTGAAAGCAATCATTACATATCTAAGCAAGCAACCTACTAATAATGTTCAAACAAATGAACTTCTTTTGAAGGAATACTGCTCAAATCTAGATACCTTTTACCATAATCCACGGATCATTAATGCTGTTAAGAAACTGTACCAAACATTGGAGCTAAAAAAACGCGATGAAGATAACCTACAACAAGCACATATTCAATCCAGTGCCACAGCTTCGGCCATGGTCATTGAGAAAAGCCGTATGATGGAAATTACCTCCAAAAAGAGGTTGTTTGATGAGGTTGAGGACGAGGTTGATTGCCTTGAGGCATTTGAACCTCGTCGACTTCAAAGAGGTTGATAGCTTTGTTTTTAATCGCGTTTTTTTTTTTTTTCTTTTTTTTCAAAACTAACCCTTCTAATATCTTTAGAGCGGCGATGTAGAAGAAGAAAGTTCCTGTCTCTTGAATCAACAGTACGAACAATCTTTGTTTGATTCGGAGGATCCGTTTAATCCCAACCCCACTGTTTCAAAGGTATCATCAACTTTGTATGCGTAGTTTTCGAACACAAAAAACAAAATACTTAAAAAATTATATGGAGTCAATACTCTTTTGTCAGGAGTGGCAAAAGGTTTGATTTTCACACCCCGTCCAAAAACCTTATATCACCAAAGAAGCCCGCCCTTAATCAAGAAGATCATGGCTGCCTAAGTGATCTGTTCGATATACGTCTGTCTACAGATACAATAACAAGTTGTCACCCCGAAACTCAAGAAACATACAATACCTATCGTAACGAGCAGTATGGTAATACTTACCTCAAGTCTCACGAAGGTGCGATTGCTTTTGTAAGCAATGTACTAAATTCTACATGTCCATTGACATCCTATGTTCCGAATTGCTTGTATATAATCTTGGAGGTATTTGTAGATGTCTCACTATCATCAGTGAAGGCTGAAACATATAGATGATTAAATAATCAATGAAATCATCCTGACATAAGCCAGTCCTTGTTTATTAGTTTATAAATAAAACTCGTACACACACTTTTTTGAGAAAAATAAACAATTGCATCATCCTGACATAAATTAACTCTTGTTTATCAGTTTCTAAATAAAACCCATTCACACACTTTTTCTTTCCTTCTTTCATTCTTCTTTTCATCTTTTTGAAGAAAAGTAATAAATATTGTAAAACGGGTAGCTGAATAACGACTTTTGTTTTCTAAGAGACGCTAAAATATAACTTCTTTTTTTTTTTGAAAAGGATATACCCCGATTTTTCATTATTGTGTCTACGGCTAGACTTCTCTTTATGATGAAGATATCCCCATTACCCGCTGTAGGCATTGTAAGCATGTGTCTTACAATGCCAATTACGGCGGGTCAGAATATTGAGTAAGCCGTCTTTAGTGATCCGATGATGGTCTCAAATATGTAAGAAAAAAAGATTACATGACTCTAAAAAAACATAGAAAAATTAAAAAAAATACGTAGGTGTAGACATTGTCATTGTGATCCCTTTATTTAAAATTCCAGTATCATGACTGGAATTTAAAGCGGTTCGTGGTGAGTAATTCTATCTATCGATCAGAAATTCAAATATACTTATAGTGTTCTTTTTTTTTGCGTTTAAAGGTGCGAAAAACAGTTGTTGGATTAAGACATGTCGAACTGCTGTTAAAAGACTTTCGTGCTTCCGGAATCACTAGGAAGCTTCATGATGGTTTTCTAACGAACGAAGCCGAAACCATTGCAATCATACTAGAATCATCTGGGTAAGCAAGCGCTTTTTTTAGAAAATTGTCATTTGTGTATTGAGACTAAATTTTTTTCTTCAACAGTGCCGAAGCTACACCTCATGTTGTAGATGACACGTACAAACAGTTGAAAAGCTCCTCTGATTTTTTAAAGTACATCATTACAAAGTATAAGATGGGCTCAGTGACGACATTAAAGAAGGTACAAGTTCCATGCGTTTCCATCGTTGAGAATTGCCTCACGCTTTGTTTGACCACCATTCTTAACTCGGAGAAATGGACTTTTGTGGAAGCCAGATCATGTATCATTCCCACTAACACTGCCGAAAAAAAAAACAATGGGCCAAACTCTTTGAGTCACCCATGTTTGCAGGGCAATCCCTGCTATTTACAGTCAGATCACATCTATTTACTTTCTCGCTTTTTTAAAGCACATCGTGAAGAGGTCACTTCTGGAGATCGACCGATTGGAAGATGAGTCCTTAGGATACGTCGATTTGGGGTCGGAAGAGGTCTTGATTAAAGATTTTTTTATTTAATAAATTCAATAATGTCATGTTTCAAGCTTCATATTTGATGTAAATAACGTTCATATTGAATAAATGATTTGATTTTCATACATCTATAACATAAAGATTGGTGTGGCAAAATGGATGACAAAGGGAATTATTATGGATATTTTTTAAGCTAGAATTAGTGAGACTAGTGAATGTTCCAGCGGATGATATCGTTGATAAACCTTAAAAATGCATGGATAAAGACTAGTTGGGTGAGCGAAAAAAAAAATTACAAAAGAAATCGCAGAGAGTGGGGTCCGACATTCCCAGAAGTTTTTAGCAAAGTGTTTGAACATGGTAAATCTGGTATTTCATAAGCATTTATAATATTATTGATTCATGACCAATTGTAACTAGTTGCTCTAAGGTTTGAACACACCAAATAAAACTTGATTGGTCAAATAAAAAGTTTGATTATTAAACGCAAATCACTGTACGAACATTGTATCTCATTGCAACTGAACAAAAACGTTGTGTCCATTACAGACACTTCCAGTATTTATAATCTATGCACACGTTTCACAGCCACGCACATATTTTAAATTTTAGGTTAAGCTTTTTTTTTCTCGTTTCTTTTCGTATACACATGCATTAAAATGCAACTGGTAGAAGAACAAACATGAATAGAGTCATCGCTCAAGGTCATTTCTAATTGTTTATAACTTTTTTTTTCTCTCGGGGTCCAATTATGGCCTCATTGCTTTACAGGATTTCCGTTTCTTCTATTCAGGTCATTTGCCTTTTAGGTGTCACAAAGACGGACTTGAACATTTAAGATCGGTTTAGCCAAGTTGGGTTTGGTGGGGTTACGTCTGCTGCCAAGGTTTCATGCGCCTTCTTTCAGTGGCAAAAAAAAAACTCAATAAGTTAGTCGAGCGCCACAAAAGCGTGTGTATTTCATGTCATATAATTGTGAATTTATTAAGTAAAGAGAGGGATGCTTGTATAGATTAAAAAAGAAAATTAAAGTGTAAAGTTTTTTTAAAAAAAAAGAAGGGAAGGTTTCTAACGCTCTAAGGAGCCAGAGGAAAGGACGGTATCTTGATTATGATCTTCAAAGGTATCTTGAGAATTTGTGGTCCAAGCAGGGGGGAGAGCACCCTTTTCAGCATTGGGTGTATATTGAGGTGCACTTTCTTCCACGTTTTCAATTTGTTGAGGCTTTGGTTCATAGTTTGTCTTGGGTTGCTTTCCATAGGCAATGCGTTCATTACCAGCGACATAAACACTAGGGGATTGGTTACTTGAGTGACCTCCCAAATAACGTTGACGGGCAGCAGGATTAAACACAAATACCCAGGCAAAAGCTTGATCAGGAATTAAACGAATAATCACACCGATGGGTAAAGATAATAAACCGACACAGATAGAAATGGCCCAACCAATACCGTCAATACGAACTACTTGGAATGCACTGCCACCAAAGTTGACAATGATACATTGGAGGAAGATACAAAAGATAAAGATAAACATAAAGAACTTGTTGGCCAAGATGTTATGGAAAATGTTCAAGTGGGAATCGATACGTCTACAATTGATTTCGTTAAAGATTTGACAGAATACAAAGGTGTTAAAGACAATGGTCATCAAGATGGGATCATCGGATTCATAGTGTAATACATCACTGTAAAGCAATACAATGGTGACTACAATCTGGAAGATGGCTTGACCAATAATCATTTTCCACATCTTGAAAGTAATCAAAGGATCAGATCTGGATTCGGGGGAGCGTTCTAATAATTCTTCAGTGGGAGGATCGGTAGCTAAAGCAAGGGCAGCAAAGGTATCCATGATCAGGTTTACCCATAACAGTTGCACAGCAGTCAAGACAGACTTTTGATGGGTACTAGCTACAGCAGAGATAAAGGTTAAAAGCACAGCAGTGATATTCACCGTGATTTGGAACTCGAGAAATTTCTTGACAGCGTCATTGACACAACGACCCCACATAATAGCACGTACAATACTGGAAAAGTTATCATCCATCAAGATAATACTGGAGGCTTCTTTGGCTACTTCTGTACCAGCGATACCCATGGAGAAACCTACATCAGCCATCTTTAAAGCAGGACCATCATTGGTACCATCACCCGTGACAGCCACAATATCACCTAATTCACGCAATCTTCCCACAAGGATCTGCTTATCTTCGGGACTGGATCTTGCTAATACCTGGAGACGAGGAAGAATAGCATCCATTTCACTAGGGGGTAAGTTACGAAAGACAGGACCTTCCATGACAATACCGCCAGGAGTATAGATACCACATTGTTTAGCAATACTTTTAGCTGTCACCACGTTATCACCAGTGACCATACGAACAAACACACCGGCACGTTGACAGGCTTTGACAGCTTCCTTGACACCAGGTCGCAAAGGATCTTCAATACCGACGATACCGAGCAATACCATTTGTTTATCTTGAGTGATAGTTTCATAAGGAACTTCATTACCATCCTTGACAGGCCAACTTTCAAAATCACGGTAGGCAATACTGATGGTACGTAAACTACGAGTAGCATAGGATTGGATGATACGGTCAACACGACTACGATCTTCGGTAGTTAAAGGACGTGTTTTGACATCATAATCATGTTCACTATCGTTATTTTTAGCAGCGTTCAAGGTCAAGATATGACCACAGTTTTCAACAAGGATTTCAGAAGCACCTTTAACATGAGCACGATAAATGAATTCACCTGTTTTGGTAGGATGAGGAATACGAATGACAGTAGCCATGGCTTTACATTCAGAACTAAAAGGGAAGACTTGCTGAATAGGCCATGTATTTCTTAACTCTTCAAAGTTATCGGACCCCATGTTCTTTGCGAATTGTAAGAGAGCGGTTTCTGTCTTGTTACCGACAAATTGCACGGTATTGTTTTCATCGGGGGCTTCAAATGCAGTCGAGTTAATAGCAATGGATTGACTGATCATACGAATAATGGGTTTGGGGACCTTTTCAGAGATGGTAGATATATCACTAAGGTCTACACGGTTGGAAGGTGGGTCTTGAATAAAACGGAAGGAGGAACCCAAAGTACCAGCAACGACCGTCATCTTGTTTTGTGTCAATGTGCCTGTTTTGTCAGAACATACGGTGGTAGCATTACCCATGGTTTCACAAGCAGCCAAAACACGGACCAGATTGTTATCCTTGAGCATACGTTGTGTAGCATATGCCAGTGCTACATTGAGATAGATAATTAGTCATTTGATATATGTGTGTGTTTACATATTTGTTTCCTTACCAAGTGTGACGGCCAGGGGCAAACCTTCAGGTACAGCAACTACAACAATGGTGACCACAACAATCAAGATACCCATGATTTGTTGGACGATTTCAGTGGCAGCAGGGATGGGTTCATACTTCCAGTTGACAAAATAACGAATTAACAAGACAATTAACATTAAAAGACCGGCAGCTGAGCCTAATTTTGCAATCATGGAAGCTAAAGCGTTCAACTTTTCTTGTAAAGGGGTTGTTTCATTCTCAGTACGTAAAGCCATGAGGGTACGACCATAGTAAGAGTGAATACCAACACCTGTAACGAGGTAAGTACAGTTACCTTCCAAGACTTTGGAGCCAGAAATGATAAAGGGATCAGGAACGGATTTATGGACGTCATTTTTCTTGGTGGTTTCGGTAGCGCTACTAATGGAGGAACTGCCATTATTGAGAGTAGGAACAGCGAGTAAATCTGATTTTTCAACCTCTTGTTGTTCGTGATGTAAAGCATAACATGATTCGTAGGATTGTTTGCGTACAGCGTCTGATTCACCTGTAGCAGCAGATTCATCACATCGTACATTATGGCCACTGATAAACAAGCCATCCGAAGCCACGATATCTCCTGGTTCTAAATAAAGGACTTCACCTACTTGAATGTCATAGACAGAGATCTGAACAGTCTTTCCTTCACGAGTTGCCTAATAAAGTAATTTTGTCAATATTTGGAACTTTTTTAAATTAAGTGCACATACTTTAACGATACGATCATCTTTCTTGGCATTTAATTTTCTAAATTGTTTTTCTTTTTGGAAATCATTGACACTGCCAACCATGACAACGATCAAAATAGCAATAATAATAGCAACACCTTCCACCCATTTCACACCCGCAATCTTTTTGCCGTTGGTATCGTACTCGGGTTCTGCTACGTCTTCGTAAATTCCCACAGCCAATGAAACCACTGCAGCCACAGCCAATAAAATCTATAAATGGACAAGAAACTGATAAATTAAGTGTTCCACAGAAATAAAAGAAAAAAGATATTTACAAGTGTTTTATCATTAAATGCGATCCACATCAGATCAAACAGATTCTTTCCCTTGACGACGGGTAGGACATTAGCGCCAAAATAAGTGGCTCGTTTTGCGTAAGGGCCGGTATGTTCTACAACGGGCTCAGTTGGGGTGATTGGTGGAATATCATGCTCTTCTGATGTTAATGTGCTAACTTGGTCTTTTATTTGTTGTTTATCATACGTAATATCATGCAAGGTAATATGAGGCGAGAAGACAGTATTGGGATCAAGTCCTGTATGTACGTTAGCATGGAGACCTTTAGCCACCCCCTCTAAACCACCAAAGGTGTGTAGTAATTCAATGTTTTTGGGATCATGTAATGCAGCTAATTGTTCAGGTCTGAATGCAAAAGGGTTATCTGGATCTGAATGCGGTGTTGTGAGTGCATCACGCATATCTACTTTAATTGACGATGATTCATTTTGTAACTGTGTAGATGAATTATTGAAAGACATGCTAATAAAGAAAGAAAAAAAATGATGTGAGAAAAAAAAAGTTGAATAAGAAACGGAATGGGCACTCTATATATACTAGAAAAAAAAAAGATCGACGTGTACTGTAAAAGGAGGGAATTCCAAGAAGCAATTGAATGACCGAAATAAGATGAAATAGATTTTCTCGAAGTGTCAATTAAAAAAAGAGAAGATTCCTTTTTGTAACAAAACAAGCATTAACTACTTTATTGGTAAGTCTAAAAATGATCGCCCGTCATATTAAGCTAAGCAGAAAATTCCATCAAGAATATTCCTCTTCTTCAAATCCCGGTCATTCATCAGATGGTGTGTAACATTTTGTTTGGTAAAATAAGATACAATCAAGCAAGGCCAAGATGGAAAATTAAGAATCATGATCTACAGTTAAATTTCGTAATTTTAATAATGAGTAAAAAAAAAAAAAAAAAAAAAAAAGAAAAAAAAAATATCAAAAAAAAAAAAAAAAAAAAAAAAGAAACAATGCAAAAATGGAATGTGAGTGTGAGTGTGAGTGGGAGTGAGTGTGTGTGTGTGTGTGTGTGTGGGAGAGATAATATGTTATAAGTTGAAAAATAATGATCTAATTTCGCTGGCTGATAACTTTGCACTCTTTACCAGACCATCACCAAGAGCACCCTTACTAAGTTGTGCCTAATTAAGGTGTCAATTAAAAAAACATCACGCTTTATGTGATTGTCTGGTTACCTTCTTTTCTTGTAATTCAACAATTTTAAGTTCTACTGTGTTATCAATTAATAACCTGGTTACATGTACGGGTAATCTTTGACCGATTCTGTGGACTCTATCAATGGCTTGCTCTACGGTGGTGATTTGTCAGTTGCATAATCTCTAATGAGTCTATCTTTTTTTTTTTTTACCTTCTAGTGCGGGATTCCACCAAATGTCCATTAATATCACCCGGTTTGCTGCAGTCAAATTAAGTCTAAGCCGAAAAAGTTAGTTATTTGTTTACATCCAAAAGACAAAATCAGCTACCCTAATGATCCACATTTCAATGATATCAGCATGACTGTGACCTTTTTATCGTGTTTCAGCATATGCAAACTCTTTTCTCGTAATTGACTTGACATGGAACCGTCATCTGATGAAATGGAAATGCGTGAGTTTTTTTTTATATATATAATGACAAAATTACTACTTACATCGACAGACAGCAAATCCGTTGCGTCTTAAAGGACCTTCTACTAAATCCAACATGCTTGTGAATTGGGAAAACACAATGGTTTTTTCACCCGGATTCTTATCACGCGTTTCCATCAGAATCTCCATTAATTTCCTAATCTTGGTGCTGGTCTTGAATAATCCGTGGTGACCTTCTTTGCCATCACTTTGTTTAATCACTTTGATACAATCGTCACAATAAGGCGTCGTGTTATCCACAGTCTGACCATTGTTTGATCTTTTTTAAACTTTTTTTTTAGAACCTTCTGCTTATTCTTGTTCTTCTATTATTATTATTATTATTATTTTACCTTCCGCATAGTTCACAAAGTTTGGGATACATGCTATCACTCACATTACCCGCATCCGATACAATGTCCAGAACATCCTTGTCGCTATCGATTGCATTCAGAATAAGCTGAGGATGGTCACACGCTGATAGATCGGAAGGTGAATAAAAGAGATAAATAATAAAGATAAAAAAGAATGGTTACCTTGTCTCAATCTAAGCAATAAACAGAGCATGTTCATGTATCGACTTTGATTTCCAGTCATGGAATCGATGGCTTCTTTGGAACGCTTCATGAGCAGTTCGTACAAGGCTCGTTCGTGATCACTAAACTGGAGCAGCAAATCTGATTTTTCACGTGTAGGTAATTTAAGAGTTAATTTTTTGGAGAGGCTGGAGTTTTCATCGGATTCTTCAGTTTGTTGGGTTTCTTGGCCATTTGCGTCTTGTGTGGCGGTGCTTGAGCCTAAAACGCTCTTGGTACGTCTCAGCATGACTGCCATTAAGACTGCCTTTAATCTGTTCATCGCTATTGCCGTGTCACCATTCATGATGGGTATGGAAATCGTCTTTTTGAAGGTGGGATAATCCGACAAAGGTTGAATTCTAAGAAACCTTAAAAGACTATAAAGTTCGTCTACGTTATTTTGAATAGGTGTACCGGTTAAACACCATCGTTTAGCGGCCTTAAGTGTGGCACACGACAAGGAGGCTTTGGTCATTCTATTTTTGATAAACTGAGCTTCATCCAATACAATACGGTGCCAGTCGATTTGGAATAAAGGTCCATAATCTTTTTTCGTAACTGGTTTTGCTTCTGCTTTTTCCTCTGCTTTTGCGTCTGATTTTGCGTCTGATTCTGTGTCTGATTTAGCCCCATCTTTTAAAACTTCTTCTTCATCATCATCATCCACAACAAAAGAATCCTTCCTCTTCTTCTTTCTTCCCTTGCGTTCATCTCCGGGCATATCTGAAGCTACAACTTGATAGGTCGTCACTACTACGTCGTAGTGTTTGAACACGGCAGGGTTCCTGGCTCGGTTAGGTCCGTGATGTTTAAGCACACGTAGTTTACCCTTGTCGGTCTTTGAAATGATTTCTTCGACCCATTGATGGACTAATGCAAGTGGTGTAACAATGAGTGTGATCTGGTGATCTGGATCACCTGATTCCCTATCGTCTTCTGATGTCATGGTCGAAGCCATAAGTGCAATGGTCTGAATCGTTTTACCCAACCCCATCTATGTGACTGCTGCGTTAGTTTCCCTATGTATGTATGTATTTATGAAGTAAACTTACGTCCTAGAATAACAAAAAAGAAAAGAAAAGGATGAGCATGACAATGAAAATAGAATGTATACAAATAAACTATAGTTACATCAGCCAAGATACCACCGTTGCTACTTTGATTATTCTCTCGGTCAATCATCCAACTGACACCTTTAATTTGATGGTCCATGAGATGACATTTCAAGCCTTCAACATACCCGTTATCCAAGGTTTCTTCTTCTTTATCAGATTCGTCCATGGAATCATCCGTCAAGATTTCAATTACACCTGATTTCTTCTTGTTCTTTCTCTTTTTTAACAGGATTTGGGGTACATCGCTAGGGATACTGGCCAACAACATTTCGATATCCTTCTGTCCTTGGTTGGTAGGATTTCCTGTCGTGTATTGATGGTGGGTAGTGTAAGGAAGATCATAACGGTAATGTGGTCCACCGTAGTCATGGTATGATTGACGTTGATACTGATAATGATGCTGTTGCTGGTTTGATTGATGAGAGATCTGTTGATGATGGTTATGTTGTTGATGTTGTTGTTGCTGGTGAAGGTGATGGTAGTGTGATTGATCCAACATATAATGAGGATTGCTGTAGCGACAGGCGGGGTTGTAAAAAGGAGGGTTCTTTAAATAAAGACGTTGAGACTCGAAATACTTGCCAATGGTACCTAATAAATCGGGACGACAATAGAGAATGATGCAAATAGGCGTACGGGCAGCGGTTGCCTTTCCTCGAGGAATGACAGCGTCCCACCAAATCAGACGATGATCGACAAGCGGACCTAACACCTTTGTATCCTTGAATGGAACCCATCCATACTAAAATAAGAAACAATGAGGATTAATCTATCTGTATGTATGCGGCTAATAAAAACAAATATTTACAAATTGAGGTGGTTGACTGCGCGATGTCACTTTGAAGGCTATTTTTAATAAGTTAGTGACCAGTTTAAAAGTATAGGGTTTGACAGGGGAAAAACTCACAATAGTTGTCAGATAATTTGCCTTCGGACTCTAGACTGACAATCTCGAATTGTTCATCACGGATTAGGTTTAGAGGTGCTTTCTCGACAACAATATCGGTGTTAACCATGCCAATACAGATATTTTTGTTGGTCATTTCCTCATCAATGATGATATCATCATCACTTTCTACTTTGACAGCTGGTTTTGGATTTGGTGAAGGTTGAGGCTTTACGTCAGGGTCAGGTTTAACACCCATTTCCTCCAACTTTTGTTGCCTTAACAATACGACTTTTTCTTCGGCTTTGACGATTTCTAGTTGTCTAGCTTGTTCAGCGGTTGCCTTTTGGCGTCGCTTACTTTCTTCACGAAGTCTTAGTTGTTCAGCATACAATTCCTGGCGTGTCTTTTCCTTTAATTCGCCCTGTTGCTGTACTTGTTCGATCTTTGGCTTATCTTCTTCGATTTTTAGGTTGCCTAAGTAAGGTGTGGGAGACTCCTCCTTTGAGGCTGACTGTGGTGGAGTAGGTGGAGAATCCGTCCTTAATATACTGGCAAGTCTATTTTGAATCTTTTATCCATTAGGGTTTTTTTCATCTCTTTTTTTTTATAAAAATAATGATAAAACTTACAAGGGCAGATTGACCAGGTGTGGGTCTAAACATATTATTTAAAGGTGTTTCAACTAGACGTCGACGTTTGGCTGTTTCTGTCATTGAAGCAGAAGACCTACCACTGTTTGGTTTTTGTGAGGGAAAACAATCTTGATTCATGTGTTTTTTCGTTTAATAAGGAAAGTGGTTTCAATAAGTCTAATAATTCTAATTAATTTATAACATTCAAATAAAAATAAAAAAAAAGAAGGGAAAAAATTTCTTTTTTATAAATTTTTTTTTTTTTTTCAATGTTTTAAAATAGAGAAGGGGAAAGGTGAGGGGGAAGAAATTTTTTACAAGTTCGAAGCCCATCACATGACGATACGAAAGGGTCAGCTGCTACACAGCACATGATCGTCTTAAGAAATCGCTTACGAAAAGAAGCACTCTTAAGTCCATTTTGTTGCCGTTAACTACTTATCATGGGTTGCCATGCATACTCTTTTATTCATTGTCCTTGATTTTATCTCGTTCAATTGGCTTGACCATCCTTCTTCATTATTCTTTTTGCATTAATTTAAAAACCGTCGACTCACACAAACTAACACACAATACATCATCATCACCCCCCCTCCTCCCCTCCCTTTACTCTATCTGGTTTTGTATCTCTTCTTTTTTTTATTATTTTTTATTATTATTATTATTGTTATTGTTTGACAGCATAAAAAGTAAATCTCAAACACGTCATTGCCATGTTTCGTGAGTCGCGCCCTCCTTCCCACCCGCGCGCGCGCTACTCAGATGATCACATGACCGCATAATTGATTACCCGACAGAAAGTCCATTCTCTCTCGTTCACTGCTGATTTTTTTCCAATTTTAAAAAAAAGTTTCATTTCTTCATTAAAAAAGAGAACCAAAATGGATCACTTTGAAGGAGCATCGCAAGATGACTTTACATTTCTAGAATATTCTGCTGACACGCAGTCTTCGCAATACGAGTACAGTGATTTTACACAAACGCCCAAAGATGACGTTGATCCCGATCTTTCGTTACAATCATTATCTTTAGACGGACAGGCCGATAATGATGAGGATGAAAATGCCCAAGCCAACGGCACCACCTCCTTTGTCAATGATTTCCAGTTTGAAGACACCGACGATTTTGGCGAACTCATTGTCAAACCCGACGACAAAGACTTACCTGCTCATGCATGCAAGTACTGCGGTATTCATTCCCCCGCTTCCGTTGTCAAATGTGTGACATGTGACCGATGGTTCTGTAATTCAAGAGGAAACACGTCTGGATCTCACATCATTAACCATTTGGTACGTGCCAAACACAAAGAGGTCTCCTTACACCCTGACTCTCCCCTTGGTGATACAGTCTTGGAATGTTACAACTGTGGTTGTCGTAACGTCTTTTTGTTGGGCTTCATTCCTGCCAAGAGTGACACTGTCGTCGTTCTCATTTGCAGGTAACGTACTCTTCAATATACTCATTGACCACATTATTAAACCTATCTTTTTTAAAGACAACCATGTGCTGCTGTGCCTTCTTCCAAAGACATGAATTGGGACACCACTCAATGGATGCCATTGATCGATGATCGATGCTTTTTAACATGGCTCGTCAAGATCCCTTCTGACCAAGAGCAACTTCGTGCCCGTCAGATCTCTGCTACTCAAATCAACAAATTGGAAGAATTATGGAAGGATAATGGTGAGGCTACGTTGGAGGATTTAGAGAAACCAGGTGTGGATGATGAACCTCACCCTGTGCTGTTAAGGTAAGATCCACGGATACATGTAGGATTATTTTTTTATAACACACATACATCTTAGATATGAAGATGCATATCAATACCAAAATATCTTTGGTCCTCTCGTCATGATGGAAGCTGATTATGATAAAAAGTTGAAAGAATCCCAGGTAAATTTATGGATTTTTTATTTTGCCTTTTGTTTGTTAAATTAACAATCAAGTATATAGACGTGTGATGATATTGTAGTGCGTTGGGATGTAGGTTTGAATCAAAAGAACATTGCTTGGTTTTATTTTCCCAAGCTGGAGTTAGGAGAGATCAAATTGGCTGTAGGTGATGAACTTTGTCTTCGTTACCGTGGTGAATTGCATGAAGCATGGAATGCTGCTGGTCATGTAATCAAGATTCCTAATAATATGAGTGATGAAGTCGCTCTTGAATTATCTCGTGCTGGTAAAGCTCCCACAGATTGTACTCACAACTTTTCCGTTGATTTTGTTTGGAAATCCACCTCGTTCGATCGTATGCAATCTGCCATGAAGACCTTTGCTGTGGATGAAACAAGTGTAAGTGGTTATATCTACCATCGTCTTTTGGGACACGATGTTGAGCCTCAAGTCCTCAAGACCCAAATGCCTAAACGATTTTCTGCTCCCAATTTACCCGAATTGAATCATTCTCAAGTCTATGCTGTCAAATCCGTACTTCAAAAGCCTCTTAGTCTTATTCAGGGTCCTCCAGGTACTGGTAAAACAGTTACTTCTGCATCCATCGTCTATCATTTAGCAAAGATGAATCCCGGTCAAGTCTTGGTCTGTGCTCCATCCAACGTCGCTGTTGATCAACTTGCTGAAAAGATTCATCAAACTGGCCTTAAGGTCGTGCGTATCACGGCTAAATCGCGTGAAGAATTAGACTCACCTGTTTCCTTCTTGACTTTACATGAACAAGTACAAAATAACGATACTAATGTTGAATTACAAAAACTCATTCATTTGAAACGTGATCAAGGTGAATTGAGTGCCTATGATGAAAAGAAGTATAAATCTTTAAAGCGTGCCTGTGAAAAGGAAATCTTGCAGAACGCTGATGTCATTTGTTGTACCAGTGTGGGTGCTGGTGATCCTCGTGTTGCTAAATTAAGATTTCGTACAGTCTTGATTGATGAGGCTACCCAAGCTTCTGAACCTGAGTGTATGATTCCTCTTGTTTTAGGCTGTAAGCAAGCCGTTTTGGTAGGTGATCATCAACAATTAGGTCCCGTCATCATGAACAAGAAGGCCGCTCGTGCTGGTTTATGCCAATCATTGTTTGAGAGATTGGTCATTCTTGGTATCCGTCCTATTCGTCTTCAAGTCCAATACCGTATGCATCCTTGTCTCTCCGAATTCCCTAGTAATATGTTTTACGAAGGTACACTTCAAAACGGTATTACCACCCAAGAACGTATTCGTAAGAATGTTGATTTCCCTTGGCCTGTTCCTGAGACTCCCATGATGTTCTATGTTAACTTAGGTAACGAAGAAATCTCTACTTCTGGTACCTCATACTTGAACAGAACAGAGGCTTCCAACTGTGAAAAGATTGTGACACGCTTCATGAAGTCAGGTATCTTGCCTTCTCAAATCGGTGTTGTTACACCTTATGAAGGTCAACGTTCGTACATTGTGCAATACATGCAATTTAACGGATCTTTACGTAAGGATCTTTACAAGGAAATTGAAGTTGCTAGTGTGGATGCTTTCCAAGGTCGTGAAAAGGATTATATCATTCTTAGTTGTGTGCGTTCCAATGAACATCAAGGTATTGGTTTCTTGAGTGATCCTCGTCGTTTAAATGTAGCCCTTACCCGTGCCAAATATGGTGTTGTGATCCTCGGTAATCCCAAGATTTTGAGTAGACATCCTTTATGGCATCATTTATTGGTGCATTACAAGGAGAAGGGATGTTTGGTGGATGGAGCCTTGAATAATTTACGTGTTTCAATGATTCAATTCAACCGACCCAGAAAGAGTTATCGCAAGGATGATAAATTCCGTCAAGGACTTGCACATCAAGTGGATGCACGTGAAGCGTTTGCCAGACCTCCTTTAGCCGCTGATACACGTCGCAAGGGATATGGGCAAGACTTTATGCAGACTCATGATCCTATTGGTTATATCCCCTCTGAAGTTGGATCACTTCCCAATTCTCAGTTCAGTATCCCTTTTATTCCTTCTGCCAGTGGACCATTTACACAAGATCTCTCTCAATCCAGCGTCTTTAACCGAAAGAATATGAGACCCGAAGGAGGAGAGGATTCGCAACGCTATGTACCTGGTTCTTCCACCTTTGCCAACCATGCTAGTTGGCAACAGATGGGTAATAGCCAAAACTTGTATAGCAGTCAAACCTCCATTGGTCTAGCTCTTTCTCAAAGTGATCGTTTACGTATGATGAGCGAGATGGCTAGTCAAAACCCTAGTATGTCTCAAGAAAGTGCTTATCCTTACGACGATTACAAATCACAAGATGTCTCGTCCATGATGAGTCAAGATTTTGATATCCGTAGTCAAGCAAGTCAATCCTACACCCAATACTAACTATTGGAAAGACTTTTTTTTTTGACAGTGAAAAAAAAATGAGCTGCTTGCTCTTTTCTGACCTACTTCCCTCACACATTCTCACACACACACTAACATATATACACTCAAACAAAAAAAAACAAAAAAAAAATAGTTTCAGTTTTGACACTGATAAATTCAACATATATAAAGAGAAAAAAGGAACTTCTATTCTTATGCATTATTCTTCCACACGGTGACATTGCTTCCTCCCTTCACCTTCCACTTTATATTTACACTTTTACACACACATTAAAGTTATTGAAAATAGTTTAATATGCCGTTTAAAGTATCTTCCCTTCTTTGGTTACACATCGTATCTAATTGTTCAATAATTGGATCTGAATAGCGAGGCTCGGTCGTTCTGCCCAAATGTGACACGTTCACGACATCACCTATAAATTAGTGTAAGATAAAGGGAAAATGAGCTAAATACGAGTCAGCAGATTTACCATTAAGTGTCTCATCATCTAGGACGTAAAAATATGCTTCAATGCAATCCTTCATACTAACCATACCAAAACTAGTAGCTACCCCAAGACTGACGCCGGGAAGTAAAGGTGTTTCTACTCACTTGTTAACTTTTTTATCTAAACAAGAACACAAATGTCATACATTACCTACAAAATGTGGTGCTACCACATTAACTCTTATATCCGTGGTCCGAAGCAGACTTCCGTAACTTTTCGTCAATCCTATAATCTACATATTTCCAAAAAAAATAAGTAATTCAGAAAAAATAAGATAATAAAGAGACTTACGGCATGCTTAGAAGCGGCGTATAATGGCGCAGTGCATGCACCGGTAAGACCAAAAACAGATGAAGTATTTACGATACAGCCTCCCTTCTTTTTCTTTAAAAAGTATTGAATCGCTAATCGATTTGCTTTTATCGCCGCTGTTAAATTGACTTCGATTGTACGATACTTGCCATCTTTTTTTTATATTATTAGTAAGCGTAGCTAAACTTTAACTTCAAGTTCCCCGTTACCTTGCTCTATATCGTTAATCAAATTCGATGTATCCAAAATTCCTGCAATCACCAATACAATATCGACAGTTTTTCCAAAAGTTTCTTCAGCGAGCGGGTAAAGTTCTTCTTGTCCTGCCCAGTCAGTGATATCTGAGCAATGGAAAATCGCATTATGAGGTCTGAAATAATGACAAGTCAGTCCACTGCAGAAAAAAAAAGGGGAGGGGAGTGATATATGATTTACCTTGAGTCCTTGTAAAGGATATTTAACTCTTCAAGTACTTTGTTTCCTTTAATTTCGTTTGTACCGGTAAAGATCACATTACAGCTTTAGTTTAGAACGAGATTTTTAGTAAACAATGTATGTTTTGTGTATTTGTTTATTGTGTACCTTCTTGAAACAAGGGCAAACAATAGCTCTTTGCCAATGCCTTGATTATAAATTAAGTAACCGTGCACAATATGCATAAACAAACGAAATTACCTGAAGTGCCGCCATAAAGAATAACTACTTTATTTGTGTAATCCATAGTTTTTTCTTAAAATTATTTCTTATTGATGAAAAAAAGAAAAGAAGTTTGCCGTTGTCTCTTTTTATTATAAAAAAAGGGGGGGATAGAAAGTAAGCCACTCTCGGTGATTGACTATATATGGACGCACTGTACAAGGAAGCTTAAGGTTTTTTTTTTTTTTTTTTTTTTTTTTTTTTTACTTCTGATTCTTGATTCGGGTGGATATATTATTAAACATCCGTAAGCCATTTCCCATTACACCTTCACCAAAGTTACGGACATTTTTACCAACCACACTAAAGTCAAAAGGCTCTTCGTCGTCGCTGGACGATGCATCTGAGTAACTTTGTGTGACTGAGCGTGGTACAGCATGAGACTCTGCTTGTTGCTTTTTATTAAACTTTGGTAAAACAAAGTTATCCCATTTGGCTTGTCCTCCGCCGTTATTATTTATATGTGAACTTTACACACAAAGGAGTCAATAAGGTTTCTTTCTTTTTTCTTCGATTCAAGATGTTTATATGTATGTTACCTTAGGTCACGACCATCTAAACTCTTTCGATGCTTGTTTAATGGGTCAGTATTATAAAAATGATTATTTTCAGTCAGTTCTTCTTCTTCGTCACTATCTAGACTCATAATGATATTCTTCTTGATAAATGCTAGTTTTTCAGTGAAATCGTCTAATTTGTCACCTAGCAAACTGGCGACAGCAGAAGGTCTTCGACCTGTGTTGAGGATGGGTTGCGGTGGTGTTGGTATAGGGTCATGATGTTGCATGATGGGTGTGGGTTTATAAGGACTACGGGTCAATGTGGTGGCCGGAAATTCGGCCATCCGTGTACTAGTGGTAGTAGTAGAAGCACTAGCTTGAGGTACGACTGGCTCGGGTGGCACATTAGGAGAGGGTGGTACATAGGGTGAGGGTATGATGGGCTGTTGAATCTCCTGTGGAGAATGAGTGATATGCATGACATCTGAGATGAGTTCTTGAGGTCTAGTTTTGATGGCAAAGACACGACTGCTGATGCTACTGGTGCTTGTACTTGTTACTGGTATGACAACATCCAGCAATTCTTGTGGAGGCTCTATGAGCTGTTCCGAATGAAAGATATTGGCACTCCCCAGCTAAATCATATAAGAGTAAATAAATGGTTACTATGCAATAGTTTAATCTGTTACCTTGGGCCTGTCAACAAGGATAGCGGATATTCTGTGCTCTGATAGAAACTGGGCATCTTCTTCCAGAAAGGCATTACTGGCAACACTATTCTTTCTCTTGGCAATGAAAGCGTCTTCATCATCTGTTGTCTGACCCAGATAGTGGTCTAGTTCCTCTTCTTGTTCAGCTAACAAAACTTCTATGCTCACGGGCGATCTGGGATCCAAATAATCATCTATTGTTCCTCTTCGTCCTCCTTCAGGGAGCCTTATCCCTTCCCTGTATTTTTTACTTGTCCACACACAACATGTAAAACAATTTCGTTCTTCTTCTTCCTCTTCTTCCTCAGGAAGATAAATACGTCTGCCTCCCCTTTTACTAAAACATGTCTCAAATACATTCATTACAAAAAAAATAAAAAAATTCTCGAGATGAAGAAGAGATCTCGTTTTTTGTAAAATATTTTTTAGGTTTTTTGCCCCTCTGGAAATAGAATAATGTAACACAATTCCCATTGAAGATGGACGTCCTGAATTTCTCAGCAGATAAAAATGGGTTGTTCGCTGACTATAAAAAATTATGGCGACACCATTTCACTTCAATCTAGCTTTTTATAGGGGATAGAGGAGGGGTGGAGGGCGACAGTTTACCGTGATTCTGTTTTTAATGAAATGTCAGTGATCAAAGCTTATGGGTCGTGACACATTTACGTTAAAGAAAGAAACATTTCACTCATGCTACACCAAAATAGCATCGATTGGTTGGAGTTTATCATCAGCTCCGTACTAATATATGTACAGTGGCTCCACCCCCAAAGTTCGTTTTCCAATTAACCAAAGTCGCTCTGGTCTCCGACTGAAATTCGCTTGTCTTACAGCCCAAAGTTCGCTTTTTTATTGGCCAAAGTTCGTTTTTGCAAATGGCTCAAATTCGCTTTTGTATCGCTCAAAATTTGTTTATGTTATCATTGAAGTTCGTAATTTTATTGAAGATCTACATTACCCAAAGGCCCATCAAAGTGGTTCTTTATCAAAGCATTTTTGAAAATTCTCAACGGATTTCTGAGCGATGTTATGAAGAGTCTTTATACTGACGCTTTCACTAGCCTCGCTGATTCTAGTTTTCAAATCTTCGGTTTCTTGAAATACACTTCGCTTGACTGAATTTTTGACGACTGACCAGAAGTCTTCAATCGTATTCAGCTCAGGAGAATATGGAGGCAGATATATAGCTCTATAGCCTCTAGTCTCGATTAAGTTTGTGATATCCTGTGAGGTATGGATTGGTGCATTGTCCATAACGATATAGAAATTTCTCATTTCAGGGAACTTGTCCATCTCATCTAACGTCTTAGAAATAAGCCTCATGTAATGTCCAGTAACAGTTCCCTTTGTTATCTTTTTTCGCTACGGGCATCTTTCTCTTTCTGCTTCCATCAAAGGCTCTCTGATCTCAACTGAAATAACACCCTGAGCTGTTATAGCTCCCAATATAGTATGCGTGACGGCACGAGTGATTGGCGTTTCGACTATTTCTGGTGTACCTCTAACTGAACGAGCATTATGGCTTCTCATGTTGATATTAAAACCAGCTTCATCCACGAAAACGCAGTTGGTAAGATAGTTCATGTCAGTAGTCTCCACACCATTGATAGCGTTTTTCGTGATTCTCAGCGCTATTCCTTGCCAAAGGTTGCAAGGTTGCTCTCTTGACGGTCAGGTTGCACCCATTTATGATTGTCTATTAAAAAGATGATACACAGTATTTGAGCTTGCTCCTTTCTATCTAAGTGAATTAGATGGTTTTTATAGTTATCACTGAGAGAAGAAGGAATAAGTCTTTCGTGACCAGCAAGTATCTGCCTCTGTAGCCAGCATGCTGAAACCTAAAGCCAAATCTAGTATGTAGTAACATAATCTATCATGACCCAATTAACCTCCATTTATTGTCTTTTCTCTCATTCTATCAGTACTCAATGTAATATCTAGATGCGCTTTACATTGTCCAAAAGCCTTATCTTAACGTCGCTGTTCACAAGAATATAACTCGAGCTGTCAACTCTTCGCACCTAATCACTGTACGAAGATTTACTGAGAAAGTAATAAACTAAAGACTTTATGTGATACAAGGTATTTTTAGGGTATTATTGAGATAAATACACAATTAAGAACTATTCAAGAGAATGGTAGAAAAAGAAAAAGAAAGAAACTACTCATAGAAAATAGTCTTTGACTAATAATTCTTCAGAGCCTAGATCAACGTAGCCTAGTGATTCGTTTTCCAATTGGTCAATTTGGGCCAACGACTTCTCCACAACATGTTTGAGAAAGGCGAGAAACTCAAAGACTTTGATCCACTGTTTTTTTTCTGCTCTGGTGGTGGGGATGGTACATGTTCTTGCTTCGACGAACTTCCATTTGCTGTTGTCGTGAACAGAAGTCAAACAAAGCGTAAGACAGTTTTCAATAACAGAAACGCAAGGAATTTGTATCTTCATTAAGGTCTTCAAAGATCCCACCTTGTACTTTGCGATGATGTACTTCATGAAGTCAGATGTGCTTTTTAGCTGCTTGTAAGTGTCATCTATACTATGCGGGGTGGTGGCCTCGGATCTGTTAAGAGAATATTTTAGCCTTATTACAGAAATGGTAAATCTTTTAAAAAAAAGTCTCTTGCTTACCCCGAAGATTCCAACATTACTGCTAAAGTCTCTGCTTCATTTGTTAAAATACCATCGAGGAGCTTTCTATTAATTCCAGAAACTCGAAAGTCTTTCAAGGGTAGCCATACACGTCTTGATTCAACTAGTTGTTTCTCGCACCTTTAAATGTGAAAAGATTAATCCTCTCATCATCTCTGAATATCTAATAGAGAGAATTACTCACCATGAGCCGCTTAAGCTGCCAACCATAATGCCAAAGTTCTTAAATATAGGAACAACAGCTTCACAGAAAAAAGTCCTTTCATGACTTGGATTAATTGGAGTTGATCTTCGACAGCTTTGATAATAGTCGGTTAGGATATGTCGCATCATGTCAATAAACTTGCCTTCGCCTGGTAATGTCCAAAGCTTTCGAGTGTCCATGAAATTGTCAGAGTCTAGTGCACTATTTAAAAAAGAAATTGCACCTTCATGAGACTTAATGTAAGCATTTGCATATTGTTCGTCTCGGTAGGCTTCAAATATCGTTTGAGTGGCAGAGCTGGAACTTGTTCTTAAATCTGAAGACAGGCGTATTTCAAATAAGTCACTAAGGTAACCATGATCGCTTTGACTGAGAGCAGGCTTTTTGGGCGATATGAGGTTCTTTGAAGGAGCATGGTAATCAAATCGCTTCCCATTCTTGACAAAAGAGTATTGGCTCTATAGAATTATCATAAGTATCTTTTTTTTTTATATTAGGAAACTACGTATACAATATTGATGATACCTTTTGTTGAGGATGTCATAGATTATAATAAAAGAATCATCACATTTTACATAATAATGGATGATCATGTATAAATATTCATGGCTCACACTTCGCCCCATCTGTTATCATCAGAACCGTTGGTGTCTGTGCACAAGGTGATTTGCCTTGTGACGAGTAAAATATTATAATACCATAAAAGTATAGTACAATCCCATAGGCGGAATATTCGGTTACTGAATATTACACGCACTAAACTTTCTCTTTGGCATTTACGTAATGTCACCTGCGGAGATGAATTTAGATCCTCACGTACTTTTGTCTTTACTTTGTAAGGCAGGAATTACTTCATAACATATTTGTTTAAACAGACATTACGTATAACATTATATCATATTCCTCTAACGCGTCACATATATTATCCGAAAGCCATCTAATCATTTAGTATAAATACCTGTAGTTTTTGCTAGTAGAATTCCCGAATCTAAATTTTCTCGAAATAAAAGATATACAAAGTTCTAACAGTATTTTCTTTTGTTACCTTAATTTACATTTTATCTCCATCCCAAACACCTTTGACACACTGGGATTAGGATTGAAAGGATCTTCTGCATCAAACAAAGACTGCTCGTATTGCTTGCTTATTTCGCTGATATCATCAATAGTGAGTTCTTCTTCCGCACCAGCACTCTAAGAGGAGAATGGGGGTTTTTTCTTCGTTTTAGAAAATTAAACTGATGCATGAATTTCTTACCTTCATACTCCGATCTTTTGATTTTCTGTCAGTGAGCTAAAAAAAGTTAAGTGATTAAAAAAGAAAAGCTGTAAATCTCATTGAAATTGACTATTTTTGCCTACCACGGGACAATCATCCTCATCTTCAATCTCATCAAATAATCTCTTCTTCGACCCCTCCTCCATTAAGCGGCTTTTTTCAAGAACCATAGCCGAAGCGGTAGCATTGGACTGAATATGTGCTTGCTGCAAGTTGTCCTTGTCACGCTTTTTCAACTCCTTTTTCTGATAATATAATTTGAGATCCGCAACGATCTTTGGATGGTGGTAAAAGATATCAAGAGATGAGCAGTATTGTTTCAAGAGAAGCTCAGTTATTGAGGTGCTGCTAGCAGGCTGCTTGCTTAAAATATTATTAATTGTCTTCAGTGATGTCTGTAACATCAAAACAAACTGCTGCGGTTGTGCTTCCCACACTTCAGAGTGGTCCAGATAGTCATCGACAACATCTTTTATATTGCTCCAAGTCTTTACACTGCCAGTCAGAATGTTGGGAGTTAAACTAAGCTTTTCACGTAAGCTATCATCCAGTGTGTAGCTGCCCTTCAACTTGTTAAGATAAGGTGGTGCTGGTTTTAGATTAGGCTTTTTTGACATTTGAAAGTAGCTTAGTTTTTAAAAAAAAAAAAAAAAAGGAAAAATACTGCGCACTCCAAAGGCGCACTCCAAAATCCTTACTTTTTGACGTCATCATATCGGTGTCTGAATAATAAATGTTGCGGCTACTTGTATAAACAAGGGTATTAATGAAGTTTTTCTGTGGACATGATGTGTTTGGTACAGCTTGAGAAATTCGAGAGTGATAATAGCGAATTAAGAATAAAATGTAAAATTTAACAAAGTGAAATTATCAAACTGCAAAAATAAACTAAAGCTTTATTAAACAAATAAAAGGGGGTCTTTATATACACATTATTTCAGACATTGATCACAGATGGGCTGATGACGGTTATGGGTAGATTTATCCAGATAATACTCGGATGTAATGATCCCATATAGAAAGACCATAATGAGATGTCAATAACAATAACAATAACATTCATTCTTAAACTGTGTATATCGTGTAGCACAACATTCAGGGGAAATTGTAGTTCTTATTAAAGATAGCTGTGGCACCTCAACGTGGCTGATGTAACCTTCATATGTTTTCATATTATGTTATTATTTAAATGTATGCCTTATACTTGTATGAAGGATGATATGAGATCAAGCCTGTACATAAAGTAAATGATCAGTATTTAATATAAAGTACCAATAAGAATTATATTTAGGATTATCAAATGGAAGATTTAAGAAGTGTAGATAGAGTCATATATTAAGTATATAGCCTCGATCACGACACAGCTTGTGTAATTCTAGTCTACTGCTTGCTATCGTCCACCACAATGCCACTCGGATTTGGGGCCAGCATTCACTTTCTAGTCTCAAGTGATCTTACTCTAAGCATGTCTCTGGCATGTTACAGAAAGGGCATTCTGAGTGAGTCCGTGTCAAATTACGGTCAAACAAGAGTCAAGGTCAAAATATGTAAGTAGCAAAACCTTTACATCTCCAAAGCGCTGCTATAACTAACTACTTGTGACCATATATGTACATGTATACATGGCGAGCAATCGCCTATGTAGATTTTATTTAATCAGTGAATCACCAAGCACAACCTATGTAATTCTAGTCTACTGCTTGCTATCGCCCACCACAATGCTACTCGGATTTGGGCCAGCTTTCACTTTCTAGTATAGGTGTGGTCTACTCTAAGCATGTCTCTGGCATGTTACAGAAAGGGCATTCTGAGTGATCAAAGTGCTTGGTATATGATAGGCGTGTTTGGCATAAAGTTGTTTAGCTTGTTACATACAGCAGCGATCTAACAACCCCGCTAAATTAATTCTGGACACCCCTTTAAAACAAATAAAAATTTCCACATAATTCAAATTAACTTTGTTTATTCATCATACATTACTCTAATCAACTTATCAAGTCAGAACAAAACATAACAGAAAACAACGCTAAGAAGCTTATGCCAAGAAAAGTTGAAAAACATTGGGGTTTATTTTACCTTAATAAGATCGGACAAACTGCAAACCAGATTTCACAAGCAGTTGAGATGCCTTTGGGTACTGTGCGAAATACGATCTGCAGAATCAAGCAAGCTGGTAGCCCTTTACCTAAAAAGCATTCTAGTGCCCCAAAAAAGATTAACAAAAGGGCTCGTGATCACTTGAGAAGAATTATAAGAAAGAATTCTTTTGCCACTTTCGATCAACTGAGATTGCAATTGCGAAATGCTGAAATCATTGTTAGCAGACCAACATTGATAACTTGTGTGAAGGATCTTGGCTTTGGATCTTTTATTACAACCAAAAAGCCTAAGCTTACTAAAGAGCACATGGAAATTAGATTGCCTTGGGCGCAGGATCACCGTGATCAATAGGACACTGTCATTTGGTCCTATGAGTCTCGTTACTCTTTAAAAGGCAACGGAAACTCCAGGAGAGTAAATTAGAATGCTTGGAGGGCGGTACAAGCTGGAAAACGCTATTCCCACAGTGAAATGGGGAGGAGGTGGGCTTATGGTCTGGAGCTGTTTTTATGGAAAGGGGTTTGGCCATTATCGATGGTATTGTGAACCAGGACGTTTACGTCGATATTTTGGCGAAAGAATTCTATCCTTGGTTCACAGAACTCACAAAGAAAGAGAGTGGACCCTTCCTATTACAAGGAGACGGCGCCACTTTCATACAAGTGGATATGCTCGATGGTGGAAAGAAAGCCACATGATCAGAGGCTTTGAGTACTAACCCGCTCAAAGCTCTGACTGAACCCCATCGAGCATATCTGGCATGCTCTAGAACGGCTAGTAGAAACAAGAATGATTTGAGAAGAGTCTTGCAAGAGGAATGGAAAAAAAATGGCGTTCAGTGTGCAAGTCGTTTAGTTGAAAGTATGAAAGTATGAAAGACCGCTGTCAAGCGACAACTTTGATGGGCCTTTGGTCAATTTAGATCTTCAATAAAATTACGAACTTCAATGATAACATAAACGAATTTTGAGCGAAACAAAAGCGAATTTGAGCCATTTGCAAAAACGAACTTTGGCCAATAAAAAAGCGAACTTTGGGCTGTAAGACAAGCGAATTTCAGTCGGAGACCAGAGCGACTTTGGTTAATTGGAAAACGAACTTTGGGGGTGGAGCCACTGTATGACACTCCATCCCCTAGAGCCTGACCAGTTTTATCTTTACCAGAAACTTTGTGGCACGTTTTTCTTCGAATCTTATTCTAGAACTGTAAGGTTTAAACTAAGATAGAATTAACCAGTGAGTACAAACAATGTCTATGTGAAAACCTGTTACTTCTAGTACAGTAACTGAATAATATCTAAAAAAAAATGACTTTTTACAAAATATTCGTAGCTGCCATGTCCCTTGGTTTCGCATTATTGCATTTTTAAATGCAACAGAGTATTTCAACTACCACCAAGACTTTTTGGACTTTGCTTTGCATTTAGGTCTGCTGTACTAGTGTTCGGAATGAAGATCGAAACTCTCGAGCGAGCTTCGATCGTGTTCCAGTCGAAGCTCGCTCGGATGCGTTTTTTTGCAGCTCGAGCTCGCTCGAAGTTTCTTAAGCTCGGCTCGGTTGCGAATACGATAGCTCGAACTCGCTCGCCCTTTTTATTACACAAAGTGCACGTCAAAGTGATGTTAATTACAGAAAATTATGATAATAAAATTGTTATTTATTGAAATAGAAGTTGGAAAAAGAAAAAGTTTTTTTTTTTCACCAGCCTTAACACCAAATTCGGATAATTAAATCAAACTGTTACTGCATCTATAATTATAATACATTTGGATTTGTGAACATGAAAGTTTACATTAATTCTGCTACGCCATGTTACTATGGTTGCTGTAAAAAATTGGCTTAGTTGGGTATAGTGTGCAACACTGTTTCATTTTCTATGGTAAATGTGTTTGCTGGTTGTACAATTAAATAAAAGTCCAAAGCATTTTAATTGGAATTATTAGAGCATAAATAAAAAAAAATGGTAAAGGGAAGAAAAGATTAAAATCAAGGGGAAATGCCATCTGTAGTCTTTCAAGGACCTTAACTTTAAAGTGACTACTATCGACATTTTAGTCGAGCGAGCTTCGAGCGAGCATCGATCGAAGCTCGCTCGAACCCAAAAAAAGTGGCGCAAGCTCGAGTACAAAAACTCGGTTCGAGCTTCGTTCGAACTGGCGCAAGATCGGTGCAAGCTCGAAAAGTTCGAACACTATGCTGTACCCAACCGCATTCACTCTAGTTGCACGCTTACATGAGGAAGGAATATGGATGTCTTCTTAGTTTAGAGAATTTCTTCTTCGGTCCATCCGAGTATTGATAACAGGCGATAGTCAAGGCACTTGGATTCTGAAGGGGGGTTTTTTTTTTTGTTCTGTACTTCTACTTTTGGCTTTCGGAGCAAAACCAGACAGTGTATTACCGTTGAAATGATTGAAATACGTGAAAAGCCTATAAGCACTTTGTTGTGTAATACTACAACTTACTGCTGTTTTAGGTACAGTAGTGCCTATGTCTTGCATGATTTGTATGAATATACACAATTGCTCGAGTGTTTTCCGTAACTGAATTGATCTACATTCCCGAATCCACGTTAGGTTTCTTGGTAACTGAATCGAAGTCGATTATCTTCAAGTAGTACCGTATTAATAGACCATCTTTCAATTTAATAATATAGCTAATGTAGTTTTTACATAGCAGCAATCTAAGGGCTTTGAACAAACAAGTGTTTGTTTGTTTTTCTTCTGAAATTGATAACTTTCTGGAGTTAGGTAACTTTAAGGAGAATTATAAGCGACTAAACTTGAAAGCTTTTGGTTGTTTGCAGCTTTAAGAAGTTGTGTGGAGGTATAGGATATCATGACCTGAATTATTGCCAAGCCCGATTCTCAACAGATGGTTGATATTCTTATGTTTAGAACGTAATTTGCGATTTCCCGAGAAATTTTAAACGTGGAGTTGAGGATTCCCGCTTCAAAGCTCCCCGCTTCATAACATTATATGGGGACAGAACAACGCACATATTAGTAGCAAAGGTTTTAATTGGGGCTTTTCTGGCATATTGCCCTCATGTTTTCTTGTATAGCCAGTGAAACTGTAAGGCATATAAGTATCTGACTAGATCTTTTTCCAACCTTTTACTTATCATATAGGAGAATCTGCCAAGCTTACCTTGGTTGAACTGGACCTTTTGCCCAAGACTACTGGCAAATTGCTTTTTAAAAAGTCAAATAGTTATTTTTGGTGCAGTTTATTATTAACTCCAGTCTGTTTCTGTCTCCTCCTTTTTAAATTCAGGTTAGCTGAAGTAACCCTTCACGCGAGCCAGATTCCTATTATCCTTAACACTGTGTTCTTCTAAATGTATAAATTTGCCTTCTTGTTTATCTTTGGATAATAAAGCCTGAGTCTAAACTTTGCTCTTTCAAAAGCGTTCGTTTTTCTCTATGGTGTACCTCGACATAAAGCACACCAACACAGGATGAACCAGGTTTACTCTGATTTGTAGAGGTTCGCATTGATTTCGCATACGTGACTGGTTATACTCTTCAAACTGCGCGTGACGTACTAAAGGCTTTTTTTGTTAACCCACCCAATATTTCCTCCTTTCCCAGAGCGTGTTTTGATTTTTGGTTTTAAAAAAAGATGTCTGATTCGAAACAGGTATGTAGTGACTAGTTGTGTTTACGTGTAAATAACCTTACAATTGTCACTAGAAAGCACTTATCGATGCGAAAAGAGCAGAGATTATGGCTAAAATGGCCAAATTTCAAAAGTCGACAGCTGCACCCAGACCACCTCAAAATCATTTACCCCCAAAGCAGTCAAGTCAAAGACCTCCGCCACCGCAACAACAAAGACAACAAAGACCGCAAAGACCGCCCACGCAACCAACTTCTGCCATTCCTCCACCACCTGAAAAGGGTTCCGGTGGTGGCCTCAATTTGGTAGAAATTCAACGTCGCATTGCCGAAGCCAAGTCTCGACTTTCTAGTAATCCTGCAGCAGCAGCCGCTGTAAGTAATGTTTTTTTAGCTAATGTCATCAAGCATGGAATATTGATATCTTCTTTTTAAAAACTTAAATGTAGTTGCGTCCTAATGCCAAAGTCAGTGAGACCAAACCAGCTGCATTACCTTTTGATGAATCTGGCAACCTTGATTTTAAAGCCATGATGGATACCGGCCTTATACCCCGTCGAGAAACTACGAATTCCAAAGCTATTCAACGTACGAAACAACAAAAACTGACTGCTACAGCTGCTGCTGCAGAAAAGAAGCCTATGAAATTAGAAGATTCAGTACCTGCCGATTTTACCGACCCTACAAAGAATCCCTATTTCGATCCAACCATGGGTGTGAAAATCGCACCTGTCTCGCGTCGTTCACGTCCAATGAAGTTTGTCCAGCCTGGAAAGTATATCAATATCGCTAATGAGGAGAGAGCAAAACAACAATTCGAAAAGTTAAAGCAGGAAATTACCGAGAATGTAAAGAAGGCTGGTATGCAAACTGAATTCGATGTATCTGACAAAGTGATAAAGGTAAAAACGCAAAAAGATAGAACGTGTGTGCAAAATTCATAAAAAAAAACTCATACATTTATGAAGAGAGTTGCACCACCAGCTGTTGAGTGGTGGGATGCACCCTTTTTAGCAAACAAAACATACGATGATTTAAACGATACCAGTGAGATCAACCCAGACAAATTGGATAGCTTGGTCACCATGTATGTGCATCATCCAGTAGTCATTCGACCTCCTAGCGAAATAAACGCAGTACCTGTTGTGAGATCTTTAATGATGACCACCAAAGAACGTAAGAAGATGAGAAGACAAAGAAGAGCTGAAGCATTAAAGGATAAGCGTGATAAGATCAGATTGGGTTTATTGGAGCCTGATGCTCCCAAGGTTAAAATCAGTAATTTGATGAAGGTTTTGGGTGAAGAGGCGATCCAAGATCCTACAAAGGTCGAAGCCAAGGTTAGAAAGGAAATGGAACTTCGTCAAAAGATGCACGATAAAGCAAACGAACAGCGTAAATTAACACCGGATGAAAGACGAGCAAAGATCTTGAATAAATTGAAGGAGGATCAAAAGACGAGTAATGAAGTTGCGGTCTTTAAGTAAGGAAGAGGCAGACCGGGGTATTAATTATTGATATTTTGCATGAAAAACTAATGATATCGTATTATTAGGGTTAAATCTTGCACTCATCCTAAGCATAGATATAAGATTGAGACCAACGCAAAGGAGCATCAATTGACAGGTATTGTCATTACGCATCCCAAATGTAATATTGTGATTGTGGAAGGAGGGCCTAAAGCAATCAAGGCATATAAAAGACTCATGTTAAGACGTATCGACTGGAACGATATGCCACCACCAAAGAATTTAGTAGAAGATGAAACTGCTATGGACGTTGATAATCCCGCACCTTTTGGACTTCCCGAAGGCGAGGAGAATAAATGTTTCTTAGTATGGACAGGTGCGGTTAAAAACAGATCATTTAAAAAGTTCACATGGCGCTCATTCCAAAGTGAGAAGATGGCTCGTGAAGAATTGGGTAAATGGAATGTGGAGAACTACTGGGATGCTGCCTTGTTAGCTACGGATGAAGAACTGGCTGCAAGACAACCACAGCTTTAAACATAACAATAAAAAATCTATTTTGACGATTTCATATCCCGTCCCGGATAGTGGGGGGAGAAGGGGGAGTTTTAACTTGGAGCATAGGAAGTGCTGGGAGAACCACTGAGTGTAAAGAATCCTCTTCTTTTCTGTGTGAATTAATCATGGTGAGTTGATCGATAATCCATCCATCCATTTAGTAGAAACACGCCGAAAAAATAGACGAACACGACATATCAACAATTTTGGATGCGATGGATTTTTTTTTTTTTTTTGAAAAGTGGACATTTGAATTAATCGATTTTGTAATAGGTCAACATTCCTAAGACCAGAAATACCTATTGTAAGGGTTCCAAGTGCAGAAAGCACACCCCTCACAAGGTCACTCAATACAAGGCTGGTAAGGCTTCTCTTTTCGCCCAAGGTAAGAGACGTTATGACCGTAAGCAAGCCGGTTATGGTGGTCAAACCAAGCCCGTTTTCCACAAGAAGGCTAAGACTACCAAGAAGATTGTCCTTCGTCTCGAATGTACCGGTAAAGTTAATTTTTAGTAGTAAAACAATGTCAATAGCTCAGCCTTATTAAACTCCAATTATGTATTATAGCCTGTAAGTACAAGATGCAACTCGCCATCAAGAGATGTAAGCACTTCGAGTTGGGTGGTGATAAGAAGACCAAGGGTGCTGCCCTTGTTTTCTAAGCTTGTCGCTTTGTCTGTCGCTTCGTCAATGTTCCCTCTTTTTTTCAGCTTTATATAATCTATATAAATAAAAATTAAATTGATCATTGAACACAAATCACTCTTTTCTTTCTCTTTTACCTTTCCCATTGAAAATTTTTAATTGGCGGCTCCATGTTAAAACGGTTTTCTGAAGTCTTAACAGCACACAAGGTCGTACAACTTCGACAACTGGCGATACAAAGTGGAATATTATCATCAGGAAACAAGAGTCAACTCGTACAACGTCTCGCTCACCATTTTGAATCAGAACCTGAGGACACTTGCGCCTCTGTTCTGTCATTTGACTTAGGATATCGCAATTTTGCCTTTTGTCATATAAACAAGGATGCCGAAATAGTTGACTGGGCCCTTGTTGATTTTGACTTGCCGTCCTTCCATCCTTCTGTTACCGCACCCGTCATTCGACAATTCATTAAAGATCGAATTCAGGACCACTTAAAGGTCGCTGATAAAGTTTTGATAGAACAACAGCGAGCACGTTCAAATGGCTCCATAAGTATTTTAGAACCTATCTTACGGGTCAATTCAATTGAAGCTATTTTGTGGGGAGGATTATACGAAGCGACTGAAAGAATCAATCGTCCACAACTTACGATGAAACCCGTTCTTGGACAAGCTGTCAACTCCCTTTGGCAACCAGAATTAGATCAGGTTATTGCAAATAATCCCGAACGTTTCAATAAGATAAAAGAAGGGTATTACCACAAGAAGCAAGTTAGCACTTTGCTAGTTCAGTATTGGCTTGATACCAACACCGTCATTAAATGTAGCGATCATTTTAAAGCCATGTTTAAAAACGAAAAGAAAAAAGACGATCTTAGCGATTGCTTAATACAAGCACTAGCTTGGTATCGATGGTCAAAATTTAGTAAAGAATATAAGAAAAATTTATTGTAAATAACTTTTTTAATTTACGGCAACTCCTCTTCCATGTTGATTTACAAAGCTTCCGTGCAATGTTACCGCATTGAATGCGCCTACAGTAGTACGAGCAATTTCTTCAAGAGAAGCTGCATCCAATATCAATAAAAAGCATGATTCACTACCATCTTCCAGAGTGGTATTGACAATCGACATAATAATACCATCGTCTTCTGCATTGCCTTCAGGATTAGGAACAAAAATAGGCTCTGCACACGAACATCCAGGCTCGTCCCAGATTTTAGCCGGACTAGCTTCATCTGTATTTGCTCCCAAATATGGCTTGTCCAAATCAAGCTTAATCAAACCGTTCACTATACATCCAGACGCGTATGAAGGAGCATGTTGAGATTCACAAACACCCCAACAATATCTGTACCGCTTCAGGTTGTATTTGGGGTTAAATCGAGGCATTTCAAGATCGTGACCAATAATGGTATAAGAAGCAACACGACGCTTATTGAATGCGGTCATTTTCGCCCAGTCGAAACTACTTGACCAAGAAGGGGTCCATTTTTCAGAGCCAGGTTGAGCAACGGGCACATTGCCAAGACGATAACGACGGAATTGAGAAGGTGCGATTTGATTAGTTTCTTTCTTGGAAGTATTCATATCAAAAACATAGCGAGCAGGTTGAACACGGTCCAGATCCATTTTTCCAGTAGGTGTTTTTCCCAGTTCAAAACTTGCATCGACGATATCCGTGTTTTCATACATGCAGTAATCCATATAAATGACACGTTCTCGACGCCCGCCGGGTAATTCTACTTCTTCATCCCACGCATTGGCTGTGTGGAAAGCAAAACATGGATCGGCTTCATAAGTTGCAACATGGTTACCAGTATGGCGGTCAATAACCTGAAATAAAGTATGACGTGTTTCATCCCAGTAAAAGGTTTGATAGGCTGAAGAATAGTAAATGGCAGAAAGACCACCCAACGAATAGTAATAAGGAAAGTTGGGGATAATGATATAGTTCTTAGTCATACTGAAAGAGTGAATATAGGATGGCTTGAGGGCCTCTAACGTCTTCCATGCTCCAAGATGACGCCAGATAGGTTGATGAAGTCTTGGTTCAGGGGCAGCAATCTTTTCTTTCTCTGCCACAGGAGAAGGCAAGTAGGGCCCAATAGAATAAGATTGAAAAGTAGGGAAGGGACCAAGCTTTACCATAAAATTAACATATTCATCAGTTTCTTCATCGTATTGGTGATGAGAAGCACATAGTTGACCTTGCAGCTGCTTGCTGACATGACCATAGGTAAACATCTTGAGAGGTTCTATAATAAAACTTGTATGTTAGAGAAAAAAAAGGTCGATTGTTGAAAATTAAAAAAAATTTACTTAATGATTCGGGGTCAACTACTTGAAGCGTGTTGGCATCTCTCTTGACAACGAGGGCTTCACCACGCTTGACACCAGTTTCATTTTCCAATCGTTCACCCAAAGGGAAGTTGGGCGTGATGGTTACATTTACCATATCAAATTCAGCATCAGATTCTTGTAGTACAGCGTTAGAACCAAACTTGGAGATATGATGATAAACAGATTGAATACGACCAAAGATGGTTTTGCAAGGATCTGGACCAAATGTCAAGAGAGTAGGATCTCTTTGGCCTATTCTTTTTTCAACACCATGCGAGGTATGTCGGGAATTGTACTTGACTGTTTGTGTTTCTCCCGAAATTTCAAAACGATGAAGCATAGCAAGACCATCAAAAGGATGACCAATATGAAAAGTATCGCCGTTATCCAAAAGAATATTATAACGGCCCGAACCTATTGAAGATATGATAAGCTGGCTGCTAATGATGACTACCTTCTTTTTTTTTTTTTTTTTTTGTTACCTGTTCGGTACATTACACCATTAACCCAAGACGGAATTTGTCCTTCAAGCTTGAATTCCACAGGCGACTCTACAGCTGGAACATTTTTGAATCCTACCGGGGAAGGCGCAGCCTCATTGAGTTTACCATTAGGGTTAGAACTAGCAGGTGTAAGCATTATTGTTATTTCCTTAGTATAAAAAAAGACTTTGATAAGAATATAAAGAAGAAAAAAAAAACTGAAATATCTATGAATAAAATACTGTTTATATATCTGTTTCATTGTTACAATTAGTATGGTGCCACAAATAGGGGGAAAAGAAAGTATTTTTTTGACATTTCATTATACTTTTTTGCATGATGTGCGCAATTTAAAAACATGGTTTTCTCGTTGATTTTACCCATATTCAGCAGAAAAGATCTCCCACCCCTTATAATTTATTGTTATGATGTAGTTTTGTAGTGATGGTAACGGCCGTGTTCTTGGGTACACTGATAGAGGCTGTGTTAATCTGATTTACGGCTCTATTTGTCACTAGTTTTTCCTCTTTTATCTTTCTAGTATTCTCTGTATTTTTTAACCTTGCTGAATTCTTTCAATGTCCTCCTTTTTAAATAATTGTCTCCGTTCCACCTCGTACTTGTATGTATTATTATGATGCTTTTGGGGTCCAGCCCTAAAATAGCAATAAATGTTTTCTAGAAAGCTACACAGACATATAAAAGTGAAAGTAGGGGGTTGGATTCCTATTTAAAGCTGTATGTTTGCACTACTATCGCTTTAATTCATTATCTCTGTATCTTACCTTTTGAAACAAGATGGTTCTTGTACTATGAATTGGTGGTGCCTGAATTATTCTCCCAAAGGCATTTGTTATGCCCACGGTGATGTGTTTTACGAATAGATTTGTGAAAGTGGATTTGGTGTAGTATCTGTAAAAGCATTATCATTGTCAGATCGCACATTGAAATATAACTTTATTTTTTTGCATTTCTTTGTTCTTTTTATTTCTCCCTCTTTTTCCAAAAAAAACTTACATCATAAATTATTCGTACACTCAGAAAAAAATTGCTAACTTTTGTTATTTTGTAAAGAGACTTAAAAAAATTACGTTCATTAAATGTGCTGTGTTACTTTTTTTTTTTTTTTGTCCAAGTGATTCATGCCAAACCTGACAAAATTACCCAGTACATTTTGTCTTTAAAGATGTATCCTGGAAAGTCAAATTTTGAGGATAATAACTGAATTATAAATAGGTACGTAATAATGAAATATAATCAATTTATAAGTCAATCTTATAAATCTTTAGACTATATTTTTTGGAAGCCAATTTTGTATTTATAAGATATAAAGTTATTAAGAAAATTAAGAAAAAACCAAAAAAAAACTGATCATTTTGATCATTGGACACAGCTTGTCCTACACTCAAAGTCTTGAAAAGCTGTTGGATCGTTTAGTATATGTTCCTTATTGTAAACCTGGACTTCATTTTGGTGTGGCAGATGATCGACTATGATCGTTTTTACATTCGTATTGTCTCTATTGAATTAGCCATAATTTTCTTTAGCATTTTTCTAAAATTTATTGTATGTATATATTTTGTACCTTACTCTACAAAATTCGTGATATCTTTAGCGTTTGTTGAGAGCCCAGCGAATTCTAGGATTACTAAATAAAGTTTTGTGTGGAAAATCAAGTTTAGATTTTTTTTCACTAGATCTAACTACTTACTCTGTGTGCTTTCATAATCGTCCAATTGCTTCATAAGTTTTTGTTATTTCATATTCCTTGTCGCGAGTTGTTGAGAAGAAGATGAGCAAGGCGGCATAAAAACCTTAACCACTGATGACCTATTTACAAGTCTTTCCGACATAGTTTGCAAAAGTCGAATTCTTGTGTCATCGTTTTTATGTTCAATTGGTGTTCGAAATGAAGATAGAAAATCTCGCTCAAATGCCTTCTTTTGAAGACCAAACTCGCTCGAGCTTTTGATACACAAACTACGTGTCAATCACCTAATTTTTTGTTTCTTGAAAAAACAAGCGTTATCAACTAACCTTTTCACAATATTTACAAAAAGAATGAAAAAAAAGTGCGTGAACAGGTTTTATTCGTAGACTGATAAACAAAATTTGTTTGCGTCAGGATGATTTAAATGTTTAATCAGCCATATTGCTTGAGCCTTTACTTAAAATCGATACATCTGCACTTTCTTGATTAAATAAACAATTAGATCGTCCTGACATAGTTAATTTATTAGTCTATCAAAAGGAACTCGTTCACACACCTTTTTCTTCCCTTTTTTTTTATCGTATAAAAGTAATCAATATTGTGAAAGTTGAAAGACTTACAGAAATCCCGGCCAAAACTCAAGAGCCCAAACCTGGGAAATCTTCATAATATGGCGTTGATACATGCCATGTTGAAACCGCCAAAGCGGCTTCCAGTTTGGACAGAATTTACAGCGACAAATTTAAGCTTACGGCCGAATCAAAATGCAAGATTGATGATTATTAGTTATGTCAGGGAAGCAAAAAAAACAAAAGGCTGTTATCATTAGAAACTTGCAAATATTCGGTACCCAGGAAAATGTGTGCGCGTTTAAGTTCGTCAATTGTGGTCTATATGTCAATAGTCTGCTGAATTCGATCTTTCTTGGTAGACTACTTTAAACCTCTTTGTCGTCATGTAGATACGCCAATTGAAAACGCTTAAACCAAATTGCTTAAGTATTGCTGCCATGTTTAATGATGCTTTTGATAACTGACCGGCACCATCTTCCCCAATATTCAATCTTGACCACTCCGATGATGACAGGGACAGGTACTGTAACCCCAAATGGGTAACTTGTACCTACCTGTTTTGCATGGAGAACATAATTTAAAGTAAAATCCAAAAGTGATACTGTTTGAACTTAAATACCACTTTATTAAGTCGAATAAGATATAGAATTAAACAAATAGTTCTTCAGATTAGCAATTATTAAAACATCAAATGACAAAAGTAATATTTATACTCGGGATCTATTAATATTCTATAGTCCAGGGATTATTGGCTTGTATTGCTTTTCGCAGAATAAATATTTACTCGCCACAGAGTTGTACCATTTGAATAGACTTCAGCGGTATGATGATAACAAGCGGGATAATTTGTAAAAAAAGAGTTTGTTTATTTAAGTAACATGTTGTATTATGTCCACTGATTATCACTGTGTATAAAAAAGGTTATTCCATGTGATATGTGGTACCATTCAAGCTGTCTATATATACGATTTTGTATACTACGGGCATTATTATATTTGTCTAAAGCTCTTGATGGACCAATTTAGGCCCATTATTTGGCGCAAATTTACTTCCTTTCTTCAAATCTAAAACGAAGGTTAGTATTTTTTTTAGCAGCCCAAATACGTGATACTTTACATTCGATGGTTTCTGAATCCACTTCGGTTGGAAAAATAACTTGATATTCGACAAACAAATCACCATGTCTTGAGTGGTTCTCTTGAAGTGGCATACCTTGTCCTTTGATTGTTTGAACAAAGCCATATTGTGTCACCCCCTCTCTTTCTAATTCAATAATTGAATTATCCAATTGAGTCATCGTCTTTTTGAAACCAGCAAGAGCTTCGATCAATGTGATATGTTGTTTGGTATACAAATTATTGCCTCTACGTTCAAACACAGGATGTGGCGCTGTTCTGGTGACAAAAATAACGTTGCCGGGAATAGTATCAGGATATTCATCTGCTTCTTCATCGAGGATCTGATGTGACACGTTAATTAATACAATCATATATATTTAAATATTCATGCATATACTTACAATCTTTTGTGCATCATTCATGCCTCTTTCAATATGAATAGAGTAGTTCTCATTTCCTCTACGAACCTTATGACCCGAACATGAGGGGCAAAGATGCTCGGTAATTTTTCCCTTGCCATCACAAGCTTGACATTGCTGTTGGAATTGTTGGAACATGCCAGGTGCTACTTGCGCACGCTTGATAACCATACCACGTCCATCACAAGTATTACAGGTGTGAATATCTTCAGGGCGACGAGCACCGCTTCCGTGGCAATGATCACATAATACCTGCTTTGAGATATCTACTTCAATGACTGCGCCGTTATATAAATCCTCGAGCGTAACCTCAAGAGGAATAGCAATGTCAGGTCCTCTCTTTTCTTGGGCCTGTCTATGTCCATGACCTCCTCCAAAGAAGTGGGAGAAAATATCAAAAGGGTCTCCACCACCGCCGAATCCATGACCTCCTCCTCCTCCATTCTTTAAACCTTCTTCGCCATAGCGATCGTAAATGGATCTCTTTTCATCGTCCATTAATACTTCGTACGCTATGGTAGATAATTGTCAGCAATAAACTTCATCTTCATATAGATTTCCATACCATTAGCAATTTCCATAAACTTTTGTGAGGCGGCTTCATCACCAGAGTTCTTGTCAGGATGATAGACTCTGGACAACTTTTTAAAATGTCGCTTGATTTGAGCCTTTTGTGCATCGCGAGGGACGTCCAGTATTTTATAGTAATCCTTTGATGCAAGTGCCAAAGACACCAACACAGTTAGTGTTACAAGTAGCCACCATGTGATTGAGCCACGCATTTTATTAATGAAAAAGGGGGTAAAGAGCTTGACATGCACCAAAAATGCACACTAAAATAAACGTCAAGGCGCGGGGATATTTGCGTTGTTGCAACATTATTGGATGAAAAACATACACATTGGAAAAAATGTTTTGGGTAATCTCTTTTTTTTTATTAAGCACAAAAAGCACAGGGGAGGTAATATTTATACGGGATAATGAATACCGCTATTCTTAGTATGAATAAACAAAATGCGGCTTTGTACATCCAAAGGACTTCCGGACCAAACTACAAACTCTTCCTTCTCTTCAGAAGTTTGAGTCACATCATTTCCTGTCTTTAAACCAAAGATTTCCTGGAGGTTGGTAGTGACAAATTTGATAGCATCAAATTCGCTAATCTCCATATCTTGAGAGGGGGAAGTAGCAGCAAACCAAACGGAATCCCAAGCTAAATTACGTGCTAATCCGTCATCTGCAACTGCAACACCAAGCTTAACACCGTGGTAGTTCAAAACGTGAGCTGCAGTTCCGTTGGTAAGTGGGGCACCAGTTAAACAATGGATAGAATCGAAATTTGCGGGTGTGCACAAACCAGGATTAAGAATTACAGCAATATTGGCCTTGGCTAATTGTGCTGCCAACAAATAAGCTTCAATACCTCCCAAGATAGCTAAACGAGCATCGGGGAAAGTGCTCTCTTTCAAACGGATTAACGTAGCGATTTCATCCTTGTTATTTACAGAGACAATAAGAGGAATCTCTCCTCTAGCAGCTTGACCATATCGATTATCTGCCTTCAAGTTATCACTGAAGATTTGACGAAGGAAAGAAATTTGGGATGAGACAGTTGGGAATTGGCTGGATTTGACAGAGTCGCCAATTTGAACATGAAGAGCGGTGGCAGGAGAAATCAGAGCACCTTCCTGAAGAACAGATTCAGCAGATGTTCTAAATGCTGCACTGACACCAATAACAACATTATCCGACATTGGTGCAGTAATAGTCGTTAAAATTCCTCCCTTATATGCCTCCTCTAACTTTCTTCCGCCAAACTTTAACCCATCGATAGCTTCGACAATTGATTTGGGATCATGCGAAGAAGATGCAGCTACAACACCGTCGCCGGTTGTTGATTCTGCTTCAATTACGCTAAGACCTAAGTGTGACCCCACAGCCACAAGACCCTTAAAACCTCCAATTAGTGACATTATATTTTAAAAATTTATAACACAACTTACGGGAAGAACGTAACCACCTTGAAGATCAAACTCAGGAACAGTGCTTTGGATCGAAGCAAAAGAGCTTGAACAGTCAGCAGCGGAACAAACAATAGCGCCATCTTCAACAACTACCTGAATAGGTCCCTCAGTAGGCTTCTTACCCAAGAAAGAATAGCCGGCATTTTTCAAAATAAAGCTCTTTGCACCCTCAAGCTTCTTGGGGACATTTTTAACTGCTACATTAGAAGACACTTTCTTTTCAACGGTAGGTTTAATAACAGTCTCATCAAATAATGGCACACCGTCAACAAATACTTGTAAAGGAGTGGCACCAAGCTCAAGAGGCTCACGATCCCAAATAACAAGATCAGCATCGTAACCAACTCTAAGGGAACCGATACGATGACCTAATCCAATAGCGTTGGCAGGAGTAGAAGTGACAGCTTTAAAGGCCTCTTGGGGAGGTAAACCATAATGAGTTGTCTTGGCAGCTTCAAAAATCAAGTGTTGAGAGTTAAGAACAGGATGATCACTTTTTAAAGCGACGGGAATTCCAGCCTCATACAAAATCTTGGGGGCTTCAGGGATACCTTGGAAAGCTTCCTTTTTATATCCCCAATGATCGGCAAAGGTTGCAACAGTAATGTTATTATGTGCACGTCGTAAGATAGCAGGGACACGGTAAGCATCAAGAGCATGATGGAAAGCTGAAATTGTGAAGTTGAATTCTAAGGAATGACGAACCATGGCCTCAATATCATGTGTTTCGTAGCAATGAATGTTGAGCAAAACCTCACCACGTAATAAAGATACTAACGACTCGAGGCTTAAGTCTTGAGGGAAGGCAGAGTCAAAGCGGGAATGACTATGTTGAGAAGCTTCACACCAATCATCTTGCTCACGCTTTAATTCTTGTGCTTTAGATAATTCCGAACGTAATAAATAAGCTTCACCTAAGCGAGTAGAAGGCATCTTTCGTTGATTTCCATAAACTCTCTACAAACAAAACAATTAAGTATTACTATTACGTAATCACATAATTCTCAAAATCCGTACCTTAGGATTTTCACCACAAGCCATTTTCATCCATCTCCATTTAGTTTCCTCCTCATCAATATGAGCTTGAACAAGCATATCCTCGTTACTGAGAGTTTCCACGGGTCTTAACTTGAACGAAAATGCCTCACCGCCAACAATATTACCTGATCCAGGGAGAACCAAAACTGTTGTGACACCACCTGATGCAACGATACGAATAGCATTATCCGAAGGATTAAAAGCATCAATTGTACGGACAAAGGGAGTAAGAGGTTGTGTCATTTCGTTTGTGTCTTGAGTACCATCAAATTCAGGCCATGAATCAACACCCATATGACTGTATACAAAAAAAGGAGGGACATAAACAATCTGGGGTTTCAAAACATGCTTTTTCCGTTTTGTATATTACCTATGCATATCAACGAGACCAGGACCAACAACATGACCGGCAGCATCAATAACTTTTACGTTTTCAGAATCGTTTAATTGAATATCTTTTTCCACTTTACTAATGACACCGTTCTTGATATAGATATCAACATTATTTAACACCTCACCTTGACCATCCCAAACAATTGCATTTTTGATCAAGATGGGAATTTGTTTAGGTTCAGCTCTAGGATTAGCGCGCTTTTTGTTGGGTAGGTTTTTGTTTCTTGGTCTTGTTTTAATAGCATCGCACTTGGCACGACCCTCATCCATAGTGAATTCAGATACGCCTGATTTAATGGTATGGGGATATTCTTCACTGGGGAATATGGATGAATCAGGAAGGACTGAATACACTGCTAAGGTAATTAAAATGATGGCAATTGTTGCAAGTGCAAGAATATGATAAAAGTGTCGACGAACATATAACTCGAATTTTTTTGCGCGACTAAGGTCTTTAATTATCAACGGATCGTGATGGGTTGACCCTTCCCCACTTTCAGGAATAGACGAATATCCGTTTCCTGACATTTATAAGTAGAGGTATATGTATGTATAGAACAAAAAAGGATAAAGAAAAACAAAATAGCTGAAAAAATAGGACTTTATACAATCTCCCGGAGATTGGTGCAGGTATTCCTGTGTGACCTTGAAATATCCGTATTTGGAACTTTTTACCTTGTCAAGCATCTCCTATCTCAGGGGGAGAGGAGCGTATTCTCTCTCTTGATCAACATGGCTGTTTTTCATGTATACGAATTTGTGGGAACCATCTACATTATTAATAGTAGATGTTACACATAATGTGGGAATGCGAGTTCGGTATAAGCTCGATTCCGCCGAAATTCTTGCACCATCAGTCAGATTCTGGAAGGTAGAACCAAATCACCTGCAGCAAGATACGGTCGTAATTGATAACAGTATCTCGTGATACTCCTTGTCAAACATGAGCTCAAAGTCAAGATATAAAGTGTCGCGTATGGAAGATCTTTGGCGAAACTAGGTTGAGTGAAATACATGTGTCAAGTAATATCATTATTAAATGTGATTAATAGTTCAAGATTTGGAGCAAAATCAATTAATTCTTGGGATAGGGTTTGATATCTATACCTGAATGTCCAAATTTTAAGCGAGTCTCGGGCGTAACATTTGCCCCTTCAATCTGTTGGGAGAATTTAAAACCTTTTTTCTTAATCTTTCACATTTCTGGTACTTGTGAGGTTTACTGTCTGACAGAGCCTCTTATCTTATAATAGCCCAAATTATGCAATAGATTTAAAAAAAATAAAATAAAAAAATAAAATAAGAAACCTATGGCGATGTCACCGATTACATCATTTTACTTGATTTATACGACACAAAGTTGTCTTCTTGGTACAACTTGACAATTCTAATCAACAGATTTCTCTCGTACTGATGACAAATTACGCATCCATCAACTTTTAAAAAAAATCTATGCAATCCAATATTTCTAGAGAATATTTTTTTATAGACGTAGACATGCAAAAAACCATTGTTGCATATAGATTGTAATTTATCTTCGTAACAGTGTAGCGATATGTAATTCAGGTAACCTGTAAGTTTAAGCCAATCATAACACACGAACGTGATTTGCACGTGATATCACGTGATTTATTTTTTGTTTTTGCATTTATGACTTATTAAAATAATTGATTCTTCAGCTATTGAAATGAATCTGATTGTCTTTATGTTTACCTTGTATAGAGTAATAAGAATAAACAAATGTATAGAATAACAAGAAGGAGACTGTAAGACTAATTGTTAAAGAATACAGACAAAAAGATATAGATTTGCACTAATAAGCTTTGAAATCTGCAAAGAAGTAAAGATAAATCACAAGTGTTTAAAAACAAGTAAAGTTTATCAGAAAGAAAGAATTCGATGACGTTTATTATTATAAATCAGACAATCTTATATAGACGTTTTGACAGCTGTCAACTATGGTACAAAAATAACTAATACGAAAATGGAATAAAATAATAACAGGGTACGGAAAAACTATGATGAGAACAATACAAAAATAGAGTAAATCAAATAAGGGTACGGGAAAACTATGATGGAAATAATATGAATAATAAGAAAAATAAAGAACTAAACAAAACAGGAAGGTAATAATAAAATAAGTGAGATACGAGAGAGAGCGACGAAATAACAATAAAAATAATTGTAACTGAGAAAGAAGAGAATTTCACGAGTAACCGACTAAGATAATTAACAACCTGCCAATTTTAGAAAAGCAGCAAAAAGACGCGAACTGAACCTTCGGAGAAAGAATACCAGAAAAACTTCTAGAACACCAAAAATAGTTTCACCGCAATATTATTTGTCGGGTCTTTATCACGTATTTTTAGAAACTCTTTTCTCACCGCCAAACTCAGTACCAACTAGATCTCCATTTCTCAGACAAGATTAACGCGCCATTCCACAAATGAGGGAACCAGAACCAAGGAACAAAGAAGAATAACCAAAATAATATTACCAAGCCACTTTTAAAGTGAACGAAAGCGATATCATTACCAAACTGCGCACGCATCACTATATGGAAAGATGGCCGAGCTGGTCTAAGGCGTCACGTTAAGGTCGTGATCTCTTCGGAGGCGTGGGTTCAAATCCCACTCTTTTCACTTTTATTTCCTACTGGGATTTGTAGTGTTTGTAGACTTTTGTTTTTATCAGCTTTATTAAGCCTACTCATATGAACTAATATCCTTCATATTGCAGTTAAGTGGGTCTATGTCTGGCTATTTATGTAATTTTGGATTAATGATTGAGTGGTGAATACTTCCTGTTCTTTTACATATGTTCGATTAATCATATCTACACTGCATAATTCGTTGATCTTAAAATTATAAAAGACTAGAATGATTTTTAAAAGTCTCACATTGCGTATTTGTGTATTAAGAGCAAGTTTAATGGCGAATTAATTATCTGAGTATCTTGGAAACAAGACAGTTACCTCAGATGACAAATCTACACATGCATCTAAATAAAAAGTCGGTGTCTTTGTCACGCGAACTTTTTAAGTGTCTCTTCTTACATTTTTGGTGCTGAAGCGATGTCTCTTTACACGATTTTTGTTAGTATCAGTGATTAAAGCATATTAGACACAACGTGACCAATGGCAATCTCATATCATACCAACTTGGAAAGTCTTATCGTACATCGATAGTAATAAGAGAATGCCGTGCCATTGTTGACGGTGTTATAATCCGGTTCTGACAGTAGAGAATCAAAGAAAAAGACAGTGAATCAAACTAACATCTATTTTAATCCTCGAAATTATGAAAGGCAATAACTAAAGATTGACCTTTCGGTCTTATAAGGCTATTTATGTTATCCAATTGATTACGAATACTGTGATTACTATATAATAAACCGTCTTTATGGGAAAGTTTATATTGTCCGTTTATACATATTAATCAAGTATGGATCCCAAGATCCGAAGAATCTGAAAATCAATTCCTGGATAAGAACGAGTTACCTCTATAAGTTTTTCTGTCCAAAAAGGAGTCGTTAAATATGGTGCAAATCGGTTTCAATTGCTCAGTACGTGTATGCTCGAGATGCAGAAGGGATCGTTTTTTATTTATACATAGAGGAGCTTCTTCAAAAGCTTAAGTCATTGCGGTTTTATGCTACTGAGGTGGCTAAGGCAATTTTGAATATTAATGATTTCGAGAAATCAAAAAAAGGAGTATAATTTAAACGCCTACCATTTGGCGTCCATCATGTTACCCAATTTAATGCATAAAAGTCCTTTCTTCATTTTAAAAGAATGAAAACTCAAGTACTTGTTTTCTTTATTCTACTCTTTCCAGTGTACGGTCAGCAGAAAGCGTCTAGAGCGAACTATGGCTTGTACTCCAACTTTTACGATTTCCCTAATTATGGCAAGTTTTTATAATTGCTCAAAGACTTAGCACTACTGACCCTTTTGTAGATGTTTCCACGACTGCACAAGGATACAATGTCAACGCAGCAGATTTCGTCCAAACTATTGCAGGAGTACACTTGTCTCTGCATGCAATTGGGAATTCGAGCTTATACGGTAATCTAATTCGAGATTTAATTGTTGACGTTAGTTTTGAAACAAACGAAAGGGTTCATGTCAAAGTATGAAAAATACAAGATATATCATTCAATTTTTTACAACATGTTATTATTAGATATACGATAGTGAGAAAAAACAAGTGGCTGTCCCGGATTCACCTCTGGGTTTGGTACGACCTGCCAAACAGAATGGAGGGGGTCAAAGAAGAGGCAACAATAATAATTATCAATTTACTTATAAAGAAACCCCATTTAGTTTTCAAATCAAGCGTAAGAGAGATGGTGCTACTTTATTTGATACAGCCGGCCTACCGTTTGTTTTTGAAGATCAGTACTTGGAAGTATCAACCCACTTGCCAATCAATGGTACAAACATATACGGTTTCGGTGAAGCTTTGGCGCCATTTAAGCGTACTCGTAACGTAACTACCCTGTTTGCAAGAGACTCACACGATGTATATCAAAATATGTACGGTTCCCACACATTTTATATGGATATTCGTAAAGGAGATGGTGCAGCGCATGGTACATTTCTTTTAAATGCGCATGGTATGGATATAATCAATACAGAGGAGCGTATTACCTACAAGGCTATAGGTGGTATACTAGATTTTTATTTTTTTGTGCCTCAGGATTCCAGACCTAATTCAGTGGTCCAAGCCTATACAACTTTGATTGGCAAGCCCACCATGCCTGCGCATTGGATGTTGGGTTACCAAAACTGCCGCTATAATTATACCAGTATCTCCCATGTAGAAGAGGTTGTACAAAAACACAAAGACAACCAAATTCCTCTTGAGGTTCAGTGGATTGACATTGATTATATGGATCAGAGAAAGGATTTCACCTTTGATCCTATCCAATTTCCTAGAGAAAAAATGATTGAATTTTCAAAATCTTTACATGACAATGGTCAGAAGCTTGTATTGATGGTAGACCCAGCCATTCCAGTAGATGCTATGTATGAGCCATATTTGACCGGCAAAGACATGGATGTGTTTGTAAAAAATGTTGATGGATCGGAATACATAGGGCAAGTGTGGCCTGGCTACACTACTTTTCCTGATTGGTGGCATCCCAATATCACAAAGTATTGGGAAAAAAAAATAATAGACTGGATGGACCTGCTTAAACTAGATGGCATATGGATCGATATGAATGAGCCATCTTCATTCTGTCTAGGATCTTGTGGGTCTCTCAATGATTCCGCAAAACCTAACATGGAGCCATGGTTCAATACAGAGGAGGAGCAATTGAGGTTACACATACTCCAAGAATCCGCTTTAGAGGTTATGGGACAACCTGCCGAAGAGGCAAGAAATTTGTTATATCCAAGATACGTCATTAATAACGGAGCTGGTAATTTATCAGAAAAGACTGTTGCGATGACAGCTCAACATTATGGGAACATTTCGCATTATGATGTTCACAACTTATATGGACATGCTGAAGGGTACATCACTAGACAGGTATTATTGCTTATGTAATGTGTCCACTTAAAATACAGAACTTAGACTCATAACTAGATACGTTCTACAATAGGCTTTGTTGGCATACAATTCTTCTACACGTCCATTTCTTTTAAGTCGCTCTACGTTTGCAGGTAGTGGAAGCTATATGGGACATTGGACAGGTGATATCCAATCAACATGGCAGGATATGAAGGGAACTATTGCAGATATCCTCAACTTTCAAATGTTTGGTATCAGTTTCTCGGGTGCAGATATCTGTGGCTTTGTAGGTGATGCAACTGAAGAACTGTGTACGCGTTGGATAGAATTGGGTGCATTATACCCCTTTTCTCGCATGCATAACAATGATAGGTCTACCGACCAAGAGCCATATATTTGGCAGAGCACAGCTGAAGCAAGTCGTATCGCGCTAAGGATTAGATACAGTTTGTTGCCTTACTTATATACCTTATTTGAAGAATCAAATCGAATGGGTACGGGTGTATGGAGACCTTTGTTTTTTGAATATCCGGAACACATTGATGTTTTTTCAAACAATGACGAGCAATTCTTAATCGGAACTGATATATTGGTATCGCCTGTCTTGGTTGAAAACGCAGTTACTGTGATTGCCCAATTTCCTCCAGGTGTATGGTACGATTGGTATGATTACAGTATTTTAAGAAATCGGTCTGAAGATAATTTTTCCGTTACACTGGATGCACCCTTAACACATATTCCAATACATATTCGGGGAGGAGCCATCATGATAACAAAATCGCCTAAGCTACTTGTCAAAGACACTTTTAGTACCCCTTACGACCTTATCATAGCATTAGATGAATACAAGCAAGCATTCGGAAGACTTTATATAGATGACGGATTCTCTATTAATCCTGAAAGAAAGTCAAATATAAATTTTATCTTTACGGGCAACACATTGACTGTGAATGGTCAATTTAATTATCATGGCGCGGAGAGTATTGGTAAAATTACTATATTGACTCAAGGAGACTTGCATTTTTTAAATGCAACAATCTACGGAAAAGAATTCTTAACGACAAGAATAAAAAACGTGCTTACAACAATGACAGATGGCACAATCTTTCTTGATCAAGGTTTTAGCATGAAGTTTAGTTGATGGTGTCATCCATATTCCTCGTGTAACACATGACATCATGTGAAGTATGCATTTTTTTCCCAAATTTTATATTTCCTGTTTATCTTCTTTTAAAATAAAAATGTCGTTCATAGTAACAAGAAAATTCATTCAGAGAATAGCAGTTCCTTCCACCAATAGCATGATGCACGCACGCTTCATGACGACGGCGCAACCACCACCCGTGTCTAAACCAAGACAATTTATGAAAAAATATGGTTATGTAGGTATTGGTGTTTACCTTGCTCTTGGCGTAGTCGATTTAGCGGCCACCATGGGCTTCATTACTTGGAAAGGTGCCAATCGTGTTCGAGAAGTTGAAGATTACGTGATTGGAAAAGCTAAAGGAGTGTTGGGAATGGAGCATACCCCACTTGATCCACAACAAGTGAACGAAAAGCCCTCCTTAACCTCTATATTCGTTATTGCATATGGCATTCATAAAACCCTTCTATTGCCTTTACGACTATCTTTGACTGCAGCCGTTACACCAGCAGTCGCAAAGAAGTTAAAAAGCTTGGGTTGGGTACAAAACAAAATTAATAAAAAGTAAAAAATGTTATTTTATTTTCTTGTCTCAAAGGGTAATATCATGACACAAAAACCAACTATAGCAAAACCAATTACGCTAATATATAGTGGTAGTGATGTGTTGATGGTTAGCAAAATACCAGTGATGATTGGGCTCATAATACCAGCAATTCTTCCTAATCCCGATGCCGTTCCTACTGCTGTTCCTCTCACACTAGTATCAAAGACCTCTGGTGTGTAACCGTAAATGACAGCGTATAATAATGTGGCTAAAAATGAGACGGATGATGATGATAAGACCATAGTGATGCGTGAGCTGATAATTGAAAATATAAACAATGACACTGCAGATCCAAATGCTGATATTGCCATCGTTCCTTTTCTTCCCAATCGAGTTTCGATTAAATAGGAAGCAATCTGATATGATAATTGCATATTTGTTAAACAAACAAGAGAATGGTAGTTGAAAAAAAAAAAAACCTGAAACTTACAACAGATCCTGGCACGCCTGCTAATGAGTAAATCATATAATCCCAATAAACTTGTTGACGTGTTGGTACAGCCTCTCCTTCGAAACCTAGTGTTTCAAGAAACTTTGGTAAAAACACATTGAACATTGTATACGCAATAGCTGTAAATGTCCAAATAGCCCAAATCAAGAGAGTCGTAACTCTCCATTTGGGACCAAGCAGTATTTTAATGGTTTTCGCTTGACTTTTGGGGTTGCTTAGCTCTACCGGATTTGATTGTCCAGGAGCTAGCATTTGATTCATTTCGTTTACATCATCCTCTCCATCACTGGGGTGCAATATCGGAGACTGCTTTGCCGGTAACTCGTGTCTACTGATATGTATATTACCTCCATTAATCTTTGCAATGTCCTGCAACACAATGATTGTTTCGTTGGCTCTATCTTGACTCATGAGAAACTTTGGTGTCTCTGGTAATTTCAGCCACAAAGATCTTAAAATCAACATGATGAAGGTGATGATAGCGACGGTGAACAGCATGATTCTCCAGCCGTTATTTTGTGTGCTTACATCACAGTCTAATTCATCTTCGGGGCAACTCCAGCCGGGTAGAATTAAGTATCCTAATATAGATGCTAATACTGCGCCGAATGAGAAAAACACAGACATAAATGTCAGTAAGTAATGATATTCCTTCGGTAAGAATTCGAGATATAGGGCGCCGTCTGTCGGCATATTTCCTCCCACACCAAATCCCAGGAAAAACAAGGTGAAACATAGGCTAGCAAAATCATATGTAAAACTGGAGAGTAAACCAAACACAGATGTGATTACAAGAGTCATTGTGTACGGCAGTTTTCGGCCCTTTGTGTCAGAATATGAGCCCCAGAAGAATGCACCTACAGTCATTCCGGCAAATAATGAACTTGAAAGTGTACCAATCCATCTATCAGGCACGTCATAATGATCTATATAGCCATTTAGTCACCATCACTTGGTAGAAAAAATTACCTTTTTTTCCTCACCTTGAACACGAGGCAATATAATTGCAATCGTCTAAACATAAATTAATAATCAAATCAGAGTCCTGCATTTATTCATATATTACCTGAAGCCACATCTAAATAATGTGTTAACAATTAACATTTTTCTTACTTTCTTTCTTTCTTACATTATCTGCTAACCATCCAAAACCACATAAAATCTAACATGGGTGTTAAACATATAAAACATCAAAAAGAGTTTGGTGATGGCCTTTTTAATTTTTACCAAGAGTTTTTTTTGGAATAAACCATACCCAACTTTTGTTAATAGACCGTCTAATATTTGGTCGGGGTCTTTCTCCTCCGAGGAATGGCCATTGCTGACAAGTTCTTCTTCTGTCGGTAAAGCCGTAAAGAGTGTGGTGTTAGAGGCCATGGTGGGTGGATATTATACAGCAACAACAATTAAAAAAGAAGCACAAGAAAGGAGCGATATGCACTAAACTAAAACACTCTTGTTAAGTCGTACTTAAGCTTAGGGAGTTTAAACCCAGCTTTTTTAATGGTCGACGGTCTTTGAAAACACTTTTTATGTGCTGCTTGTTTCTTCCTGTTAATAAATAGGAAAGATGATAGACGTGGGAATACGGACAAGCCAGTTGCTACTTTGGTTATTAGATTGTCAATTAATCCATAATTTGGAAATAGAGGCTTAAACGGATAGAAGATATCACATATATCTCTGAAAGTTAACTGCCCGTCTAGCCAAGTCTTCACAATATTAGCTTTACAGAAACTCTTTATTTAATGTCACAGTATTCGACATGCTGAAGTAGCTGTCTGTCATAGAAAGATAGAAAGGTAATTACGTTTGGAACATGAACAATGTGTAATGAGCTTTCAGCGAGAAGACTTTAAGCCAGCCAAAATCTCCCCTGATTTTAGGCTGTAATGAAAGTGAAGCTAAGCCACCAACGACAAGAATGCTCTTATTGGCTTATCCCCCTTTCTCGAGAAAATTTTTTGCCGTGTTAAGTCAAGTTGGATAAATCACAATAGTAGTGGGAAAGATGTCAGTTTTTTTTAGATAAGTGAGAGTTGCAAATGATTTTTATTTTGTATTAGATATAAGAATAAATCAAAAAATTTAAGCAATGGTAACCTCAACCTCCACTCCGGGTTCAATGGAGATAGAGGTGATTTGCTTAACAATCTCAGAGGGAGAGTGCAAATCGATCAAACGCTTGTGGATTCTCATCTCGAAGCGATCGAAGGTCTCGGAACCGTTACCACAAGGGGACTTACGGGTGGTGATACGGAGAACCTTGGTAGGGAGACGAACGGGACCCTTAACCTTGAGGTTCTTGTCCTTAGCACGTTGGATAAGATCGCTGGAAACCTTTTCGAGGTTCTTGACGTTGCGAGAAGTCAAAGTAATACGGATACGATGGATCCTATAAGAGAGAAAAACTGTTAACTTCTCTTACTCTCTATATCCCATTATTCTCTTTAAACATACTTGGCCTCAACTTGTTCCTCCAATCCGGGCTTGGCAGCAGACTTAGCCTAATAGATTCAACATCGTTACTATATTATTCTAACTTTATTATATTTTTTGCCTTGTACGTACAGCGATAGCAGACATTTTTAGTATAAATGAAAAAGAAAGAAACTCTCAACTGAAGCCTGCAAATTTTTTTTTGACCAGCCATCAATTAACAAAGTCACGCAAAAAATAGAAAATTTATTTTTGATGGGGGGGACGGACTTCTGTCGTTGACACTGGGATTGAAACAAAAAAAGCTGCCTTTCCTCCTCCCTTTTTTCCTTCACATCTACCTTCATCATCTCGTGCAATGACAGCAACCGACATGAACGAACGCATATTGGTCTCAGCACCTGGAAAAGTTATTCTTTTTGGCGAGCATTCTGTAGTATACCAAAAAGTAAACTCATAATAATAAAAATGACTACCAACACAACTCTAAACCAAAGCATATTAGACAGCAGTAGCTGCATCACTAGGCTTAAAATCATATCTTTTCCTCGAGAGACGTCAAGATAATATCATTGAATTAGTATTACCTGATGTAAATGTCGATAAAACTTGGGAATTACATCAATTCCCCTTGAGAAGTGTAGATTTTCCTGATTCAGGTAATTCTTTAAAAGAAATAAAGGCGTGTAACATCGTACCTAAAACTTTACTTTTTTTAGATACCCGTCATCCCACTGACATGCCAACCGAGCTCAAATCTCGCCTGGACGAACTAACCGAAATTGAACAAGACACAAGTCAACGTCAAGCGGTTTTAGCATTCTTATACCTTTTAATCATGATGGAGCAAAAGTCTGCTACTCCTTTAACTCATGGTTTCACGCTCTGTGTTCGTTCTTTCCTCCCCGTCGGTGCTGGGTTAGGGAGTTCTGCTAGTTACTCCGTCGCCGTAGCAACCGCCCTCTTGATCCTCTTTAAGGAAATTCCTTCGGATTTCACCAAGTCTGCACAATCAGAACAACACTTGGAGAAGATCAATACCTATGCATTTAAAGCAGAACAGGTGCTTCATGGTAACCCAAGTGGCGTCGATAATGCCATTGCTACTTATGGCGGCGCCAAGAGCTTTATGCGTGGTCAAGGCTTTGCCACGTTAGAAGGATTTCAATCATTACGCTTATTGTTGACAAATACAAAGGTCCCCAGATCCACAAACGCCCTTGTTGCTGGTGTAGGCGAGAAAAGAAAAAATTACCCTTTAATTATTGAACCCATGTTGGATTCTATGAATGCTATTGCCTTACACTGCTGTGACGCTTTTAAAAAGTCTCAAGACAAGGAGACCTTAATGGACGAATTAGAGGATTTGGTAAGCTTGAATCATTGTTTATTAGAGGGTCTTGGTGTGAGCCATCCTAGTTTAGAAAAAATTAGAATGATCACTGCTGAGTCTGGCTTGAAAACCAAATTGACGGGTGCTGGTGGTGGAGGTTGCGCCGTGACATTTATTCGTGATGGTAAGTGAGGAAAAACGCAATGAAAAAAGCCGTGTTAACTTTTTTTTTCTACAAAAAAGATGTGCCTCAAACCTTAATTGATCAAGTCATGTTACAGTTACAAGGAGAAGGATTTGACTGCTATGAAACCTCAGTGGGTGGTGCCGGTAGTGGTGCTGTTACGCTTACAAAGGGAGAGACAAAGAATTGGCTTCTCCAAGCCAGCCGTGATACCTTGGAGCACTATTTTTAATAATAAAGTTAGAAGAAATACCATTTTTCTTTATTGTTCTTGTACATCTTCTTATTGTCACAAAACCAGCAGCTATAACTTTATCAGTATCAAAGAAAATATATCCAAGTTCGAGATCGCTTGTTAGTAAGTCGGTCCATGTTTATTCTTGGAGAAGGAGCGGCAAATTTTTAAAGAATTAGGTTTGAATGGCAGGAGAGCAACGGACGGATGTTAAAAATACGGTAGGGAAATTCAGTGCACCGAAACTATTTATGCATATTAATGAGTGTTTAAAGATGTAAGTCTTTGCAATAGGAAATCGACACCGATAAGTTTAAAAAGACTCATTTAGTCTAAATTTGGGTATCTAGACTCTCACCAATTGATTTGTTTGTTTCGTGTTAAAAGTCATTTAAGATAATAATCAACAATGTACCCCGCCATTTTTTTACCGTTGATACATTGCATAAATTCGCGATTTTCATAAAACCAGGCTTGGTGTACGATATGCATGCGAGGTGCAGCAAAATGCATCAAAAATGCAATTCAATTTAAAATAAGGGCCACAACACGCTTAAACAACAATAAAATTTCATTTGATGTGATGATGGGGAATAACAATAGATAATAATAATAAGAGATATAATACATAATACATAATGGGGATAAATGAGGGTGTGAAAATAATTGGTATAAAAAAAAAAAGAAGTGGGTAAAAATTAAGCAAAAGTAACATCGGAAGGTTTGACAAATATGCCTTTATTTGGCAAAGTAGTGAAATACCTTTTCCCGTCAATAGATCCATCGCTTGTGCCAACTATAGAGGTGAAAAAAAAACTTATTAATTCTCTATTTACCAAATAGAATATGTTATTTTTACCGCTTCTGTCTAACTCGACACCAAGAAATAGGTCATGGTTCGACGAAATTGTGTTTTTAGAATTGTCAGGTGATGATGTGAGTTTTCCCACATAAGAAATGGTACCAACCGTAAATACAGGTCTGTTTGATATTTGAACCCGCTGTCCGACCTTAAAGTGAAGAGTGGGTTGACCAAACACAATAGTACATAAACGGGAACGTAGCTTGATATTCCAAGGTGGAGCCGTAGATTTCTTTTTACTATCGGTATGATTGGAAGAGGTGGTAGACGGTGGTCTTTGGTGTTTCATATTATTACCGGGTTTGCTCCCATTTCTTTTTGAGTCATCATCCAGCAAGGTGCTGAGAGGTACCACAAGATCTATATTGACATAATAGAAAAGTCATTAACCACCACATGATGGTTTCAATCAGCTTATTTTTGTTACCTATTGCAAGCTGCTCAATCACGCTTTTGTCAATTGTATCCATTTCTTTAATCGGCTTTAAATGTGCGCCAATATAGCGAACGGTTTTATCTTTGGCCTTTTTCAGAATAGCCTTGACAGGCGGGGTTCGTTGAACAATATCTCTGCACATTAAATTACGCACAATGCCCTTGTACAGTAAACACGCATTGATTTCGTTCATTTGATCTCCCAGCACACAGGATAAAAGATAGTCCAGAAATTCAAAGGAGTAAGTAACACCGTCAACACAGGAGAGTAACTTTGGGTATTTGGTACAGTAAAAATCAAAATGATCGGCCAATAGCTTGGAGCCGGCTTGTTGTATTCTTTTTTGGGTGTGCACCAAAGGCGACCAATCACTATGAAGTACCCGATCCTTTGCTAAGAAGCAACCGTGTAGTGTTTCAATAGCATTGTTTTTATTGACGTGTTCTAGTAAGCAATCTTGTAAATAACCGTGTAAAGACTCCATCTCGGGGCTCTGAGAGAATAAGGAAGCCAATGCGGTGCTACACCAAAATGTGGGCAGAGTCTTTTCGGGGTCATTAATCAAAAGTCGTAAGATAGAATGGGTTAGTTTGCTTAAGCGTGGGTCATTTTGTTGATTTGGACCGGTAAAGTACAATAATTGTGGAATCAGTAATGTACAACTGTGACAGTAGCATATAAGACCATGTGTTAGCTTCATGATGCTTTGGTGGATGGCTGAACACAAATCATCCATGCCGAGATAGTCCGCTGCCATGTACATGGACTGTAGTTGGTCTAGTATTTCTAGGTTCCGATCGTCGGATTCAGCAAAACTGGTTGTTTGTATTGATTTGGTGTACATGAAATAAAGTACGTCATCCAGTACTGAAGAGCTGAAGATACCACGAGGTAAAAATACGATAGATGCCTCTGTTTCTTGAAATTGGTTATTAAAAATATTTTCAAAATAGTTGGAAGATGAAATCAAGACATTTTTATGACATGACCATCTTGTCTTTTCAGGCACAGCTGCAGTCAATTGGATGGATGAGTTTAATGAAGAGGATCTGGATGATATACTCGTACTTGTGCTTTCAGACGGGGCTGCTAAAGCAAGTATAACATTTGGTTGACCCTCTATTAAATCACAAAAAGAATTTTCTCGCATTTAAAAAAAGAAAAATTATATATAAAAAGAAATATGAAGAGAAAAGAGGAAAAAAAGAAGAGGAAAAAACGGATGTTGTTGTTACAAATTAATAAACTTTTTTTTTTATTTTTTTTATTATTTATATTTACTTTAGTGACTCTTGTTTCCTTTCGTATATAAATACCATGCGATTCCAGCCACGGTAATAACAGAGCCAAGCGCCACAATAGCACCTAATACATCATCGCCGGACTCAGAGTCTGATTTGGTCGATTTCTTACTATTAGAACGCTTCACCTTTCTCTTCTTCTTCTTTTTATCGGCAGAAGCTTGTTCTTGTTGCTTTTGTTCTTGCTCTTTAGTCATGTCCCAGTCAACGATCTCAACTCCTACAGGAGGTACTAAACTGCCAGTAGAATCCAATTTCTTTGCTCTTCCGAACCATTTGCCCGCCAACCAAAGATCGTGATCAACACCCATACCATTGGCATACAAAATACCGATATTGAAACAGGCTTGGGCATGACCAAGCATAGCAGCCTCCTTCCAATAACGAATAGCCAAATCAGCATCCACTTCGACGTGTGTGCAAGAACGCACTGTTTCTCCTTCAGGTTGTGATCCATACAAATAAATCAAACCGGTTTGGAAAGCAGAACTACAGAAATAACGTTCATCGTGTGTATGAGGAGGATGGCTACGTAATTGGTTTCTGGGCAAAATATCGCCTGAATCCAACAAGGAGAAATCGATATCGATGCGTGGTGCTGTGATGGTCATACAGCGGTTATAGTAATAAAGCGCACTTTGATAATCCTTTTCTACATCTGCTTCTTCCGATCCACTTCCATAGGTTGTACCAACAATATAACATGCGAGTGGGTCAGGCCCATTACTCAAGTTTGTTCCAGAATCTTGCTCTATGCAGTCAGCAGCTCTCTTGTACCACTCAAATGCCTTTTTACTGTCTTTTTCTGGAATCTTGGTGGCGGTTGAAGTTTCCTTATTTGTCTGTACCGAGTAGATTAAAGTGTCAATTTTCATGCTTTTTCTCTCCTTTTTCTTTTTTTCTTTAATATACCTCGTAAATAACAGCTGCTTTAATCATGGATTGTGTATGGCCTCTTTCTGCAGCAGAAGTGAACAATTCAAGTGCTTTCTACAAGCATACAAACAATTAGTACATATCTCTTCCCACCAATACATCATTTTTATAACTTACAATGAGGTTTCCCATACGAGATTCAAACCATTGAGCCAATAAATAACAAGAAGTGATATCCATGATCTCTGCTTTATGATGAGCACCTGCAACAGGCACAGCCCAATCCAGCTCCTCTTCCTTTTCCAAATGAATCGTCAAGATTCTGTACTTTGGTTTCTTCAAGTGAGGTGGTGTTGCGATAGAAGGAGGTGTATGAAGTAGAGTAGGCGAGTTGGGTTGAGAAATCATATCGTCTGCCTCGGACATGGGAGGGGAGGAAGAGGAAGGTGCACCGGTCAAAAGATCAGACATTTCAGACATACCAGTCGTATCGGCAGCAGCGGGTAAAATCATGGATGAATTAGGTGAGTGATTAGGTGATGACATGAAAGCATAAGAAGATGCAATTGAAAGACTGGGTGAGGCAGTAAGCGAAGAAAATGGTGACATACTGTTCTTTTCTAATTGCCAGAGTGAATCAAAGTGGTTTATTGGTTGGAATAATTTAGCCTAATAAACCTGTTAGTGGGTGGATTTATCTACTGGAAAAGCACAGTATACCTGGAACACAGGCTCTTCTCCTTTGAGACCTGCTTTGAGATATTGTCTTTCGATAGTGATATCTAAATCTTTGGCTTTGGCTGACTCAGGCACCAGAAATGAGATAGTCACTTGGTCGTTACTTTGACTCCATACATACGAGTTCGTTTGAAGTTGGTCGTCGTTTTCCATGTCTAGCCCCCGGTTTATCTGAAAAAAAAAAGAAAAATAGAGAAAGAAAAAGGGAGATACAACCGTCTGAAAAAAAAAGTCGTCGGGGGGATTTAATTCCCTTGTAGAGCCTAAAAGGTCTTAGGTGACTGCTTCATGTATCATCATGAGGTAGGTCGATTATGTTTACATGCATGGTTTATAATATAACAGTTGTAATATGCGGTCCTACTGATAAATAAAATCTCTCCGGGAAAACAACGTATATTATCATTGTAAAGCCTTCTTCTTTCTTTTTTTTGTATAAAAAGTTCTTCTGTTGATGTCATTTCTTTACAGCTTTCGTACGACATAAGCTCTATTCATACACCGACATTACCACATTTTTTTTTAATGAACTCACCAGGTCATTTTTCTCTCTTTTTTATTCTTCTTCATCTACATCTCGTGAATTAATGTCTGAATTCCATTCTTTAGCCAACCTCATTAAGCGCCTTGAGGTAGCCACTACGCGTTTAGAGGATTTAGCCATGTCCTCTTCTTCTGCTTCTGCAGTAGCCGCTTCAAGCACCTGTCCATCTCCACCCAAATCCGTTACTTCTAGTTCTTTAGAAACACCTGCTATTGTAGAAAAACACGACGCTGCTGTTAATGAGCACCTTGAAAAATTCTATGCTTTGTCTCAGGAATTAGGTGAACCTATTGCTTCTCAAGTAAGTCGACTCTCCCTTTTTTTAGCGGTATATATGCAAAACTAACGTTTCCCTTATTAAAGGCTCTTTTGGTGAAACAAGCAGTTCAAGCCGAAAGAGATATTGTATATATCTCTACATTAGCTCAAAAGCCTGATATGGGTTCTGCTACTTTCATGAAGTTATTAGAACCTATCCAAAAGGCTTTGGCTGGTATCGTCGAGATCAAGGATGCTAACCGTCCTAACCCTTTCTTTAACAATTTAAGTGTTGTTGCTGAGGGTATCCCCGCTTTGGGTTGGTTCACTTGTGTAAGTGTCAATTTGGGTATGTAGAATAATACATACTAATATACCTATCTAGGAACCCACACCCGTCCCTTTCATTCGCGACATGAAAGACTCCGCTCAATTCTATGGCAACCGTGTTGTCAAGGAATGGAAAGAAAAGTAAAGAAATTAAGCCCAGGTGTGTATGACAAAAATAAACTAATTAAACGTCTAATTTAATTAGGGAACCCAAGCACGTCGAATGGTCTAGAGCTTTCAGTGCCTTTATCGAAAGTTTAGCTGTTTTCGTCAAGGAAAACTATCCTACAGGTTTGACTTGGAATGCACAAGGTGAAAAGCCCGAATCATTCATTGGAAAGTCACCTTCTTCTGGTGCTTCAGCTTCTGGTGCACCTTCTGCACCACCTGCACCTGGCGCTGGTGGACCTCCCCCACCACCTCCACCCCCACCCCCACCCATGGTCATGGATGACTTGAAGCCCGCTCAACAAGCATCCGGTGCTTCCGCCGTCTTTGCCGAGATCAATAAGGGAACCAGTGTTACTGCCAACTTGCGTAAAGTTGATAAGAGTGAGATGACACATAAAAATCCCACACTTCGTGCTGGATCCATTGTGGCTGCCGCACCTGGATCACCTAAGCGCCAAGGACCACCTACACCCAACAAACCCGATAAATACACTTTAAAGAAGGCTGCCAAGACTTCTTTGGAGGCCAACAAATGGGTTGTTGAAAACCATGAGGGAAATCACAATGTGGTAATTGAAGAGACAGCAATCAACCAAGCTGTCTATATCTATAACTGTAAGAACTCGACAATTCGTATCAAGGGTAAGGTAAATGCGGTGACTATGGATTCTTGTATCAAGTGTGGTATTGCTGTGGATTCAACTGTGTCTACTGTGGATATTGTCAACAGTAAATCGTTTGCACTCCAAGTTTTCAAGGTTGTGCCTACCATCGCTGTAGATAAATGTGATAGTGGTGAGATTTATTTATCCAAGGAATGTTTGGGTGTTGAGATTCTATCTGCCAAGTCCACTTCATTGAACGTCTTGATGCCTGAAGATGTCGAGGCAGAAGACAGTGAATATAAGGAAGTGCCTGTACCTGAACAATTCAAGACTACTATTGTGAATGGCAAACTTGTCACTATCACCGTTGAACATGCAGGATAAACCCAAAATAAATAAATCCACCTTTTTCTTTTTAAACCTCAGTTTGCACACACTTTTTCTTTCTTGCAAAGATGAGTAAAGAAAGTATTTATAAAGTCTCTCCTCATTTAGAAACAAAGGCATTGTCCATCTTGAATGTGAAAAATCCTTTAGACTCACCCGACTTCGACCCCACACAATATTTAAATAAGTTATTTCCCAATGGTAATTTCGAAACGCACGAAAGGAGAACTGTATTTTAATTCTCATTCCTGCCCTGTAGAACAATCATTAGGCTCTGTGGAAGGCGTACTCGACAAACTCCAAGTAAAGATGACAGAGATGAACAAGGAAGCCGAGCGTTTGACGGACACCCAATTTAACAAAGCAGGTCAGGATGACAACAAAGACTTGGCTAAAGCCAAAGAAGCCATTCAGGTATAATATACCTCCTTTTTTTTTCTTCGTATAATGCACAATGTTGACCATCTCAACAACCAGGAACTATTCAAAAAAATTCAAGACATCAAATCAAAAGCAGCTCAATCGGAATCCATGGTTCAAGAAATTACTCACGATGTCAAATCTTTAGATTATGCAAAAAGGCACTTGACGCATTCAGTCACCGTCTTGAAAAGACTTCAAATGTTGGTCACTGCAGTAGATCAATTGGAAACAATGTCAAAAAACAAGCAATACAAAGAGAGTGCTCAATTACTGCAGGTAATTTGCAAATAATTGTGCTTAAAATGAAATATGAGGGACATTAACCTTTTTTGTTCTATCCTGCAGGCAGTTATCCAATTGATGCAACATTTTAAATCCTACAAAAGTGTACCACAAATTTCCCAATTATCAGATCGAATCACCGCTTTGAAGAAACATTTGGAGATATGCGTCTTACGAGAATTAGAAAATGGGTTCAATTTGGAAGGCGGGTTGGTTGGACAACCTTGGCTGTTACACGATGCATGTCTAGTAGCTTCGGTACTAGGGGACACTACAAAGTATGTATGGGAACAAGTCACCCCTTACATATACTATTGATTTTGACATTTATTTAACCTTTTTACAGAGAGAAGATAATCAAGCGCTATGTGGATCTCCAACTAGTTAATTATAGACAGATTTTTAGACCTTTGGAGGAAGTTTCGCAACTTGACAATATATCTCGTCGATATGCATTTTTAAAACGTATTTTAAAAACTTGTGATGACGAGCACGCCGATATTTTCCCTACCTCATGGGCTGTAAGTGGAAGGATCTGTGAAAAGTTCTGTGATTATACAAAGTAGGGGTTTATAAATTGTCTGTGATTATGTTTTGATCTTGATTGTTTTTATTCGATAGATCTGACTTGGATTTGGTCATGAAAAACAACGCACCCGACGTCAAAGATCTGTTGAAAGGCCTACAGTTGACGATTGAATTTGAAGCACAACTGACAAAGAGATACGAAAGATATGTAAGTGTATAAATCGAATAAAAAATATAACTCGTTTTAATCCTTAAGATCTATAGTATAAGGAAGACAATAAAAATGAACATATGTTCAACTTTGAAAAGAAAATTTCTGCCTCATTCCAGCCCTACCTTTACATTTATATTAATGCCGAGGATGCGTAAGCCTTTTTTCAAAACATAGCAATAGTACCAGAGTTTAACCAAAATGTAGAACAATATCATCCATGATTGATTCTTACATTGAGTCTGACATGAAGGCAGATGCAGAGGACGATGGTACCATGGCAGTACTCCCTTCAAGCACAGATCTATTTTATTTTTATAGAGAAACACTTGTCCAATGCTCCAAGTTTTCCACAGGAAAGGCCTTATTTGATCTTTGTCAGTTATTTGCTAAACATTTGGACTCATATTGTAACCAAATTATTTTGGGCGGTTTAGCAAGGTAAGAAAAAAAAAAATGAAACGATCGCGTCGAAAAGATAGATTAACCCTCTTCAATTTTTGCAGAAACGAAAAAAAGACTATCACCATCGAACATTTTAGGTTTGCAAGTTTGGCTTTGAATACCGCAGATTACTGCTGTATGACCACTTCTCAGTTAGAGGAAAAATTAAGGGAAAAGGTTGATGCCAATTATTCCGATAAGGTTGATTTAGAAGGTGTGAAAGAAGGCTTCATGAGGTATCATTACAATTAAAATACATTGTTATATATTAAGTGTTAAAACTTTGTAATAGAGCCATGTCTATTTGCATTGATGCCATTGTGAGGAGTTTAGAACAGGCTTTTGAGCCACAGTTGGCTCAGATGACAAAACTTCCTTGGGGATCTATGGATACTGTAGGTGATCAGTCTGATTATGTAAGTCAAATACTAGACATTATCAAACGCAATGCTACCGTGGTCAGCAGAATCATTGCCAATCGACGTTACTACCGTACTTTTAATGACAGATTTGCAGAGTAAGTACAGACATATCACAATCTACTATACATGAGCTAATGATTTTTAAACAGAATCTTTATATCTAAATACTTGACCCATATTTTCAAATGTAAACCTATATCAGAAATTGGTGCAGAGCAATTGTTACTTGATACACATTCTATCAAGACTTTACTAATGGATATGCCATCCATGGGATCACCCGATGGACCAACCACTATTCCTAATTCGTAAGCAATAACATCTGTATGCATATATATGTAAAAAGCAAAATTAACCAAACACACACACACTAGATATAGCCGCATTGTCAACAAGGGAATATCCAAAGTAGAAGCTATTCTAAAAACTGTTATGTCACCCACAGAGCCTTCAGAAGGGTACGTAGAAAACTACCTGTTGCTCATTGGCGATAAGCATGTAGGTAATTTTACACGCTTACTAGAGCTCAAGGGTATCAAGAAACCCGACCAAGGCGCCTTGTTAGACATGTTCCAACGTCGCATTTCCCAACATGATAACTTAGTTGACAATTCGAATTTACTGCCTGCTGAATCCACAGTAGCTTCAGGTGCAAATCCTACTGTGCTTCCGAGCTCCATCACCACATCCTTGTCAAGTATGGCATCAACTGCTGCTTCCAACTTCAATACCGTCAATTCGCCTTTCAGGCCCACGTCATCACCCACACAGTCATCACCGACTACAGAAGGTACGCGTGGCCGGTTGAATGAGAATTTTAGAAAGCTTGTCATGACCGGTATGGCTTTCCGCAAGGACTTACAGGAGCGAAGGGATAACCAATAGGTTTTTCTTGACTCCCGATATTCATTTCAACTGAAAGGACCTTTCAACAGTTTGAAAAAGGAACAAATTTATTCCAATGTCTTGCATTTTGCTTCGATTTTAATAGACTACAATACAAGGTGATTCTAATAATAAAGCTGACTAAATTCTTTGGTTTTGCATGGGCTTATAAAAGAAGTAGAATATACATGTATTCATTATATGCGCGTTGTGATTATTCTTAAATATCAGTAAGACGTAAGAAAGGAAGAGTAATGTGATGGGTAATGGCTTGGATACTACCAAAGAAAGCTTGTCGATTGTCTGTGTTGTACTTTCCTCCAAATCGCAAAGTCAAACTCAATTATAAAAGTATATCGGATGATATATCGTGTAATTTATTGAATTAATCTAGCGCTGAATACTATTTTATGGCCCTCACGTATTTCAGTACACAAAGTGCAACCAATGCAGATAACAAATAAAAAATAGCATTGATTAAGGCAAATCTGGGTCAATTGGTACTACATGCAAGTTCTCCTTAAAAAAGTGACACATTTTAACGACAACAACAAACAAAATTGTTAAAGACCGCTAATTTAATACGCCAGCGTTCCAAGGACTTCTTGTGGGGAAATCACATGCGGAAACTAAGCGCTTTATTTACTTTTCATGTGTAAAGTACAAAAAGATAAATAAACAAAGGGATAGTAGTCACCCAACGCAATATACATTAGCTATAAAAACCGATTTTTCTCTTCTTTTTCTATTTTTTTTTTTTTACGCATACTTATATTAATCATTTTTTTCATTCTTTCAAAAAAAAAAAAGTTGATGAACTATGTCTAAAAATTTCAGTATTGAAGAAGTCGCTAAACATTCAGTCGACAAGGATTGGTAAAAAGTAGGCCGTTATAGTTTTTAAAATAATACTAATTTATTCAATTAGTTGGATTATTATTCATGGCAAAGTGTATGATGTGACCAACTTCTTGGATGACCATCCAGGTAAGACATGGAAGCTTCACACATGATGGCGTACTAACAATTTTTAGGAGGTAAAAAGGTGCTTTTAAAAGCGGCAGGAACGGATGCATCTAAGCAGTTTGATGCATTCCATAATCCAAGTGTTTTAAAAAAATTGGCTGTCAAATACGAGATTGGTCTAATTGGAAATGACGATTCTGCACAAGAAGAAGAATTGGGAGAGGAAGATTTGGACAACACGACGAATTCAAATCCATTGATTGTTGGGGAGCCATTTGGAGATATGGTTCCATTTGGGGATCCCATGTGGTATCAAGACTGGTATAGGTACGCATCTCTAGTTGTGTGATAATCAAATTCTTATCGCTTTGTATAATAGCCCTTATTACAATGACTCTCATCGAAAGCTTCGTAAATTTGTACGTGATTTCGTAGAAAAAGAGATCATGTCATTTTGTCATGAATGGGATGAGGCCAAAGCAATTCCCAAAGAAATGTTTGTCAAGACAGCTAAGGTTGGCTTTCAAGGAGCAATTGTAGGTCATGTAGATACGAATATGCTTCCTTATGGCCTTCCTGCAGGTATTGAACCTAAGGATTGGGATAACTTTCACACTCTTATTGTGACCGATGAGATTGCACGCTGTGGATCTGGCGGTGTAAGCTGATTACTGAGTCAAATCCAAATTAAATCTAAAATACATGTCTTCTAGTTTCTTTGGGCGTTATGTGGCGGTTTAGCCATTGGTCTTCCTCCAATTTTGCATTTTGGATCTCAGTTCCTTAAAGACAAGGTAGTTAAAGACTGCTTATCTGGTACGAAGATGATTTGTCTTGCAATCACCGAGCCTTCAGGTGGGTCCGATGTTGCAGGTCTGCAATGTGAAGCCAAAGACATGGGTGATCATTATTTACTTAATGGCGAAAAGAAATGGATTACCAATGGTGTCTTTGCCGATTACTTTACGGTTGCTTGCAGAACTGGAGGACCTGGTTTTGGAGGTATATCGTTCTTGTTGGTTGAGCGCGAAATGCCTGGTGTTGTAAGTGGATATCGTGAAACCTAAAAATTATGTCTAATTTTAACTTCTATGCAGGCTACTAAACAGATGCTGTGTAGTGGTGTTTGGCCATCAGGTGAGTAATTAAATATCATCATTTGATATACAATAGTCTGATTGGATATGTTATAAAAGGTACAGCATATGTTACCTTCGAGGATGTCAAGGTACCCAAGGAGAACTTGATTGGCAAAGAAAATAAGGGTTTCAAATACATCATGTGGAATTTTAATAGCGAAAGATTGGGTATCATTATGCAAGCAAACCGTTTCGCGAGAGTTTGCGTTGAGGAGTCTATCAAGGTAAGCTTGCTGATCACTATAGGGGATTAATATACTTATTTATGCGTCTCGCGTTTTGTAGTATGCCAACAAGAGAGAAACATTTGGCAAAAAGTTAATCGACCATCCTGTTATTCGTAACAAGATAGCTCACATGATCAGACAAGTTGAAGCTACTCATGCTTGGATGGAATCATTGACATATCAAACCACAAAAATCCCTCCTCACTTGTTGCCTTTGCGATTGGTACAGTGCTCATTTGATAGATAAACAATTTACTGACTGGTTTTATAGGGTGGTCCAATTGCATTGTGCAAAGCACAAGCTACACAAACATTTGAGTTTTGTGCTCGCGAGGCAGCCCAAATATTTGGCGGCCTATCATACACACGGGGAGGACAGGGTGAAAAAATTGAGCGTTTATACAGAGAAGTCCGAGGTAAGTCTTATCTAAGGTTGCTACATCATGTTTGTTTCACTGACCAAAAAATTTAGCATATGCTATCCCAGGAGGCTCTGAAGGTTAGTCAATTAAATGAAATATTTTTCTAAATAATGATATTAACCTTCCTATAGAAATCATGCTAGATTTGGGAGTACGACAATCCATGAAGATTGCTACCTTCATGGGTGCCAAGATGTGATATGCTTGAGCTTGTGTGACTATTGACCAACATTTTATCTCCTGAAATAAAAATTAGCATTTTCATTTTATTTTTTATCCATGTTCTCAAAATGAAACTACATTTGTCTTCGTATTTTTGGATACTGATAACAATATTGGGTCTGATACAGACTTTTAGACTTAATTTTGTTTCTACTAGAGATTTACGACAAGCAAATGAAAAAGATAATTGGTTTCTTAAACAAAAACAAGACACCATTCCAGCTAAACTTGTACATGCCGGATTAAGGAACGCTACACAAATGGGTGATTCAGCCGCCAACATTTTTTACTTCATTCAAGTAAGTTGATTAATAGGAATGGGGTACATTTAAGCTAACACTCGTTTTTAGGTATCCGACTTACACATATCGAAATTTCAACCCAAAGGCCACACTATTCACTTTTTGCATTTTCTTCAGTCTACCTTACCCGTTATCAAGTAATATTATATGAGCGAACAAGCAAATATCAGGATAATTAACAGAATTCTAGGCCTGAATTTGTAGTAGTTACAGGCGATCTAGTTGATGCAAAAGATCAAACACGTACAGTCTCCGCTCAACACCCTGAAGAATGGCAAGTTTATAAGTCTGCAGTAGAGCAAGGCGCCAATACCACCAAGTGGTACGATATGAGAGGTAACCATGACTGCTTCGACTTAGTTGACTGGCAAGCCGAAAACAATATGTATAAAACTTTTGGTGAAAGCGCAAAGTTGTTGGATGATGGAAAGGGTGTATATAGTTGGCAAGTTTCTAAATCATTCGGAGAGTACAATTTTGTTGTTGTCGACTCCTGGTAAGATTATACGGGATGAAAACAAAACAGTGTGTTCATGCATCAGTCTATTTTAGTCCTAAAAAAGGCCCCTCGAGACCTTTCAATTTCTTTGGCTATCTAACGACTAATACAATGAATAGACTCGTCTCGAAGATCATGTCAAATAGTTACAATCATACTTTTCTGGTATATATATATTAAAACGCGAGTCAAGTAATAAATGCTGATTTTCTTTGTAGTTTTCTCATTACCCAACCACTACAATGCTGACTGGAAAATCGACTGAAGGATATACTTTTGGGGATTTAGCTAACCATTTCAGTATATATTTTTGCGGGCATCTTCATAGATTAACAGCAGGACTTGGCGATGTCCTCAAATCTTACAGTAAAAGTACAGATTCTCTGGAATTAGAATTGTCAGATATGAAAGATCACGGCTCCTATCGTATCATTGCTGTTGACCATGACATGATTTCTTTCGTTGATATCGACCTACCTATCGACGAAATCCCACCAGCTCTCGCAGAAGAGACTATACCTCTTACAGAAACAAACAAAATTGTTTGGCCCAAAAAAATCAAACCCGCACCTGTTATTTTAATCACCAACCCCAAAGACTCGCGGTTCACCATGCCTTCCAAAGAGCCGCTGCAAAATGTTCGTAAAAGCAGCCATATTCGATTTTTAGTCTTCACTGAGTATGAACCTACAGAGCTGCGTATTAAAGTATTTATGGATGATAAACATCATCCATTTCCTGCAAAGTTTGTTGGTAGTATGAAGGATAACATGCCTCTTTGGACAACACTTTGGGAACCCAATGATTTTGATGATTACAGCACCCACACATTACGTATCGAGGTTACTAGTCCTGATGGACAGACAGGTACTAGCCAAGTACCATTTAGAATGGATAACATGAGAATGAAGATCCAAGGTGGCGTCGGTGAATGGGTCATTTGGTCAAATATGGCAAAATTGGTAAGTGACGAAAAAAAAAAATGATGGCTTCTAAACTTAAACTAACTCGCAAAATACAGACTCGATTCCTCTCTATTTTTGCCATTGCTGCCATGCTGACAACATTAATTGTCCCGAAAATATACAATGATTACGAACGCCAACAAACAGGATTTATTGAAAAACGTAACTTGCGAAACAAAATCCTTTATCAAATCCATGAAATTGATTTAGGATTGAATCGCAGTATTTATGCCAGTGTTCAAAAACAAATGTATACATGGATTCATCGCTTCTTGCAATTTCCGGAAGGTCAACCGGAAGTGTGGTATTTGTGTTACGTTTTCTTGCTAGGTTTGCTTACTTTACCTTGGTTTAGAGCCGAACTGATTCCATCTGGTAAGAATCAGGGCCAAAGCGATGGTAATTTCTATATGTGGGGATTGCTTTTTGAGAACGATCAATGGATCCCCTTAGCCGATACGTGGATGTATGCAATTTTTAGTTTGACTTTCAACTGCGGAATTTTTATCCTTTTCTTTGTTTGGAAATCCACCAGCGTACATTTGCTTTATTGTAAAGGAATGGAAAAAACGGAAAGGGTAAGCTTGTTGTGTGATCGCATATGGTTCCAAATATTTGTTTTAGTTTATTGGGTGTGGCGCATGAAGGAGGTATCTGAACTTGCCACATTCTATGGAGGAGTATGGCCTACCCTGATATCTAATTTGATGTTCTGGTGGCTGATAGTTGTAGCTTTGCTTATTATATTTGGTAAAAATGGTATCGTGGCTACAGCAATGTCCAGAAACAGAAATTTGGATGCAGAGCCCGTTGGTATTAGTCTGGAAATTTGTCCTGCTTGTTATGATAGTAATACAGATGCTGAGCCCGTCGATCAATTTTTTGTCAACGCCGTGACAAATCATCAAGAAAGTGAAGAACGTCATATAGATATCACGCCTCGAGATGAGGAAGCAAGACATCTTTTGGTCGATGAAGAGGGTATTAGTAGCGATAGTTCTGACAACACCAGGATAGCACTTAGGAGAAAAACGTCAAAGAAGGACTAGTTAGGAGAGAGGGAAAACCTTGTCTCTCTATTTTTTCATTAAAGAAACCTGTATATATAGATATCCTAAGGCAACTCCCTAAAAAAATATTGATGTTCTCTTTTTACCAGCGAAAAGTCATAAACTATTAAATAAAGGAGGACGATTGAACCGATTTCTTTTACTCGGTTGTCTTACTCTTTATTTCATTAATCTTCTATAAACTAATTCATTCAAAAAAAGTAAACCTTTTAAAAATGGCATATCGTGATGAATCTGTTGGAGTTTCTTCAAACCGAATTATACAATGGTTCGGATTTGATAGGTTTGAGCCAGAGCGGGCAGTAACATCTCATTTCGTGTCATCAAAAACTTTATTTATGATACGGCTCCCTCTTGCATTATATAGCATTATTGTACTGTGGGTAGATGTTATATGGACCATAAAAACCGGTGGATTTAGGCATTTTTTTGCCTATTTTACAGATCTTACATTTATTGGACTTCATTCGTATCTTATGGTAAGTTTTTATTTGCCACTCAAGTGACAGCCCATTTACTGACAAGCATACAAAATTTAAGATCACCTTGTACCATCATGCGAAATATCTATGGAGGCCAAACTCTGATTATACCACATTAAAAAGACCCTCTTCCTTTTTAAATCAATCTTCAGTATTAAATTACTTGTATGTGTATCTGTATCATACAGTCATTGTTTACAAGTACGTTGAAAATCAATTATAATGCTTTAGTAGATAGTAATGTGTTACGTTTTTAAACTTTAGCATTCAAACACCTGTAGTATTCTGGGCATTGCTTGCTAACGAGAAGTTATTCAATGGTAATGATTTATAGTACAGACTATATGAAAAAAAATTGATAGTTATTTTAGCAAATTTGTCTCCCATTGATTTTTGGATTAGTATATCTCTTCATTCAGTAACCTTGTTCATATTGGCAGTAGATGTGATGTTCAATAGGATGATAGTTTACACCAGAATGGTTTTACTAGTTTTCGGGACAGTTCTTTTATATATGTGCATGACATTTATTATTTTTGCAGTGTAAGTCATACAAATATCCGCCTATTTTTTATTAATGATTATTTTCATAGTGAGAAGTGGTGGGTCTATACATTTTTAGATTGGAGGGTAGGACCAAGCGCAGCCATATGGTACATAGCCATCTCGATATTTATTATCATTTGTTTCTTTTTCCAAATGCTGGTTCACAAATTGAGAGACTGGATTTCTAAACAAATGCCAATCAAAAGATATGATCCCGGGGTTAAGCCAGAAATCACAACAGCAGAAGAAAAGCCTATAAATGGAATCAATCAAAGTTCTAATTTTGAACCTTTGGCCAGTACGATCGCAGGATCACGTATTACCTTTGGTGATACCTCAACAGACAATCATGCAAATGAGTCTGCCATATATTATTGATAAAATAAACTTGATTTCTTTATATCTTCTGAGGTATTACCATTCAAATGGGCAATCGGCTTATGCGGTTCGACGCCCCGACCAATTTTAATGCGCTACAAAAAACATAAATTGGTTTGTGTAACAAAGAGTCAATTTAGTCCCACCTGAAGCCAAAAACGCCGATGAAAGCGAATGCAATAACAATATGTCTCACCAAAAAATTCTTTGCAAACTGTCACTAAAATTCAGCTATAGACAGACAATGCTCTCATAATAAGACGAAATCGATCGACATAGTGCTTTACTTTACTGTATTGTTTATTTTTTTACTCCCGTTCTTGTTATTTATTATTGCTTTCATGTGTCACAGTCGACATTAAATTGACGTTAGACAATAACACAGTAGCCGGGTATTAAGATGGAAATGGGAGCAAATCATCACGTCTTTTAATTGATTTTTTTTTAAGATCGGTATAATTCATTTTTCCTTTCCCTTTTCTTATTTAATCCACACACATTCATTTATCACCCTATGGTTGACACTAAACCGCGTAACACCACCTTAAAAAAACTGGCTAGGTGGTCACCTTCTTCTCCTAACTCTGCTTCCATTCCGCCACTGAGCTCTGACGCTCCATTCGCTCATGTCCATCACGATCAATTGCAACAGGGATCTTTATACATTATCAAAATTAAACAAGTTAGTCTTGCCATGTTTGAAGGTCAGAGAATACAATAAAAACAAGAGGTGTAGATCCCATTTTTTAATATTTGTATATGATAGGCTGGAATGATGATATGTGCTGCTTCTCTATTCTTCGTAAGTACACTAAAAAAAAAAAAGAAAAAAGACTGAACGAACTTCACATACACTAACATAGATTACAGGTTCTGAGGTAGAACCCTTACGCTGGTCAGAAGCTAGGTACTTTTTAAAACAAAAACTCATTCTTGCCTTTCCTTTTCAGGACAACTCACGTTTTTTTATAATTAGACAGCTGCCTGGGGATTTTGATATTTATGATGCATTTGATGAATGTGGCAATCCTCCAATTCATTTATGGGCAAGGTATTTAAAAGTGAACGTTCCCAGTAATTGGTTTTGTATGTTTGAGGAAGCGAAACGTAAACAACGCGAGTGGCACATGCGCCAGCAACAACAATTTGAGCAGCAACAGCAACAACAGCAACAACAACAACAACAACTGCAGCAACAACAGAATGGACTTATTCGTCAAAGTGTAATACAAGACCAGAATCAAGAAGATTACTATTATCCACCTCCACAAGATGGATCTGTGGTGCTTCGCAATACCGACACACCTCCTGTCGCTTATTCCAACACAGATGTGTCTTCAATGAGTTTGAACCATCATAATTCAACAGATGAATCTATCGTGGCACCATCCATTGTTGCTTCCACAAACATTATTGACCCTGTTATGTTAAACGAATCATCTAGAAGTACAACGACTACCAGCCTTCATCACCAACCCTCAATTTTATCCACCGTATCCGTTAATACAGGTAGTATGCGTGGCTCAAATAGGCAAGTGTTATCTCCTACCCCCTCTCACCGGGAAGTTATTCAACAGCAACATCAGCCAGAAAGATCAGGAAGCATTATGGATCGTGAAAAAATACGCAGACATTTGGCACCTGGACAGGCTATAATCACAAATAGAAATTCGGGTAGTGTGGTTACATTAGCTTCCACTGTTACAACATTGGCACCCGTAAACAAAGATTCGCCAACATTAAATCATCATCGGTCCAAAGAACAAATTCATGGTATACCAGAAAATGATGCCGAAGATGATTCTATCAAAAACGAATCGAATATATCAGCTTATTCCAATGAAATGGATTTCCCTCATGATTCAGACAGGTTCTCGATTCGATCGGATATTTCTCAAAGCGTCGTCACACCAACCCCAAAGCTGTCTGTCTCTTCAAAGTCTCGTAATAGACCTTCGATGAAGAAGATTATTTGGGGTTAAAAGAAAGACAAGCTCTCTCTTTTTTTTTATATAAATATCAGAATAAAACATGGTGCACTATGTAACTTATCTAACTCTGTCACGATTAAGGTGAAGCTCTTACAAGAAGTTTGTAGATAAATGAATTTATTTAGAAAAATTAAAATGTAATGATGGTAGTAGATCTATATATACAAGAAACAGAAGTTCTTCAAGAAGCCGTGTTTGCTTTTAATAGCATACTCTTTAAAAATCTTTGTAAAACTTGTCTCATACGTTGGGGCGTCATTTTAGGGGAATATTTACGCATACGATACTCCAGGCATCGAACAACAATGTCAGTTGGGACAGAAACAGCACGTGACTGATCCGTTTCAACGACTGATGATGTATCTTGGTCTCCTTCGCGGTCATCCTTTGGTAGCATAACGGATGTTGCAGGTCGGCTATAGTAGAAAGAAGGGGACATCCAATTTACATGAGAGTTTTTTTGGGTAGAAGAGGAATACCAGGTAGGTGACATAGTCATGCTTGGCAAAATAGTGTTTGAGTAGCTAGGTTGGTATATAGATGGTGGTGGTAACGTTGATTGCTGACTAGTGATGGAACTGAGAGAGGGAAGTTTGATAGACTGAGGATTTTCTTCAATCTCAATATGTGATACCATATTAATTCTAGACGGTAAAGACGCTGGCTGCTTCCCTAACCCAAAATAGCGATAACCACTGCGCATGGCAAACTCTGGCGGGATAATATCTAGTGTTACTTGACTGTAATTATGTAAATGCTGGAAAGTTTGTAATATTTCTGAAACTAACGGTATAAAAAGAAAAAATTGAGTAAAGTTAAAAAGATAAAAACTGTGCATATTACCATAAATGTATTCCAAAAAGACCCTGTTTTTAAACAGTTTTTTCTCTTTCATACGAGTAACAATTTTGTTCCATAAATTGGTGCGTGTACTCCAATAGTTCCATCCATATTGCATCAAGACAATCATCTGACCGGCTTTTTCATCCCAGCGGAGAGCAGAATCGATCGATGCCATGCTGCTTTTATGACTGGAGTCGTTGTCGAGACTGACAATTAAATGCTTTATACAGCGTACCACAAGTCCCTCTTGCGTTACTCGCATTAAGCCAAACTCGTGGTCTTGGAAAATAGTCGCGACTGTCCTACAGTCAACTTCATCAGCTAAGAAATTGGTGTCATCTAAATCATTGGGAACTGGGAATACGGATAAAATAATCGCAATTTCCAGGGTTGATTGCTACATAATCACAGGTTTAGTAAGCTTTAATTAAACCTATCAAATGATATTAGATAATTACAGGTAAGCTACCAACAAGCAAGTAGATGACACCGATATTATATAACACTCGAAATGCGAACATGAAAGGAATATCGAATTCAGGCGGTGTTATATCGTTTTCCTCCTTTTTATATTTCTGACGATGTACTTCAATTCGATCACAGATTAGCTGAGACAGTTCTAAGGCTTTAGCCAAGTTGCCTGCAACAGACGGCTATAGAGATAAAACGGATCAGTATGTGTGTTCTATGCACGTGCTGCTTTTCTTACTGAGGAGAGTGCCATATCGCTTCTTACAAGCAGTACAGCATTTGTCAAATCAAATGGTAACTGATAAGCATCAATTACCCTAACAAGTTCTATTATAATATATTAGAACAGTTGGTTTTATGTTTTGTAATTTTACAAACCTTGTTCCCAATCTCCATAAATTTCGTCCCATAATCCATCAGGAGACATTTGAAAGGCCCAATCCCATAGTTCAACAATATGTCTCATACAGTCGGCTGCTTTACTAAGTATTTGAAGCGCACTATCAACGCCTCCCATACAGTACGATTCAAGGCCTTCTCCGCCACGATCAGGTAGTTGAACTTTTTGACGTTTGTTTACATGGTGTCGTTGATACGGGTATAAATGTGCATCATGAGAATTATTTACTGGGCAATCACTACGAGAAGAAGATGGCACTGGGCGATCTCTTTTGTTATTCGAGTTTAGTCTGTAATCTTTATCTTCTTTATCATCATCCTCTTCACCGTTCGATGATGTGAAAGAATTGTAGTCTTCAGGCTGAATAGCAGTCGTTGTATCATTAAAAAACTGACGTCCGGACGTGTTGTTGGTAAGTGCAGGTTTTATTGCACATATAGGAATAAGACAAGATTTATCTTGTCCAGCAGGTGAATCTAACGTGCAAACCGCACGGTAGTATTCGTTACAAAATTGTATGAATTCAACTGCAACAGCCTTAAATTCACACATAAGTACAATTGATATAGCCAAATCATTTGATCCGATTGAATTAGGATCGATGCGAACACCGCATCTTTTCTCTTGCATATATTGAAACTTGTTGATGTGTGATTGAAAACCTATTTGTCCAAGTCTTGTATAGCCACAGCAATCAAGCATAGCGTTGGTAAAATTTGAAAGTTCAATCCAATCTCGATGTTCGATGTAAAACTGTTGACCCAAAACTAGGTATTGCTCGAATAGGTTGTAAGGTATTGAAATATATTGTTTACCCTCTGTGGATTTTACTGCTGGTGGTATATCTTTGTGTGTCAGCAGAATACGTTGTTTACATAGTCTAGGAAACAGCTCGGTCACAAGTATTTTTATGTATTTTTTACTCTCAAGTTGGCTCATGTTTTGCGCACCGAGGACTAATAATTTAATGGCACGAATCTAATAAAAAAAGAGAAGATTAATCCCATTGAAGTTATTGTTATCTAATAGACTGTTTACCAAGTATTTATATGCATGACGAGAGTAGTTTTGTATATAGTCAAATAGTGTTTGATATGCTCGCAATGTGTCTTTCTTTTCCAGTGATGCTAAAAATAGAAGTGAATATTACAATACTTGAATTATGTAACATCCTATTTTTTTGGATTTTTTTTAACCTGCTATTTTCTCGATAATTGTTGATTGAATCAATGCGGGCAGAGAAGCAAAGAAGGCTATTAAAAAAAGAAGGTTGATATCTTGTCATAATCAGGTGTTTGTAAATGATTATTTACTGCTAATGTCTGTATTTTTTGATGGATCAATGTGATCTGAGAATTGGATTATGTATGCCTCAAATTTCTCATTTTCAGCGTTGTTCGCTTGGCTTCAAAAACATTTAAGAATAAAATATTAATAAAGGGAACAATGGAAAAAAAATCTTTATTGTACTTACAGTAATACAAAACTTTGCAAAGCTTCTTCCAGGTGGCCCAAATGGATTGCATTTTGATGTTTTTTAAACTATTACATATCATATAAAGCTTTAGAGATATCGAAATTGATTGAAATACTTGTAAGATTTTTACTTCATTCTCGAATGAGCAGTCTGCAGATGTTGCTGTTGTAGTAGCATTGTTGCTTGGTGCATCATTGACATTGTAACGTTGACCTCGGCTGTTCAACATATCAGTCATATTCGTCATGTTTTAAGTTTTTTAAAGAGAGAAAAGAAAAAAGATATATAAAAGAGGGGGGGGGGTGAGACGGGAAAGGCAGAATACCGGAAGAAAGAGAAGGAAAAGGCTGAAATAAAACCTGGAGAAAACCTCAAAGTCGTACAAACATCTTTTCCGTGGATGCTTACTTAATCTTTTTCAGGCCCAGTTACTTTTTCTCATGTCGTCGATATTTGCAGCACCAAACCCGCTAAAAGATTACATAATAGACTATACATGAGTTTTTTTTTTTTTGCTCATCCTTTAACGAGAATATCTTGATTATCAGTCTATAAATACAACTTGTTCACACACTTTTTTTTTGATTAAATAAACAATTACATTATCTTGACATAAGCCAGCTTTATTTATCAGTCTACAAATAAAACCTGTTCGCACACTTTTCTCTTTCCTTCTTTCCTTCTTCTTTTCAATTTTTATATATATATTTATATATATATTCACACAACACTATCTTTTCGAAGAGAAGTAACAATTGTTATGATAAAATTATCTAATAACAACTATTGTTTTTTTAAGAGAAGCTAAAATATTACCTAAAAAAGAGACATGCCTCGGTTTTTCATTATCATAGCTAAAGCCTGTCTTCAGTATATGATGAGGACTTCCCCGTTACTCGTAAGCCTTCATCTTACGATAGGGCTGAAAATCGAGTGGGCCGTCGTTAGTGATCCGCTAAGGATCGAAAATATGTAAAAACATTATAGACAATCTTACGTTACAAATTTACAGCAACACTGCAATGAAACGCAGCTGCAATATTGGATAGGTCAAACGAAAATTTCAAAAACCTCTTAGTAGACGCAGAGACAGTTATAAACGTTTTACGGGCAACATCTATGGATCCTAAAAAAAAAGAAGTAAGGCAACAGCTCTTTGAAAGTGCGGACATGCCATCGTATTGGATGCATATTCGATCCAATCCCAACATTATTAACATTGGGTACGCACGAAAGTCATCAACATAGGAAAGTGATGCATATCGAACCAAGTTATTGCAACTTATGGTCGACAGGTTACTCTTCCGTTTTAATTGTCAGGAGGTCTATGTGAGTCCATGCTGTGCATCCAATGATCCCATCTTGAACAGAGATTCACCACCTTTTAAAGCCGTACTGGATTCTTTAAACGGATGTCAAGAAGTCAACCCAGACGAGTTGTAATAACTTGACCGGGAGCCCGTTCGATAGACTCTTTACTTCCGCCGGCATAATTGCTTATACTGGATTTTCCACATACCCGTAAGACATTAGATCATGGTAGCCACATGGAGACTCTTACCAGACACCAGCCGCTTAAAAATCATCAGGTTGAAAAGTTCAACTGTCGTCCCCTTCCAGTAAAACGACCAATATAATAAAGATTTTTTTATGCTGTACCTCATTATCAGCATTGTTTATAAAAGATAGAACAGATGTCATCTTTGTCTCTTTTTCCTGCTTAAATGTAAAAATAAAAATAAAAGACATGTGTTCTCATGTCCATTATAAAAAAGTTTCGTTAATTATCATCAATTTTTATGAAGTCGACGGTGATCAATATTACGTAATCTCTTTGTCTCGACATTTATCCTAGTACTTGTAAGAATGTAAGACGAAACGTTTAAAGTGCTTTTTTTTCCTACGCTTTCACAGATTTCCGCGACTCTTTTTGATAAAGCGGCTTCCTATTGTTATCGCATGTATCCATTTACCTACACAGGATACAAGACTACTCATCTTGACACTATATGATACCTCACACTTTAGTAGTAATGGACAATTTTTTTTTTTAAAAAAAAAACCAACAAATTTCACAGGTATGGCTGCACAATAGTTATAATTAAGAATAACGACGATATAGTAGCAGTTATATATATAACATAAGGGATTGTGGAACATTACTGGGACAAAATTTGACTTGCCCAAAACAGAAATTTTGTACATCTTCAAACACATGTTAAATACCGTTTAGAAACAGCTTATGTCAGATTTACTTGTTTCCCTTGTCTCGGGAAATTTTGTATTCAGTTGGAAATATTCATCCCGACATATCCTTTATTCTCACCCAACAGCATAGGTTAAATTGTCCTTTTAGGTTGAATATAAACGAACTTGTATTTACATGATTCCTTTGCAGTAACAAAAAAAAAGTTAACCTTCTCCTTCAGGATGAAAAATTATTTTAATTCGAACTTCTTTCAACAACAATAATTGCCGAAGGCTATAAATGCCAAATTGAATCTCTAATTTCTACAAGTTATTTCTTTTCTATCATTAGCCCTTTTTTCTTTTTTTTTTTTTCTTTTTTAGTAGTGTTATGGAAGATATTTTATCACCAACTCATACATTTCTTGATTTTGACTTTTCAGAGTTTATCGATAAAAACTTTGATATGAATAATGACATATTCAACTCTCCGAACTCAAAGTCGCCTTTACTACAGTTAGATGATTTTTTATCTTCTAGTAGTGATTCAGGATCAGAGTCGAAAAATTATCTTGACCAAAGCCCTCCACAATGGTCGACTATGGAAAACCTGTCTTTTAACAAAGCCCCGCCCACTCTATCATGTATTGATGACTTTATCAAGGATCCTCATAGTGATCTCGTTCAACTTGTTCAACAATGTAACATTGAATGTTCCTTATTTCAGAATTTAATTGCACATAGTTTAGCAGAACATGTGTCGACCACACCTCAACAGATATTACAAGAACAACAACAGCAGCAAGCATTGTACCAACAACAACAGCTACAAAAATTACAGCGACAGAATTATGTCAATCAATTTCCACAGCAACTGTTGGATATTCAAACGTTTCAAAATTACCAACCTCCCATGGAGCCACAAAGGAAAAGAAAAATCAATAATGACAACAACATAGTACAGCCACCTCAAAAGCGAGTATCCAAAAGTAGTAGCTATTCATCCAACAATTCGAGCTATACACACAGTGATTCCGTCAATGCACACTTGTTACGCGAACTTATACGACAAGCCGGTAGAAATAGTATACATCGTAATGGCAGTATGGACAGCACATGTAGCAGTAGCATTGCTAGTAGCAACAATGGCAACAACAACTTAATATTTCCACCAGATTATAACACTCGAAATTTTTTGCCTGACGGAAATTATCAGCCATATCGTCATCCTTATTATACAGCATCATCATCGCCATCATCACGCCATAGTTTGCCATATCACATCCAGACAAAAAAAATATCTACCAAGCTTCCCAAGAATGCAATTAACCGATCCTCTAGTGCAACAAAACCCGCCCGCCATCCTATGGGCAGACCTTCCATGTACTCCTCTGACATTTCTCAGGCTCAATTATTAGAAATACAGGCTATTTCAAGAGCCCAACAAGACTTTATTCGTGCTAGAGAGCAGCAAGAAGCAGAAAAAGAAATCATGATGAAGCATCAGCATAAAAAACAAGGTGTTTAATTAATGGAATTTTTTTTACTGCTATTATTATTATCATCTACTTTGTACAAAAAATTATAACGCCTAATTCTATTCATCTATTATTTCCTATGTACATCTAATTATTCCTTTATGTACACTACTACCATTTAATAAATAAAAAATAAAAAAAACTTTCTAATTTTTCGATCACTTTGGCTTGCTTTAGAATAGCTTCATTTTTTTTCTCCTATAAATGACGATAATGACATAAATAAAGGAGGCATGAGGTAAAACAAACAAAGCTTTTAGATAAAGGTAGGTTAATTTTTTTGAATGACTATGGAGATTTCCCTAGTTTCTCCCCAAGATCCATGTTCGAGCCAACAAATAAAGATACTATGACGAGAGTTTCGCAAAATGAGTAAAAGGGTGTCGCACCAACCTTTGACGGATAGGCAGCACTTAGAAAGCTAAGCACTTTTAACTGCAGTTTAACAATCTATAAGTGGTTAATGCTTTTATTTTTCTGGTTTTTTTTTTTTTTTTTTTTTTTTTTTTTTTTTTTTTTTTTTTTTTTTTTTTTTTGGGCTCGAACATTTCGAACACACTGGCTTCGAGGAAACCCCTTACTTTTAATTGATTTATTAATCGTGCTAAAATTAAGCATATGGTCTTAGTTTATAAACTTTAATTTTTTTGTTGGGCGCTGTGCGTTGTATTGAAGTGTATGTGTCACCCATTTAAGTAAAATAGGCCCAAGTCGCGTGCCACATTGTCAAGTTTTTACCAAATATTACCAACATTACACCATACATGCAGATAACACATTAAGTTGTAACCCAATGCGTATAAAATGATATCAGTATAGACAAGTCTGGACGCTAGAGGTGGCGGACGCACAGCATTTAAAAAAAAATAAAGTTTAGCGCGCACTGATCAAAAACTTTTGGCAAAACTCGACATGATAATCAGAAGTGCTCGTTTTCGGGGTTTAAAGTTATGTTTGTTACCTCTTAAGAGAATAATGCGTATTTAAAAGCTGAAAAAGGTTAAGTGTGCCCTAGTTTTCTACCTGCTTATGTGTATGACAATTTGTGAGTCAGATAACGCATACTATGCTTTTTGAATGGAAAAAAGTTTTGCTCCTTTCTCCTCACACTTCATCCAATGACGTAGACCTTTTATACAATTCTGATTGGTTCATAATACTGAAAAATCTTTCCAAAAATATTTTTTTTTTTATTTGACACCTACACAATTTTTTTTTCGCACCCTTTTGCCCCTCTTTTTTTAAACATATTAACATGGCACAACAACAAACCGAAGAATGGCCTGTCAACAAGGTCCGTTCCACTTTCATCAAGTATTTCGAAGATAACGGTCACGTTTTCGTGCCTTCTTCTTCTACTGTTCCTCACGATGATCCCACTCTTTTGTTCGCCAATGCTGGTATGAATCAAGTAAGCCTCGCCATTGTGATTTTCTCAGCCTTGATAGAAACTAATATTGTTACAAACATAATAATAGTATAAGCCCATTTTCTTGGGTACTCTTGATCCCAACTCCCCTTTGGCTAATGTCAAGCGTGCTTGTAACTCTCAAAAGTGTATTCGTGCCGGTAAGTGATAAGTGTATGTGAAACGCATATTGTGGTTTGTTAATTCATTTATCGTCTTTTCAGGTGGTAAGCATAACGATTTAGATGATGTTGGAAGAGATACCTATCATCATACCTTTTTTGAAATGTTGGGTAACTGGTCTTTCGGTGATTATTTCAAGGTACAGTAAAAAAAAAAAAATCTAATGGGGGAAAGGTACAGATATTTATTGTATCAAACAAAATAGTTGGAAGCTACCAAGATGGGCTGGGAGTTCTTAACCAAGACCATCAATCTTCCCGAAGATCGTCTTTATGTTACCTACTTTGGTGGTGATGAAAAGATGGGTCTTGCTGCTGATTTGGAAGCCAAGCAAATGTGGATGGATCTCGGTGTTGATGAGAAGCGTTTGATTCCTGGTAGTGTCGAGGATAACTTTTGGGGTAAGTGGAGGGGGGTTTCTGCTTGTGCTGTATATGTGTACGTATAGAATTCGTGTTTAAAAAGGCTTTTTATTCTTTAGAAATGGGAGAGACCGGTCCCTGCGGTCCTTGTTCCGAAATCCATTATGATCGTATTGGTGGTCGTGATGCTTCTAGTTTGGTCAACATGGATGATCCCAACGTTCTTGAAATTTGGAATCTTGTCTTCATGCAATATAACAGAGAACAAGACGGTTCTCTCCGTTCATTACCCAACCAACATATCGATACCGGTCTTGGTCTTGAACGTCTTGTCTCTATTCTCCAAAACAAGTACTCCAACTACGATACCGATTGTTTCACTCCCATGTTTGCCAAGATCAAGGAATTAACCGGTGCTAGAGATTATACTGGTTTGTTAGGTGATGAGGATGTGGATGGTATCGATACCGCTTACCGTGTTATCGGTGATCATATCAGAACTTTGACTTTTGCCATTTCTGATGGTGGTGTTCCCAGCAATGAAGGTCGTGGTTATGTCTTGAGACGTATTCTTAGACGTGGTGCTAGATACGTTCGCAAGTATTTCAACGTTCCTATCGGTACCTTCTTCTCTTCTCTCGTCGATACTTTAGTTCTTCAAATGGCTGAAGCTTACCCCGAGCTCTCCAAGAAGGCTGATGAAGTCAAGGCTATCCTTGATGAAGAGGAAGTTGCTTTCTCCAAGACTTTAGATCGTGGTGAAAAGCTCTTTGAGGCCTACATGAAGAAGGCCAAGGAAGCCGGTGAGACCGTCTTATCCGGTGATGATGTGTGGCGTCTTTACGATACCTATGGTTTCCCTGTTGATCTCACCCGTATCATGGCTGAGGAAAACGGTTTGGAGGTCAACGAGGCTCAATTTGAAGCTGCTCAAGAAGCTGCTAAGCTTAAGTCTCGTAAGGTCAAGGGTGGTGATAACGGTCAAGGTGTTGTTGCACTTGATGTTCATGATCTTGGTGCCTTGGATAGCAACAGTGCTGTTCCCAAGACAGATGATAGTGCCAAGTATTTACCTGGTAACATTCAAGGTCAAGTCAAGGCTATTTTCTTTGAACACAAGTTCCTTGATAACACTGCTGATATCCCTGAGGACCGCAACTTTGGTATTTTGACCGATAAGTCCAATTTCTACGCCGAATCCGGTGGACAAGAATATGATACTGGTTCCATCATCACTTTGGACGGTACCACTGAATTTGTTGTCGAGGATTGTCAACTCTATGGTGGCTATGTTCTCCATGTCGGTCATCTCAAGTATGGTCAACTTTCTATTGATGAGAAGGTTGAACTCTCCTATGACGATTTGCGTCGTTTCCCCTTGAGAAACAACCATTCTGCTACTCATATTCTTAACTTTGCCCTTCGTGAGGTTTTGAAGGAAGACATTGATCAAAAGGGTTCTCTCGTATCCCCCGAGAAGCTCAGATTCGATTTCTCTTACAAGACTCCTGTCAACGTGAAGCAATTGGCCGAGGTTGAAAAGATCTGTAACGACTTTGTTCAAAAGAATGTCAAGGTCTACTCCAAGGAAGTTCCTTTGGCTGTTGCCAAGGCAATTCACGGTTTAAGAGCCGTCTTTGGTGAGACCTATCCTGATCCCGTTCGTGTGGTTTCTATCGGTTTCGATGTGGATGAGATTACTAAGGATGTCTCTAACCCCAAATGGAAGACCACCAGTATCGAATTCTGCGGTGGTACTCACGTTGCCAAGACCAGCGATATCAAGTACTTTGCCATTATTGAAGAGTCTGGTATTGCTAAGGGTGTCCGTCGTATTGTTGCCGTGACCGGTGATGAAGCCATTGCTGCTCAACGTGAAGCCGAGGCATTTGTTGCCAAGCTCGATCGACTTGATAAGTTGACTGGAGCTGAGCTTGAAGCCGAACTTAAGGTAGTCTCCAAGGAATTGGACACCGCTGTTATTTCTGCCGTTGCTAAGGCCGGTTTCCGTGACCGTTTCGCTGCTGTTAAGAAGGCTTTCGATAATGCTGAAAAGATCCGCAAGGCTGAACAAGTCAAGGAAGCTACTGAGATTGTCAAGAAGTACTTTGAAGAACACCCTGAAGCCCAGTATTACGTTGCCGAATTACCTGTTGGAAACAACTCTAAGGCATTGGGTGGAGCTATTAATTATGCCAAGCTTAACTTGAAGGATAAGGCTGTTTATGTTTTCGGTGGTGATAAAGAAAGTGGTCGCGTTGCACATAGTTGTATTGTTGGTAAGACCTTTATTGAAAAGGGACTTAAGGCTTCCGATTGGGCTGCTGTTGTTTGTGAAAAGGTGGGCGGTAAAAAGGGTGGTAAGGACGATGCTGCACAAGGTTCTGGTGACAAGTTTGAAGGCTTAGATGAAGCATTGAAGGCTGCCGAAGACTTTGCAAAATTAAAGATCAGTGCCTAACATGTTGCATGTTTTTTTATATATAAAAATAAACAAATGAATAATATAAAAAAAAAAGCCGATCTATCCCTAAATAAAAATATGCTCAATATATTTCTCGAACAAAAAAAAAAAATGGTCTTTTACCCATACATGGTTACTGTTTGGATGATCAAGTGTGTGAATCGGGGACTCTATTCCGATCCATTGGAACTGGATAATTAAAAAAACGCCGTGAGCTCCCCCCACCCCCCTCATCGACCTGAGTCATCTTTTTTTACCAACAAGGTTATCAGAGCAGGAACAAGCATTCCAATTTACCCAAAGCGGCATTTCATTTGCCGAGCTTAGAACACTGATTGGATTTTGACTCACCCAGAACGAATTTAAGAGAGAAAAAAGATGTCGGTCTAACCAGTTTTGACATGTTTCTTCTACGGAGATCTACTGCACAATCTAAAAATAAATATTGGCATAATATGAAAACCCCACCCACTCCCAAAACTTGACAATTATCTCTGTGTGACACGTGCATCGCGATTAGGGAAATTAGCATGTAAGTTACATAATTGTTTATTATAGATCTACTATTTTGGAGGCGGAAACATTTGTAATTCTATGTACAGGTGTGTGAAGAGGAAAAGAAGGAAGGGGAATTTAGTTTAGTATATTATTAACTCTCATTAGAGATGGATTTAAGAGAGGATCCATCTCGATCTTTTGGTGATATTGTTGTTGTAACTGAGCCGACAGTATGGGTGTACTCATGTCGGTAGCAGGTGAATGAGGAGATGCTGAACCTCTCACTGAACTTGTTTTAGAACTCGACATGCTACCGAGAGATGACATTGGACGTTTGTTAAATCTAGCCAAGAATGAGGCCATTCTAGCGTTATCATCTGTTTCGGTTGTATAGCGATGGTCAGTTTGTGGAACAGCTGTTGCGTAAAAAGGAGAGACAAGGTTATTGAAATCGATTTCATCGACAATATCAACTCTTTCGTGTGACATTTGTGAAGTATTGTTTTGTTGTTGTTGTTGTTGTTGTTGCTGTTGCTGTTGTTGTTGATGCCAGTATTCAATATTACCCAAGAAACCACTGTCTAGGATTTGTCTACCAAAGTTTGTATTGTTTAATTGTTCAAGATCCACAGTCCAATAACCACCTTTGCTTCCTTTTCCTTTTCCCGCACTGTCTTGAGACAAACGTGGGAGTTTACGAAAGCATCGATTTAGAGATAGGTTATGGCGTATTGTATTCTAAAAGAAAATAAAATCAGTATTTGGGTCCAGTTTCCTTATATAGGTAACTTATTTACCTGCCATCCGGTTTCATTTGCTTCATAGAGATGAGGATATCTTGTTTGGACCCATTCGTAAATTTCACGCAGAGTTAATCTTTGATCCCTCGAGGTCAAGATAGCCTGGGCTATTAATGAAGCATAGGAATGTGGGGGACGTCTTCTTTTACGAATAGGACGTTTTTGTAGATCAACTTGTTCGGGTTGAGGATGATTAGGAAAATAAGTCGGGCTACCGTACATCTGTTGTGGAGAGAAGGCATAATGATTTGCCTGTGAAGAAGGGTTGGGAGGAGGTGGTAATCCTGTAGAGTCAATGTATGAACGACTTCTTAATAAGGTCTCGTAAGCTTGAGCAGATTGAGAGTAATCGGCTGTTGTTTGATAAAAGCCCGATGCAGACAGTTTATCCTGTTGAGGTTTCCATTGTTGAGGCAGGAGATCTAATTTCTTATTGGAACTTTCTCCGTCTTCTTCTACTTGACCGTCTCTAACGTATCTCATTCCGGGCAAGTGTATGATGGACGCCATTTCAGTAACGTATTTGTATAATAATGAATGATTACAAAAAACATCAAATGCAGAATTGATAAATATACTGTTCTTTTTATAGTTGATAATAACAAGTTACATTCGAAACGGGAAATTTATTTTTCTGCTGATGCACTTAAACTTTCGGTTATATATCAACAAGTATAAATCTTTCTTGGCAGGAGATTTTTTTTTTTTTATTATTGCGTACAAAAAAAAAATTAACTTTTTTGTTAGACCCCTTTTTTGATTTTCGCGTTAAACCAAACCAAAACATTAAACCTCCGAAAAGGGTTAGCAGAACGTCATGAGATTCCGACGAGCTAACATGTATTTTGCATAAAAAGATAAATGGGTAAAAAAAAAACGAGGATTTTGTAGACCGACATCACTCTCTATAAAAGAGCGACTTTTTATCCCATATTTTCTCTCTTTCAATTTAAAAAAAAAAAATCCCACCTTTTCCCCATAAAAAAGAGCTCATTTTGTTTGAAAAAGACAAAATACCCTTTATTTTTTTTTATATATACATGTTTAAAGGTAAACATTATTCATCTGTCTCAAATCGAACCGAAACTAACTTTTCGGGAATTTCTTCTATTTGACAGACTCTTTCACTTTCCAGGATACATTAACTCCAACCAAGCTCTTAATGAACCCTGCCACTGACTGGAACTTTAATACACCTGCTGTAAACGCATTTAACTCTTATATCAATGAGATTAATCCGTATGATAATCATCCATCTATTCTCAATCAAAAAACCCTCGACATCGATATGCTGCCTCGAAATCCACAATACGAAAGTCAACTTGAATCTCCTCATACCCCTCCACCTACAGACGCCCCACCCAAGAAACAGCGTAAAAAACTTCTGGAGAAAAACCGGGAAGCTGCTTATCGCTGCCGACAAAAGAAGAAGAAGTGGGTAAATGATCTTGAGGAACGATCTGAAAGTGTTGAACACAAGAACAGAGAACTTCAAGAACAAGTGGCTCGACTTCGGGATGAAAGTATTTATCTGCGTAATTTGCTTTTAACTCATGGTAATTGTGATTGTGATGTAGTGGTAAGTCTTGATATGTTAAATCTACAAAATAAAATCATGTTCTAATTCTATCTCTTATAGCAAACATACTTGCGTCGTACCTCTGAACAATTGACAAATTCCTGCCAAATGCCTGCCTTGGGCGGATCAGGATCTTCCGTGTCTGGTTCCGAGTCTTCCTATAACTCTTCAAAGCAATTCTATAACCCATCACCACCAACAATACGTCCCAACTATATGGCCTAGTTCTTCTTGTTCTCTATCTTTCTCTCTTTGCATACACTCACTTAAATTTAGGACTCTGTACTTATTTACAACCCACATTCATTATCATTATATATTATACTATTAACCACATTTTTGAATATTTGGGCATACTCTACGCTACTGAAAAAAAAACTACCCCTTCCATCTCCTTTTTTTTTTCGCTATTTGTTTATATATCTATCTTTATGCTTCGAAGTTTTATCTCCTTTTATTATTAATAAAATTCAAACAAAAATTACCTATTTTGGGCCTGTGAGAGAGATCCGTGGGGATAAACAATTTAATTGTGAAACCTTGAGCCATTTTAAAAAACAAAAAAAAACAAAAAGCAGGTTATCTTTTCTATATTTCTTTCTTTGCTTTAAAACCATTGTATTATATGATGACACGTATGCAAGTTGTTTATAGTGATGATGGACTTTTACATAATCCATTGAATGAGATCACTGGTGGTGAATTACAAGCTTATGTTGGTAAAATAGAAAATAAAAACAAATCAATATTACGCCCTCATTTAAAAAAGCTAAACCATTTTAAAAAGAATCACCCAAAAGGTTGGTCTCAATCAAGAATTTCATTGATAAACAACCAGAGTTCCAAGTGGTTGATCCCAATGATTACTCATTAGGTCCTATTTTGGACGTTCACCGAAAAGATTACATTGAGTTCCTGCAGACCATCTATCACGATTGGGTCACGGAAGGCTTTCCCGCTGACGCTTGTCGAGTTGAAACGTTTGCTCATCCCTCTGTCGTCGGTAAAATTGACCCTGAAATTGTCAAGAAAAATGCATACTTGAAAGCAACCGGTAGATTGGGTTACTATACTTGTGACTTATCCGTCTGTTTTGTCAAAGGTTAGTATCCTTTTTTTTTTACTTTTAGTATATACGCGGCTAAACTTTTTTTTTAAAATAGACACTTGGCGCGCTACTTACGCGTCTGCACAAATTGCCATCTCAGCCGCTCACAGACTAACACTAGCCATTGCAAATGATGGCGATAGAGCTATTTATGCATTATGTAGACCACCAGGCCATCATTCATCGCATGAAATGGCTGCCGGCTATTGTTTCGTGAATAATGCTGCAGTCGTTACTCGCTTCCTTCAAAATTATACATTGGAGGATATGAACAAGGCCCAAAAACCATATGGTTTTGATCTCGAAGCCATTCGTAATAGAGACTTTAGTGTCGGTACTGCTACTGATAAGAAAAATATTCTTATTGTTGATATTGACTATCACCAGTAAGTGTCATTTAATTTCAAGCAATATGTTTCTGACTTTAATTTGCTTTGCAATAGTGGTAATGGTACACAGGATATCTTTTATGATGACCCATCAGTTTTTTATACCTCGCTCCATGGTAGTCCTGACTACCCTTATTTTACTGGATCTGCCGAGGAAACCGGCCGAGGTGAAGGTGTTGGATTCAATTTAAATGTACCTTTGGATCCTAAGACCACAACTGATGAGATCTATCTCGATAAGCTGCAAGGTGTTTTGAATAATACAAATGTTGTCCAGTTTAATGCCGATATCGTAGTTGTTTCTATGGGACTGGATACATGGCATGAAGATCCTATAGCCGGTATGAAGGGATTGCAAGACATTGATACATACAAGAAGATGGGCAGCCTGATCAAGACTTGCCAAGGTTCCAAGAACCGTCCTGTCTTATTTGTTCAAGAAGGTGGTTATACAATCGAGAAGTTGGGCGATTTGGCCGGTAGTGTTTTACAAGGTTATCTTTGTACATAGCTTAGCCTCTTCCATAAATAAACATGGTGTCATGTCAGTTTAGAGTATTTTCGCCTAGTCGCAAATGGCATGTTAATTTTTTTATAAAAAAAAAAAGGTCCCCTACACGTCATTTGAGGCTCACTAGATATGTACTATTGAACAGTCTAATGGTTTGACTCGGAGGCGCAGCAGCAAAGTGTGGTCCAGAGTCAGTAAAATAAGTGAGAGTGTACGTCGGCCACCTTACCGAGAGCTTTATAGTATAGACCCATATTAAGTTTTAAAATAAGAGTTTAACTTGATTAGTTAAAGTTGTTACATTTTTAAAAAAAAGTTCTACATAAGCTCTATTTTGACAGGTAAAGAAATTATATATGTAAGTATTTCTAGCTTTGTAGTTCTTTTAAAACCCAAGGCTATACAAAGATGCGAATAAGCTTGTGTACCCATTTCTGGACTGCTCTAATATACCTCCCGATTTCGAGCTGATATGTCGGCCGATCGTTTTTTTTTTTCAACCAAATTGCTGGCATACAAAGGTTTAATGAGTTGGGAGAATCGGGGTTACTTTATCGAGTTAAAATATATTTGTATTTTTGAAAGGCAGCATTGGTTCTTGAGTGTAACATTAATTTTTAAATAATTATTAAAAAATCGAAATGTACCCACACCTATAGGAGCTAGAAAAACAAGACAGAAAAGGGTTATTTAAAGATCATCAAAGAAGGCTCTACCGCAACAGCAACAATGAGCTAAAAAAGATAGTATATTTTTTTTTTTTTTTTTTTTGGCGGTTTTTACAAGAAACGATATATCGCGTCTAAACATTTACCGATAATAACAATAATAAAAATTGACGTGAATTTCCCAATGTTGAAAAAAACAAGGAAAAATGCAATGATGTAATCGAGAAGATAAGAATGGTGTGATAATCAACCTAATTATCCTTCTGAAACCTTGCCAAAGATCTTGCTCATCGAAAAACTTAAGAATTGTCCCCACAAGACGGTAAAAAATAAAGAAATAAACATTTCGGCAATGCCGAGATACATATAATGACGAAACAACAGTTTACACAACCTGATTAATAAAGAAAGCTCCCCCTTTTCCCGTATAACCAACAACGAAATTCAATTTTACTAAAATAAGCTAGCAACAACATAAATGACGTTTTTTTATTAACAAAAGGAGAGAGCATGTGCGCATTGTTTCTTTTTTTTTCGAATATAGAATGCTTATTGATCTACATAAATCCAAAAAAAAACTTCTGAACATATTATAACGTGCTCCCTCAAACGCACTATAGTGGTAAATTATGTCATTTTTACTAAAAGCCATTTAAAAAAGAATGCATACGCGACTCAGGATTTGTTGACAGATAATCTAGAACTCAAGAGATGGGGGGAGGGTGGATGATAATTCCCCGGCATCCATCATCTTAGTAAACATCTTTTGTGTTCCCTGGCAACCCTACTTCCCAAGAATGGCCTTTTTTTAAACGCTTTGCCTCTTTCAAGAAAGATTTGCCATTGGTTCATAAAGCATTTACAGCGTGAATTGAACTATTTACATCTGTATCCAATTAAAAAAAGGTTGTACACTACAGGACGTCTATTTGTTTATCTACATAGAAATATACCAAGATTCAGCTATATTTAAAAATTTCAATATATATTGTACGTGTACGTGCACACATGTTATTGATGTTATTTGCTGGGGAAAAGTAAAAAGTTTCGGATTCATATAATGCCATAAGCAGTTATAAAAAGTTCCAGAAAATTTTTTTTTTCTATTTTATCCTTTTACGGTTTCCAGGTAAGCCGTAATGCATTTCCCCTGCTTAGTTCGCATCATCTAAAAAAAGAAAATATGAATGGTATAAAGAGAAGATAAAAAGCCTGTGATCAATAGATAAATCTACTAACGTGATCAAATGTGTGCTTCTACATACGTTTCTTTTGTTCATTTCGTAATGGCCTCAGAATATGTGGGCCCCGCTAATACTTTTTCAGATCCGATCATTATGAGTGAAATCTCATAACGATGGGCGGCAGAAGAAGTATTTGATTCCAATTGATGGAGCGCCAATTAGCCGAATTAACACCCCTCTTTCCCTTCTTCCTTTTACAGCGTTTTATGAGATTGAATTGAAATGGTTTCTCATGGTTACAAGCACGGTTTTTATATACTAAAGCTGCAAGAAGAATATCAAGTAGCCTCATTATGCAGAATCAACATGTAAAATGTGTGTGTATTACAAAAAAAAAAAAAAAAAAAAAAAAAAATAGCACTCAGATCGAATGTTGATTTGACGCCTTCCGGGCCCACCCCCATTGTAAAAACTCTCATCTAGAAATACCAGAATCTTATGGATGAATATTATACCTTGCCTTTATTTTCTCCCGGGAATGACGTACTGGTATTTCTTTTAGTGATAATGTTCAATTTCATGGAGGGAAAGAATATGTATTGATATGAGAAGAAAACAGAAAGAAAGATCTTTCTCATACTGCAATTGTTAATTTTTTTAGACTACATTGGTCCTTGGTCAATGGATCAGCGGAAAAAAAAATGCCACTTCTCTGTCCGACTATAGAAAGAAAGAAATGTTTGGCTGTAATATAATATCCGATGTCTGTAAGATAATAATAAAGATTTCCTTTATTTTAATACATTAATTGCTATATGGTATTTATATGCTTTACAGTAATTACTAAAATTGTTTTGTATTATATATATAAATATATGATTTTATAATTTAGAACTTGGCATAATTGCTAGACAGGTTAGTGATACACAATTGACAAGAAGAGTTTACTGCGCTCGCACAGTGTCTTTTGTGACGTGCTTATTTTCCAGAAAAAAAAAATCATGCCATTGTGGTTTTTTATCCCACTTACTGTGCTATCTACAGTTACAATAATAAATGAAGCTGTGTATTGTTATAGCATGCATGTGTTTATGGAAATGTCTCTTTGCGGCACCACTGAATAATAACGGCACAATTCGACATTACTATATTGCAGCACAGGAGGAAGTTTGGGATTATGCACCCATGCATTGGGACAATGTGCGAGATCAACCTTTGACCAAGGCACCGTCTTCTTTATATACTGTCCACCGAAAGAACCGGCGTATTGGATCTGTCTATCATAAAGCGTTTTATCGTCAATACCGTGATGATTCGTTCAAAGTTCCCATTGCGCATGATAGTGTATTAGGCAATTTGGGGCCTATTATTCGGGCAGAAGAGGGCGATCAGATCCATATCACCTTTTATAATCGAGCCAGTTACCCTCACTCATTACATCCTCATACCACAAATAGCACAGGTCCGTTACCAGGACAATACGTACAACCAGGAGAAAAATATCGGTATGTCTGGGACATACCGTCAGATTACCCTTTCCCTCAGAACCAATCCTCAGTGGTCTGGACATATGTCTCCAAATCCTCGCCTGTGGGTGATGTCAATGCTGGCTTATTAGGTTTGGTCATCATCTATGAAAAGGGAACTTTGGAATTACCATCTCCGGGTTCCATGTTTCAAAAGCCCAAGCATATTGATCGGGAAGTGTTCACCATCATGACCAACACGGATGAATCGAAATCGACTTATTTTACAGAATCCGGACATCGTGTAGGACTTAGTGTGGATCGCATGAAGGAGTTGGAACGAACCGATCCCTTATTTAAAGAATCGAATCGAATGTACCATATTAATGGCTACGTGTACAATAATAATAAGAATATCGAACTCGTGTATGGATCCCATGTACGATGGTACATTATATCCTTTGGTGTCTCTGATGAGGATGTGCATACTGCTCATTGGCACGGTGCTACCATGCTATTTCACGGACACCGTGTTGACGTGGTGGACTTGACTCCTATTAGTTTTGAAGTCGTCGATATGATTCCTGATAACGAAGGTCAATGGTTATTTCATTGTCACGTTGCTTCTCATTTCGAATCGGGTATGAGTGCTTTTTATCAAGTCGAAAAAGTAGTGTATACCGGCGATGAAGGGTGGGAATAGAAAAACACAAAAAAAAAAAAAAAAAAAAAATGAATGAAATAAATTTTTTTTTGACGTGCGTGTATATATTCTTTCTCTTTCTCTCATTACACTTTAAAATGAAACGTCAAGCTTCGATAAGTTCTTTCTTTACAAAGAAATCTACAGAAAAAAAATTCAAGGCTATGACACCAACTGAGTCTTCTGTTGGATCCTCGCCTGAATTACTGGAAGGACCTTCGACAATAGAAGAGCCTTCAACCGTAACAGAATCCTCCATTTCAGTCGAAGCATCCATGACAGCACCACGCACAAACACAACATTATCCCAAGACAACATAAAAGACCTCCATGTCCAATTTCAAAAGAAATTTGGCGCGCTTGATCAAGAACGTCTTGAAAAACGCAAACATGTTGACACAGTCATGACAAACCCAACCGCACAAAAGTTCACTCCCTTGGAAGCTCAAGTCGTGGATTTGAAAGCGAAATACCCAGACTGTCTTTTACTCATAGAAGTAGGATACAAGTTTCGTTTCTTTGGCGAAGATGCTTTGATCGCTTCTCGTGTATTGCGTATTGCTCATTTTATTGACCGTAATTTCGATGTGGCGAGTTTCCCTGTACATCGATTAGACGTACATGTCAACAGGTAAAAGAGAAACAAGATTAGCAGATGTTCCTTTACCAACAGCTTTTTTATTACTAATTTCAATCTTTATCATAGGTTAGTCAATGCTGGACATAAAGTGGGAATCGTACGTCAGACAGAAACAGCTGCATTAAAAGCAGTAGGGTCCAACCGTGGCGCGCCCTTTGAGCGTAAATTAACTCAATTGATTACAAAGGGAACCATGGTTGATGCCATGATAACAGATAATGAAAAGGATCCAAGCTATCTCATGTGTCTTGTAGAAGAGAAACAAGGCGGAAATGGACCAGACGATCGAGTGTATACGGGCATGATGGCAGTCCAACTTTCTACTGGCCATGTCATTTATGACGCATTTCAGGATACATTTATGCGAAGCGAGTTAGAAACAAGATTGTTACATATTGAACCTAGTGAGATGTTAATAGCAGACAATGTGACGCGTCCTACTGAGAAACTTGTATCCCATTTAAATACATTTGGTGAAGTGCGGATTGAAAGAATGGATAACATGTTTTCCAATGATTACAATTCGGCATTGACATTTGTATCGGATTTTTATGCTTCCACATCTCTTTTACCCACAATTGTCGAATTACCGGATATTATCATGTAAGTATTTTATACTTTGGAGGGAAATTTGTAATTAAGCCCGGCTTAATTTTTTTTTTCTTTTAGAAAAACATTGGCTTGTTTGATTCGGTACCTGGATGAATTCAAGTTATCAAGTATCTTGAAAAATACAACATTTAGTCATTTTATATCCGAAAGCCACATGTTATTAAACGCCAATACATTGGTCAACCTTGAGATCTACAAAAATAGTACCAATGGCAAGGAACAAGGATCGCTATTTAGTATCTTGAACCATACGAGTACGAAATTCGGTCAACGATTATTAAGACGATGGGTGGGCAGACCTTTGCTAAATGTCGAGTAAAGTATTTTCCAAGGTATTCATCAGTTTCATTTCCATTAACATTTGCCTGTGAATGAAATAGGAGATTAAACCAACGCATTGATGCGGTCGAAGAAATCATCAGTACAGAACTAGTTCAAAAGAACCGTCTAGTCACACTATTAAAGAAATTACCAGATATTGAAAAAGGTTTATGTCGTATCCATTACGGAAAGGTAAGAAACAATACAAGTTTTTTTTTTTTTTTTTAAAAAAAAAAAAATTGCTTTTGAAAAGTCAATACATCTTTAGGCTTCACCCAAAGAACTTGTTGAAGTCTTGAACGCATTTTATAAGATTTCATCCTCCTTCTCTTCAAACGAACCACGATTTAAGTCCGACTTGCTGAACACACTCCTCGATATTTTACCCACCATCCATACCGATGTCCAAGAATACTTGGAAGCTATTCATCCTGATGTAGAAAATAAGGCAGATTTCTTTCGATCCGAAGCACAATGGCCCGAGATACCGAAACAAAAGAACAATATAAAGTACATTGAAGCCTTGCTACAGGATCATTTGACCGAATTGAAACAATCCACGGGCATATCCAATTTAAAATATGTGACAGTAGCAGGCATTGAATACTTGATAGAAGTGCCTAGCAAAGTAAAAGTACCCAATCAATGGCTCAAGATCAGTAATACCAAATTAGTGTCTCGATACCACGATAAATACATTCTTCAGCAATTGAAAGAACGTGATCAACATCGAGAGTTATTAAGTATGGAAGCAGAAAAATCATATACGCAATTTTTGGTGGACATTTCTGCGAAATATCAAGATTTTCGTCAAGTGGTATCTAGTTTAGCACAACTGGATTGTCTTTTATCCTTGTCCATCACATCCAGTCAGTCGAATTATTGTAAGCCCATCTTTGCATCCACAATAGACGTGAAGGACAGTCGACACCCGATCATCGAGCGCAAGGAAAGTAATTATGTACCCAACGACATTCAATTCACAGAGACACAACGAGCCATGGTTTTGACAGGTCCCAATATGGGAGGTAAAAGTTCTTACGTGCGTCAGATCGCCTCCATCTGCATCATGGGACAACTCGGATCCTATGTACCTGCCAAATCTGCCCGTCTCAGTATCTTGGATGCAGTGTATACACGCATGGGTGCGTCAGATAATATGATGCGAGGCGAAAGTACATTTATGGTGGAACTGCATGAGACGTCTGATATCATGAAGCATGCTACAGAGAGATCGCTGGTGATCCTGGATGAATTGGGAAGGGGAACGAGTACGCATGATGGACAGGCCATTGCTTATGCAGTGTTGGATTATTTCATCACGCGCATAAGAGCCATGACATTGTTTGTTACACATTATCCATGCATTGGGCAGTTGGAGACGGAATATCCACATAACGTCAGGAATTGTTATATGAGTTACTTGGAGCAGGATGAATCGAATATTGTGTTTTTGTACAAGTTGGTGGATGGTATAGCTCAGGACAGTTATGGGTAAAATATACGTACACATTTTTTAAAAAAAAAATTTAAAAGAACTAAAAAATAATATGTGTAGAATGAATGTAGCGAGACTGGCGCATATCCCACCTGTTGTGATTGAAAGGGCCAAGGCAAAATCAGCGCAAATACAAGAACAAATGCAGCAACGTGAACGAGAGATTGCGATGATGAAAAAACTGAAGAGAGTATCAAGAGAATAAATATAACTTTTTTTTTATTGTATCAAAAAAAAAAGGGATGGTTTATATGTTAAATTGAAAAAAAAGAAGAGATTTAAGCTTCAACAGGTTCAGCAGTAGCGGCAACAACGGGAGCAGCGGGTCTGAAGTCTTGAGCAGAGGGCTCTTCAATTCTGGCATCTTCCTTGGGTTCAAGGATGGTGACGATATCGGGAAGAGAGAGCTTGGGACCGTTACGACCAGTAGGATCGTTATCCAACATGATCTTGACCTTGATACCCAAAACACCTTGACGCAAGTCAACGTGACGAACGGCAGTGGTGATGTATTCACGAGCGGGGTTACCGGAGTGGATCATGAAACCGTCAGCGAACTTCATGGCCTTGGCACGAGCAGCACGAACCTTACCGGAAACGACAACTTCACAACCCTTGGCACCGGACTCCATAACGAAACGGACGACACCATAACAAGCACGACGAACAGCTAAACCGTTGAGGAGCTTGAACTTGACAGACTCACATTGAGCAATGGCACAGAGACCACGGTTTTGGACACGCTCAGCGTAAAGTTCAACAGCGTTCTCGGGGAACTTGAAACGCTTTTGGACAAGAGTGGTCAATTCACGAATACGGCGACCCTTCTCACCAAGAACGTTTTGGGTGTGGGTAGCACGGATGATGATTCTAAGCGGATAAACAACCTTATTTAGTCACTTCTTCTCTTTTTTTTTTTTATTGACAAATCAAACTTACTCAGTACGGGCAGGAGTGACACGGACTTCAACACCGGCATAACCATCTTCGGCGAGTTCACGAGTGAAGAACTCGTTAAGTTCAGCGTAGAAGACACCGTCAGCGACCTAATGAAAAAGTGAAGGGATTAATCTCTGTCATTTGAAAAAAAGTTTTTTTTTTTTTTGGGTATTCTCTACTTACGAACTATGAATAAGAAAAAGCGCAAATAGAAATAGAGTTGATTAGTAACAAGTTGGGAGTTATGGTTTCGACATGATGTGGGTTGAAATGTGTGCGGGAGGGAGGGATGGGTAGGTGGAGACATTCTCGCAATAATAATAAAAAAAAAAGTCTCCCCTCTTCCCTCTTATATTTTTCCATCCATCCATTTGTTGGTTCCATATAATCGATCTTTCCCTCCTCTCATCCATTTCATCCACATCATTTCTTTAGGAAATTGTTATTTACTTTTCTCTTCTTGGAGATTTGTTGAGCAGCAGCTGACATGATTATTGAAAGAGGGGGAATCTACAACTTTTGCTCTTTGCTTCCCATCCATATCTTTCCTCTCCTCGCCCCCCACCCCCCACACATCCTAAAAATTATCTGTTTCTCTCTAAGGCGGGGCAACATTTTCCGGACCGAACATAATTGAAACAGCGACACCTAGCAACATGATTTTTTTTTTTATAAAATGCATTAAAAATATGTTGTTGCCATAGTAACGAATGGAAATGCATTTGGGAGATGAGATATTGATTCACATCTCGGATAACGATGTATTTAACTTTTTACTCCTTTTGATAATTCTCCCTTCTCCTCCTTGACAGACTTATGTTAGCGGTACAATGAGAGGCGAAGCAGCTGTGACAGGCCCCTTCTTATCGAAGATGCTACTCCTTTTGATGATTTCATTGTGTTGAATATACACTTTTTGTTTAAGCTTTTTGTTATCGATTTTTTTTTTTTAAATTGATTTTGCAGATCATCATACATTCCTTGTGGGAAGTTCGTCAATTGATTGATCCTGTACAGACTCTGACGATTCTTAATTGCCGTGTCGTCTGCTTAAATTGAAAAAAAAAGGTCTGTTTATCCTGTTCAGGCTTGATTGTTTAAATACTTTTATTGAGTGACCAATCACTTTAGTTTTTTAATGTTTCACAAATGATCTGTGAAAAATCTTAATGATTGTGTTTAATTATAGAAAAACGAACTAAGGCTCATGATTTTGAAGAAAACAAAAATCAGATCCCTCAGCACGAAAACATCATTCTAGTTTATCTCTCAAGTTAAGCTCAAGGGGCCTGTTATATAAGTAACAAAAGAGGGAATGTTTTAGGCGAGAAAGAAGGTATAATTTTAAATAATCAAGAAACTGAAACAAAAAAAAAGATAGGCGGAGAATTTGCAACAAACAACAACTCGAAAGGGGGGGGGGGTAAGTGTGTGTGAATCTCAGAAGATTCACTCGAGCCGGAATGTTTTAAAAGAACGCTATAGTTTTTTAATTATATTTTTTTTATTATTTTTATTGTGTTTTAGGGGGGTGGGAGAGAAAGAGGGGGAAAAACCAGATTTGGATTTTTTTGGTTAGTTGTTTGGCTATTTGAGGGGATTTGGTATCAGTGGATTAAAACTAAGAAAAAAAAATAATGTACAGAAAAAATTGAAACACCCTTAAACATATAATCGGGTGATCTAAAGAGGAAAAAAGGAAACAAAATTGGTGGTGGAGGAGGAGGAGAGAGAGCAAAACAAGAAACAAAAAAGAAAATATGGTACAAAAGTGTGTGTGTGTGTGTGTGTATGTGTGTAGTGTGTGTAGTGTGTGTAGTTAGGGGAAGTGTGTGTGCGAAAAAAAAAAAAAAAAAAAAAAAAAAAAGAGATAGTATATCCATTCTCAGTGTGAAAAATATACAACAAGCAAAAGTGAGAGAGAGAGGATATGTGTTTGTGTACAAGAAAGTTGGGTATGATGCATCAATGAAAAGAATAAAACTATTTCCAAAAAAAAAAAAAAAAAAAGCGGGATTAAATCTTGAGCATTGATCTCAAACCACGTTGTATTTCGGAAAGATCCATTTCAAAATCATTCTTGAACTGGGGTTGAGGAGACAAAATGTTCATTAAATCTTTTGAATGTCTAGAAAGATCTTTCTTGATAAAGTCAACAGAAGAGAAGGCAGGAATCGGCAAGGCACTCGGAGCAGGTGCATTATTAAACGTCGGGCCAGCATACACTGTGCCTCTGAGGTCAATCACACTACTAGACCTACGTCTACTCTGCTGATTCTGCTGCTGCTGCTGCTGCTGATGCTGATGCTGATGCTGTTGTTCAATTCTTTAAGGGGAATATAAATACGTATACATATATTAAAAAAATATACAATGTATTTACCTCTTCTTAACTGGCACAGCAATAACAGCAGGATTCACTGATAAAGCCTTCTTACGTCTGTTATTCTTCTTTTTATCGAAATAACCACTAGACGAAGACGAGTCATCAGATTCAGAAGAAGCACCGGATAATAGTTCAATCTTCATAGACACTATTTCCTTTCGACGTTCGACTCTTCTGGCCTTGACCGGTAACACTGTCCTTCTCTGCTGTTGCGGTGTCGTAGGTGCTGATACACTGGTCTTTTTCAATACAGTAGAAACCTTTGGTTTATTGTTACTATTATTATTAGTGCTTCTTTTCTTTTGATTATATTGTTGTTGTTGTTGTTGTTGTTGTTGCGCTGGTGCTTTGTCAGTCTTCATCTTTAGCGAGATGGTCTTTTCAACAGAGCTGACATGAACTGTCTTGGCTTTAATAACATGAACACTTGACATTGATAAACGGAAATAATAAGAAAAAAAAAAAAAGGGTGAGAATAAAAATAAAAACAAAAAAAAGAAAGAAGAGAACGGAAAAAAAAAAAAAAAAAAAAAAAAAAAAAAGATTTTATTGGGGATGACTGGCCACGTTTGTCGGCGTTTTTGAGCAGCTCTTTGATCTCCTAATGTAAATTGTATTTTAACATGATTTTTTTTTTATTTTTATATTTTTTTCCCTTTTTTTTTTATATATTATTATTTCATTCTTGAGAAAAAACCCATTAAAAATATGTCAGTTCGGACATGGTCAGATTCAAGAAAACCCTCCTCATCAAGGTCAACACCCAATCTTCCACAGCAGTTGCATATTGGTGATAAAGTACAAGTCAATTCACATCATGGAACAATTAGATATATTGGCGAAACCAAGTTTAAACCTGGTACCTGGGCTGGTATTGAATTAGATATAGTGGGTTTAGGGAAGAACGATGGATCTGTTGATGGGTAAAAAATAAAGACTCTCTGCTTAAATATTCCACATGCAACACGTTTTTTTAATATTTTGTAAATGTAGTCATCGTTACTTTAATTGTCCACCCAACACTGGATTGTTTATCCTAGCCATCAAAGTCATCAAAGGGCAACAATTACACAACAGACCTTCTACACCTCATCGATCGAATTCAACTAAATTACAATCATCTCCTCCTATACGGCTATTACCTCCCTTACCGAAAAAGGTAATATTATCTCACCAAGACAATGAATTATCGTTACTCAAAAAGAGAATTGATGCGCTAGAATCAGAAAACAAGATTCTCAAGGACATCAATGCTTCTTCTTCCTCTCGTATTCTTTTTCTGGAACAAACCGTGATTGATGTAAAGAAAGCCGGTATGGATAGTATTGAAATATTAGAATCCATGGTTCAATCACATCAATCTCAATTAGCCGTTCAATCATCCACCATACACAACTTACAACTCGAACAAAATGACCTCAGACTAGCTGGACTAGAAGCCATTGAATCTTATGAATCTACCCTACAAGATTTACAAAACCACGAAATTAATGCATCCAGAAATCATCATCATCAAATCAAATTACTGTTACAGGATATCAATCTACTCGAAAACGTGCTCGAAAATAAAATGGAGAAACAGCTGGATCTGGTTAAATCTCTCAAACGAGAACGACAACTCAACTCTCGATTGGCTTCCGAGGTTAAATCTCTCAAATTTCAACTAAAAATAAATAACGATAACCGCTGGTCTTTTATGCGTTTGGACACTCCTATTGAAGAAGAAGAAGATTCATCCTGTGCTCTCTGTGAAAAACAAGGTCATGACCTGATTCACTGCAGTCTCATCGTAAACCATCAACCCTCTTGTCTGTCCTAATTCTACATACCTGTACATATTCCTTATTTTTAAAAAAAAAGAACCTTTCATAATACGCCCTTGTGTGTAACCTTTCTTATATTAATTACATTAAAAAAGTAACACGTATACATACATTTAGTTTTTTTTTTTTTCTTCTCACTCTTTAGCTTGTAATCTTAATACTACTATGCTGCATTGTCTTTTTAAAGATCATCACCACGCCTTATTTTAAGCTACCGAACTAAAACTATTGTTCTTGTGTGATCATCAATCAGGTTATGAAAAACCACGTGAGATATACTACTATACTAGTTTTTTTTTTTTTTTCATTGTGTCTGTTATTTATCATTCGTTATTACTTATGAACACAACCGTCATCATTAGTGGCAGGTCCCCCACTCTTTTGAAAATCACACAATAATGCCAATTATTTGACTGGAGTAACACATTGGTAACCACGATGTTTTTTTATTAAAAGGTGATCCGAGATTTAGGGTTTTGTGTCACTGCAGAAATTTTATTTTAACGAACCATTTTTTCGTTTTTGGCACAGACTCTTTCATGTGTTGTAAAAATAGATTATCCGAGCTTCTGTGTGTACGATACAGAAAGAGTTCTTTTTCTTTACTGCTTTGTGTGTGTGTACAAATCGATGCACAGATACTGAGTGACCCAATCGTAAAATGACGTGTTTACCCCCCTCCCTCTCATTGTATACATACATTCATATAACGTGATATCTATTAATAACGTAAATGGTTCCACTATGCTATGATTATATATATATATATATATATATATTTATATGTTTTATTTTAAAGCTACATATATAGTAATTTTTAAATTGGTTTACTATTATCAAGGACATCAGCTTTACGTTTTCTGGTCATGTAAACGGTATTGGAGTGGACAGAAGACAATGCTTCCTTATTCGCAGGACATGTGTCGTTGGGTAAACCACTTTCCTCATTGGGTATGAGCTTCTCATCGGGTGTGTCTACCGGATCGCTACTTTTATTTACAGCTGGTTCTTGATCATCCTTCTTTGCATTGTCATGATCACTATTATTTACAGGTGGTTCTTTATCATCATCAGGATTGACAACATTCTCCACCATAGGCGTCTCTTTATTAACATTCACTTTACAAAGGTTATCATCGTGACCAGTGTTGTCAACATCCATGTGGCTGATATGTACAGGCGGCTCTTCATCTTGAGCAGTCTCCGGTGGCATATTTTCAATATGCATGTTACTTGCACACGGTTCTACTGTTGTTTCAACAGCAGCAGCAGCAGCAGCAGCAGAAGCGTCATCATGGGACTGTGTTAGATGCTTAATACCATTGTATTCAATACGACGGTTTCCATCCAAAGAATGTTCGGATTTAAAGAGGATATTTTTTAACATGGTAGATCTTTCTTCAGCCATTTGTCTCTTTTTAGCAATAACGTCAGGACTCATCCAAGGAAATATACCATCGTATTCAATACCATGTCGAGCAGCCACGCGTCGAAAGAGTTCCTTGATATAATGGTACTCGGGCTTCCTCTTAAAGTCAAGATGTCTAGCATATCTTAGGAAATCGGCAAATTCAGGATCCAAACCACGACAAAGTTCAGTGACGGATCCTCGCTTCAAGCGGTAAATATCACTATAATCTCGTAAACTAGACCACGGTAATCCACCCTTTAAGAAACTAATTAAAAGGTATGCCATGGATTCAAGGTCATCTCTCCTTGATAATGCTTTATACATGCAAGTGTTAGTCCTTATATGGTTTAGAGAAATAAATAAAAAAAAAGACTTACTGTATCCTTTGTGGCTGTTGAGACTACAGTACCTTGAATTACCAATCAAGTCATGACCCGAATTCATATGAATATGATGATTGCTATCAGTCTTGATACGTTTAACCAAACCTAAATCCAACAAGTACAATGTCGATATATCACAATCCAAACCCATGGCGAAATTATCGGTTTTCAAATCTCGGTGTACATAACCACGTCCATGTAACGTACGTAAACGATCAATCTAATGAATTCGAAAAGAAGGCAAAAAAAAAATGAGGTCATTTTTCCGCCGCCTTTTTTAAAATTCTTACCATTTGATCTGCTAGAAGGAGAACGGTCTTTAAATCGACTTTTTTCTCTTGGAAGGTCTTTTTGATATGGTCATGTAAGGTGGTACCCACCAAAGTAAAAACAATATGCAGCGTAAGCATTCCCTCCTTGAAATAGTGAATAAGTTCTAGAAACCCAGGTTCGCCTTCCACAGCAATGAGCGCGTTTAATTCTCGTTTAGCTCGTGTATTGTAAGGCTCAATCTTGATTGCATAATACTCTCCGTAAAGTCGATCAAAGACTTTTTTTTTTATATTTGTTAATGTTGTCTGTTTCTTAACACGCTTTATTCTTTACCTTTGTAGACACTCCCGTAAGAGCCACTACCTAATTTCTCTTTTCTTTCGAACCGATTCTGGTAAACTACACCTTCATTATTACTCATGGTTGTGTCAGCAAAAATATAAGTGTAAATGTATAAAAAAGAAGAAAAAAGAAAAAAATGTCAAATAGCTGAGTTTTATGAGTACAATCTATATATAAGTGTATGTGTGTGTGTGTGGATGGATGCGAAATTTTTATAATTTGTTCATGGCTTCCATTGCCATTTCATAGGCGAAAAAGGTAGCTGCGTTTGCAGGGAAAGCTCTGACGAGGGTGGGACCAATACCATTGATAAAGGCCTTGGGACCCGAAGTCTTGTATAAAGTCTTGACAACTTGTCCAATAGATTTATAACGAAGATCGTTCTGGAAGTTACTCTTGATGACATCTTGAGGATAAGCAGGAATCCAAGCAGCAAAACCAGATAAACCACCAGCCATCAATAAATCAAACGTAGTTAATTGTCCATCAGGTCTCATGGATTGGAACATTCTCTTTAATCCCTCATACCCGACTATCGATTAAAGTTTAGTTTCATGTATATTCCCTCATATACCGATTATATATATAAAAAAAAAAGGCGCGTCTTACCGAAATAGGCGAAATAACTAGGTGTATCTCTCATCAATGTGATGCCCATACCACGATAAATACCCTTGAATCCTTGAGAACGCACAGTACGGATACCACAATCAATCACACCCTTAAACTATTACACACACATGTCAATTATCTCTCTCTCTCTCCTATTTTTTTGTTTAAACTTACAGCAGGCTCGAGTTTACCATTGGCACCCAAGACACCCTTAGGATCTTGTGTCTGCAACTTGACCTTTAAAAGCTCAATAGGACAATTCAAAAATGCCATGACAGAACCTGCCATTGAACCAGCTACACCAATCTCAACTGTTTTTGTATGTAAGTAAATCTATAAAGACATTTCCAAGAGCTTTCCCTGAACTTACAGATGGATAACACCTTCTTGTCATCTCCGTTTTGTAATAAACGTCTCGAATGACCGTTGGCCATAAACATGACGGCATTACTATTGCGCGTATTAGAATAACATAATTCCCTTCCCATCAAAAATATTCATCTTCTTACCAGAAACCAATACCAGCTAAAGGAGACATGACACCTCTATAAAGACCCTTTGCCTATAAAAAGAATGAATACTTTTTTTTGCTATTTAAATAGACAGAGGAAAATTGTACTTACACCTTCTTCCTTGACAAGTTTACGCACACAATCCATAGCACTGCTATAGATAGGAGGCGAAGGTTGTGTTTGTAAACGCACCTTGATCGTATCAGCAGGATGACCTTTATACACAAAAAAAAGTTTTTATATTGTGAGTTTTTATTTTTTCGGGAGAGAAAGAGCTTTTGTATCTTTACCGACAACGACTTGTGCCCAACCACCAATGGTACCAGCAATTAAGTCTTGTGCAAGCTTGGGAATAGCAGGCTTATGTTCTTGACTGGTCATTCTTGCTTATTATAATAAAGGAAAAAGAAAGCAAAGAAAAAAAAAAAAAAAAAGGGGCGGTCGAAAAAATTAAATAGAGTGGGAAAAAAAGTGACAGCGATTGGGTAAAGCAGTGGAGTTTGTATTCCAATGTGACAAAAGATGCGTTTGACGTGATTCCATCCAATCGTCATAAAGATCGAAAAAAAAAAAAGATACTTTAAATCATCTTTTAAAGGCGGAGGACCATTCTTATCTGGGGTTAGAAAGATTAGGTCCTCCTTTTTCGGCATTAAACACTACCACAGGATTTTAATGTGGAACACTTAAGCTCTATAAAAACAGAACCCTTCCACAGTTAACACTTGATAGTTCAAGACAAGGACTCCCTCCTATGGTGTTTCGTGACATGATAAATACCGATGCAGGTTCATCTAATGGAAATTTAGATGGGAAGTAAAATCTCTCAGTTATAGCATACGTTGAAGCAACTGTATCCGCTGACCTATACGCAAACGGCATCGCATATATCCCCAGGATTAAATTTATTTACCCTGGAATCGAGCAGTAAATGTTCTTACCGTTATAATAAAAGGACCTCTTCATTTTCTATAAAGCTGGCTTTCTCTATAACAATTTAACAAATAACAAGACGAAAATCTTGGCTATATTAGACTGTGCTTGCCTTATAAATACTACGCGTTTAGTTATGAACAACTATGTTTTGCGTTGTCAAGAGTAAGAACCCTCCCCCACACACATATTAGAATCTTGTAAGAAAGATAAATTACACAAAGCGAAACGAAGGAGTAAATTTATCTACCAAGTTTACGGATCTGTCCAGCTGGTTGGTACTAGACTCCCAGTACATGCGCGTATGCCCATTCACGTGCCATATTATCTCAACCTTTTATAAAATATGATTCGCTATTGGTAGATGGAGCGGCTGAAACGCTGATTGACAATTACCAAGTTCAGATTTGTGTAAATCAATATTTCTGGGCCTATTTTCAGAAGTTTCCATTATAGGTAAAGGCTCAAACATTATGTGTGATTAAATGAGCAAATAAATCATATTTACGTAAGCCAGCTCTTGTTTATCAGTCTATAAATAAGATTCGTTCACACACTCTTTTCTTTTCTTACCAAACATAAAGATAAAATCATTAGACCAATTTTAATTACATACTTGGCTCTTTTCTTTTGTATGAAAAGTTATAAATACTGTGAAAAGGTTAGTTAATGATGGCTTTTATTGCTTCAAGAAACGCTAAAATATTACCCTTCGTTTTCATATATGAGAAAGATATTTTTCAATATTTGCAATTTAATGTCTGAGGCTGGTCCTTACTATACAACGAAGACCTCTCCGTTACCCGTTGTAGGCATTGTGATCCTCTACTTTACGTTCTCAACCATGGTAGTACATACGATACAGTGGACCGTCACCATGCAATCCGTTATATTATTATGAATCACCTGTTCAAGTAACTTAACATTTTGTTAATTGTCTGGCAAGCACTGTAAATCGGTGTAATCAGACTGTAAATAGCATCTCATCTCGACAAGTTTCCACTTTTCAGATTTTGATAGTGCCATTTTAGTCAATGTGAGCGTTTGCTTAATCACTTGTATACCCAATGAACACTTTTTTTTTATGGTGTGGATGCTGGCTGCTTTGTTCTGCTTGATTGTGCTTAAAAGCGAGACGCTGCATTCGACCAAGAGCTTGAGCGTACCGTCTATTAAGTGACCGGCTTTCTCCTTTTCAAACCCGCTGCTACATTCAATGAAGAACTCCTCGTTATCTGTTATCGTATTCTTCCCCAAAGCGTCTGCGTATTTCTTGTCACTCAGGTTGACCACAAAGTCATTTCTCTCTAAAACAGCCATATCCTGAGTAACCATACCTTTCTCGCATCAACTAAATTCAATAAGGTTGGCTTCTTGACTCAAGTATTTGAACATAGCAACGACATATTTGATGAATGGAGTTCTCTCATGATTGTCGCAAAACATATCAGACCCAATCTTTCCCCCATATTCAGCCGGCGACTACTCCTCTCCCACCTCATCAGATGGCAGGTCCAACAAAATATGGTCTGCCGCTGGGGGTTGGGGTGGCCCGCGTACGATTACTGTGGTAATCCATTTTTTTAAAAAAAGTACCGCAACTAGAAAAGCTTCGCCGGTATCACTTTGAATTTTTTTTTTCTCGCTGAAAAATGACAGCTCTTTAGCATCACCGGCGATAAAAAAAAGGTAAAGTGAAAATCTTAGATAATAAAACGCATGACTGATTGTTTTTTCGCTAGTTGAGACCTGTGTATTGGGGAAAAAATACACTGTTTTCCACCCTACGGCGTATCTCACACAAGCTAAAGATTCAAAAAGTCGATAGAGAGGCGAGAAAGGTATGGTTATTCAGGACATGGCTGTTTTAGAGAGAAATGACTTGTGGTCAACCTGAGTGACAAGAAATACGCAGACGCTTTGGGGTTGAGTACGATAACAGATAACGAGGAGCTCTTCATTGATTGTAGCAGCGGGTTCGAAAAAGAGAAAGTCAGTCACTTAATAGACGGTACACTCAAGCTCTTGGTGGAATGCAGCGACTCGCTTTTAAGCACAATCAAGCAGAACAAAGCAGCCAGTATCCACACCATAAAAAAAAAAGTGTTCATTGGGTATACAAGTGATCAAGCAAACGCTCACATTGACTAAAATGACACTATCAAAATCTGAAAAGTGGAAACTTGTCGAGATGAGATGCTATTTACAGTCTGATTACACCGATTTACAGTGCTTGCCACAATATAAAAAGTGTTACTTGAACAGCGAGAAGTTGATTCTCAAATCATTGATGAAGTTTGTGGTATGGTGGAACTCGGTTCCAAATCTGTGGTTAATTATTTCATGGATTTGAATAGATAAATGATTTTTTACCTATTGTTTAAATATCATCTTACCTTTCCCCTTGATTTTCAACTGATAAAATCTAATACCTATGAATATGAATATAAATAAAACCACTAGTATATAGGAGCCGTATATCAAATCTAGAACACATCAACAAGTAGTCATTTAGACGTACTGCCGTGTTTGGTTCTTAAGACTTTGCAAAATTTATCTTCTTAAAGAACCACTCGTTGATCAGAAAGCTTAAGACACAGATTATTTATTCAAGTAACGATCATTGTTTACTGATTAAATGTAGACGAGATTTATACTAATATTCAGAATAGACTATTTGTATAATATATATTGCAAAGGTACGAAGGTAATAATTGGCAATTGTCTTAAACTTATAATGTTGAGGACAGAAGTTGTATCTATTATGGTTATACTTTCAATGGCAGAATTTAGGATCATAGTCTACTTAGCTGGGATTGCACTGAAAAAAGCTGAGATTACATTGCATCTGGCTAGCATCAGTTCCTTAAGAGTGCCAGACTGAATTTAAGCTGGTAAAACGATTAATAACAGCTGGACAACTACAAACCAATTGTATATAATTATACACTGCTTAAAAAAATGCGTCTGATCAGTTCAAAGATACTGCTTGGCTTGATGGCGGTGTTAACGTTATCGATCACAAGATATAGTGTATAATTGAAAACACGGTTTTTGCTAGGCAATTTTGTTTTCTACATATAAATTTACCTTTAAAAATATATCAAAAGATGCAACTTATTTAGTCCCACATTTTTAATACACGGTTATCTTAGTTAAAGTCTAATATCCATGGACTTTACATTGACACGAAAATTTTAGAATTTCTTTTCTGTCAAAGATTTGCAGACCATTGCGTCGGAGAATGAAATTATGGTAAACTACAAAAGCCTAAAATATGCATGAATAAAAAAAAGTCATCTTACAAGCAATAGCATGTCATGTTAAATAGACAACCTAATGGTCAACATAGTTCAAACAACACCTTATTTTATGATTTATGTAGGATATAAAATCTATTTTACATGTAAAAAGTCGTTACAGTTTGCATGCGTGCAATCTGTTTATAAAAGATAAAAGGGTATTGTATTGGTAACGATTAATTTTTCGACGCCAGCAAGTCCAAATTTATCTGCTGTCACTTTAAAAGGAAAAAAAAAATACTTCTTTCAAAGAACAGTGCTACCTTTAATGTAATAAGAAATGAAAAAATGTGCTTTATTAACAAAAAAAAAAAAAAAAAAAAAAAAAAAAGGGATATTATACAAAATTGGATGTGTGTTAGAAAAGAAAGGGAATAGAGATTTAGAGCTTGGCATTGGCAGCAAGACGATCGCTCTTATCTTTTTGTTGCTTCATTTTAGCAGTAATGTCAGCAGCACGACGAAGTTCAACCTTACCCACTTGTGCTTGATGAACCTATTAATATTACAAGAGTTAATGTCTACTTACTTAAGATATACATATAAAAGACTTACGGCGTCGGGACCATCAGCATATCTCAAGGTACGAGCAGAGGCATAGAAGTGAGCCAAGGGAGTATCTTGAGAGATACCGGCGGCACCATGAGCTTGCATGGAACGATCCAAGACACTAAGCAACATATTGGGAGCAACGATTTTAGCCATAGCGATTTCCTTCATGGCACCCTTTGCCTTGACTTGATCAATCTTGCGAGCAGCACTCAAGACCAAGAAACGAGCTTGATCGATTTCGATACGAGAGGTAGCGATATCTGTAACAACAGTACCGTGTTCAGCCAAAAGCTTACCAAAGGTACGACGACTAGGATCGGTAACACGGTTCAACATTAATTCTAAAGCACGTTCAGCCATACCGATACAACGCATACAATGATGAATACGACCAGGACCAAGACGACCTTGAATGATTTCAAAGCCACGACCTTCACCCAACACCATATTCTCGAGAGGTACACGGACATCCTTAAAGATGATTTCACAATGACCCTCAGGTGCATCATCATAACCAAAGACCTTCATAGGTCTAACCACTGTAATACCAGGAGCATCGGCGGGAATAATGACAATGGATTGTTGACGATGAGGGTTCTTATTATCGGGATCAGTTTTACCCATTAATAAATAAACAGCACAACGAGGATCTCCGGCACCAGAGATCCACCACTTTAAACCGTTAATCACATACTCGTTACCTACACGACGAATGGACGTCTCAATGTTGGTGGCATCGGAAGAAGCAACTCTAGGCTCGGTCATGGCAAATGCGGATCGGATCTTACCGTCCAAAAGAGGCTTAAGCCACTTTTCCTTTTGAGCGGGAGAACCGTACTTGGCAAAGACCTCTGTAATATTTTTCATTTAGTATACGTGTTTCTCTCTCTATTTTTTTTTTTTATGCGTGTGGTAACCTACCCATGTTGCCAGTGTCGGGAGCAGAGCAGTTCATGGCTTCAGGTGCCAACTTGGGTGAACGACCGGTGATTTCAGCAATCAATGAATACTCGAGGTTAGTTAAACCAGCACCTTCGGGGTAGTCTTGGTTCAAGAAGAGGTTCCAGAGACCAAGAGCTCTTGCTTTGACTTTAAGTTCTTCTAAAATAGCAGGAATGATCTATTCTTTGGAATGTAAGCGGATCGCGTATAATACTGTAGTTTTTCAGTTTTTTGTACCTTCCATCTGGTTTCGTTTTGACCCATTTGAAGTTCAAAGGTCTTTTCAGCAGGAATACATTCTTCCTAATAATAGTCAGTAGGTTAGAACAATAATAATAAAAAAAGTTCAGGCACACTTCAATAAAGTACCTCAACAAAGATCTTGGCCTTGGCATAAAGGTCTTGGAACTTGGGAGAAAGTGTGGTAATATCAACAAGCGCTTGAGTAGCCATTTTAAAGAAATATAAAAGAGTTGGAAGAAAATGAAAACGGCTCGTACAAAAGAAGAAGAAAAAAAAAGTGCTATTTTAAATAGAAAAAAAAAAAAAAAAAAAGCCTGGTAATATTGCTTACCACATTAGAATTAACATTTTTTGATTCTGGCTTTTATTTTCTACCCCGCATTTAGACAGGTTTTGAAACCCCATTGTTTTCAATGACTCAGCGTAAAAGCTTATAAAGATAATAAAGGAAAGGCCCCTTCGATAGACAAAATTATCATGCCATTCTATTTTCAAGGGTTCAATCAACCTCCACATCAAAGTCACGTTTGAAAATAGTCTGTACAGATATACATATTTCAACTGTGTAACACGATGCTTATTACTTATAACAAATCTGTCTGAGTGATTTATATCTCAATTCCACGGCATAAATAATAATATATGGGGCTCAATCTGTCGCGAATATGAGTGGTGATACCACAAAAATATATAAAAGTTTAGATGCTGACTAACTGCAGCGAATCTCCCACGTTAAATATCCCACACTTTATACATGAATCAAAGAGCAAAATACACTGTACATGTTGTATGTACAGACATGATGGTAAAATAATTTATACAAAAGATACACGCTAGATGATATCTAGCAAGAAAGTCTGATAATATAAAAAAAAGTTCAACGCTTGATCTTGTTACTAACCTGCTATGAGAATAAGCTGTCAATGGTCATAAGAGCAATCCTATCGAGTATACGTGTGTGTGTGAATTCTCTAAAATCAATGCATTCACTGATAATATCACTTTTTGATTGGATAAAATAAGCATCCCTTCTCACAGGTCATGAGACTCTTTTTCTTATACCTGCGTCATGAAATTAATGCATAATCAATCACTTTGTAAAAGTGCATACAAATTACGTGTCGTCATCAAAATGGGGCCATATTGACCTTTAATTTTTTTTATTTTTCGTCTTTTCTTTTTTCCCTATTTTCACAACTCTTCTCTCCTTCTTTTATTCATGACTAAACGTACAGCTAAAAGCAATAGTGTTCCACTTCACAAAGTGATTATGGTGGGTTCAGGTGGAGTGGGTAAATCCGCCTTGACACTTCAGTACATGTACGGTGACTTTGTAGAAGAGTATGATCCAACAAAAGCAGATTGTAAGCCCATTTCAATATAAAGTAAGAGAATAAGGGTAACAAACGTTGCATTGGCATTTTTTCTGTAGCGTATCGAAAAAAGGTGGTATTGGACGGACATGATTGTCAAATTGATATTTTGGATACAGCAGGACAAGAGGAATATGCAGCCGTAAGTTGTCTCTTTATATACATATATATATATATATATATATACTACTGTGCTTATCCTCCTTTCTCTATATATAAAGATTCGAGATAATTATTATCGGTCAGGTGAAGGGTTTTTATGTGTGTTCTCCGTGTGTGAGCAAGAATCTTTAGAACATACACAAGAATTTCGAGATCAGATATTGAGAGTGCTTGATGATGAATCCGTAAGAAATCTTTCACACAGTATGAAAGATAGAATTTGCTAACAGGCTTCATATAATAGATTCCGTTTGTACTAGTAGGTAATAAGGTCGATTTAGCTCATCTTCGTAAAGTCAATTCGTCAGAGGCTGAACAGTTGGCTCAGGAATGGCAATGTCCTTACATTGAAACTTCTGCAAAGACGAGACAAAATGTAGAGGAGGTTTATAGCACTCTCATGAGATTAATAGTGAAAAGAAAGGAAATCATGCATCGTGAAGAAGCAAAGACAAAAAAGAGCTCATGCTTGATACTGTAATGTGACCGTCCCTTTTTTTTTCTTTCTTTTTTTTTTTTTTTTTTTTTTTTTTTTTTTTTTTTTTTTTTTAGAGCGTAAATAAAAAATAAAAAACATCTCTTTCTTACTCATTCATAACATATAATGAGCGATACCGAAGAGCAGGAACAAATAGCAAGAGCTATTGCTTTATCTCTATCTGGCTTAGAAAGCAGACTAACAGAGGAAGAACGCGAAACCCAAGATTTAAAAGAAGCGGTTGCTGCTTCTCTTGGGAAATCCGTAGATAGTCTTACTGCTAGAGATATGTTGACAGCAGGCAGTGTTTCCTATAAACGACCGAGAGAACAGGAGCCCATCGTAGCAGAGCAAAGAAAAGTAGTTGTACGCCGATTTGATTATTCAAACCAACAGTTCTGGGACGGTGTAGTCAAACTCACCTATGTCAAAGGATTTGTTGGTCAAACATTTATTCGATTTGAAGATATCGTTCAAAAAGTAGGATTCTTTTATTCAATGCACGCATGTATTAATACATATTCACTTAGACCAAGCTGAAAAAGGCACTTGTTACTGCCTTTGTTTGTAGTATGGACTTTATCGAAGATAATTTTCCAGCAAACGTCAATGTCTGTATCGTAACACATGGAAGACCTGCTACAAAAGCACAATTAAGTCAGTATAGAACTATCATTCGACCCCACCTAAAAGATGAGAAATTTGGTGTCTTTCATCCTAAAATGATGTTATTATTTTATGAAGCTCATATGCGAGTTGTCATTGGTTCAGCCAATATGGAACGCTACGACTATGAAGACCTTGAAAATGTTGTATTCATTCAGGATTTCCCAAAGAGAAGAAATGATCAACCTGCTATTCGAACTACATCTGATCTCCCACCATTTGCACGAGATATATGTGAATTATTAGACCATATGCAAGTACCACCGCCTGTCAAACATGAATTACTACTTTATGATTTCGCTAAAGCGAAAGCACATATTGTTGCTTCTGTCTCTGGCGTATTTGAAGGTCCTGAACAGTACAAAAAATATGGTCATACACGTTTAGCAGATGTTGTGCAAAACATTACGGGTTTCAATCTCGATCCCAAGTCATACCCTAAAGTTGAAATGCAGGTAAAAACTCCTAGTTTTTTTTTTTTCTTTTTGGTGTAATTCATTTTCAAAAAACAGACATCTTCTTTAGGATCATTGAGTGTATATTATTTAAACGAATTGTACAAATCTTTCTGTGGAATACCAGCTTATTTAAATGGGAAAATGTCTGCTCCCATTGTCAAAAAAAACGAAATACCTCCCATCGATATCATCTATCCTTCTCGTGATACAGTCCATGATAGTAGATTGGGTCCTCCCGTAAAAAAATACATCTAATTTTTAAATGGATAAAGATACTAAACATCTGGTTAGGGCGCTGGAACAATTTGCTTGAATACATCTACTTGGAAGAAACCAACATTTCCTAAACAGGTCATGTGCGATGCCATCAGTCAACGTCCAGGCACACTAATGCATTCAAAAGTAACTATGAGAACAATGATTTTTCTGTAGCACTAAAAGAAATACCTTGCTTCCCTAGTACATTATAGCCACATTACCACAGCCCGTCTTGAAAGATGGGAAAAATGTGAAAGGATGGGTCTATTGTGGGTAAATAAGCTTTCCAAATACATATTACTGATCTCGTTCACTCATCTCTTTTTTTTTATGTATTAGGAGCCACAATGCAACCGTATCTGCTTGGGGTAAATTTACTGTATCCAGAGAATCCAAACAACCCAAGATGAATATCAGCAATTGGGAATTAGGTGTGGTTTTACCGATCCATGAAGATACAGACATTCCAGCTCCCTATCTCCGGCCAGCACCGCGTTACAGAGATTCTCAAGAGGCATGGACTCAAAACATGGAGTGGTAAAATAAACCGTCTTTAGTTTAATTGTATAGCTCATCATAAATCCTACTTGAGAATCAATAAAGAAAAATGCACAAATATTTGAGTCCGACTTTTTTTTTTCGTCTTCTTTTTCTCTTCGTTACAGATAATACTCATGATTTCATTAATTGGATCAGACGATAGTATAGACTATATTGAATTAGAGCAAAAGACAGCTGAATTAAACGCCGTTATTCAAAAAGCCCGAACTGATGCTAATCTACATCGATTGTTTAAAGGGAAACGACGACACTCCTCACCTAAACGTGTCGACGAGGACGTGGAAGAGAGGTATATAAGAAAAACGACCTATTGAAGACGTAGAAAAACTCATTGTTTGTGTATTGATTAGCTTACAACCAAAGAAGCAGAAAACAAATGAAATAGACGCATTCAATAACAGGACTGATTTAATGGCTAGATTATCTACATTTTCAGTCTTATTTCACCATATACCACGACCTTTAAACGCACTTCAATGTGCCATGCATGGTTGGAAAGATACGAAAAGTACAGTCGACAAGGATCCTAAAATAAGTGTGTTAATTTGCGATAGTTGTCAGAATAACATGTTTATAATTGATCTTGATGTCACCCTGTGTAATGAACAGAAAGGTTTGGGTTTACAATAAAAGTGCTTTTAAAAGATATTTTGTTAAACTTAATTTTTTTTTTCAGCGCTTGAAATCAAGAAAAAGTATGTAGATGGGCTTTATAAGTGTCACAAGGAGGATTGTCAATGGCATGATAATCAATGCGAAGGTATTGATAAGTGCATCGTATGTCAGGACATACAGCTTATTTTTTTATTTTTTATTTTTTAGACAGTCTATACCGTTTCCCATTGTTTACTATTTCAGATGGATTGGAACAATATAAATCGGAAGCACAACATATCATCACAGCTTGTCTCGAACAACATCAATCATTACCAGACATTCAGCATCCATTAGTAAGTCAATTATGCATATGGAGATATCCTCACGTGGCATAACACACATTATTTTTCTTGTTAGGACCAAAAAACCTTGTCCAAAGTAGAATATTTGGCAGATAAGGATAAAACATTGAACAATAAAGAAAGAGCTTACGTTCTTTCTTTATTTGGATGGAAGTCATTGGATCCAAGTATACCAGGTGTCAAATGTGATTTGTGTTTCGCTCGGAAAGCCTTCTATCAATTGAACGAGGGTGAAGTATTTGATGTGGTAAATGAGCATAAAAGTTACTGCCCTTGTATCAATGCGGAAACAGCCGATGCATATACACCTAATAGCTACTCGAGTTGTAAAAATGTAAAGATTAGTGGCGCAGATTGGTTGAAGGAGGTTATACTGATGGAATATGCAATCATCATCAAAAGAGAAGATCTGTCGCTAGCACATAAAGCTGCACTGGATGAAAAAATGTACGCATTAAGACAAAAAATCTATGAATCTTCAGATAACTTGAAGAATTGGCCTTAAATTTATATCTCTTTTTGTCCCAAACAATTGTTATAAATAATATATGCAAAATAGTAATAAAAGGAAAAACTCTTTGGAACCTGCTACGAGAACAAAGGCACAACGTTCCATTGCCAACTTTTTCGGTCACACAAAAGAAAAGGACGTCCAACCCAAAGAAGAAGAGAATGTCAAGGACGTTCTGTTACTCATTGAAACAAATGAAGAAGAGACTGTCAACGACGTTGAAACAAAAGCGGAAGAGCCTTCAAAAGCAGACTTCTATGATAACAGCATGTACACTGACGAATTCAATCTCATGCTCGAGACTGTTTTGAAAGGCGAAAGCTTTCTTTTTAATGAACAAGAAAAACAAGCTTTTGACAGGTTTAAATCTCTAAAAGGTTTCTTGTCATGTACTGCGCAGCAATTAGCTTACCTATACTTACATATATATATTGTTTTTTTTTTAAAAAAAAAAGGAGAGTCAAAGCATTTGCTTGTTCGACTGTTAATGAGAAAGCAAGGCTGGATAAGAAGTAACAAGTTGAAATACCAAAACTACATTAGTAATGTTGCTTTAGCCATTAGTGAATTACAACAACTTGGGTTTCTAAAGACCGCACTGACTGACTTGGATGAAGCCACACAATTACTCTCGCGGGATGAATTACAAGATATCCTTAAAGAAAGAAATATTGTCTTGCCAGTCGATAAACGAGTAAGATAATTGCTTCAATCCTTTTGTTCTGTAACTTCTCCATGAATGGCTGACACTATTGTTAGAAAAAGGAGGATTTTAGAAAAGCCTTGATGGTATTTGGATTGCGTACTTCAGGAAATATTGCCACACATTATTCAGTCATTGATCCCACGGACGAAGCCAAAAGCAGCAAACTATGGTCTTCCATTGAAGAACGGTTAGGTACCTGTATTCAGGTAGAACCGCACATATATAAATTATTTCAGCTACTGCAAGTCGTTCATTATCGCATCAACAAGGCACTTGATACCAGTGCCATGTCCACCTCTATCCTTGCAAAAACAAGTAAGCGTATATATCCGTTGTATACATCCTGTAGATCAGATATGGTATGGAATTCGAGAGACGATCTCCTTCGATATGAAGAAGCTTTATCTGTCGAAAAGGAATATGAAACATCCGTCGAACTGTTGACTGTATACAATAGCACCAAAACAAAAAAGTTTATATCGGCAGAAAATGGGGACTTAAAAGTGAGAGAGCTGATGATCAAGTGTTGGACTATATGTGAAGATAGAATTGGTATGTGGGATGAATGTATTTTACAAGAAGGGCAGTTAGAGGAAGAATTGATGCGACCCTATTATATGAGAAGATTTGAAGCAGGTATATTTTATATAGACCAAGAAACCGAAAAAAAAAGGGCTAATAACTAAGACGTATAAAAAGGATGGATTTATACTAGGCTTTTAGATCATGGAACTTCATTATTGGCAAAGCTCCATGAATATGAATTGGAGGCTATAATTCTCCAAAAGCTCATTGACCAAAAACTGTATCGTCTTGGTAAAAGAGGTAAATGGTATGACCGTTTGGCCCTAGTTCAGTCAAAATATCTAAACAAGGATCAAGTAAGAGTTCAAAAAAAGTTGGCTTTAAAAACTTGTATTGATGCTATACATGATCCAAGAGTGCATCAAAGTAAATATAGCACATCTTGATACATATATATATATATTTTTTTGGTTGGCTAAAAGTCTATCTTTGATAGTTTATATGCATAAAATTCACAAGCGTATCAATCAACTTGAAAGAGATTTGTGCATACCGAGAAGAGAACAGCATAATTTTGATTATATGACATTAAAGAAACCCGAGACAAGAACAATATACGGTAAAGTAATAGATGCATACTGTATTCTAAATACTAAAATGAAAATAATTATTCATTGTTTTCTTTATAATTTTTAATTTTTTTATATCCATAGGAGAAAGACTTTCTGATGAGGTGATAGGTAAAAAGTCTATATGGCGAAGTGACAATGGAGCTGAGTGTTCAGTTGAACATGTTGCAATAGAATATTATCAAAAACAAGGCTTCAAAGGGTAAAAAATATCAATTAATAATTTCTTTTCGGTGCTAGCTAAAATTTCAAAAATAGACTTCATTGTGAAAACGGCATTGTCAAAATGATTGTAAGTACATCCTCCAATCATGGACATTTAGTTTTTTTTCCTAAATCAATCGGTTTGTATAGGCTGTGCTTTTGTTTTGGGATATCATATTCGCACCAATGACTGGTGTCTTTGAAACACCATATCAAATGGCACCTTTAGATTTAGGCTCGGATGCTTTTTATGAAGGTTTGAGACCTATCCTTTTAATTTGGGATCAGTATTAAATATCATTTTATTTTTTTAATAGCAAGACTCGATATTATCAATGTCAGGTTAAGAGAAATCTCGGAGGGTCATTACAAAGACATTATATTGAAAGTTGATGAAAGAGAAAGAGCTAGAGGTACAGTGTGTATAGGTATCAATTGGGATTACGAACAGCAAGATATTTTGGAGATTGCAGAGGTAAATATTTATTGTTAAAACCTAAACTATAATTTTGTTAAATATGTTTAAAAGTGCATTGGTGCCTCTTCTTTGGCATCATTGTGTCAGTTATATTTTGAAGAGTTTGGTCATCGTCAAGGAGGGATGCCAGATCTTTGGTAAGTGAAAAAAAAAAGATGTATCATTAACATTCACCATCTCTAATTTTTTTTTTTACAACGAAGCTGCTGGGATTATGAAAAGAGAAAGTGTTTATTTTCAGAAGGTAAGTCAGGAAACGATCAATTAAAAATGGCAGATCAATGATTCATTTATTATTATTCGTAATCATGTATAGTAAAGGGGCCTGGAGACACATTGTCAGAAACCCAGAAAATGTGGATCGAGACACTTACCGGATTTAGTATTCAAGTTGAAGTTTGTTATGTGAAGGAATGGAAAGGGGAAGATATATTTTTAAAATAATAATGAAATGATAATTTCATTGTTGAAACGTTGCTTAAAATCCAACTCACAATTGATCCATTTATTATAAATAAAGATTATTTTATTTGTTTTAGTTCTTTCATCCTTTTTTCTTGCATTCATCATAATAAATTACAAAAACCAATGTCAAACAATATGATCAAAAAGACATTTAGAAAAAACTTTGCTAAAGTCCCTACGTTTATCGAAGTTTCTCCTACCGCATTGTGTTGTTCTTCATCAATTGTTTCCCCGTCACCCATAGAAGAAACCATGGTAGCTAAACGGCAAATACTTCAGCAAGGTATTCCTGCTAGATATTCATCAATAAAAAAAGCATTTCGATACGAAACCAGTCATTTAAATAAATTACAAGAAACCATGCATGATCTTGAAAAAAATGATCAACGGCCAAAGACAGCTCCAGATTTAATGTTCATGAGAGACAAAATGGATCAACCTATAAAATATCTTAGACGGCATATGACTATTAATGGTGACACGGATAGTTTGAATAGGTATAATTCCTCTGATTTGATCCGTTACACATTACACGACAAAGATATACCCCGACATAATAGTAGTTCTTCAATTAACACGATGGCAAATGAAGAGTTCCACCTAAAAGATCAGCATGGTATTGACCTGAAAGATGCCTTACATTATGATATGACATCTGACAATGATTATGCTCGAGATAACATTGCCGTTCCTCCTAATTATTACCACGCGGTGATACAGCAGCCAAATAGACTTTTATCATCGTCCTACTGTGATTCTAATCTAAGGGAGCAAATCAAAGAACAGACCTGCCAATCTTTGACACATAATAATTCAGCAGAGGCTCGTTTATCTGGCATTATTCACAGTGGTACACAGTTCAGCAGTCCTGAATCTACAACTTCTTATTATCACACAACAACAGAAGAAAAAAATAGTGGGACAATATTAACTTCTTCCACTTTACCACAATCTTTTTTATCACACCTTTCACTCATGAATAATAACAGCAAGGAATCAGCCTTGCCCATAAAAAAATGGTTTCCTTACTTTACCTATTTAACAACAATGATTATGTTTACATACTTTATAGCTAGTATCACAGTCAATTTTCGACTGACTGGTAAATGGTTATTTGACTTTTATATGAACCTATTTTATTTAAACTTGCCTTATTAGGACAATTCATAGAGACATCGCCTATCAATGCGATGGTAGGTCCTTCCACAGAGGTAAGAAAAACCCCCTACAATAACAGTCGTTCCTTAATTTACTTAATCATTTTGGGGGATATTAGACGCTGATATACATTGGTGCAAGATATGTGCCATGCATCAAAGCAACCAATACTCTAACAAGCGCCGTCGAAGCCATTTATAACTGTCCTACCACTGGTAATTTTATTTTTATTTTGGAAGCTAAAACACCGTGTTAATTTTTATTTATTTCTTTTCCCTCTCAGGATTGATTAATACAAATGTTACAGTCCCATCTGTATATAAACATATTACAGCTAATTCTTCCGCTGTAACTTTTAACAGACCAACAACATACGGTTGTAATTTGCAAACCTTGTGTGGTGGCACCACATTTCGAAATCCCGATAAACCTGATCAAGGTTACAGATTTGTCAGTGCTTTATTTATTCATTCCGGCCTACTTTCATTACTTCTCAATACAATCATTCACGTCAAACTCGGAACTCAAATTGAAAAAATCATCAATCCTGTCAGATATGGTGCCATCTGGATTGGGTCGGGAGCATTTGGATATATTTTCGGCGCTGTATTTGTACCTGAAAGCAATGGTGAGACAAAAGTTGTGTTATCTTTTTTTTTTATTTTTGGCAGATCTCAATTTAACCTTTTTTTTTTTTAGTAAGTGCTGGCTGTTCTGTTGCTATGATGGGAGTAACGGCATTCTTATTCATTGATCTTATCAGAAACTGGAATCGTATCAACAACCCATGTAGAGTATTGCTTGATGTTGTTGGATACTTTTGTAAGTTCTTTGGGTCTGTTTATTTCATCTGTAATGCAAAGTTTCTGACTTTTTCTTTATACTCATTATAGTTATTTGCATTGTGCTTGGATTTTTGCCTGGGTAATAATTTCTGATATCAAAATATACTACGTTGAGCTAATACGTCTAAATTTAGGTATGATAATTTTGCTCACATTGGCGGCTTTGTAGGAGGTTTGATGATTACATTGATGGTGTTACCCATTGTGGCAAACGAACATCCTTCCTCCTCCGAATCACAAAAAGTTGCTGTGCGATTTGATGAGCAAATTATTCAGTTGTGGATGATGCGAATTATGGCTACTGCGTTTATTACTATTTTAATGTGGATTGCACTTCACTTATTAATGGAAGGTGGAGAACAAAATATCAGGGAATCATCCATGATGGACGATTAATTCATATACTGCTATATATTTAGACAATAATCACCAATCGACTGTATACCCTTTACCTCAATACAAATAATTCCCTTTTAATAAAAATCAATCCACTTACACACAGTAAGATATATCGGGATTTAAAATAATTTACCTCTCCGGGAAACATCGATAACAAATTCTGACCTGTTGACAAGCCATAACGATCTTTCCCTCTATTACTCCGGTGTTACCAATGGTAAGAGATAAAATAGATACATCCATCCATCCACTCGCTTCGACAAAAAATGATCAGAGAAGAGAGATAAAAATCAAATCCTTTAGAATCATTCAGCTCAACTTTAGAACAAAAAAATAAAATAAAAAAATACGAACAGCAATGTTGGACCTTTTTTTTCCAATTCAGTCAATTTTAACATAAACTCGGAAAAGCTGTCCTCACTTCGACATCCAGAATTGATATCTTCTCTCTGACATTAGAATGCGATGGATTGAGGGTGTTTTCTTTTCTTAGTGTGTAGCATGTATTAACGATGTGCGTATCTTTTTTTTTTTTTTGCTTCCTCTTCTTCTAGGTTAAGGCTTTCGAACTCCGTAACAAGAACAAGGCTGAGCTTGTCAAGATTCTTGATGAGCAAAAGCAACAACTTGCTAACATCCGCGTCCAAAAGGTCGCTGGTGGTAAGTCTCAAGAAGTGTAAGTACAATTTTAGACGAGGAAGGATTGGAATAAAAGTTTATTAATAAGAGATAATTAGTGGTGAGGCCCGTAAGAACGTTGCTCGTGTTTTGACTGTCATCAACCAAACTCAACGTGAACAACTCCGTCTTTTCTACCAAAAGAAGGCTTTCACTCCTCTTGATCTCCGTGTCAAGAAGACCCGTGCTATGCGTAGAGCTTTGACTCCTTTCGAGAAGTCCAAGAAGACTGTCCGTGAGCAAAAGAAGTTGGCCCATTTCCCTCTTCGCAAGTATGCTGTCAAGGCTTAAATTGTTTCTTTTTTCTTAAAGTAAATAATAAAATACATTTATCCCCCTAAAATCTGCTTAATTCTTATTGTTTTAATTTCGCGTTACACGGATATTTTTCGTTTACATGAAAGCATTATTTAAGTTATTTACAAGGTTTTCATTAATTTTTGGTAGCTATTTATTTCATCAATCAAAATAAAGGGTGTATATAATGTCTCTCCATAAGCCAGATAAAATTGTAGAATGACACAATTTAACGGTTAGCTATTAAAAAAAAATAGAGAATTAATGACAATTGAACATACAGATAATAAAAATATGAATTCACTTACACTTGGCAACACGTTCAAGTTCATCCTTCTTCTTAATGGCATAAGAGTTAGCAGAACCCTTGGCAGCGTTAATCAACTCATCAGCGAGACATTCAGCAACGGTCTTGACGTTACGGAAAGCAGACTCACGACAACCAGTGGTCAACAAGGAGATGGCTTGGTTGACACGACGAAGAGGAGAGACATCGACAGCTTGACGACGGACAGTACCTTGAGAACCGATACGAGTAGAATCTTCACGGGGACCACAGTTGATGATGGAGTCAACAAGGATTTGAAGAGGGTTGGCATCAGTCAACAAGTGAACAATCTCGAAGGCATGTTGAACAATACGAGCGGCCATCAACTTCTTACCGTTGTTACGACCAGTCATCATCAAAGCATTGGTTAAACGTTCAACAATGGGACACTACAGGTAAAAAAATTGATATTGCGGAAAATATCGATAGAAGACGTAAACACACTTTTCGCGAGGGAGATTTACATTTTTAATTTCGATAAACTTACCTGAGCCTTACGGAAACGCTTGACAGCGAAACGACCAGCAGTGTGAGGCAAGTAGACTTGTTGACGGATTTGAATGTAATCTTGGAGAGAGATGTCCTTAACTTCAACATCCTCATAAGACCACTTGTTGAACAATCTACGGGTACCATCGGCAGAGGCACTAACGTCAGCAGGCAAACCTAAAGCGACCATAATAATATCTATTCAAATCATAAATGGACGGTGTAAATAGTGATGATTTGATGATGGTGGATTAAATGATATGGTGATTATAGAAGGATGCTTGTTAGTTCTCGATTTTTAGACATGGATGGATGCTTTTTTTTTTTTTGATGTATTTACCTAGTATGAAAAAGAGAGGTGGATGAATGAACTCCTACTGGCTTCTGTGCCTTAGGGGCAGTTTTTGACGGAATTTGAAATGCCCTCAAATCCCGGCAGACCTAATGTAAGGCATCGCTTTCTTCTTCCTATTGCTTTTGCAACACATATTATTCAACATATGTGTATGTATATTGAATTAGAATCTTTTGATGCACATATAGTGGTATGTATAAGTAAAGAGTTGTTTAAACACATTTTCCAATCGTATATATAGTATCAGTTTATACCCACGAAGCCATCTATAAAATAAAATGTAAAAGTGGTTGGTACTCAAGTTTCATTTCCATATGACACATCTTCTATCACTTTTAGTCCGTTTAACTGTATATATTTTCTAAAGTGGTTTGATGACAAATAGAGACATGTCATTTTAGCCATATCATGTGATGATTTTGCTGCCTTATTGTTTAGATCGAACTGCATCACAGCGTATTTTATTTATTATTTATTGGTATCATGTAAAAAAAAAAGGCGCACAAGAGTTATCCACAACTTCTTCTCCTGTTATTGTCAGCATAGCAAGGGAACTCATCTTTCTGGTTACGTCCTACTAGCTTTCCTAGGCCTGCCTATTTTTGTTGTTGATAAGATTTCCATTGCATAATAATACGAATCTTACTTTACCTTCAACTTCCCATGTAAAGGCTTATTAACAATGTATTCCACCAAACTTCCTCTTCTTTTAGGATTAATATCAGGTAAATCCTCTGCACTATAAGTGTTACTCACGGGTAATGAGTAGGAGTATTGCTCATCTGAGCCAACTGAGTTATCATCATCATCGTCGTCGGGGACACTATCCTTATTGGACTTATTGTCAATCATATTTCTGGATATCCACGGTTTACTAAGTATAGATGCATTGGATTCTATGTCAGAAAAGTTACCAGAATATTCAGATTTAGTATGTTGGGCACGAATAGATGATGATGCGTTGATAGTGGAAGGAGTATGCAAAGATTCGCTGTACGAATAAAGCGAAAACATGGAAGCATCTTCGTCTGCCCCATTAATAGAAGATGCTACACTCTTTTGATCCGTAGATATCTGTTTTGGGCTGGGTTTTTTATTCCACCACCACTTTGTTGTATTAGTTGTGGTCATTACAAAAGAAAAAAGGGAAAAAACAAAAGAAGGTTGCTTCGTGGCCAAAAAAAAATCAAGTCCGCATTTTATAGATATGGGTTGGGGGTATGGGTGCCGCTAGTGCCAATCTTAAAAAGGGCATCTCGTTGTGCGTATTCTTAAAAGTCAAGAGAGCAGTGATGGGTAGGAGGCGAAGCAAAGATCAAATATTCCCTTTTTATTTTTTACCACTCAGCATGCTTTTCAATCATTGCTCATTCAATAAACATCTGCATAAGTGAATTCGGAGTTTTACTCATCCATAACTGTTCCAAACAGTTCTTTTGGAATCTGGCAGCGTACAACAGGTCCATTGAACGATAACCAGGTTTTTATATAGTTTCTATATTCAAATTGAATAGTGTTCATTAATTTTCGTGTATCACATGGATGAATAAACCAAAATGGCGTGCCCAGTAAAGGGTGTTCTGTTTGTGTTATAATCACTTGGTCATGATACATGTCAGGCACTACTTGCTGATAAACTTCCTGTAATGAAAGAGGTGTCCCATCTATGATAAGGAATATAATTTTAAAATAACATTTGTATTTTGTTTTCATTATTTGTATACCTTCATATAAAGCTCTGAAATATAGTACTGGCACCTGGTAACTGGTGGAATACACAACGTGATGCTCTAGCTGAATCATTACAGAATGAGCAATTTCAACAGCTGCTGGGTCAAGTTCTTCAACGACCAACAAATCTTCTTCTAGGGGTGGTGGTTTTGGTCTTGTGTTTGATACAATAAAAGACTTTCTTTTTATATAGGCATGTTTTAGCTAAGCAAAAAAAAAAAAGTTATAAATGGTTCGAGCAACTTTCGTCATTTCATTTACTATTGGTTGTGTCTCCCATGTCCATTGCGTTCCCTTAAAAAGAGACGTCTCAGTTTCTTCATAAAAATTTTGTAAGCAAGATTCGAATTCTGTTCTGGTTGAGAAGTAGGAAGACAATGCCATGGTTTTATTAAATACAAATAGATTAGGAGGGGGTATGTACAAAAGGGGAACTTTATAAAATTAAGGTTGAAACTTGTGTGTCGAATGCTTCCTTGAAAATATATTCAAAATCCATCAGCCACGAGTGTAACCAGGCTTCCAGAGCGATAAATTCGTTCAACTCATGATGCACTGTCTCAGCCCATATTTTGTCAGAGTGTAGTTTCCAAAATTGAACAATATAACTATTTTTATCCTCTTGATAGATCTGTCTTATAATATTTGATGCAACTGCTTTTGCGCTTAAAATAGAGCCAAGTTGTTGACTCATAACAGTATTCAGTTCGATCAAGTCGGCCCTCTTATCAGCAATTCCATCCACCAGTGGTCGAATCGAAGACAATATGCTATTTCTTACTTTGTGATTCAAGTTATGTTCAAGCACTTCCAAAAGGTTCTCCAGTTGACTTCGACAATAATCTATTTAATAGTCAGCTAATATAATTAACCCAAAACAACACTAGTGTAGTTACCTTTGCCAATTAATTGGAGTTCATGAATAATTAAATATGATTCTGGTGCTGCCTCCATAATTTCGCTAATAGTATTATCCAAAACTTTTTCTGAAATTCTGCTGTAGTAACTGTCTAAACTATCAGCTAGATTATAGTTTTCAAGATAAGCGCCAGATGGAATCTTTGTAATAGAAGGCCCTTCCCTTATTGTTATTTGATAGGTATACTGTTGAACGGGTGCTGCAAATGAGCATGAGATGAAGAACCACACAAAAAGAATGATAGAGGGTGACAATAAAGAGATCATTGCAAATATAAGTAAGAAGAGAAGAAAAGAGGAGTCAAGCCATGCAAAGATATTTTATGTCTTTATAATGAATTGTTGGGAGGGCATGTACGACGATGATCAATTACTCCGCTATTTTGCGAACCGTTTTTTTTTTTTAGGACGAATCAATATTATTTTTAGACAAACGTTTTTGTTTGTGAGCTATCGAACAACCAAAATTTGGTTTCATTGACAAGAGTCTACAAAAAATACAGGTCTGCCATCGATATTATATTAGTACCTCTGGCTTAAGTTAGTAAAATGTATACAATTTTGTCATGACATCTTTCCTGCTCGTTTTCAAATTTGATTTCGGAAGTTCAGTTACATTTAACACACAAAGTATTTCCTATTTGGATTCGCAACTTTTTTTTTTTTTTTTTTTTTTTGCAATTACAGTTGTACAATAAACTTTCACTCGATCTTGATATGTCAATATTTCTTATGGGATGCTTGTCAATATTAACTAGTGATTGTAATTGACAGTTTCGAGGAAATGGAAATTCTAAATCTGTTAACGCGTTCCGAACAATTTATTAGCGGACATAAATTGTGTATCAAGCAATATCTTGGTAATTCTGTGTACCCTCTTGATTAAAACGTGCCAAAAACAACAAAAAAGATGGCTCCGGTTTAATATCCCAATTACAACTGTCAGTCGAACAGAGAGTCAATGCAAGCCAGAGTGGATTTTTTGCAATTACAAGAATATAGAGTATAGTCTACTAAAGTCTGTATAATTCTTGTTCAATCTGTTCTCGTGTAAGACACACATGTAGTGGGATTATAAAAAACTGCAAGTTAATATGTGTTTATACCCGGTAAAGATTTTATCTTCGAAACAAAAAAATGATATCACATTCCCATGGTTCTATGTAGGCATAACTAATTAACAGACATACAGAATTTGTGAATTGCCAAATATATTAGCCATTAAAGTAAGAGTTAGAACCCTCCCTTGATTAACTGGATAATAGTCCATTGCAAATGCAAAAGTATGCATTTTACGAGTATAACTATAATAAAACTTTGTAAAGCTTTTACGTGATACGGACACTTGTGGCTGAGAAATGGGATTTGCTGTGATATATACCGAATGCTTGGTGTAAACGATCATGGTATACTGTAAATTCAAGAATCAAAGCCCCAAACATACGTATGTAACAATAACATGACTGAACTCTGAGACCGAACGCATTAAAAAAATATTTCGGAACTAACCAAGCCAACTCCGCGTGGTTTTTTTTTTTTTTTTTTTTTTTTTTTTTTTTTTTTTTTTTTTTTTTTTTTTTAATAATGGTGCTTCGCTAACTCTCAATGAAGAGGTTAAGGTCGTGGTAATTCTTCTGTTTACCCGGTATATACCGCTGTCGATCAAATGCAATTTGAAAATCACTGACTTTGATCGCGCTATTTTTTATTGATGTCCATCAACATGAAAATCTTTTCTTGTGCATATTCGTTGGAATACAAACACGTTAGTTCGCACCAGGGAGTATTTCCTTTTCCGGATACGAACATCAGTTTTTTTTTTTTTTCAACTTCAGTAACTGAGCCTTATTCAAAGCCCTTAAATTTTTTAGCGTTGGACAAAGCTATTATGTAGACTCATAAATACAAACTTTCGCTAAAAAAGTTAACTAGATACTGTTCACACTACTTACACACGGTGCACGGACAAAATATATATTCATACTGCTCACGTTGTATCGGACACCTGCAATAACGATTCGGTACGTGTATAATGGCTGTATCTAACGCAACTACTCGTTGTTTAAAACGAAGGATTATAGAAATTGATTGATCAAACAAGCACTTATATCATCATGGATGTAAACGTTTTCTTACTTTTCATTTCCTCGTTTTTTATAAAAATCTTTCCTATTCGTTTAATGCTTTATTTTGCAGTTTGTGTTAAAAAAAATCGAGCATTGAACTCGCCATTAAATAATACGAACGAGTTCGATCTTTAAAATGAGAATTTTGGGGAGGTTTAAATATAACAAAGCTGTTACCTCAAATAGTTGTAACCGATTCTATTGACGCTTCAGTTAGTTCTAAGACAGACTTACGAATGTTGTCAAGTTCGTGCTAATAGTGGCCCGATTGACTTGACGTTGAAACTGCAAAGGCGGAAGACTCGTTGAATTGCATCGTGACATTTGAAAAATGATGCAAAACGTCAGCGGTAAACTCGATTCTCCCTTACGCCGGATCCAAAGACGCCACATACATATTTATACCATATTCTCTTATTTCCCTTAAATAACCTCTCCCGATTATGACAAAAAATGTTTAAATAGTTAACTCTCGCTCTCAATGATGTTTTTTAACGGCTTATTTCATTTAACTTTATACTTGGCACAATGCATTTACTATCGAAAAAAATTACAATATTTAATTATATTTCTCTCGAATTGGTCTTATTTAAACAATTATGGGCTCTAGTTAAGCTTAAAATTGAGCGTCATCAACTTAAATGAGTTTAGAGAGTCTCCCGCAGAAAATGACTGAAGCATATATTGATGTTCCTTTATGTCAACTTGTCAACATCATTGAACAATTTAAAGTTCGTCCTGAGAACTGATTAAGCCAAACCTCTAATTTAATAAAGACCCATTTAGGCACACTAAAAAGTGTTCGAATTGAACTTACAATGAACCCATCAAATTTATATATACAAAAAATTGATTTGAGTGAACACACGCTGTATCCAAAAAAATTGTCAAAATCATAATTAACAATAGTTCTTATCAAGAAAGCTCACTTCTATTAAAAATCATAAAAACTGATATATTTTGTACGTATCTGATTTGGCATGACAGCAAAATGAGCCATTCATAGTCTTTAGATGAATTAATTATGAGCCTCGGTGGTAGGAGAGACAAAATTTAATCGTCTGCAAAAGTTAAAAATGTGAAATGCTTGCAATTGAATATTTGTTTTTCTTAGGGACAGACAAAGTCCACGTAGTCGCGACGTAAGATCTGTGATTTGGATGTTTTTTAGTCCTAGGAACAAGGGTATACAATCAGAAACAATGTAACAATCACGAATAAATGTATATTAAGCGATTTATACTCATTTTGACAACTCTATCATCACCCTTTCGCCTTTGAGTCCGTTGGATCTTAATCTTACGCAGAAATAGTAAGTTATAAAAGTCCGAATGAGAAGCTGAAAGGAAGCTATAACACACACATACTGGTTTAACATATGTTGGTTATGATAAATTTGTATCTAGTTCAAGACGATAAGTTATATCGACCTCTTGGTGTCTATTAAGGTATCATAATCCGACATTACGACCAAGTGCACCCTGGCTGTCCCCAAGAGACCCGTTAAGTATTAACAGGATGCGGTATATTAGAGAATAAAATTTGGAGATGGTGGCCCTTTAATACGTTTTCTGGCCTCTTTAGGCGTTTATATAACTTAATCAATCATCAATATGTACATTACTTAACCATATAGTCATAGATATGTGGTTTATAAACACATATCGTGTGGTTCTTATAGTTGCTATACGTGATATGATGTTGCCATTGTGTGTCTCAATGTAGTTATTTCAAATTTGAGTTTGAACTACAGTAGTTTCTGGCTATTTACCGGTTGTTGTGAAGACAGAAAAAAAACTTGATTTATATGTAGCGAGTCGTATTTTCCGAAAGAAAAATGTTACTTGTCCGTGCAAGTTTGAATTATGGTCAGTCCAACCATTCAGTCAAGCGGGATATAAACCCACACAGGGTTATAGATTTCCCAACTCTTGAATGGTGTCACGACAGCTTGTGTACGAATATCGTGAGAAAAAGAAGCAATATACATATAAACAAATCTTGTTGGGTCCTCAACACAAGAATGAAAAAAAAATTTTTTTCTGCGTTTGAGAAGCAATCTTACTATAATTAGCTTTTGATTATTACTTTCTAGCCATTGATTCGGCCGTGTTCCATTTTTTTAAATCACGGGCGGAGAGAAATTTTCATTGTTGATTTCTGTGATCATAAATTAAGTATTGTAAAGTCTTACTAAATATTTGTTAGGACTGGCTTAATACCAAATAATAGAAAGAGTTGACGAATAACCAATGACAGGTAACATGGAATGTTGCAAGCTTGTCACAAGTATTTCTCTGTCCTTGATAAAATCCAGACGATATCAAGATTATAAAAGATTAGGCTAGCCTCTCCAATAGCGCGCCAGTCGCTCATCCTAATTGATTATGATGCATTAGCGAAAACTCTCCGCTATTTTACTTTTCAAATATTGGCTACTCTCTTTCAAAAAAGAAACCTTTGGGGAAACTTAGTCACGACCATTAAGCTTTGTTTATATTAAATCCCGCCAGTCCCGAATATATTTTCTTGTCTCCTTTCTTTTTTTTTTTTTTCCCTTATCTCTTCCACTTTTATCTCTATTTCCATAAATGTCACCTCTTACCGCAAGTGTTCACGCCGAAAAGCCTTTCATTTTCGATTTGACTAGTGATACCGCAACTATCCCTACAGATGAGATGTTTGATATCATGAAAGCTGCCACCCGTGGCGATGACGTCTATCAGGTATTTTTTTTGACATATCGCGCTAAATTTATAAATGCTAACGCTTTTGGAACAATTAGACTGATGATGATTGTAAAGCCCTCGAAGACTATGTTGCTGACATGATGGGCCATGAAGCAGCCTTATTCTGTACTAGTGGTACCCTCTCAAACCAACTCGGTCTTAGATGTCTCTTGTTCCAACCTCCTCATTCGGTCTTATGTGACTCTCGTTCTCATGTTTTTAATTATGAGTGTGGTGGTATCGCTTACCATTCCCAGGCCAATGTAGTACCTGTTGTTGCCAAGGGTACATATATGACAGCCGAAGAAGTTGAAAGCAAAATCAACAGAGACACTTTATGCGGTGCCATAACTAGAGGTATGTGAACTGAAATGTTAATGATAAAGAAAATATAAACTGAATGGATGATGCGTAGTCGTATCTCTTGAAAACACTATGAATGGTACAATCATGCCCATTGAAGAAATCCGGAAGATCCATGATGTTGCTCGCGCCAATGACTTAAAGATGCATCTTGACGGTGCCCGTCTTTGGAACGCTAGTCAAGCTACTAAGACACCTTTGAGTGAATATGGTAAATGTTTTGATACAATTTCGATTTGTTTGTCTAAGGGAGCTGGTGCACCAATCGGTTCTATGCTCACGGGAACAAAGGAATTAATCACTCGTGCTCGCCACATTCGTAAGATGATGGGTGGTGGTTGGAGACAAGCTGGTATGTTAGCTGTTGCTGCACGACACTGTATTAATACAGTTGTCCCCACCATGCCTGAGACACACGCTCTCGCCCGTAAACTCGGAGAAAGTCTTCAGGCATTGGGAATGAAATTGCTCCTGCCTGTTGAAACCAACATGTTATTTATTGATACTAAGCCCACTGGTCTCACTATTGCTGAATTGGCAGATGCTCTCAAAGCAAAAAATATCAAGATCTTTAGTAATAACGGTACAACCACACGTCTTGTATTCCATTACCAAATTACATCAGAAGCTATCGACAATTTTGTTCAGGTTGCTGCTGAATTGGTACAAATGAAGAAAAAGTCTGGATTTGTCCCTCCTCCCCCATCGAACTCTGTAGTTGAAACCATTGAACAAACTGCCGAATCTGCTTATCCTAGTGCAACCGTGAAGAATTAATCATTCCCACGCCTCAATAATAACACAAACATTGGAAATAGAGAACCTAAATATGATGTATATGTATATCCATTCTCTTCATATTATTTAGACTTAAATTTTAGCTTTGAATATATAACACACATTCACCCACATTAATAATAAATCATATCATATCATCATTAAAAATCATTTTTTTATTGACTCATTAGTTCTACCACCCATCTGTGCGACGTCTATTGACAGCCCGGTGCTTGGTAAGGACTTTGATCTCATTCTGGAGGGCTGTTGGTCTACTAATAACAACATTTTTTTACTCAGTCTAATTGAATGTTGCGGGTCAACACTGCTACCCAAAATTGGTGTTGATGTATTTTTTGAGTAAGGAGGACTTGATTTTTGAACCGTGGGAGTTTCCGCAGCTTTCGTATTTAGTAAAAGCGATTGAATAGAGTGATCAACATTTGTAGCAAGAAATTGTGCCCTGTTTGTACCACTGACTAAACGTTTCACTTTTGTTTTGCTCTCTGTATTACCCTGCTGTTTTATCATGATTGGTGTAATAACAGATTTTAAGGTTTGTTGTGATGGGGTATCTATAATTGGAGTATCATTTTCAAAATCTTGCTGTTCAACAGTTGCTTTATTGTTGCGTTTAAACCAACTTTTTTTCGGTGGCGCGACGACTGTGGAAGAAACACTAGTACTGAGTAACGGGAATGGATCGGCGGAAACTACCAATTCTGAAGGCGCAGAGTACAATTCCGGCAGTGATTGATATGACAAGCTTGATACATCGGAAGCAGCCGATGCTTTATTATATCCTGTAAATGGTTTGTTGTCAGGGTCTGATTCTTTACCATAGATTCCGCCTACCCCTTCCGTCTGGAAGAACACCATATCGTCCATGTTAGGTAAAACCATCGTTTCCGAGATAATCTCTTCGATTTTTGATTGGATTGCTTTGCTAACCATTGAGTAGCCCATACGTTTTTCCCAAACTAAAGGCTCTACAATCCATTCCATTTTCGGTTTCTTGTAAAATCCTAGCCAAGCTCGGTTTGTAGGGGGCTCTTTGATTTTAAACATTATTTTCCCCTCTATTGATTTCAACGTTATAGCTAATACAAGGTCAATACGGATTGGTGCAAAATGGTCAGAGTATTTCCATTTTAAAACTGTCTCCAATTCCACCCGAAAATGGCCATCATAAAATAAGTGAGCATCGCCCGTGTACTCTCCTTGGGGGCTGAGATGGATTAGTCGAGGTTGAGTGATATAGGGTGGCCCATGTCCTCCATCCACTGAACGTACCGTGATTTCTCCCAAAAATGGGGGTCTGCGAGCGTTCAGTTTTGCTATTTTCGAAAGAATCTTGTTGTAAAAAAAGGATTTTGTTGTTTCTGTCTTGTAAATTCCCAGAAAGATTCTCCCTAATAATGCATTTAGCCATTGTAGCTCAAAGTTACTTGGGTCACTATGAATAGTCGATATTAAATGGTTCATGGCATCTTGATCAAAATGAGCTGAGTTTTGTAAGGATGACTGCAAATCTTTTAAAGCTGGTTCGCCGTGTTGAAGTTTACTGCCACGTTTTAAAGATACAAACCAATCCTCTTTATCGACGCATCTGCTGCAATTAATATAATAATCCCTTTCAACGCCATCTGAGTTCTTCTTTTTCTTTAGCTGTATTCTGTTTATCTTAGAAAATAGCTCGTAATCTTTAAGACCGTACGGATACATATGCACACTATGCTCACTTAAATTAATAATCACCCTGCAGTCCAGTTGTAATTCAGAGTCGTACAAATACAATGTATTGAATTTCAAGACAGCGAAATATGTTGTACTGTCTTCCTTAACTTCTGAAATATCTTCTTGATAGATATTATTCGACTTCCCATTATTGTTGCCAGATAGATATGATTTAACTATACCGCCTATTGAAGTGTTCTTATTGACAGGATGTGGGTCGCGAGTAACTTGAAGCCAGCCTACTTTGTAAAAAAAGCTTTGTTGAGTTGCATTCTCTTCTTTTTCTTCCTCCAAGGCGTCAGAAGAAATTATACGTCGAGATTGCTTCTTCTTGTTACTGAATAAATAGAGGCATAGCAATGCGATGGGTATAATAGTCAATGCACCAAAAACATATGCAATGAGCAAGGATATGTAAAAATTCATAGTCTGTTTTTGTTTTTCAGAGTAGAAACTTTAAAACATATTCAGAATTGATAAAGAGAGATAACCACAAAGCAGGGGTGTTGTAAATTCGTTTCAAAAAAAAATTAATTAAAAAATAGCTGGTATTTTTTATTTTTATTTGGGAAAGTCTGCATTTTTCAGGCCTAAATCAAGTTACTAAGGAAACTTATTGACGGAATCATGAAATCATGAAGTGATCAAAGGCACAATTGAATTGTACCAGCCGTAACTAAAAAAACAAAAAAAAATATACACCCCAAATATATTGAGACTGCTATCCGTGACCATTTAATATCTCATTAAGACAAGAAAAAAAAAAGAGACTTTTAACCACACTCTCAATTATGAAGTTAACAACTAAAGTCATTCAAGAATTGTACCAAGACAAATCTATTGAGGATTTAAAGGACATAAATGCTTCCAAGAAGGAAATCGACGTAGTCGAAGATATCTCCGCTTGCAAAGAACTTCGCAAAGTCAACCTTGCCAACAATGAACTCGTTGACGAGAAATCCATTGCAGGTTTAAAAGATCTCAAACAAATTGTTCTTTTAAATCTTTCTGGCAATCATTTTAAAGATTTTACCGGCTTCCAACATTTTCAGTCTTTAAATGGTATTAAATTTAACCTTTTCCCGTAACACGAACATAAATGCTAACTTTTTATACTAGTTCTCAATGTTAGTCATAACGATTTGGTCCATATGAGTCCTCATATCACTAGACTCAAGCAGTTAAAAGCTCTCATTTTAAATCATAACAATCTTTTAGAAATCGAAAATATCGAGCCATTACTCCAGTTAAACACTTTAGGTAATGGAAGATCGCATAAATATTTTGGGATTAAAAACTAATGACTGTCAATTTGTAGTGATATCTCATAACAAAGTCGATAAAGCACCTAGATTATCTAGTCTCGCTCAGCTTACAAAGCTTTCAGCTGCCCACAATCAATTGACTGAAGTTCCTGATTTATCACATAATACCTTGCTTAAAGAGATTCGATTAAATGATAACAAGATTGCACAGATACCCGAAACTTTAAGAAAGTGTAACGCTATTGAAATTATGGATTTCGGAAACAACAACCTCAGCAACTGGACTGACATTGCCCCATTTGGCTCTTTAACAAAACTCCATAATTTGAATTTGAAAGGAAACCCTCTTGCTAAGAAGAAGGACTATCTTGAGAAGGTAAACTTATATAATTTAAATAGGTATGTCAATTAACTAAATTTGCAATTTTTTAGATTCTCGATCTTGTGCCTTCTCTTCGTATTTTAGATGGCGAAAGATTTGATCCCAAGTTCTTGGATCGTAAGAAGAAACAAAGAGAAAATGTCAACATCGTTGAAAAGAAACAACGTATGAAAAGAATGAAGGTGCAGAAGGAGAAAAAAGAAAAGAAAGAAAGAGGAGACGTTGATGGAGATGGAGATACCAATATGGAAGAAGCTAGCGCTACCACTTCTGAAAATAAGAAGCGTAAGGTTAAGGGTGCAGAGATTGCAAAGATTAAGTCTAAGCGATCCGTTGATACTTCTGGTGATGAACCTGCTTTGAAGAAGAAGAAGAAGGCTGCTGCTTCTGAAGAAAAGGATCTTTTCTTCTTAAAGCCAGAAGATAAGCCCATTTTAAAGAAGAAGGTCAAGACTGTTGTGTCTAAAGAAACCGCTCCTAAGAAAAAGTCGGTTGCTGCTACTGCTGCTGCTCCTGCAGCTCCTGTTGCTCCTGTTCTTTCTAATGCTACCGCTGCTGCGGCTGCTACTCCAGCTTTACCTCAAAAGCCCAAAAGCAAAGCTGAAACTGGTGTTGTTGGTGTTGTGGACAAGACAAAGAAGTTATTAAAGGCTGGTAAGAAGACAACTGATGTTGTTGCTGCATTAGAAAGCGAAAGTAAAAAGCAAGAAGTAAATGATTCAGGCACTGGCTTGGATGTTGGGGGCTGGGATTAAGTAGTAAAATTAGATAAAGTTTAATAAATTGTTCATTATTGGAACAAAGTTAGAGCTCATATGTGTGCATTATATAAGGACGGCTCTATGAAGGCCAGTCCTATTTTACATCAATTATTCGGCAGTAGAAATCCTATGTTTAAACTTTATGGTCTGGAGTACGCTTTAAGTGAAAGACTGGCATGCTTCGATTTATAACTTTATTCTGAATTGAACACAATTTAACACGATAATTATATCTTTTTAGGGGTGGCCGGGATATGCCATAGATGGTACCAGATACCGACATTTTGAACATGACAATTTTAACTTTGGTGAATATAAGTATTAACTTACTTAATACAGCTATATATGTACTCGCCTTTTCTCTCTCTCAAGTATAAATGTTTCAATTGATGCCCATCTCGATGTTATAGGTGGATAATGGAGCTATAGATAAGATAAAGTATCAAGTGACGTCTATCAGCTCATAATTACTGGACAATGCTACTACCAAATTTAAAACTATTATGAACTTTAAAGTCTTTCACGACTTGATTGACCTTGTGCAAAAACCAGTTGCAACTGAGGATGTTCTTTTTATTTCCAGACAATTTTGAGCATTCGTTGTGCTACATGTGATTATCATCGACTTTTGTAAATGTGAAAAACACGGAAGGTAGTACAAACATAAAGGGAAATAGATAGCCAAAGAGGAAACTACATAAATGGACAAAAAGAATAAAAAAGCGTTTGCTGAAGTGTATGGACTAACTTATTGGTGATTTCGCTGCACGGATGGCCTTATAAATTGCTTCGACCCAGATATTTTGTTCAATTAAAGACCGTGTTCTTATCGCATGTCGTCTCTTGGACGTTATTCCATTTAACAGACCATTACCGTCGTACTCCATCTGAGGAACTGCCATTCCTGAAACATTAAATTCTGTAGTAACCAATTCAAATCCAAATGCTTCATTATTAACTGGTGCTATGGGCTCTGCTGTTTTTTTTCCGATTCGGAACATGGGTTTCTTGACTTCGCACATTTTAGCAAGGTACTCAGGCGATAAAAGTCGAACAGTTGTTGCCGAAAGATTGATGGTCTCCTTGTATTCCAATTTTTTTTCGCCTCCTTTTTTTTCTTTCGCCTTTTTGCAAAAAATCAAAGTATCGTTATAAAGAAAATACATGCGTACGTCAGATGTTGCCGAAGGATCGTCTAAATCTATTTTAATGAGCTGTGCGAATAATAGTAATCGAAGGTTCATGGTTAATAGGAGTGGGCAGTCCGCAATAGACAGTATTGATTCGAGCGCTATTAAGTGTGATTGACATCTATTGACTCTAAATAGAATGTCAGACAAGTTAAAATTTCTGGTCTTGGCCACTTACTTTCCAGACAGCTTCTTTTCTAAAGATTTAAAGTTTCCAGATACAGACAACAAGCTGTAGTAGTCCGGATGTGAGCGATCGCTATATCGTATAATATGTTTGAGGGAGCGTATATAAACATTTAATCGATGCAGAGGTATATGTATATAGTGAAGTAAGCCATCCATCACCTCCTTCTTATCCGAATTGTCACCCAGAGTTGCATACATAAATTTTTTAAAACCCGGTAGTTTGTACAATGCATCCAGGAGCATCACGAATTTAGGATGATTTTCCATAAATTGGTCGTATATGCTTAATTTAGATTTCTAAGAAGCGTGATGTAAGCCAATGTAATTTTTTCCTAAAACTTTTAAAACTTACAAATGCATCAAGTAGATCTGAAATTATTTGAGTTGGCCCCCACACTTCAAGCCTATCAGAATAATTGTCAGTTATTGCACAGAGAAATAATTAGGGAAACCTACCTTTTTTTCAGATCTATTAAAAATAATTCATGTACACTTGAAATTTGCTTCAAAGTTAAAATTAATGTATCGAGATCACTGTTTGCGGGCGAAACCAAAAATTTTGAGAATGCATCTTTTTCTCTTTTATCTTGAAGCCATTTCTTTATTTGAAGTCCAAAAGTTTCGAATCTTCTAAAATCATTGATATAGCACAATTCTGATTCACGTATAGTTTCTAAAGCTTTCCTTTTAAATGATATATGCCTTTCTATATCAATTATCTGCTTGTCTAATGCTCAGTCAGTTTATATGATTTGTATTAAATATTTTGTAACAACTACTCACCATATTGACCGGAGTTTGTTTCATAAAAAGCATGCTGAGTACCATCGATCACAGTTAAATCCTCAAGTAATTGGCTATAGCAGTCCTTATTGTCTGTAATAAATGATAAACTGTAGGAATCTGAACAGGATATTGAATCTGAGCTGATAATAGAACTGGTAGTGCAGCTAGTAATGGAACTGGCAGCACTGCTGCATGAATTCGTGTTTATTGAACCTGAAGATATCTTAATAGATTGATTTCCTATTTTTGTAAAGTCCATCATATTGTAATAAATAAATAAATAAAATGGGAAAAGAAAGGGAAAAGAATAAGAATGAAGACGTCGGTACAAGAATATTGTCTGTGATGGCGATAGTTGTGTTACGATGTGCAACAGTTTAGCATGCAACCGAAAATCTCCTAATAAAGAATTACAGGCGTGCGAAGCCAACTTTGCAGGGAACTTGAACTTTGTGTAAACGAACACAGAATTCTCCTAGTAACCCATTAAGTAATATGAACATAATGATAATTGCTTATATACGCCATGGGAATTAACAGCAGCGGTTCGCCCCCAAAGATTATTCCCTTACTGATCGAATTGGCTGTGGTCTCCGTCTGAAGTTACTGTTAGTTGGTACCAGCATGATTATGTCATGGTCCCACCAATCTTCTATTTGTGCGTTCAGCTTTTTTCTTGTATGCAATGGAAATAATATGCTATCTCTTAGCGAAGCTGTGTTATCAAAAGGACCTCCTGAAGTAGTTATAGCACCTGATATTATGTTTTGAGATCACAGGTATGTGTTAATTGATATTAATTAAAGATAGATTGTTTTCCATAGAAAAGCTTGTCTTCCTTCTACTGTGCCATTGTGATCAGATACTTGTTACATATTTTGAAGCAAAAGGGTTTATAAGATCCAGATATACAAGGTTATAAAATATATCTTAAGATATGACCAACCCTATGAAGTCAACTTCGTGTTTTTTCATACGATCTGTCCTAATGAAATCATCAAAGGCTTATGAGTAAAAATGTATTCAATAGACGGGTACCTCTGACTGACTGGGCATGAAATATATCTTAATTTTGTTTACTAATCTCATTCTTCTTGATCGTTCGGTAACAATGTATTGTTTGGTAAATATGTTTTTGGGTTTAAAAGAAGGCGATTTATAGATATACTTTGCCTTTTCACTTTTTAGCACTAAAATTCTAGATACACATGTTTTACAATAAACCTTCTTTTTTATCTTCAATTAAAGGATTGGTTGAATACTCGTCATTTACTCATAACCAATATTGCCGGTCATGCTAAACAATAATAATTCTGTCAACTTACAATCTAGAATTTAATGTGTTATTTGTTTTAGATACACTGTATACGAGACATTTTTAAGGAGGTGATGGTGTGGGGATCTATCATCTTAATATCCTTAATCCCGGTGGCTCTAGCTAGCTTCTATTTTAAATAAATACTATACCCATCACCAAATATTCTGACTAATTCTAAAGCGATACTGTACCGCATCAGAAAAACTATATCAATTGAGACACGGGTCATACAAACAAAAATTACATAAGTTAATAGACCTTAAAACTTCTTTTGTAATTGGAAAGTTGTGGATCTTTTTACAAATTATTCTAAACGATTCCTTCCCCAGCATCCTACGAATAGTACGTCTTCATTCATTGTTCTTAGTTGGCTTTATGTATAATTATAATTATTCACAATAGATACAACTGAATATACGCGACCTAGTTCACGTTATGAGTAGGTTTATCTCTTTGTTTGCTCATTGTTTGTTGCACGAAAATCTCAAAATTATATAAAAGGATAATTTTTAACGAAGACCGGGATTACATTTTTTCCAAAAACAAAATAAAATTTGCTAAATTATTAACTTAATTAACAGACGGGGATGCTCTTATGTGACATGCATTGTTCGAGACATGGATTTTAGTGAATACTCACATGCTTGCACTTATGGACAACTTTTTTTTTGCATTTACACTTAACGTAGATGTGTGACAAAACCCAAAAAGGCTATACTTACCTGCATTTTTGTGCCACCATGTACGAAGAAATCACTGATGAAAAACGAAGGTAAAAGAGGGAGGAAAGTGCGACAGTTTCTTTTTATTTTTAATTTAAGCCGAGTTATTAATTTTTTGATGACTTAGTTATTCACTTAACAAGAAACTGATCTAACGATTCCTTGCATTTTCTAAATGTATAGTGAATGCAAGCTATATTGAAGCGCACGTAGGTTTTTTAATTTTTTTTTTGTTAGTTCGATAAAGAGCCTTTGAAGTAACCTTGTCCCCTCCTTCAACTTAGTTTTCAATTCTTCTCTGACTGTATTATATTGTGTTGGTATACACAAAATTAGGCGGGAAACATTAGAATATTTTTAGATCAAGATGTTGTACAAATAAAATGCATAAAGAGGGGGACAATACATGATAATAGAGAGGCAAGGGGATTATAGACATGGAAACAATCTTGTTTTCTTGATGATTTAAGTCATGAGATGTAGCGTTATACAAACTGTAGAACTTGCTTGTGCAATAAGATTTATGTGTTGAGAGTGAAGCAAGTACGATAATAATTTTAGCGTAATGGTGATACTGTTCGTTATATTATTATTTTGATCTCTCTTCTCCTTATAATATTCTTAATACTCAACAGTTTGTATGATGTTGTAGTTGAAATAAGAATTTCTTATTTATCTGCCCCATTATAACTACAATAATACGTATGTTTTATTTTTTATTGGCGATTACAATAAGAATGATACATTAGCTACAATGTAGCAATAACAAACAGACAACACTCTACATGGTAAAACAAAATGTATTTAAGTGATGCTACATACATAATGTTTGGAAAATCGCATAGCCCTTATATTCAAGGGGAAGGAGAGTTGGTATAGAAAAAAAAAGAGAGTGAAAAGTATATAGTTAAAAGGCCTCTTTGCTTTTATACTAAAGGGGTGTTATTGACTTAAAAGGAGGATATTAACGCTTATTTACTTCTTTCTAACTCTTTCTTCTTCTTCTTCCTTTCTCTTTTTTACTCTTTTCTATTGTTTTCTATTTAAATTATTTCTTAATAGGGGTGGACATAATACGATATAATTCAAGTGTGTATATATATATTTTAAAAAAAAAAGTATCTCGATGAAATAATGACACAACAACAACAACAACAACAACAAAATACGCTAATTACAGACCTTACACTATTAACTCGAGACCCTTCATCTGATGAGCTCGCCGATATATTACGACAAAGATATTTAAGTGATTTGATTTACACTAATATCAGTCCAACAGTTTTAGTCGCATTAAATCCGTATATCGTAAATGATAACCTCGTCAATATTAAAGCAGATTACATTTCAGAATATAAAGATACATCAAGTGCAAAACAAAATCAATGGAGAGAACCGCATCTCTTTCAACTCGTGAATCATGCATATTTACATATGAGAAGAACTAGTATTAACCAGTCAATCTTATTTAGGTAATATCTTTATTTTTATACTTTTTTTATAACAGTCCCTTAACCTCCTTTTTGTCCCCTCCCCCTTTTTTAGCGGTGAAAGTGGAAGTGGTAAATCAGAACAATTCAAACAGTCCATTGAACATTTGATTGCACTTAGCACTCATCGGAAAACATCTCGCGTCCAAAGCAATCTTGTTCACGCGCAAACAATTATATATGCTTTTAGTAACGCCAAAACTTTACAACATGACAACGCTTCAAGAAGTGCCTTGTTTGTAGAGGTTCATTTTTCTGAAAGAGGAAGATTGGCTGGTGCCTCGTTTATGCCTTACTCTCTTGAAAAGAACAGAGTTACTGCAGCAGGACAAGACGAACGTAATTTCCATGTATTTTATAATTTGTTGGCAGGTGCAACGCAGGATGAAAAGACGCGATTGGGTCTTTTTGATTGGTCAACCTTCCAGTATCTATCAAAAACAACCACATCAAGAGCATCCTCACTTGATGATGCGGTTGCTGATTCTGAATTGCGTGTTGCGTTAAAAGCCATGTTGTTTCAAAAACAAAGAATTGGTCAAATGTATCAAGTCTTGGCGGCCATTCTGCATTTGGGTAATATCCATTTTATTGAAGACCCGAATAATGCACAAGATGCTGCCATCATAAAAAATGTTGATACCTTGGCTACTGTTGCTGATCTCCTTGGTGTTGATCCTAACTCGCTTATGAGTACATTAACCTTTAAAAGCAAACTCATAAAGAGAGACATCACTACTTTATTTCTGGATCCTGAACAAGCTGGAAAACAGAGAGATGATTTGGCTCAATCTTTGTATTGCCTTTTGTTTACCTGGTTGGTCGAACAGATAAATGATCGTATGGCACCCAAAAGTGTTCACAGTTTTGTCAGTCTACTGGATATTCCTGGCTGGATTATGTCAAGGCCTTCTGGCGGTGGATTTGATCAATTAACTTTCCATTTTATTCAAGAAAACATGCATCAGTTTATGCTCACAAGCATATTCGATCGTGATCGACAAGAATACATTGAACAAGGCATAAACATTCCCGCAGATAGCTGGGCAATAAACCCAACTGCAATCGATCTATTTATTCATCCATCTAAAGGATTATGGTCAATTATGAATACACAGGCTACCCGCCAACAACAACAGCAACAAAGATATGATGATGACGAAACTTTAGTCGATAATTATGCCAGCGCAAACAAGAGTGCTATCCATGATCAGGTACTAACATTCAAAAAAAGTGATACCGGAGCAAAACTTTTTGCTATTCAGCACTTCTGGGGTACAAGTTCTTACGATCCTCGTCACTTCACTGAAAGAAACCAAGACTACCTCTGCAATGATTTCATTGCTTTGTTTCGGGGAAATGCCTACAATCCACCTACCAGCAATGGCCTTGTTGCCTGTTTATTTGATGATGCTATCTTAGGCCAAGATGATGGAACAAGGAACAGAGTTCTTTCACCACAACAAGGTATTCGACCACTTCGATCACCTACCACAGGATTAAATACAAGCTCGACAATAAATGGTGTACATACAGCCTCGTCATCGATCCATGACCACAAACCTGCTGACGTAAAATCAACCCTATCAACCTCAGTACAGTCTGATGTATCCACCATAGCAGATCTACTGGTTACAGGTATGGCGGACTTAACAAATGCGTTATCGAATACTCTACCATGGTTTGTCCTATGTATCAAACCCAACGACTTATCATTACCTAACTCCTGTGATGTCAAACGAGTGGCAGTACAGCAATCACATTTTAAACTGACAGATATAGTTAAAAGACTAAGAAGCAGTTATTATACAACAGTTTTTACATTTGATGAATTCTGGGATCGTTATCATGTATCTATACCGCTTACACTAAACACAATGCTGGATCCAAGTTTATCTCCCAGAGACAAATGCATTTACATAGCTCAGTCACTAGGCTGGAATGAAACATGGATGGCTACCGGTAGAACTAAAGTAATATACATTATAAATACCTTTTTTTTTTGAAGCTGATGACTAACTATATCATGATAAGGTCTATTTATCAAATCATGCTTTTAGAGTTTTAGAGGATGACCTGAGAAGCTTAGAAAAAACCGAATCAAAGAGATCGAAATTATCGCTACTTGGTCCTGGCCAAAAACCATTTGACGCATACTCCTATAATGATGATATGGTATCTAGCGCCATGTCTGAAGATGATTACCAGGAAGAATCTGGGCTGAACGATTATAGCGGTTCCGAGATTTTTTCACAAGCTACCATAGAAAATAAAAAGTCTGGAACATTTTTAATGAATCAACAAGAGAATGCAGTAGCTACCGATAAAAAAGCTATGATGGAAGATGAAGCAGAACCTATGACAGGTATTCGTAAAAAATGGCTCGTATTTGTTTGGTTTCTAACCTGGTGGGTCCCGTCCCCTGCATTGAATCATTGTGGTGGTATGAAGAGAAGCGATGTCCGATTGGCCTGGAGAGAGAAAGTAGCACTATGCTTGCTCATCTTTTTATTGTCTGCTGCCATGGTTGTCTTTATTGTATTCTTTGGTCCTTTAATTTGTCCTCATCAAGATGTTTATTCTCTTTCAGAACTTCAAGGAAAAACGGACAAGGACAGCGCGTATGTTGCTATTCGTGGTGAAGTATTTGACTTGACAAAGTTTGCCCCTCATCATTGGGCATCTGAGGTAATTCCAGACAATGTTATTTTTGATTACGCCGGAAAAGATGCCACCAATTTATTCCCTGTGCAAGTATCTGCATTATGCGACGGTACGACTGGTCGAATTCCCGAAGAGGTTGTATTGGATTTCCAAGTGAACCTCACGGATCGCAATGCAGCGTACCATGATTTCAGATTTTTTACCAATGATTATCGACCTGACTGGTATTTTGAACAAATGGTTTATATGCGAAAGAACTATCGATTGGGATTTATGGGATATGAACCGAATGATATCTTACGTCAAGCTACCAATGTTGTCAATGTTGGAGATATAAGTACACATCGAAGCTGGGCTACATTACATGGCGATGTGTTTGACTTGACGTATTACTTACTTGGTGGTCGTGCTCCTCGTGCCCCTGAAGGCACGGTACCTCCCGCAAATTTAGATTTAAACTTCATGGATAACAGTATCGTACAGCTGTTTCGTCAGTTGGCTGGAACTGATATATCCAAACATTTTGATGCTTTGCCTATTTCTGAAGACCTGCGAATGCGTCAACTGGTTTGCCTTAGAAATCTGTTTTTTGTTGGAAAATTGGATACAAGAAGATCCTTCCAATGCCAATTTTCCGAATACTTCTTACTTATTGTCACAGGTAATGCGTAAAAATTTCTTTCAGTACTAATAAGTATCTAATTTATTTTTTATTATATATTTTTTTAGGTTTTCTCTGTGCCGTTATTTTGTTTAAGTTCTTAGCCGCTTTACAATTAAGCTCTTTTAGAGAACCAGAAGATTATGACAAGTTCATCGTTTGCCAAGTTCCATGTTATACAGAAAGTGAGGAGTCATTAAGGAAAACAATCGACTCTATTGCCGTGTTACGATACGATGATAAGAGAAAGCTCTTGTTTTTAGTCTGTGATGGCATGGTTATTGGTAGTGGAAACGATAGACCCACTCCCCGTATCATACTCGATATTCTTGGTGTTGATCATAACGTTGACCCCGAACCATTATCTTTCTTGTCCCTTGGCGATGGATTAAAACAACATAATACGGCAAAAATTTACTCTGGTCTTTACGAATGCTGTGGTCACGTCGTGCCTTATGTTGTTGTAGTTAAAGTTGGTGCTCCTAATGAACGCCAAAAACCGGGTAACAGAGGAAAGCGAGACTCTCAAATGGTGTTGATGAGATTTTTAAATAAGGTGCATTTTGAATCCCCCATGACGCCGATGGAACTTGAGGTCTATCATCAAATTAAAAATGTCATTGGTGTTAACCCGAGTTTTTATGAGTTCGTACTCATGGTAGATGCAGATACCGAGGTTTTGCCGGATTCTCTTAATCGTATGGTGTCCTGTTTTGTCCATGACTCTAAAGTAATTGGTCTTTGCGGGGAAACAAAACTTGCCAATGAGAAGGACAGTTGGGTCACCATGATTCAAGTATACGAATATTATATTTCGCATTTCTTGTCCAAGGCTTTCGAATCTTTATTTGGATCCGTGACTTGTCTTCCTGGTTGTTTCTGTATGTACCGCATCCGGTCTCCCGGTAAAAACCAGCCCTTGTTAGTTAGTAACCAGGTGATCATTGATTATGCTGAAAACAAGGTTGATACGTTGCACCAAAAGAATTTACTCCACTTGGGCGAGGATAGATACTTGACAACGCTTATTTTGAAACATTTTCCAAATTACAAGACCAAGTTTACAGCTGATGCCGGGTGCTTAACAAATGCACCGGACCGATGGAGTGTTTTGTTGTCCCAAAGACGTCGTTGGATTAACTCTACTATCCATAATTTGGGCGAGTTGGTGTTCTTACCTCAACTCTGTGGTTTCTGTTGCTTCTCTATGCGGTTTGTAGTAATTTTGGATTTACTCAGTACATTGGTCATGCCCGCTGTCGTTTGCTATTTAGGCTTTCTCATTTATAGATTAGCTACAAATGCAGGTCAAGTTCCGTTTATTTCAATCATCACATTGTGCGGTGTGTATGGTCTACAGGCTATCATTTTTATTCTTCGTAGGAAATGGGAACATATTGGTTGGATGATTGTATATATTTTGGCTATCCCTCTCTTCTCCTTTTTTATACCAATGTATTCATTCTGGCATTTTGATGATTTCTCATGGGGTAATACACGTCTTGTCTTGGATGATGATGGCCAAAAGAAGGCGCTCCCAGCCGATGAAGGCAAATTTGATCCAAAATCGATTCCTTTGAAAAAATGGAGTGATCATGAAAACGAAGTTTGGGAAACTGGCTCAGCGGAAACTAAAGGTACGACACTTACCTCGTCTACAACACAACGCAGTGGCATGCTACCTCCTGTATTAGGCTACGCCAATGGGTATATGACACCTGTTGTAAACTACCCTGGTAGTATGAACCAGATGCCTTTGGCTGCTAGTGTTGCATATAATGACAATGCTAGCTTCAGATACTCTCATCAAAATTTAGCGGGACGAGCTCCCTCGTTTGCACCGTCATTAATGAATGGATCACAGCATCACCCTGGATCTATCTATAGTGGCGACGGAAGTGTACATGGATATGCAATTCCTAATATGATGGACAACGTGTACCATCCTACAGACGAGGACATTCGAAGACAAGTTCAACGTATTACAGGAACGGCAGATCTAATGACAATGACAAAGAAACAAGTCCGAGAACAACTGAGTAGACATTTTGGAATCAACATGTCGTATAGAAAAGATTTCATCAATTTATGTATCGAAGAAGCACTTAACTTTTAAAAAAAAACAAAACAAAAAACTATCCCCCCCCCCCTTTGATTATTTTAATATTATTTAACATTTATTTTGGACAATTATTCATTATTAAAAACTGTAACCACCACGTTTGACTATTAATACTAAAAGCACGATAAATTATCAGCAGATATCGTCTGCTAGAAAAAAAAACAATTTGATTTCTTTTTTCCCATTAAGCTGAACCTGATATACGATAACCATCAAACGTCTTTAGACAAAATCGCGACACCTGAGTCGTCGTTTCTTCTATAATTTTGTTTCAACAAACATTGACCCAGCTTCTTTACTATTTCTTTTCCGTCCCTCGGTTTATATTATGTTAGGCAGCAGGCCAAAAAAAAAAATTATAAAGTATACGTAAATTTTAGCAGAAAAATATAAAGTTCATCCATTGTGTCAAACAATGCATTTATACTATCTTCTATAATACTATCTCAGCGAAGTGAAAGTGCAACGCCGTCAACGGTGGGTTTTACCACTGAGTGCGCGGCCGTGATGATAGGTCAGTATATCTAAGCGGTTCACAATAGTAGCCGTATATACTGTTTTTGATTATTATTTTGGCAAAGAAGCATTAGTTCTTTATTTTTGTATGGCTGCTTCCCGATGATTAAATCAACTATAAATTTCTCTTTGAGCATATCTACACATATGTCTTTCGTAGGGTCAAGTGAGTTTTTTTCTCTACGTGTTTTATTATCATAATAAAAATTATATGACCTACAGCAAACCCACTCAAAACGCGAGAGCCCAACATGGGAAGTCTTCAGCGTATAGCGAAGACTAGCCTTAGCCGTGATGTCGCAAGCATTGGACACTCTATTTTTTTTTAAAAGTGCGACACTTTTAATTTTTTCTTTTCTTGCGACGTCATTTTGGCAAAGGTGTATTTACTGTTTGTCAAAGAAGGCAAGTAGTACACTGCCCTATTTGGACCTGATGTTATTATTCCCCTCTAATTTTTTCTTTCTTTTTTTTTTTCTTTCTTTTTTGTTTTCATTTTCTCTTTCTTTATTAAAACAAAAATGATGAAGTTATTTAAAAAGAAAAAATCTGACAATAAACTCTCTGCCACGATTCTTCAGGAACAACGGTCTTTTGAATATTCTGGTACGTCTACCGTGAATGTGAGCACCCCCATAAAGAAGCCGGTACCGTTGCTTTTACCACCCAATATATCAGAGCCCATCACAGCCAGATCATCGACTCCTCCCAGCATTGTGATGCCAAAACCAAGAAGACTCTTGACCCCAACCCGTGAGATTTTAGGAAGGTTTGATCATGATAAAACGCTGGTCGAAGATGAACCCGAGCAGCGGCCCCCTCCTGATATGATATCACCGATTTTGTTGCCAACGCCGCACCACGAAGAAGGTAAATAAATAAATAAATTACACAATGGCATTTATATACATATATATTTATTTCCTATACCCATCTTTATTGTAGAACAATTTCTGAACAAAGCCATTGCCGCACTTCCTAAACATAGCTCGCTACATAATATTGACAGTATATCTACAGCAGGAAGCGATGAATCGAGTAGAGTGTACGAATCAGCTCTGGAATCCTTAGCAGGAGATGCTCATGATGATGACGAAGATGATAAGATATCACTTGATCTTCCTCCCCTATCCTTTTTGAAAAAACAACAAATAGTCGATCATTACAATCATTCTGAAACTTCTTCGGGGACGTCCAGTCCACAGAGAAAGCAACCAAAAGCAGCCGTTCAATCTCCCACATCCTCGGCTACAGTCACACCCACCTATACTATCGCTGCTCGGAAACCCGATCACTCCCATCACAAAGGAGACGTTTTGAATCAGTTAAAAGATCTTGAACCTGTCGTCAGATCGCTTAATGGAGACACAACTATCGGAAAACTAAATAATAGACAGATCCAGAGAGTTAGACCTAACCACGATGAGCATAAGAACGAAGAAGATTATGTACAAAACAATGACCAAAACCAAAACAGTAGACAGGGTCAAGAATATAAGCATCAACAGCATCAACAGCAGCAGCTACAACAACAACAGCAACAGCAGCAGCAGCTACAGCAACAGCAGCGAGAGCAACAGCAGCGAGAACAACAGCAGCGAGAGCAACAGCAGCGAGAACAACAGCAGCGAGAACAACAGCAGCAGGAACAGCAAGAGCTGCTGCTGCACCAACAGAAACAGCAGGAGTTGCAAAAGCAAAAGCAGCAGCAAGAGCAGCATCAAGATCTGAACAACAAAAATACCCAAATTCAGCAAGCTGCTGCTGCAATTCAAAAAAGACAAGAGGAGACTACGGAATCGATTCTGTTGCGAAAAATGCAAGAGAGTAAATACGAAGAGCTTCAACAAAAAGTAGAGATGATGGAGAAACAGCTGGTATTAGATCGTGAACAGTTTAGTAAGATGGAAAACGAGTTGATACTGAACCGTCATGAGATGATGCAAACCTTGATTAACACAAAGGAGCAGCTGAATAATGTCCTGAAATCCAGGGAGGAGAGTAAAGCTAGAGAGCTGCAATATCAACAACAGTTAAAGAAACAGCAACTGCAACAATTGCAACAAGTGACGCTGCAACACCAGCAAGATGAAATACAACACCATGGAGCGGAAGAGGTGTATGAAAATGAAGATTCATCCGACTCCGACTATTATCCTCCTCCTCCTCCGCTTTTGCAACATAAAAAATCACAGCAGTCTTTGGATGATCAGCATGAAAACGCTTATCGAAGAATGGCAAAGAGTAAATCTCAAGAGTATCTTAAACAACAACATAGTAGAAGCTCTTCCACCTCTATTCAAAACAGTCAGTACTATCCACATTATGCGGATGAAGACAGAAGATCACTCTCTCGCCATAATAGTAGTACAAGTAACCGAAGTAACAAACTCGATCCAAGTCCGTCCAACACGCTTGTAACAAACTCATTCCCCCAACATCGAAGGATGAATAATCGACCACGAGCTAGATCGATAGAGGCAGGGAGATGGCATGAAGAGCAACAGCCAGTTATTTACGATGAAGCTGATATGCAGCCCTATCAAACCAGGCCCAGAAGAAGCAGATCTGTAGGCAGGCGACCTAGATCTAGAGGGTCTGTGGTATTTTACGAAGACATACCGGACGATGTGTATTATAACAATCCCAGATATTATAATCAGCAAGATGCTTATAGCGAGGGCTATTATGTGCAGCCACAGACACCTCAACAGTATTACTACAATCAGTATCATTCTCAGCAAGCACCTCCTTTTAGACAAGCACTCCCACGATACCCTTCTAATAACAGTTCAAGACGTTATGGGAGTTATCATCACCAGCAACTATAATACTAATAAAAAAGTTCAACCAACAGCCATGTTCCACATGTTGCCATTTTAGCCGAAATGTGATCTTTTTTTATGATCACCTTATAAAGGTATAATCCCCGAGTCTTTTTCTATTTTTGGGACTTTTTTATTCTTGGGGGATGATTTGTTCTATAATAATGCAAATCCCTTTTGTTGTTTTTGGATTATTGAATGAGATAATCGTCCAAGCCCTTTCTTATGTAACTCGATTTTTCTTTCAGCCTAGAAAAATAAATACAGAAAAAAAGGGGGGTGGGGTAATGCTATGCTTGCTGGCTGGTTACTTTTTTATTGCTTGTTTACAAAGGAAGTGATTAGATTTAAAACGATGTCTGGTTTTTCGGCGTGCACTAAGAGAGTGATGTTAGTAAAAAAAAAAAAAAAAATGCGACTGGCCAATGTATAAAATAGTAATTTTTACCCCAATGACCAGCACCGTCAACGACCTGTAACTCTGAATTCGGGAATAAGGCATCAATTTCTTTTTTCTGATCTTGGAAGGGTTTACGGTACGGACTATTTCCTCCTGCGATAAATAAGGTGGGCTTTCCGAAGGGCTCGACAGTCGAATGATCCAAGAAACCCCCAATATTGGCCAAGGATGTACCCAGTGTTTCATAAGGCACTCTAAAACGTAACTCTCCTTGCGCATTTCTCTTTAAATTGGTCAATAAAAACATACGCACACCGACATTGGATTCGAACTGGGACAGGATCTTATCCGCTTCGCTTTGCTTGGTCGGGTTCGCTTCTTCGATGGCTCGCATGGCGTCGACATAGGTTGCAAAGTTCTTTGACAGGTGCATAGCAACGGGTGGCATGTCGACCACAACTAATTTCGAAACCAGGTCGGGATTGCTCAGAGCTGCCGCCATCACAGCTTTGCCGCCCATGGAATGGCCCAACAAGATTGGATCCTTCAGGTTGTGTTGGGAAAGGAATTCGACGAGATCATGGGTCATGGCTTCGTAAGTGTGAATGTTACTTTGTGGGCTGTCACCGTGATTACGAAGATCCTATTTGTGAATGATGAGTTGCTTTATTTATTTATTTCGAAGGGTGATGTTTGTAGTTACGATGGTGTAGACGTCGCGGGATAAGCGGTTACTCATGGCTTTAGCTAATGAAGACCAATTTTGTTTGGATCCAAATAAGCCATGACAAATCAAAACAGGTGGTTCTGTGGAAGGCTTAATGGAATATTTATCAAAAGCCAAGGGAACGGTTGAATAGAGCCGTTGGCAAGCTCTCGATGTTTTTAAAAAGAGCCTGGTATTAAGCATTTTTCTTAAAAAAAAAGGAAACGGGGAAAAAATAAACGGGGCAAGGGTTTAAAAAGATGCTTATGTATTATTAAACTCTCTCCCGTCACACACACACACAAAAGTGGGAATTTACTAAACTAAGTGAATTTTTATTTATTTATTTATTTACAATGGTGCTTGCTCCAATCTTCTTAGGGCGGCTTTTTGTTGTTCTTTGATGACTTTTGTCGATCTTCTTGCGGCAGTAATATCTTTCCACACAAAGCATGAATTTCCAACGATATGAGTCTTGGGCTTACGACCTCGTTTTTTACGCGGCATTTGAAGTACCATATCCATATTGGAGCTAGTAAAGGCAGCCATGGATCCGTTCATGACCGAATCGGATGTGCTTGGTAAAGTGGCTGGTGCGGATCCTTGCTGAGGATGATTGACATCCCACACCGTAGGCGTAAGAAAGGTCCAGCCACCCTCCAGCGAAGGCTCTCGCATATTGGGTGGCCTGCCTCTTCTCCGTTTTAAAATGGGGTGACCTGATTCTGATAGTATGATTTGTGTCTGGGGTTCTTCCTGCAGTTCTTCTGGTGTTTGCTGGTAGGAATGCGGTGCTCTTTCTGGTGATTGGGGTGCTTTTTGCAGGCGTGCCTGGTATAGATGCTGTGTGTTTTCTTTATGCGATGGTGCTGTTGCTGCTGCTACTGCTGCTGGGGAGGGAGATCTGCTGAGGGGACGAGGTGAGGAAGGTGCGGATGATGACCAGAGGGAATTAAAAGCGGGTTTTGGAGAGATAGAAGCGATAGAAGAAATGGAAGGATGTCTTTGAAGTCTTCGTGGTGGATCATCGCCTTGTAAGGGTGGTAAAGCCAACATGGCGGGTAAAGGAGAGGTAGGTTGTAATGGAGTGATATTGGGTGATAAAGTGTGTATAGAGGAAGCATAAGAGTCTATGGGTGATAGCATGGGCGAAAGAGTGGCGGATAGACGATCATTGTAATTGGTTGGAGACTTTAGATATCTCGGTGATAGAGCATCATCATCGTCTGTAGTGTGTTGATTTCCATCGTCTCGTACGACGACAATACGAGGAGGCGAAGAAAGTAAAGTGGTGATGGAAGGTAAATTATGAGTTTTATTCATGTTAAAAAGAAAAGAAGAAAAAAGATCACACCTCCCTTTCCCCCTTTTCCCATCCTTTTTATTTCCAAAAAAGACGAAAATAAATTTTTTTTGTAGAAAGTCGAGAATGATTCTTGCGTATCCAATCAATTAATTTTTGTGCTTGTTGAATCCGATCATTTTTTTTTTTTTATTATTATTTAGAATAGGGTAATTGTTACATGTGATTTAACAGAATTTAGTTACTATATTTGGTAAAACTGTAATTTTCCCTTAAACCATGAAACTTCTGATTTTCCCCTGACGTGATTTGGGTGCCTCTGTCTTGTGCTTGTACAAATCATACACGCTCAATAAAGCTATCTTGGATCGCCCACTGCTTTTGATATGTGCCCGTGTTGGATAATGACTTCTTTCCTTTAGAATCACATGACCTATCGCAGCATACACATTACACGCTGCTCTAACTCCTCCTCGACAATGAAATGGCAGTGCTTCAATTCCCTTATTGGCTGTTTTCATTATACTCTCTGCATCTCGGATTAAGGTTTTGGATAGTTGCAATAATCGTGAATCACCCAACTCACGCGCTTTACCAGCCGCAATGAGACTACTTTCATTGTCTGTAAGCCAGTCCATAGGCAAGTAGCAGCGACCCAACTCTTGACTATCAGTCACAATATCTCTGGCGATATTCGTAAGTTGAAGTACCAGCCCCATTTCACGAGCACGAGCGATAATCCAGGCATCACTTTCACGATAATCATGGAATAACAAGATACGTGTGCACATTTCACCCACACTACTGGCCACACAAGCAGAATATTTATAGAGATCTTCTTGCGTACGCACTTCTTTACGTTCTAGATCCCATTCATAACCCTCCAATAGTTCTTCAATAGCGTCCACATGTAAAATATGACGTAATCGGGTGAAAGTTTTGAATGCAGATACACATGAGCTTGGTAACTGACGATTGTAAAATTCCCAGTCCACCACTGGCATATTTGTTTTTTGACTAAAGATATCCTGAACAAAACGACGCGTCAAATTGAGCTGTTCTTTACGTTTTTCGACAGAGACGGATTCATCGTCACAAAGATCATCGGTTGCACGACAAAAGCCATAGAGAATCCCCAGATCCTGACGAGCGTAACTTGAAAATACAGCGGAGGCAGTATAGAATGATTTAGATGCTTTTTTCAATATATCCCAGCTAATCGAGAGATCCTGCAACGTTTCATTATTTAACATTTGATCCGGTAAACAAAACGCCCAACACAGCTCCGACATTCTCTGAACCAAAGGTGCTTGCGTGTGTGTCTTATAGACAGACTCAGTCTTGAACAGATGGAGGATGGCTTGAGCACGATCAATAGCACAGGCAGCAAATACTAACACCGTGTTAATCAAAGCAAAGAACATGAATTCTTCCAGAGGTAAATGTGGAACAACCATTTTACCGGTGCTTGTTTGGAGAGAGATGTCCCATGTGCCGGCTCGGATGGCATATCTATCAACCCAGCATAAATAGATGGTAGGCACCACAATTGAAGTCAAGACAGCAAGAGGACGACGTAACATATATTCACCCGCTCCATACCAGAGTAAAGCCAAGACAGGACAGACATACCAGAGGATACAACCACCATAAAACAATGATTTACCAGGTATCGCCACGTTCTATATAAATACAAATTTAGTTTCGTATTTTTTTAATCTGTACATATGCTAATATTTACCCAAGCTTTGTATGCAATTGTCAACAAACCAAAAATAGGAATGAAACGGACAAATAAAGACTGATAAACCGAGACCTGGGGTTTAATATAAAAAGTAGGTAAATGCCAGCGCATGACGAGATTTGAAAAGGAGACAGTCATTAATGTCTGAATTACAAAGAACATGTATTCTTCCAGAGGCACATAACCAATGACAGCAACAACGCAGGTAGGACAGTAAGACCAGGCTTTGTGATAAACAATGTAATTGTCCCAGAGACTGGCTGTGGTGACTGCAACAGCTGTTAAAAATTGATACTTGAGATTGTCTTGCTTGCTATGAAAGGGCTTCAAAATGAAATACAACAACCCAACCACGGGTAGAGTGAAGTAGAGATGTACTTCCATGTAAGTAAGCATTGTTATAAAAAGATATAAAAGATGAAAGAAGAAGAGATAAAGTTGTCGACAAGAAAGAAAAAAAAAGAGGCTTACTTAAATAAAGAAATTCATTACAATCAAATATTTTGCCCCGATGTCGATGCAGAAAAAAAAGGGGGGTGTGGTTTGTGTAATATAGTGGTTAACCCCCTAATTTTATAGACAATGAAATTGAGTGCTTTTCTCCTGATCAAATTAAACTCCACTCGCGATGAAGCATGGACTACCTGATATAGAAAACAATTGTGTAAACATCACTTTTTCGTATAAATTATCAACTTTTTTTTATTTTTCTTCTATTTCTTTCCTTCCTCTTTAAAAAAACTCATTTTTAAAAACTCTCTTTTCTGTCTAATGTCTGATAACAAGAAACATATCGTTGTCATTGGTGCTGGTATCGGTGGTGTTGCAACTGCTGCACGTCTCTCTCGTGAAGGTTTTCGTGTAACCGTTGTCGAAAAGAATGACTTTTCAGGTGGAAGATGTTCATTAATCTATAACGAAGGTCATCGCTTTGATCAAGGTCCCTCTCTCTATTTGATGCCAAAGTTATTCCAAGACGCATTCGCTGATCTGGATGAACGCATTGAAGACCATGTTGACCTGTTACGCTGTGACAATAACTACAAGGTTCATTTCGATGATGGTGAATCCATCCAATTATCCTCTGACCTCACTCGAATGAAATCTGAATTGGACCGTATTGAGGGTCCTGAAGGCTTTGGTAGATTCCTAGACTTTTTGAAGGAGACTCATATCCATTATGAACGCGGTGTCTTTATTGCTATCAAGAGAAACTTTGAATCCATTTGGGATATGGTGCGTATCAAATTCGCTCCCGAGATCTTTCGTCTTCATTTGTTTGGAAAGATTTATGATCGTGCTTCCAAGTACTTTTTAACCAAGAAGATGCGTATGGCTTTTACTTTCCAAACCATGTACATGGGGTAAAGTCACTTTTTACTTATTATATGTCCATGAATCTAACCTATATTATTACTTAGTATGTCTCCTTATGATGCTCCTGCTGTCTACAGTTTGTTGCAATACACTGAGTTTGCTGAAGGTATCTGGTACCCTCGTGGTGGATTCAATGTTGTAGTTCAAAAGCTTGAAGAGATTGGCAGCAAGAAATACGGTGCCAAATTTATTTACAATGCGCCCGTTGGAAAGATTAATACCGAGGATGAAAATAAGCGTGTCACTGGTGTGACTTTAGAAAACGGAGAAGTGATTCATGCCGATGCTGTTGTTTGTAACGCGGATCTCGTGTACGCCTATCATCATTTATTACCCCCTTGTTCTTGGACAACCAACACATTGGCTACCAAGAAACTAACTTCATCGTCCATCTCTTTCTATTGGTCGCTCAAGGAAAAAGTCCCTTTGCTTGATGTCCACAATATTTTTTTGGCTGAGGCTTATCAGGAAAGTTTTGATGAAATCTTTAAAGACTATGGTTTACCTTCTGAAGCTTCTTTCTATGTCAACGTACCCTCTCGTATTGACCCATCCGCTGCTCCCGAAGGTAAGGACTCTGTTATTGTCTTGGTTCCTATTGGCCACATGAGAAGTCTTACGGGTAATGGTGATGAAGAAAATTATCCCAAAATGGTTGAACGGGCTCGTGCCATGGTGCTTGAAATCATTCAACGTCGTCTGGGTATGGAAAATTTTGCTGACTTGATCGAACATGAATCCCACAACGATCCTGCGATCTGGCAAAGCAAGTTTAATTTGTGGAGAGGCTCTATTCTTGGTTTATCGCATGATATCTTGCAAGTCCTCTGGTTCCGTCCCAGTACAAAAGACTCTACCTTACGTTATGACAATCTCTTTTTCGTTGGCGCAAGGTAAAAAGTTAAATGTTTATAAATCTTCTATCTTTTATTAATCACTCTTCTTCTTCTTAAAAAATATAGCACTCATCCAGGTACCGGTGTTCCTATTGTTCTTGCTGGTAGTAAGCTTACATCAGATCAGGTCTGCAAGAGTTTCGGAAAAGCACCTTTACCAAGAAAGATTCAAGATGAACCTACCTACAAGGCTGAAGCGAATGTTGCCTCTAACCAACTGGTGACGTATAGTGTCTATCTCTTTATAATCACATTTCTATTTTTTGCACTTTTCCCTACGCAATCAACCAATCATACAGCTGCTTCCTTCATCAATTCCTATTTACCTAAACAATTTCGTGTGACTTACGACAATGATTTATTATTGGAAAGATACTAATAAAGTAATAAATTAACATTTGGAATTTCTTTTTTGTATACCCGCATTTTTTTAAATTCACTTTTTTTGGAAAATGAAGAAGCGTACGGTGTCACAACGTGGCACAAAAAATGAAAATCTTGACCTAATGATAAGCGAACCTTTTACCCGGTAGCCAAATGTCATACAAATCCTGTTCGTCTCTTTTTTTGCAAAAAAAGACCTGGATAGGTAATCTCTTTTTTGTCTGCCATCATATTACTATTCATTGTAACATGAGACTCAGCAGCATGAGCAAGTAGTCAGATTGGAAGGAAAAGAACAAATCTTAATTAGACAAGTGTGCACACTCAGCAATTGGCGCACACAAAAAAAAAAAAAAGTATGAATTAAAATTATTGCCTCAAACATATAAACAAATAAATACTTTTCCGATGATTCCTCTTTAACCTAAAAAACCTCTTCTCTTGTCATCCTATCCCATACCAGTTATTGCGTAGAAAAGAAAATTGGGAAAAGGAATCCATTGCATAGAGTTAATCACAGATTTAGTTCACAAAGGGATCGCTAAAGAATTCAATGGTAGGCCCAGATTGGCTAATACTTTAAGGGGGAGGGGGAGGACCATATGTTCTGGACAGTGTTACCATGTATACATCAGATGACGGGAAAAGTGGCGAGAGATTTTAGGTATTTCGTATCACGCTTATCTTTTTTTTTTTTTTTTTTTTTTTTTGGGTTTGGTTACCATCACACTTTTTATACGTGGCATAAGCAAATATAAAGTATCCCCTTTCTGGGTAAAATATCACTGTGCACCTTTAATTTCATCTTGATTACCAATGTTGATTTAAATAAAAGCAGTAGCAATTGACCGGCTTGTCCCAAAAATGTAATACCACTCAAAGAATTCTTTCTGTTTTTCGTTGGTTTATTCGTGCACATTTAGGATAAAGTTTTTGATTTAGCGACGAAATAAACGATTGCGCAAAAATCAATAAATTTTGCATGCATTAATCTACAAACGAAATGAACCAAAGCAAAGAATGTACCTACAAAATGGGCACCCGATAAGTGCTTAATTGCATGTACATCGGACTCTCATCGTCAGAGTCTCTTCATCCCAGAAGACTTGTCTATTCGAGATTGCACCCGAAAATCAAGCAAAATGATTCAATTACATATTCATTGTCTATTTTTTTGACTACAAAAACAAACAACTTTCAATAAAGTTGGCATTGTTTTTGTCCGCCTAAAGGGGAATTTTTTTTTTTAAAGTTTTTGTCGCCACGAGTAAATCAAAATACCACTATCTCGTCTCCTATCCGCAGCAAAAAATATGAAGAGAAATTATATCAAAACCAGTGATTATGGATGCATTCCTTTTTACTGGACACTCTTACAAGTCAACCTAGTGCCCTTTTTTTTTTGCCTCAGCCCCTGAAGCTGACTGATAATGAGAAGACCAAAAACATTTAGACAAATAGCACCTCTGATTTAGAATATTGCTTTAAAAAGCTAGTAAAAGGGTCTCCTTGATTGACGAATTTGGAATAAATCAGTGTTACCTGGCATGCGAAGATAGAATTCTTAAAAGATCTCAAATACTGAACCTGGCACCCTCAAAGACAAAGAGTCAAGTCCCGTATTGTCAGACATAGTTTCATTTTATTAGCGATACGTCAATCAGTAAAGTTAAATATACTAACAGAAAACTGGCCTAAAAAAAGGGGGGGGGGAGGGGCATACTGAAAAGAGTGTTTTACATGTTGAATCTATAATAAATGAGTTCTTCAAAGATAACTAAACATAATGTCAAAGAGAAAAATTAGATTCAGAGATATATTCTCCCATTTTGACAACTAAAGTGCTTCGACATCAGTTTTCGAAGGATTACTCTATGAGTGCAAACTCCGTCATTAGAAATAAAAAGAACTAGTATAGAGAAACACTTTATTTCTGAAAAAGAAAACATGACTTGAAGAAAAGTCCATATTTAGACAGGAGTTTTGAATTTGTAGTGACGGATAGAATTATAGAATTGGATGCCACAGGCCGAAACGAATACTTAAGGAGCATCAACTGAATAATCCCATGCTGGTAACAGATTATTATATTGGGGGAGATATATGACAACTTGTACAATTTATGGAAACCCCAGGTACCGTACAGATCCTTCCTATACATTAAATCCTAGTTATAAAATTAGCTGCCAATTACGAAATCTCTTGATGGATTGGGTTATTGAATTTCATTTGACTTACTACCAGACACTTTATTTTTTGGTTGTCCTTGTATTTCTCTGCATGGTTGCAGTTGATTAGCTTGAACTAATTGGTGTCACGAGTGCATTCATCGCACCTAAATTTGAAGAAATCAAAGCACCCAAGCACGGATTATTTTCTATTTTATACTGATAACTGTATTACAGATAATTACCTTGACTAAAGCCAAAACGCTCCATTTTATAAACATTGGAGTTCCATCTTTGTTATCCTGTACTAGTCAGCTTTTTACGAAGAACATCCATGCATGAATTAAAATGCGATCCTTTATATACGTACATAGGACTGTTACTCAACGAAAAGATCATACCGTCGACTATCTAAAATTGCAGAGGCCTCATTTTAGGTTGCCCTTAAAAATGTTTGTGAAGGGTAATAAGTGGAACTCAAAGTATTCAAATGTCTCTTGTTACACTACCCGAGATTTGAAAATGACAGTTTGAGGCCATGTTAAACTTCTTGTCTCAACCAATCTCAAACGATGGTTTTTTCTAGATATAAAAAAAAAAAATCGTCGCAAGATAATGTCATGGGCAAGCTACTATGTTCCGGGATTGGGTGTTATTATATTCTTGGCTAACCAAATTCCCATTTGTAAACTTTATAAAACTAATCATTTAATTTCTATTTATAAAGCAGTCTGATAAAATAACAGCCATCACTACCAAAAAAAACTGTTGAATTCAGTAAGATGTTCTCTCATTGGAGTATATGACATTTACACTTTCAATGTTATATGAGTCCCTCTACTCTCTAAATCATCCATTGTCTTATGCAACACAGTGGCTAGTACCTATTTATAGTCTCATTACCACTCTTTAGCAAATATAGAACTTATACTGACATATTGGAAACTGATCATCCTCGACCTTATCCTGCTATTGACCTGCTTAAAACTATGTCCAGAATCGTTCAGCAAATTAATACGATTATTCACACTTTTCCAAAACATAAACTTATTATTATTAACGTATATACTACATCCACGATCTTTCATCAAGTCTCACTACTCCGAGATGTGACTTAATAATTCTGTATTCAATCATGTAAAAAAACACCTTTTTGTTTGAGAACCCAACTAGGAATGGCAAGGGAATCTAACAAGCTGGCTTGTCCCCTTGTTAGTAGGTACGCCGACCCAAGTGAAAGTGACTAGGAAATACATCTGGCGTTATGCTCATGTATCGACTTATCATAAGTAGCGTACGTCTTCTCTTTTGCTTACTGTATTAATTTAGATGTAAATGACTGTATTGGAGACTTGCTTTAACGTTGATCTCTTTACTGCTTAGATAGCGAAAAGTCTTTTGCTAAAAGTGAAACGCGGAACAAGTAATTCCCACCAGTGTGATTATACAGGAGTTTGTCTTTATTGGATCATACCCGGTTGCTCTACTATTAGTGTGTTCTTATGATATCCTAAACAGGCCCTATCGTCATCATAAAAAAATAATACATTGTTTGTCGACTAACTTAAGTAATGTGATTATGATATTAAATTAACGGGATCTAAATATTAGATACAATAAACAAAATCAACATTGTTATGCAATGAATAATTTATTAAATGGAAAGAAAAGTAAGGGATTGGGGGATATTTAAACAGAACAATATTTCATCATGATAATTTGAGCTAAATTCATGGAGCCACTTGTGATGTAAATCAAATGAAGATTATAAGCAGCCTCGCGGGAAAGATCTGTGTCGTCCTCATCATCAAATTCTTCCTCCGTGGGCCATGTATATACATCTTCTATCGGCTTTGTCTTCCCCGTACCCATCTTAGCTGCAGATGGTAAGCATAACACGTTTTCATAGTGTGGGACAGCTAAGTGAGTTAAACCAATCATATGGAACGCTCGAGCTAAATTATATTCTGATGCTTGACAATAGCCTACTAACTTAACATACTCCATAACAAACATAAAGCCCTAAAAAAATGAGTTAGCAGAGATTCATGTCCATGTATTTGTGGCCATATACCTGCATCACTTGCAAATGTCTGTTATCTGTTTTACGTTGCATTGATGCGTGGAGCAAAGCTAGGCCTAGCGACAAGGTATTTAAAGGATCCTTGGGGGCGATCGCATAAGCTCTCATATAGAAAACTACCAAGCCAGTTTAGACACAAATGAAAATGTTAAAAAGCTGTAAAAGCAGACTTACGAGTAGATGCAACATGGTTTCTAGAAAGGTTCATAATCTGTCCCAATAATGTCAAGATGATAGGATTGGCTTCTTTGATTGTATGATCATTAACTCTGTTACTAAGCTCACGCTTAATCTCAGTGGGCGCATGATAAAATCTACGGATGTTTTGTTCTTGAGCTGTCGAAGGATCGACATTCATTGTTATGATAGCATTATCCAATTCGCGGATTTCATCCTGCTCCATTTGATCGACTTCCCCATTAGATTCTTTCTTTCTGCCATGAGCCACAATAGCATCCATCAGTCTAATAATACGAGCAACATATTTCATTTGATTACCAGAAGCATAGGCAGTTGCTTCTTTTCCGCTACTGATGACAGCCGTATAGAGCCTAAATGGGTCGTTTTTAAATTGGTAGAAATTGCACATCCATCGCATGCCTTCTTGTGTGATATATTCGTTGTCGGATATCAAACCACAGCCGATCAATGCTAAATGAAGTGCTGTTTTTTTTGCAACATCGTGGTAGAAGATATTAGCTACAAGCAACTTTTTCAGCAATTCGTATGCATCCTCTGTATGTTTAGTAATTGCCAAAACATAACCATACTACAAAAATATGAGTATAAAAATCGCTTTACAAATCAACCTATTATTCTCACCTTTATGAAAACTTTATGCCAACGATCAAATGTGATATTACGGAAATGAGAAGCCTCAAGCAATCTTTGATTTCGTCTTTCTTCTTCCAAAATCCCCAATTCGACGTCATCTAAATCAGCCGTATCTATATCCATATCATTCTCCGTTTTGACTCGCTTACGGAGTCTACTCGCCATTTGATGAGCTTCCACATTTATACTATCATTGTTTGCATCTTGAGCTTTCTTGGATTTCTTTCCTTTACGCAAAGCATAAAAACCTTGAAATTTTTGGGACTGTGCTATGTTTAGATTGGAGACAAATGAAAAAAAAAAAAAAAAAATACAAGAATACATACTCTTAACTGAGGGAAGAAGGCAGTAGTGGACCCGAAATCCTCCCAAAGTTCTTGTCCGCATTTGCGGTATTCACGAATTAAGGATTTGTCAGCGTTCACCAAATCGCCACCAATCTTTTCATCCAACTCGTCCACTTTTTCAAACAATCCAGCGATAATGTAATTTTGCTCCTCGTTTTGTCTCTTTTTATCGTCTTGACGCTGACGTGTTTTATCGGCTTTAGTCTGGTTCCTCTCTTCATCGAAAATGGAGGCTTTTTTGTTTTTGCTTTTTCTGGCAATTTGCATTTGTTTCAATTTTTCTTCTGCACTTAAAACTACATCCACATCAACTTCGTTTTCCTTTTCTAAATCGGCCTTTTTAGCTTTACGTACTTGACGATGTTTGTCCATTACTGCAAAAGTATAGAGAAAAGCGAATTAATCAACTAGTATATTTGTCCGATTCTTGTATATTACCAAAGTCTACCAATTGAAGAGCCTCTTCTTCCTTTCCTTGTTCTTCGTAAACTGTAGCGAGGGACATCATAACATCCAAGTTTTCAGGTTGTTCATCCAATACTAGACAAAATCAATTAAGACTAATCCATTTTTTTTTCTTTCGCCATACTTTACCATTGACATAAAAAATAACAGCTGTTTCTAGGTCGCCTGTTTCACGATAACAATCCGCTGTACGAATCAATAAATCTACCTCAACTTCCTAAATTTCAGATTGAAATTAGGTCTTAACAAAGCTCCATCATCATAAGACGCATGTATATCACTTACAGCAGAAGCATCGATGATTCTTTGGAATACTTTAATTGCAAGATCGTAGTGGCGCTTATCGTAGTAAGCATAAGCAATATCTTGATGTAAATCGGGATATGTTGTAGCAGGATATTGTAACAAAAATTGAAAATGTTGCTAGTTCGATACAATAAGTAACAACATTCGATTTAATAACAATTAAACTTACTGTTGCTAATCGGACTTGGTTTAAGTATACTCTGCAAACACCCATTCTAACACGTAATTCGATAGGAAAATCAGATCGGGTATCATCCTTTTCCAAATATTCATCATCGTCATCCAAATGTTCTAACCACCAAGTTTCCTCTTGTCGGCGTTGAATTTTTCTTACACCATTCTTAATTGTATCTAAGGCCTTTCGGTAATCATTTAAAATGAGGTACAGCTCACTCAACATATTGATTTCTGAATAACCCAATTTGTCGGTAAATTCATTCTCCTCATCCAAATCCTCATCGTCACTATCCTCGTCCGCATTTTCATCATGATACACAAATGCATCCTCGTACATCTGAATAGCTTCCTTAGTTTTACCTTGTACACGATATAGTTGTGCCAACTCATTGATAACCTTATAGTGGTGAGGCATCAGTTCCAAAATGCTCGTAAAACCAGCCTGTGCATCAGCACTTCTTCCAAGTTGCTTATGAAGAAAAGATCTATCCCATAATGCATCTACATCTGTAGGGTCCAATCTCAATGCTTTTGTAAAACAATAAATAGCTTGCTTAATCGCATCATTTTCGCTATTTTCAGTAAATATATTAGTAAGTTTCTTTTACCACAAGTTTATTCCCTACATTGACTTTTGACCCAATTCTTTCCATAAAGAAGTGTCATTACACATATGTGCAGCCACCATACGCAACTGTAGAGATTTGGCTTTATTTCCTAATTCTTCATGCACAAGCCCGAGAGTGTTCCAAGCAGGATGAGCGTTTGGATTATCTTTGATAACTTCCTGTAAAATATCAATAGCAGCACCATAATCTCGTGCAATATATAGTCCATTTGCTTCACCCAATTTTCGTTTGACATCGTCAGTTAAACGAAGTTCACCTGTCATTGTTCTTTTCTTGGCTCCTTTATCTAAGTTTTTGAGGCCGATTCCAGAGGTTAAAGCCAAATTGTTTTCGAAATCCTCCATGTCTTTTTCCATCTCATCCTGACCACCAGTTTTAAGTTTTGAACGCTTTGCGGCCGAATTTTTCATTTGCTCGCTGCAAGAAAGCTTGAACTGATCAGTTTTTAATTTTTTACAGAAAAAAAAAAAAAAGACTTGATCCAACTTACGTGATTTCGTTATCGTCAATATATTGATCATCGTCCTGTAACCAAGCGTCAAGCGAATCATTATCGTCGTCGTCGTCGTCGTCGTCGAATCCGTCGTTTTCATATCCTGGAAGAGGGACCATAGTACTCATAGGTTCCTCGTCTTCGTCTTCGTCGTCGTCTAAAGTTTCGTTTTTACCCAGGTACTCGTCAAATTCTTCCTCTCCTCCCATCAGAAGTTGTGAAAATGCCTCTGTTTTTGAGACTGCATCGGTTTCTTTGGTTTTTCCTTTCTCTGCTGTGGATCTTGTTGATCTTCCCATTGTTGAAATAAGCAAGAACAAAAAAAGCAGGGCAATCTTAAAAACCTGAAGTTACGGTCACACTGTCGACAGTTAAAGGTCCGACTGAGGTGGGTGCGGCTAAGCACACCCTACATACCCTCAAGAAAAGCGGCTGTCCATAAGATAACTGATCTGAAAATTAGAGTGACCTCCATAAGCTTTATAAAATGTTCTCTGCATATTTTCATCTTCTAAAAGTGCATCAAAGCCATAGAGAAGCGAAAAATGACGCAATAAAGTGACATTGCAGAATTCTGTAATAGGGTTTATGCACAATATCGCCGATGTTCCTTGTATCACTTGAGTCTGCCTGTTTATGGCGGCTAATGGTAATAGATAGTCGCACGAAGAGCAAATAAGAATATAAATGCTATTTGAATGTCAATATAGAAAACCAAACTTGTTCATGCTTTTTTTTCATGTAGCTTAATACAATTTTTTGTTGGCTGAGTAGCGCCATAATGTGCAATTATGGGCGGAGTCAAGGAACAACTGTTATTTCAGAACCGGATACTGTATATATTATAATAATAAAGTTATTTCATTTCTCTTCTTTACTTCTTTTAAACTCTTAACCTCTTGTAAAATAATATGAATTATTTATATAGGATGAAATTTGCTATCGGATTAGGTTAGTGACAATATAACGGATATATAGGACATTATAGTAACATTTCATGCGTTAGAATTTGGAATAATGGCTTCAGATTTTTCAATTGCCCATGTAGACGACCCTTTTAATATTGTTACAGTTGATTCTTGGTATTTCATCACAGAAAACATTGCTATAATCATAGATACCAAGAGATTAACATAGGAAAGTTTCGAAGAAAACCTAAAAAAAAAAATTCTTTAATAATGCACTCAAACAATTGGAAATAATAATAACCCTTTATTCGGTATTGAATTCGGCTTTTGGTGATAAAGGTGTCTACATATCTGACATTGTATAACATCTTGTTGAAGTTGATGCCTCAAATGAAAAAATTGATCGACTGATGACTGGCCTAGCCCTTAAAAAAGTCGGTACTAATGTTTTGAAATATATTTTGTCCAACTGGATCTTGAGAGGTTGCAGATTCTTAACAAACTAGGTAAGAACAAATTTTTTATAATTTTGTCAGGGAGGAGTTTATTGGTGAATATATCGCACGAGGATGTGGATGGCAATCACATTAACTTTACTTGCGAAGATCTTAATAACGTTGTATTCAAACCCTTTATAAAAGCCACAACCGACCTTATTTTATAGCCATTGCAATCAATTCCTCTCTGGGAAATATGGTGCTAATACCAAGATTTACAAATCAATAGGGAAATTCAAAAAATAACCCAAAATCAAAAGTTTACTCTTTCAATCAAACTCAGGTGTAAAACCTCAATGTGGTAAACTGCAAACAGCCTTTGATTTCGTATTCCTTAGCAAAAACTGGTTACTTGTTCAATATCCAGAAAAAAAAACCATAAAATAAATCTTCAATTCTTCAGTTACTTGGTGCAAACATTTGTAACGCTGAAATGTTTTTCCATAACTGAATGTGGATTTCATATCCCAATTTCTAAAATTAGCTTCAATTCGTTGTGCATAAAAATCCAAGCACTGATTATTTATAGCTTTTATTGTACGTAATATCTAGACAATAGGACATCAACTTTTTTATAATTAATCATTGCGCTTATGCTAGTACTTATGTATTAATATGGTATATATTTTGACGCCGTTTTCTTGTTTTTGTTTTTTGTTATTAAATGTTTACAAATTAAGGAACAGAGTATAAATTATGTTACGCCTATTGTTCTCTTTCGCATCACTTGCTGCTTTTTTATTTTATCACAAACTCAATATACAAGTCCATGTCATTTATATCCCGAATCCCAAACGAAACATGGTGTCAAATACTTCAGACTGTTCCAAGATCTACAATCTATCAATGTACGCGGGTGAGTCAAACATGGAATAAGATAGCTACTCCTTTACTTTACAATTCAATCATCCTGTCGGGGGATGCAGTCATTCGTCTTCGAGTACAAATTGAAGGTGCAAGTAATATAGAATCTCTGATGACTTTAAAGAGAAACTGTAGTTATGTCCATACGCTAATTATCAAAGATGAACCTTTTATTCTCGACATCATGCCTGCTCTATTTGTATTTCTGTTTACTAATTTGAAATCGATTGATTTCAGCAAAAGCTATTTTCGTCAAGAGTATATGGATTTCTTTATTGATTGCCCCGGTAGCTCATGTCTTAAATACATTGAAGAGATTTTTCCACCCAGAGAAGCATCACAAGAACAAATTAAATCTTACTATGAACTTTGCCGCCGTTATAAAAATTCTTTGATCAAATTTCCTACTGATTTCCTCTCGTTCAAACATCCATCTGAAATTTCCCGTATTCTCCCAAACTTTTCCAAATTAACTCACCTGTTTATTCAGAATAACCAAGATTATGACATGGACATTTTCTCTCTCATCAACTTTTGCCCCAATCTGATTGCTTTTGAATTTTCCACTAACAAAGTTATGAGGCTGGGTAATGGCACAACAGTAATTTCGGCTTTATCACAACTGCACCAAAATTTGAACACCAAGGGGTCTCTTTTGCGAGTTTTAGATCTGTGTTTCCCCAGAATGACAGCAGATTATTTCGAGTATTTTACAATTGGATTATCGGCCTATCGTAATTTACAAACATTTAACCTTCATTTGACAAACCAGAGTATCTACGACTGGATCCAGTGTAATAATTTGGATACACTTTTACAATGTGCTAGTATATTGCGGCCTATCGATAACCTCGATATTCAACTGTCGATCAACAAAGAAATTACAAATGAGACTCCTCCTGCACTCACCAGAGACTCAAGGTCTGCGTTTCTAGAGAAATACTGGGCATTTATCAACTGTATTAAGGGCGATCAATGGTTAGACTGTCTTACTAGCCTAAGTCCCAAACGTATCCCTTATCAACAAATAGATCACAGCGTCACTGGCGAAAATAGTCGAATGCATGTATCAAGCATTGAACATCAATACTGGGATTATTTAAGTGATCAAAAAGACTTTACTGTTACGGGCGTGTCTGGTGAAGGAGCTAGAACTATTGATTGTTTGGATTTTAATAATGTACCGATATCCGAAGCGGTGGATGTTTTAAATTTTGCTTTGGTTCAATGTCCTCGACTTGCACAATTGTCAATTGTGACAGAACTCAATAGTATATCTTTCTCAATCGTTGATGTGGATTGTTACGCCAAGGATATCGGTGTACGTTCTGCGGCTGTAGGAGATAAAATAATCAACAAGGCGTCTGTTCGTAATTGCTCGGCGGAACTTACGAAAGGTATCATGAATGCCATCAATACTCATTTACCCGGACTTCAAGAGATCGAAATCATTGATTTTCATTCAAAAAGCTATGGACAAGAGATTGATTTGTCTAGGGTGAGGTGTTTGAACAATCTTATAATCAATAATACCACACCATTCATGGATAAGGATCAGATTTGGTGTTTGGTAATTGGCATTGATGATGGTGTAAATCACGTGCAATACTATACAAGCCAAATTTTAAGGACTAACCCACGACTCAGTCATGAACTGTTCAAATTTGAGGTTTTATCGGAACAACACTTAAAAATGCTCTGTGATGACAATGTTTTGAAACAAGAGCTGATGATTAAATGTCAAAAACTTGAAAAGATAACTTTTAGAACAGATCAAAATGGGTGTGAAGTTTTAAATTTTAGTTCCCCATTATAGTAAATTATAACGTAACTAATTGTCAATAAAGAACTGTCATATAATGGTATCTGTTAACTCCATTTTTTTGTAGTGTGCCTTGATATCAATATAGACCGTTAATTATAGCCAAAAATGCTACATGATGTTACCTTAGTATGAGTCTTTAAAAACAATAATAATAAAAATATGTTTTTTATTGTCCAACATAAACAAAATAGAGCAAATAAAGAAAACATATTCGAAAATAAATTTAACACGCTACCTTGAAATAGAAACGATGACAAAATTATGACTTTTCATGGTAAATACAAATGGCCATGTGGTTAAGATAGTACGGTTTTTGTGTATCCAAGTAATTGACAAGTGTGATGCAGGACATTCTGATGGATAAAATGTAGAAAAAAAAAGAATTTTGATTGTCAAGAAATGTGGGAGTTCCATGTCTAATTATAGCTAGGTGATCTGCATAAAATAAAATAAAAAATCCTCACAATTCATTTTTCTTTCCATTTGCGAATTGAATAAATAGTGATCCCGAAAGACAATTTTTTTTTATCTTGCCTTAAATTAAATATAGATATGACATCCTTAATAAATCTTCCTACTGAAATACTGACACAGATATACCAATACTTAGTCAGAGAAACAGTTTTTGAATGCGCATTGGTTTGCAGGTCGATGAAGGCGTCGGCCTTGGGGATATACTATACAGAAGTATCACTTGATTCTGTCGAATCATCCAACCTACTTAATTCAAGATTATCTCAAGGCCAAGCTTTATCCCATGTTCTATCTGTGAAAAAGTTAAATATAAGCTATGATGCGAATATACAGGACATTTTTCCATTCGTATTGGCTGGACTTTTCAGAAACGTCACCTCCATCGATTTCAGCAAATCCCATTTATGTTATCAGTACATGTCATCTCTAGCCTTTGACTTTTCATTGTCATGTCAATCTATGAAACTACAAGAAATCGCTCCACCTTCAACCGAGGCACCTCAAGATTTAATATCATTGTATTACCAAGCATGTTTTACATTTCGACACACATTGAGACGCTATTATACTGACTGCTTCGTTTATATGCCCGACCATCCTCAATTCACTCTTTGGAATACACTTCCTAATTTTGCAAAACTTACCCATTTGGCCATCAAAAATAGTCGACAGCTTCCTGGTACCACCTCCGATCTATTCCTCTTGATCCGCTTTTGTCCAAACCTTATCAGTTTTAAATTAGTCAGTGAATCAGCTCCTATGTTTACCACACCCGCACCTCTGGATTATCCCAATACCAGTCTAAAGACACTCGATTTACAATTCCCCAGCATGTCAAGTTCGTATTTCGACTACTTCGTGACTCACCTGGCAAGTTACCACAGACTTGAAACACTCAATTTGCACCTGTACGAACAATTTATCTATCACTGGATTCAAGACAACGATCTAAATATCTTGCTCCAATTTGCCAGTATCTTGACAAGGTCGACACAATCAGTCAATATCCAAATGTCATCCTTTAACGATCCAAAAGTAATATATAAAGTGACGGAAACACCCATCATCAGAGAAACCATGCGTCGTTATTGGATATTTATTCATGCCTTGAAACAAGACCGTATTTTACATTCTGTTATCGCCACGCATCAAGATGAATACAGTTATACCAGTCATTCAGTCCAGATGATGCAAACTGCACTGTGTTTAACTGAAACCGGGTATCAAGTGTGGCCTTATGTAGATTATAAGGTGTATCTGTCCTCTGGCAAACAATCCAATCATGGTCCACATATTGTTGATTCTTTATATGTCAAAGGTGTACGGCCTGAAAAAGCCATTACCACTCTACGCTACGTATTGACAAATTACACTGGACTCCAATATTTGTCCATCTGCCTCGAAGAGAAATATCATAAGGAGTCTACGTTTTTTGCTTTGGATTCAAATGGTGGTTCCAGATTATCCAAGGTGACGTTGCATTACTGTAAAGCGCTGAGTGATAGCATCTTGGATACCATAGCCGAATTTTTATCAAATATTTCTGAAATAGTGTGGACGGAGCAGTCCTTGAAGAGTTGTGGGCAATTTAACACACCTTTATTCAAGCATTTGAAGAAACTGACGGTGAATTTCACAGAACGGGTCATGTTCCAAAAAACCTGGTGTTTATACCTCATGGTTCATTTTGGTAAAAAGAAGCCGTCGATATTTAAGAGCGCAAACCTTGAAGGGTGGTCGACAAAGCCATTGTACAACTTTTCACCCTCGTCCGCAATAGAAATGAGTAGCCATTTTCATGAATCACCTCAAAGTCCCATATTGCCCACCATGCTCACTGTGAATGCCGAAGTGCTAGAAAAATTAGTCCTTGCTGATAATGGAACGATTATAGAAACCCTTAGATTCTGATAGGGCTTAGCTTTTTAGAAATAAAATAAATATTTATTGGTCACTAAGACAAAAAGGAAACATAGAAACAAACATGGGAAACATAGAAATATTAAGGAAAAGATTGTTTTTTTATTGATAATAAAAAGAGGGCTCAAAGAGAAAGAAAAACTCGTTCAGTTCTCGAATAGTGATTATTCGATTAACAGGACTGCCGCGAGAAGGCACGAGTGTAATAGTCCCGACTGGTTCCTGTGAGGGGAGACCAATTTTTGATGTTAGCAAGCACAGAGGTTTATCTATTACATGTGAACTAGCCCGAATTCTTCTTAGGCAAAGAGGTTACGCATTGGTAACATTATTAACCTTCTTTTTATCTTTTTACATATTATAAAAGGCAGATTGTAAACTAGTATTCATCTGTTACCCCAATTATAGAACTATCTTGCGCAACTAAAGGTTTATAGAGCCTACTCATGTACATAGATGAAGATGGGTTAGTGATCTTTACATACCAATAGGAGCGGCTTTACATATTGAGATCTAGCGGTACAAATAGAAGCCTGATCTATATCTTTAGGACAACTACATTATACATATGACCCGGTATTATTAGCATACGATGTAATAACCGTTTATTACTAAAAGCATACACCTAATAGTGCAGTCAAGGAAGTCAAAGAGATTACCGAGTGTGGTCGAATACCTTTAATCGTATACAAAGAGGAAGACGAAAAAAGAGCCACCAAGTGTAATTTATGATCAACCCTACAGGCATGGTGAGGCACATATAGCTTATTACACACGACCAGCAAAGGAAAAAACAGAAAAATTGTAAACAATCCCCTGCTTTTATACACAAGCTCCGGGACCAATCGATGAAAAGTACGTCATTTGAATAACGGACAAATGAAATTAGGCCGTGGCGAATTCTCCTTCCCGAGGGTGACGGTTTTTAAATTCAGTCACCCACATTTTTTTAAGAAAGATCTGCTGACTTAACGAATACATTGGCAATACTACTGTTAAAAGATACCCCTTCTCATACACTCCATTAGAAAGTGCTTTTGTAAAAGTAGTAATATTTCCTAGGCTTGTGTGAATGAAACCTTTTTTTTCTTTCTTTTTTTTTTAGTTCGTGAATTATAAGTTTCCGACGAGCTTTCATAGGTGTTCTCCTTTTTTTTTTTTTTTTTTTTTTTTTTTTTTGCACAAATCACAACTCGTATTGTCTGTAGTGATCATCTTTACATGCATCAGACGGGAGAAGGATAAATCCAAATATAGTATTATATATGGCTACATGATAAGGATAGCTTGTGATGTTGGGTACAGTTGTACTATTCCCATCAGTACTCATTCTTAAAAAAAAGAGAATTTATAAAATAGAAGTCACTAACGAATTTGTAATTCGGGAAAGAGAAAAGCTGCATTGTTCGATATTGGTCTCTCCTATTATTTTTTTATTGTAATGATGAATGGAGATCTGATCGCCCAACCATCAAGTCTCAAACCTCAGCAACGAATATGTTGGAGATACTGTACTGAACCCGAATTCCAACCTCTTTCTGAAGTCGAGCAAGAGACCTGTTTAAACTTAATTGCCCTGGGCAGAACAGGTGATGGTAAATCAAGCTTATTAAACGATTTGATGGGATCACAAGTGTTCAAACAAAAGATATCAGCCAAGGTACACAAGAAAAAAATAAAATATGAAACAAACACTAAAAAAATAAATTAGTCTCAAACAAAAGATATTCAAAGCAGTCAAGGATTTTGGGCTCCTCTTCATCGCTACATGCATCACAGGGAGAAGTTTGGCTGCCAAATTAATGTGATTGATACACCAGGTTTTGGAGATTCTCAAAACAGGGATGAAGCATTCTTCAAGATCATTCAAGAAGCCTTGGTAGATACTGCTTTGCATAGTGGTATTCACTGTATCTTGATGGTATTCAAAATAACCACTTCGTAAGTTTTATTATTTTCTCGATATGATGAATACTGAATTAAATTATTCTTTAGATCAGATACCATCTATAAAAGCCTCGACTCCTTTCAGGACTTGATCTCACCTTATACAAAAGATACAAAAATATGGAGAAATGTACTCTTAGTGTTCACTCATGTGGATATCGTGAATGGAAATACTACTCGTTACCAAAGCCATAAAGTGGCCTTGAAGACAAAAGTGAATCGTATCTTGCGAGAAAGATATAAGCTAGATTTTGACTTGCCCATGCTTTGGATCAGCACACAAAAGTTTACATGCGGCTATCTAAAAGGGTTTGGTGACTGTGACTGTGAGAAAGGAAACCGATATCACTCGGATTGTAGAAGAAGATTATACGAACAAGTAATGAAAAGAAGAAGCATTCCGTTTGCATTAAATCCAATAGAAAACTCCGCCTCAGCAGCAGCAGCAGCAGCAGCAGCGCACCCGCGAGGCCAGCTTGAGGTGACGTAGCTTCTTGAATGAATTTTTGACGCGTAATTTTTTCCTAATAAAACTCCCCTCAATTTAATCCTATCTCTTCTCTCTCACAACTTTATTCACCCCCCATTAAAAAAAATATGAAGAAAGAGGGAATCAAGTCTTATTACCAAGCAAAGATTGAAGAATGCGAAATCGTCATGAACGAAAAGTCGCAGGATTTGAGACGTTTGGAAGCACAAAGAAATGCTTTAAACGCAAAGGGTAATGAGGAAGGAGAATAACCAAATTTCAAAAAGCCAGCAACTCATTCCATACTACTTTTTGTTTATAGTTCGTCTCTTGAAGGAAGAACTTCAATTATTACAAGAACCTGGATCCTATGTTGGTGAAGTTGTTAAAGTGATGGGCAAAAAGAAGGTCTTGGTCAAGGTATAACTAATACAAAAAAAAAAAAAGGGAGAGAAGACGATAAACCAATGAATACTTATTTAAACCAAATAGGTTCACCCTGAAGGAAAATTTGTAGTGGATCTCGGTGCTGATATTGATATTGCACAATTAACACCCACCACGCGTGTAGCACTTCGTAACGATTCTTATCAACTTCATAAAGTTTTGCCCAACAAAATCGATCCTCTTGTATCTCTCATGATGGTTGAGAAGGTTCCTGATTCCACCTATGAAATGGTTGGTGGTCTCGATCAACAAATTAAAGAAATCAAGGAAGTGATTGAGTTACCTGTGAAGCATCCTGAGCTCTTTGAGGCTCTTGGTATTGCTCAGCCAAAGGGTGTCCTTCTTTATGGTCCTCCTGGTACTGGTAAAACTCTCTTAGCAAGAGCTGTTGCTCATCATACAGATTGTCGTTTCATTCGTGTCTCTGGTTCCGAATTGGTGCAAAAATATATCGGTGAAGGTAGTCGAATGGTCCGTGAGCTTTTCGTCATGGCAAGGTTAGAGAAAGAAATTGTATTAGTGTATGTACAGATACTAACGTATGATGCTTATATAGAGAGCATGCTCCTTCTATTATCTTTATGGATGAAATTGATTCTATCGGTTCAGCTCGTATGGAAAGTGGTGGAGGAGGCGATTCCGAAGTACAAAGAACCATGTTGGAATTATTGAATCAGCTCGATGGTTTTGAAGCAACAAAGAACATCAAGGTCATCATGGCCACCAATCGTATAGACATTTTGGATCCTGCATTACTGCGTCCTGGACGTATTGATCGTAAGATCGAATTCCCCCCACCAAGTGAAGAAGCGCGTGCAGACATTTTAAAGATTCATTCTCGCAAGATGAACTTGACTCGTGGTATCAACCTTCGCAAGATTGCCGAAAAGATGGGTGGAAGTAGTGGTGCTGAAGTAAAGGCCGTTTGTACAGAGGCTGGTATGTTTGCTTTGCGTGAACGTCGTGTTCACGTCACCCAAGAAGATTTCGAAATGTCAGTTGCAAAGGTCATGAAGAAGGATTCAGACTCCAATACCAGTTTGAAGAAACTTTGGAAGTAGATCAAATAAAAATAGTAATAATACATGGACATTCTTTTTTTTTCAAAAATGTTTTTTATTTACAGATGTGTTTCCCTTATTTTTTATTGCTTTTCATTTGCTTGTAACTTTTTCTCTAATTCAGCTAATTCAGCTTCCAAGGTTTTCAATTTGGTATCTAACAAGTCATTGTATTCTTCTTCTGAAAGTTGGTGAATGGGGAACCAACTGGGTAAATCGATATACTTTAACAAACTGAACGGCTCCTTCTTTTCGCCACTCTCCACCACAACAGGTGCACCGTCTAATCTACCACTTCCTAAAATAGACTCTTGACGCCAATTGTTACCTGTGGTATATAATCCTTGCAAAGCGGTACAAATAGCGCCATACATGACAGCTCCCGACACCACGCTCTTGGGTCCTCGATAAGCAGCCGATAATAAACCACCCGTGGTGGCTCCTGCCATGGCACTACTGAATAATGCATCAATATCTTTTGTCTCGGAATCCTTGAGTCCAAACTGAGAATTCTTCTTGCGTTGATAGGTGATAAATGTTTCTCTAACCACTGCAAAAAAAAAAAGGGTTAGGACATCATGTCACTCGATTCTCAAGAATGAGGAAAACAACTCACAGAAAAAGGTGGCACCAAACACACCACAATTGAGTCCTGTTGAGATCGTGTATTGCTTGACAGGGGCGTTTTTTAAAACGGCAATGGTTGCACCTGTAGTAGCGCCTGCTAAAGCTGTTTTATTTTTCAGAATTAGTCCCATTGTCTGTTTAGTGTCCATAGCTCTCATTACCAGTGATGCTTGAGCCGAGAAGCACACTCTTTATCGTATCTTTATTTCTGCTCATGGTGCGAATTAGTTTACCAGGGTTACAGAAGATTATTTTATTTTTCGTAAATGAATTTAAGGGGAACTATTTGTAAGTCACGGCTCTCGTCTTGACTCTGGAGGCTTAATTGTTCGATCTGACATGCATAATTTTTCCAATATATATGGATCTTTGCCACTGCAAAATAAAAGGATATGGTACAATGGGATATTCAGTCCATCTACTTGTCACTTTTCTCTCGAATTTGATAACGATGACGCTTTGGTGTGTAGAGAACATTGCACCAAAAGCAAGTCTGGGTCATGTGTAAATTTAATTTGTTGCTATGACAATAGCCTTGATGTATTGTTCTGTACAGTAACTTACATTCAACTGATTTATGCATATTAAAATTTTACGAGTATACGCACATCACGCTCGGGAGAGGAGAGGCAAGAACTAGCATAGGATTTGGGGAATTAGTTTTCCTAAAAACAGTTAATGCCATTTTGTCCCACATGTCCGTGTAAAAGGCAATAGCGGATTATTCTTACCTATTGTTTTCTTGAGCCTTTGAAAGAGAGAGATACAGACTTATAACACATGTTAAGGTAAAAGCCAATTTCTACTTTCGTTTAAATTGTCCATTTAAAAAATTTCACTTGTGAAAACCCTAATTAATGGCATCATATGTTATTGTTGACAGTAACGTTGGACAAAGTAACCTCTCTCATGGTTTCATTCTAAATCAGATAAAACATGGTTTTGACATTGATAAGCTGAAAAAAATGAATAGATAAATGGCATAACAACTAATCGATTATTCCCATTCTCCTTTATCATCTTGGAAAAGTGACAACAACTCCTTTCAACATACACACAAAAAAAAAAAAGTTTTATTTTATTTCCTCTTCCGCTCCCTTCTCCCCCTCTTTTTAATTAAAAATCCACCTTTCTTCTTCTTCATCCTCCATGGGATTCCCGTTTAAATTCAAACGAACGCCAGGAACAGTGTTCTACTGGGAAAAGAACGACTGGTCCAGAAAGAATGGATATCGACTCCCGATTGATGTCTACATGATCATGCAATGGGTTTGCTTGATCACGCTCGACCTCGGCTTTTTCTGTTTCTTGATTCATTTCTTGACCGTGTATGAAAATGTGACCTTACCTCCCATCTTGGAAACAACTTTTGAAAACCTGAATCCCTCACTCCTACAAGCAAACAATGCTTATATTAGTCCGTATACAACTTGGGCCTGTAAAATATCCTTTTCGTAACAATGATCTCGCTTATCTCTTTAATAGATTCCCACCTCCCCTTTTATATATACATGTGTATCTTCTATGTCTACCTTAACCCTTTTTTTTATTATCATTATTACATCATGGCAGGATTTACAACGTTAGTCAAGATTCTTAGTATAACAACGTCGATGATAGAGACAGAAGATCCAGTAGTGACCAGTCAGCGGAATCACGTGACAAGGAGTCCGACGTATGTAAGACGATATGGTATACCTGTGATTGATAGCTTCTCGGGGATATGTAACATTTGTCGAGTCAAAGTGTAAGTGTATACAAAGAGAAGACAAAGAAAAAATATAAAGTATGATGGAGATTAAAAAGGGAGCGGGAGCGGATTTTAGATCAGAGAGCACTCGGCATTGTAAACTGTGTAACAAGTGTGTGGATAGAATGGATCACCATTGTAAATGGCTTAATTGCTGTGTTGGAAAGAGTAACTATCGATTTTTTATGATGCTTGTGGTGTCTGCATTTTTAGCTCTACTATGGTATGCTTATATGGCATTGTATGCAACCTGGTCCTGTTTTTATGACAAGAATGTGTTCATGATACACGGTATTATACACTAATTAAGAATAATTACCTATCTGTTATTTACTGACGAAATTACGAATTGTTTAGCGTTCCAGATAGTTGATATCAGAAAGTATAAAGCTAATATTAATCGGATTTATTATGCTTGCGCCTTGATAACCTTATTTATTACTGTTATTGTCATTGCATCATTGATAGCCATCACAAGATTACTGATCTTTCATATTAAGCTCGGTAAGTGTGTGTGATTTAATCCTCGTTATCTATTGATGACGAGAGAAAGGGAGAGAGAGAAGAAAAAAGAACGCAACTTATATCCCTCATTTCTTTTTTTACAGCCACAATGAACATGACGACCATTGAATATTTAAATTTACCTGTGAGAACAAATTACAACAATAGCATGTTTGATTCCGACGAAGATTACTATTATTCAGACTCGGATAGCTCTGACGAACGACCCACAGTTTGGAAACGATCGTTGAATTCAAGAAGCAAAAGTTACAGCCTGTATCGCAAGGTAACACACAAAGTACGACGTACCTGGATTTTGATGGCGCGAAAAGTGGTTCCCAACTATAGATATCGGCGCTTGACTACGAACTCTAAACGTAACTGCTGTTGTGCTCCTTTCACAAGAACAACAAAAAAGCCTCAGGTATTACCTACTGCCATTGCTAGAAAACAGCGCATGACACGTGATACATCAAGATTAGAGACGCGGGAGAATGTCAATATGGAGGAGTTTTTCGCGACGAGGACGATTCGACCCATGGACGGAGACAATGGCAGTGAACCTGACTATGATGATGACATGGGTTTAGATCTGTCTGGTCTGGATAGATTTTCAGATGATAATGAAGAAGAGGAGGTTCATGTAAAAGTCGTGAATCGTAGTAAAGCTGCCCGTTTATTGGACTTGTCGGAAGAGGACACACTGGTTCATATGCAGCTACCTCTCCAACCAATGGAGATACCAAAAGAGGAAACCGCATTGTCTGAATTGTAATTTTTTTAAACAAAAAGATTATGCACCTTATTATTATGTCAATGGCTGGTTTGTCTATATGGATAAACACCATTTGCAGTAATGAAAACGAAATTGAAAAATACGGTTTAATACCAGTGGCATAAATATCGCAAAAACTATACCCTATCTCTTTATATAAAATCAATAAATTACAATACCATTGACTGTCCATCTGCCCCGCATAACACTTGTCACTCACGTGTATTGAACAATTTAAGGTGAGCATTTTTTATTTTTTATTTTTATTCCACGTACAATCCTTCACGTATTAATAAATACAAAAAAACCATAAAAAATAACTCATTGAACTTTAAATTTTTTTTTGTTTTTTTTGTTTCTGTTAAATAGCGAGACATCAGTTTCTTTATTCCATTCTTTTCTTTCACTTTCTAATTTTTTTTATTTTTTTATTCTTTCCTCTTCTACAACCACCACTACTACTACAAAAAGTCATACACAAAATGTTATCATTTACTATGGATAAAGCATCTTTTGCATTAGACGGATCAAGACCCAACTCAACAAGCAATGTATTTGGCATTATCCAAATCCAAGCATCTGAGCAGTGTTTCATACGTCCTGTTTGGACACAAGTCCAATTAGTCGGAAGAGAAGAAATTGCAAGTACAAGTCGGATTATTGTGAATGATACCTACCAAATCTCAAATAATCCCGATGATTGGCGTCCGTTGTTATCTTCGACCACTAACAGTAGCGATGAAAATGTTTACAACTTACCTTTTAGCCTCTCAGTTCCGAATAGTTTACCTGCCTCGTTTCAGATTCAGAACCAAGGACCTTCTCTTGTTTGTTGTGGTATCTATTATACATTGGAAGTCAAAGTGTCTACAATGGAAACAGGTGTTCTCAAAGCGATTCAGTTCCATACATCCAATAACAATATCATGGAAGGAGAAGAAGAATGTGATATACCAAAACGAGTATTCTGGGGAATCACGAAACAATCAAAGCAAAGATGGCAGTACGAGCTAGAATTTCCAAGTACGTTTGATCTTGGTCAGTGTCAGACTCCGAGTAGTATATCCGTTCGATTACGGTCAGTTTCGGGTCAGGAAATGAAGGGTGAATGTTGCTTAATCGGATGTCAAATTATACAATCAATTCACTTGGAAGGGTAATAATTTTTTTTTTTTGTTTTTTGTTTATATGAAACCTTGTAGTTTTTGTTTACCCATTATTATTCATTATAGTTATAAAAGTCACATTCAGGTACTTGCAACATCAACAAAACTATTAACCAACCCAAACAAAACATGGAAACAAGCTTGCCAGCTGGATTTCGAACTGGATCGATCGATATTACCCAGTGTGGCTAATCCCAGACTTGGTGTGGAGCACTCGATTCGAATCACGGTGGAGTTTTGTAATACTAATTCTGACTGCTGCAGCAATAACATGGATCTGCAATTTCCTGTTGTGTTCACCGGTGGTGCATTTTCATCGCAGGAGCGGGAACAAGAAATTACAGTTGATGCTAGCGTCACAAGAGCCCTTTCCATATCCTCCTGTTCTAGCTTTGGCGAACTCTCAAATCATGACAGCGCCATTGATATACCCTCTTCTTTCAAATCTATTTCTAATTATTTACATTCATACAAACTTCAAGTTTAAACCCTGTAAAAAAAAATTCTTCTTGAACAATAAAAACTAACGCGTCTTCTACTTCTTTTATTATCTTTTTTTTTTTTTGATTTGCAATGTGTTTGTGTGCACTATAGAACCAATGCTTCTCGGGAGGGGGGAGTCCTAAATTTGGTTTGTGGCACACACATTTCCCTTTTACTTTTTGAAAGGAGGGAGAACGATTGCCCGTTTTTAATATGAGATAATAAACGTTCCCCCCGGCCCGTCTCAATCCGTTCTTTTGGGACATCATGTTACCATGTCTAATGATACTGAATTGTGTGTGTTTTTTATTACATGGCTGTTACACAGTTTTTTTATGGAATTTATTGTATGGTCTAAAAGTGGCAAAGAGAAGTGTATAGAATGAAGAAAGATGAGATATGAATAAATGGAAGGGGAAAGTGTTGAAAGAGTAGGGGGAGGAGTTTCTAGTAAATTTACTTGTATTCAATGATTTTATATGGGTCGCCTGTCTTTTCAAGAAGCAACTTCCAATAAGGCTCTAATTCGAATTGATAATTGAAATGACCACCGAAATCACACTCTAATTGATCAAGATCGATGTAATCTTCCAAATGTACCATCTCGTTACTTAAACTCTTGGTTTCCTTATTATCCTTTCCATCAATGACAAACTTAATCTTGTTCTTTGTAACAGGGTCCATAAATGGTGAAATGATTTTGAAAGTAGTGAGGAAAAACCAAGGTGCTATAACAAGAAAGCATGAGCATATTTAAATATTACAACCACACACACAGAAAGAACTTACATTTAACTACAAAGGCTACACCTAATCTTTCAGGATAATGATTACCCAGAATATCCAAGAACTTCTTGCATGTGGAAACGCTTGGATTGTGAGCCGCCGAAGAATCTTTAAAGTCCACAATGATTGCTAAATTTTCTACCAAGTCAGGCATTAAACGAATACCCCGTTCTAAGCAATAAACGATATGCTTAATTTGTCGTTCTGCATCCTTGGAGTTTTGAAGACGAGGTCTCATAATCCAAACAGGTCGACCACACTTATCAAAGCCATTATAGTACATCTTACCAGTCTCGACCTATGAATCCAAGAAATTATCGTTATTAGAAATTTGTAAAAAAAAAAAAAAAAAAAAAAACTTTTTCCCGAAAAAGATCGTGTGTGTGTAAATAAATAGTGTCTACGCCCCATCCCCCATTCCTTTCGATATCACACATACCTCTGGTTTAATATAATTGGGGTCAAGTTCATCAGGACGGTAATCACGTCTCCAACGAACCGTATTTTCCAACATGGTTTTTGCGTGCTGTTGCCATAAATTATTAATATCTCTATATATGGCAGTATAATTTTATTTTACCTCGAACTCCCACTTTCTTGCACGCATATATCTTTTAATTGTGTTATCGGTAAGGAACCCCTTTTCGCTGGGGTAATATTCATGCGATTCGGGAAGCATGATGGATTGCATATATTCTCGAAGACGAGTCACCTTTTCTTCTTGTTCGCTATCCAAAGGTGCAGGAGCGACGGGTGTAAAATGAGCAGGAGGTGTCAACTTGGGTTCGTGTAGGACCGGTCCATATTCTTCGGTAGGTGAAGGTGTACGAGATTTTAATCCGGCGTTGGAATTTGACTTGAGTCGATTGAATACGTTCATTTTTATTTTATAGAAAGAGGAAAAGAAAAGGGAAAATAATGCTTCTAAAATAAAAAAAAAACCATTACACCCTAAAATAAATCAGCGATCAAAAATTGAAAAATATCGCAAACAAATTAGAGCGGAAATAACGATCTTTTTTTTAAAAATATCGCGATTGGCGATATCGATAAATTTTTCCAAAATATCGCGATTGGCAATATCGATCAAATTTTCCAAAATATCGCGATTGGCGATATCGATCAAACTTTCTAAAATATCGTTATTGGCAATATCGATCAAACTTTCCAAAATATCGCGATTGACGATATCGATCCATAAATCAAAAAAACAAAAAAATATCGTTGGATGGGGTAAAAAAAATGGGGTAATCGATAATCGATATAATATTACTTTTACACCCCTGCTAAATCAGGATACAGGCTTAAAATTGATACGTTTGTATATATTGGAAAAAAAAAAATTTTATTTATAAAAAAAAACTAAATAACGTCGAATCTGATCATGATAGACCTCTTCAAATATAGAAAATGACCAGTAAAATATGACCAGAGACAGACATAATGAGAGGAACTACGATAATGACCATACGAAGACCTCGGAAGAGCAGCAGTATTCACTTACCTGCATAAAGATGGTTTACGTTAATAAGAGAATAAATTATCAAGTTTAGCAATGTGTACCTTTACAAAACCGTGGGATGTACGAGCCTCAAATAAACAGCGATAGTAGCTAGCTTTAGGAATTTGGGTTAACTAATAATGAACACATAAACCAAAGTCGAGATATTTACCTTTTCACAAGCGGTGAAAGTAGAGATGGCTTCAGCTATACAAATGTGTTAATACATATAAAAAGAGTAAGTAAATTTACTTTTAAAGCAAAGAGTCTTGGTTTAATCCGTTTGGAGAGTGTCAGCACGTTTAATGTTTAGTCACATAACTATATCTTCATTTGTAAACAAATGGTTATGATAAATCATATATTCACAAACTATACACATATACAAACCTTAAGTTTAGTTTTTATTTGAAAGAAATAGAAAGAAAAAGAAAAAAATAATAAAAAAATCAGAGTTTAAATAAGAAAAAAAAAAAATTCAGGCTCAATTCTATTTTTGGAAAGCCCTTGAGGGTCGACTATTGGTCCCAGATGCTATTTCATCAGCCTTTCTTTTACCTTTTGGACGGGTAGTACTTGGGGTGGAGAGGGCAGGTGCAGAGGTGGGAGGAGGAGAGTCAGAGGTGGGAGGAGGAGAGTCAGAGGTGGGAGGAGAGTCAGAGGTGGGAGGAGGCGAGTCAGAGAGAGGAGGCATCTCAGAGGGAGGAAGAGAGGTCAAAACAGGATTTTGTACCGAAGCGGAAGAAGACGATGGTACAAGAGGTCTGTTATCAGGGATCGAAAATAAATTTTCAAACAGGCCCATATCCAAGTCTTCGTACCTCTCTTCAGTACCCGAATTGACACCAAGGTTTTCCAGGCCAGTCAAAAATGAACCCGAGGTATCATGAGCAATGTCATCTGGCTAGAGTTGAGGTTTATGTTAATGTTAAAAATTCTTAATTTGATATCTAAACTTTACTTACTCTTGCTGAGTTCCTCAACATTATCTGGATCATATTTTTGGATATCCAGTTTTTATCTGCGAGGTGCATGGGTAGCATAGGATTCTCGGCGTCAATGACAGAGATAAGGTCTCCAGGATATGCCTCAACGGGTGTACCAACGTTCAAGCCAGAGCGCTTGTTCCAAAAGTATACAATTCTTTCGAACATATACAATACTTCATTCTGCTCGTTTGCAGGAATCCCCCTCCAAATGACACCATTCTTTCCAAATCGTTCTTGGTACAATGCTTTCAAGAAATGTTGGCAAATGGTGAAGACATTGTTGTAAGCTGCTGTCGCCCTTTCTTTAGCTTGATCCTCAGTATAGGTACCTACCAAAGATCTCCAGTACGCAGCAACCTTGTCTATAACGGTTTTCTTTGTATAAGTACATACGGTGATGGATCTTACACCGAGAGAATTGCAAGAGGTGTGAATACCATTGGGTATAACTTGCTCCTTGTAATAGGCGACAGCCTTGACCACGAATTCGTACATTTGTTGAGCAGCGGAATTTCTTGCTGAAAAGATAGGGCAATTATTAACTTAATTCGTCTTACAAAGTAAAATAAAATAAAAACGTACCAGTGATATATCCAGATCGAGAAGTAATTGCAGAAGTACCATTGGATTTGACCACTTTCTTAACCTTGCTGCAGCATTCACAGTGTTGACCAACTGGCAGGTAGATATATTCTTTCATTGTGGCAGGCATTGCATCAAGCTTTCTTTGCATATCGTAAATGACATTAACGAGTTTTTCAATGACTTCGTCTCGAGAATTTGAGTTTTGGGTACCGTTCATTGTGATAAATAGAGTGAAAAATCGATGTAAATGAGAAAATAGGTGTAAGTATTGGATCTTATATAGATGTTTTAAAGATACATTTTTTTTTCATTGTCATTTACCTTGATGTAAGTGGTTCAACTTATTTGCACCAATCACGGTACAGAATTAAAAAAAATTTCGCTTAATAACCTCGTTACACGAAAATCTAACAATAGATCAAGCTTGAAGTCCCAAACAACGATTTCTAGTGGTTTTGAAAGGTATCCATAGTCTACACAGAATTACCATATCCTCTCTATTAATAATTATAAGATAAATTCACGAGTAATTCCAATTGGTTCTAAGAACGGTCAGTGACTATTAATAAGCTGTAAATAAGATGTAGCAACATGTATAAAACTACGCGCAAAAATCGGTTCCCGACTTACCAAAAACAAAATTCTTAAAAACTTTTCAAAATGGTTTACCCCAAAATTCAAAAACCCAAGAACCTTAGAGCTTCTCGAAACGGCGCTAACCAACGTCTTTTAAGAGGCACATATGAACCCTTGGCCGTTACTGCTGCCTCCATTATACCTGGCCCAACTGACACTTCTGTTTTTGCTGTATCCTCTTCAGTATCTACTGGCTTCCCAACTGCTATAATAACCAACCGTACACCTTTTGACTATGACGAAGAAATGGATTTTTACGATGATGTTGATATGGCTGACCTCGATAACCAAATCGCTCTTCCCTTAATTGGACAAATGTCCATACAAGACGTAGATGCTGAAGATGAATCCTCTGATGATGGTTTTGTTGTAGACGGTGAAGTAGACGAGGATTTGTATGAATCCACGGACGAAGAGAACTTCGAAGGTAACTAAGGATGCTCGAGTTGTTGACATCATGACAACTTACCGGATGTATTATTTTCACTTTTAGAACCATTGTCACTTGATCATAATGTAACAATACAGGACAACATCAAGGATATCATTGTCCCCATTAACGTATTTAGCACCAGCGAGCTGAGTAGTATTATGTTCAACTATCTTACATTTAGTAGAAACATGACCATAGAAGCTGTGCGCGTTATGAAGAAATTTTTTGAGAACACTTTGAACCAAAACAACAGTATGTTAATGATTTGTATTTACAAAGTATCATTATTTACTAATTTAGTTTACCTTTTAGGCCTTGATAAAAAGAAAAAAGTACTCGCATTGAAGGAGTGTCGTTCGTTGATCAAGAAGAAACTTCCACTTTCTTTCAGTCAAAGCCATGAAATCTGTTCCCGAAAGGGGTGTTATCTCTTTGATCCTGTCGATGATGCCGATAAAACCGCTTGTCCTCACTGTAACGCTGTTAGACATAAAGAATCTGTGGTAAAAATGATTGATATTGGTGAACATTTAAGTCGTATGCTAGCTTGTGACGAGTTTCGTGATGAAGTCGAAAAATACCGAAACGTAATCGATTCCATGACAGACGATGATCCATATACCGATTTTTTTTCTGGAGCCGCGTATAAAGAAATGAAATCTAAAGGTCTCTTCACTGGTCAGCACGATTTAGCCATCGTTCTATGTGTTGATGGGTTCACTTCGAAGGTATCAAGAAAAAGTATGGTGATGGTACACGTTATAATTGCTAGCATTGATCCGTCTATCAGGTAAATTTTGGCTCTATATACAATACATCCAATCTTTTTACGTCGTAATAACACCATTTGCAGATACACCGATGAATATACTTTTCAAGTTGCAATTCTTTTTGGTGACACTAAGAAAGACTTTGACTCGTATCTGCGTCCAATTATTGAAAGCCTTGATCGTTTGAGTCGTGAACCTGTTGTTGTTCGCAAGAATGGTGTTCATGTCACGTCGGCTAGAATTTTCAATTTGGGTGTCATTGCAGATGGTATAGAGATCAACCAGCGGTTGTTGATGTTTAGTGGTCATACCAACTGGTGGGGATGTAGATTTTGTATTGGTAAGTCGTCAGTTACTAAGCTATGACCGTGGACACTAACAAAATGACCCTTCTAAATTTAGTTAAAGGCGGTCACCCAGTTGACGGAGGAAAAGGTGGTATGTACTTCTTTGGCAGAGACTCGGCTATCAGAACCAAAGCTTCTTTATTACTTGAGAAAGACGCAGTAAGTATTAACTTGTGTAGCCTTTTTTACATATTTTAATTGATTTACCTTTATTAGCCTTCTTGTCCCAACCACAACTATGGTATTAAAAGTGCTTCTCCCTTTGGTCAGTTGAGTACCTTCCTCTCCATCGACTTTTTCATGTGTGACGAGCTACATATGTTTTCGAATGTCAGCAAGCTTTGCTTCGACATGCTTTCACCAAAGCTCAACACTCGGTTCAAGTTTGATGGTAACGAAGACACGTACCCGTTTGCTCTCGAGACTGCTGATTTTACTCGCATCAAAACCGCCATGGATGACTCCCTTCGTGCAATTCCTGCGGATTTCAGTGGTTCGTTTGCTGGTGTCAATCTGGATAATGTTAGATCTATTTATCGTTCGGTGGACTGGATCGCCTGGTTGGTGCATGTGATTCCTACGATTGTTGCCCCACTCTTTCACGCCAGAGAAGCAACCACAGGATTTATTGCCCTGTCTCGTGGTATTCAATTGAGTTTGCAATGGTCGATATCCGAATCTGAAGTGAAGGAAATTGAAAGGTAAATATTCATTGTTGAGTTGTAATTTATGTAGTGATATTTACTTGAACATTATATTTGCTTATGATAGATGCTTTAAGACTTGGTTTGATTACCTCGATACCTGTCTTGATAGCAGCTCTATCTCCAGAACCGTATTCAGATCGAACATGCACCAACTGAACCATATACCATACATGATAAAACGAATGGGGTTAGTTATCGATTGTCATCATAGTTATTAGACTTCCCTTTTGTACTAATTTTTCATTTCTCTGGTAGACCGTTAAGGTGTTATTCTGCAAGATCATTGGAAAGGTCTATTGGCATATACAAGAAGCGAATCCGTTCATCTTTGAATCCTGGTGTCAACGCCGGTAATGTCATGGAAACTCGTGAAATGTTCTCTTTTTTGCAATCCGATGGTATAATCGATAGTTCCGCCTATGATTTGAAGAAGGATAAAGTCAACAACTTCTTGCCCCACCCGTCCAACGATCCATTGTTGCCTCAGCTGTGGTCACCCTTTCACTGGCGGGTAAATACTGTAAAGCTGGGCCAGGTTGTAAAGCAAGCAAAAGAAAAGCACAATCATACCATTGGCGGCTACCTGGCAAGAGACTGGCTTAAAGCACTCTCTCAATTTTTGATTCGTCTGACTGGTAATACTTCGGCTGTTATAACTTCGTTCCATCAGCACCAATTTGTCAACATTTCTCAAAAACTCTGGACAAACAATCAAATATACATATCTGATTTGTGCAAATCGAAGAACGCAGCAAGTTCGCGTGGTGGTGAGTTTGTTATGTTTACTGCAATTCATAAAAATCGGTAAGTTGATGTTTGCAAATCAAAATTATTGTGTACTGACTTATTGTAATTAGGATGTTCCGGCCTGTCGAAAACTGGTACGTTTGTAAAGTCTTGTTCTTTTTTGACTTTACATATCAAGAAGGTGCTCCGGGCTCGAACTTCGTTTTTGGTGAACTTATGAAGAATCATGACGTCTCACCATACTCAAAGGCTATCCCGCGCGTGAAACCTTACGATGAGGCTGAGCAAAAAAAATTTGTGGTCTTTGATGCCGAGGATCTTTTGTCTGCTGTCGGATTGGTGAATGCGGTTGACGGCTCCAATAACAAATATGTTATAAAGACTGGTGACGCTTTTAAAGTCGATATGAGTAGTACTGCCGGAAGTGTTGGAAACATTGTTTTCCGCTGAGAATAAAATACAAAATCATTAAAACCCACAGTCACATGTCCCGTTTTCTCATTTTACTTACGTAATCTGAAGTTGTCTTTTTCTTACCCTGGCTATCATCCCCATAAACATTTTTTTTCTTTAAAAAATTACGTTTATCTATTAACATGGTATTGCTACATCTATTTATTTATGTATAAGTTGTTTTTATAGAGATTTAAAAATTTGGCTTTGCGATCAGCGATCAAAAAATCAAAAATATCGGAGATATCGATATTTTCGATTTTTTGAGCGATATCGCCAATATCGATCAAAAAAAACATTTTGATCGCTGATTTATTTTAGGGTGTTATTTATGTGACGATCGCCCTAAACCACCATTTTTGTCAAACAATAAAAAAAAAAAAGCTTAACTGCGGTACTTTATTGGCCGGGTTCGTGCTTCAGAGTATAAGCGTTTCTAACCCCCCGGAATTATTAGATTATCCGTCTTGTTATTTGAATAACCCTTTCTCCGATTTTTTTTTTTTTTTTTTTTTTTTTTGTAATTTCCTAAATATTTAGTACTATTCGGCTCCATTTGTATTTTGGGGCATGAAACAACACAGGGGTGATATTAAGGTTAGGCTTGTTTAGTAAGTGTTTATGCGCTTGAACTATCACACAAGAAAAACAGTCCTCTTTTTTTTTTTTTTGGAAAGTCATGCCTGACCTGCATCAATGCTATTTCTTATAAATAAAAACGTCATACTTAGTGGGGAGAGATCATACCCTCTTTTTCCTTTTCTTCTACAGCTTTCTTTCTCATTTTTGAATACAATGGAAATACGGCAAAAAGTCATTTTTTGTGCTTGATACGACTCCGAACCCTCGCAAGAGAAAGAAGCTCCGTTAGAAACTTTAATTTTTCGCATTGGTTTTGGCTCCCTTTTATTTAATCTTAACGGGAAAAGTCATAATGATGAATATACAAAGAAAGAAAAATGCGTTCCATTCGTCACCAAACACACCCCATTCCCGATAAAGAAGATGCAATCTGTTTATGCTTTTGTTTATCGGTCGATTGCAAGCTCAATAAGGGTGACTGAATTTTAAAAATTAGAAGGTACGAAAATGGGATCTACAACACTTTTGCTTGACAAGGAAGATAAAAGAAATATAACCTCGCGTAAAAGTTATGATTAAACACTTGGGATGGGATTGAATTTACTCGGTATCAAAAAAAGAAAGAGAGATTGTTGTTGTTTGCCACATCTTGTGTATCTAATCATTCCCAGATATCTCAACAACATGACTAATTTTATCGGGCCTGTTTTCTCCGTGGCATCGGCATATTCAATGACATAGCTATTATTCCATACAACGACCGCATTACTTAGTTTTTATGCTGTTTGTTGAAATAAAATAATAAAGCTAATACCGATATGTCTATAAGCAGATGAGACCTTTCTTTTTCTTTACTTGATATACCTCAAAGAAAGCCCACGAAGAAAGTAACAAGCCCGCTTGTTTGTATTAGCCACTTTTATGAAGAAAACAAATACTCTATGACACGTGGAAATAAAAGCTATAACAAAGTGATTTGGATAACAAGACTTTCTGACGATAGCCCTTTTTTTTTTAAAAAAAAAAGACAAATACCAGGTCGAAATTCTTTTCATATACAATTGTGCCTGATTGGTAAACATATGTTCTTACAGATAATTTCAAAAGTTTGATTGTAAACATATTTAAAACTTTTGATATTTGGCATATCTCATAAACTTATACGTTATGACCCATTCTCATAAGTAAGAATTACGCATTGGCAAACTAAGCGGGAAAAAGTATGATACTTTAAGGATGGACACACAATCATCTGCATGAATTCTGTGTTCAAGGGCACATCAGAAACGTGGAATACGGGCAATATGAACAAAGGGACGAGTTTACACACGTGATTTACATGTGGTGAACATAAAGGGATCATGATATTACTGTCTTTTACCAATACGGGTTGTCATGGCGACGGGAAAACCCCCTTTGCGTACACGGTTAAACCTGACTTCTGAACCAAGTATTTCCCCTCCTATTTTTTTCTTTTAGATTTGATGCGTGGCAATTGCACTTTTGTTAATGGACATAGATATGAATATAGGTTGCTAAAGCTATGTCGCTGACACATGAAATATCATTGCAAATGAATTACAATAATTATTTTTTATGTAAGGATAAAAAAAAAAAAAATAGAGTGTTGGGTCAAATTCCAGTCTGATCCAGTATTTACAGTGGAAATGTGGTGGAGGAGGAGGTGGTGGAGGGGGTGGAGGTATATATATATAAAAAAACCAAATAATAAAGAGAACAAACCAAAAAAGAAAAAAAAAAAAGGAAAAAAAAAGAGACTAGGAGGGTTGGGAGAGAAAGAGAGAGAGAAAAAGTCAAGAGAAAGGCCTGCAATCTTTAAACTAACTGCTATGGAGGAGGGGAAAGACGAGGAGGACTTGCAGGTTGTTTTTTACCCTTCAGCATGTTTTTAAGAGCACGTAAAGCAAAGACAGTTAATCCAATACCAATCCAATCTTCATCATGAAGGTCACGAAGATCACCTACAGTCATGATATCCTGATCCTTTAACTTGTTTGCCCATTCTTGAGCCTTATCAATATTTCGGTGACTTGCAATTGCACAATCTCTAACAAATAATTCGATATCTGTATCATCAGCATACTCTATAGAAAGTAAACTGTGTTAACAAGATTAATTATCCCAAGCTAGATTATTTAGATCTTTACCCTCGAGGATTCTAGAAACAAGGGCTTCACGAGTGAGAGAAGCGGTCAAGGGGGGAGAAGGAGAATCATATTCCGGCTTCTTAGTAGGTTCACTTTTCACGCTGGTATTACTTGAGCTGACAGGAGTATCTACAGTAGCCATGGATCTTAAAAGACGCGAGGTATCAATCTTGAGTTCGTTTTCAAATCTGGGGTTTTTCCCTAACACTTCAAGTTGTTCGGTTGTTAATTGTTGGGTTTCTTTAATCTCACGCAAACTGCGGACAGCGTCCCGATATCTATTTTCTGCAGTTCGGGCACGGCACTCATATCCGTCACACTTGGATTCTACCTCCAACACATGTTCTGCAGCACGTTCCAAATCTTCTCTGGTCTTTTCAAGTTCAGACCGAATATCGCTTTCTCTTCTCCAGACTGAATCCTTGGAATCATCATCTTGATCGTTCTCACTGGAATTATTGTTGGGTTTTTCAATATCTCGCAAAATGCGGTTGATTTCTTTGGTGATGTGATGTTGATATCTGTCTGGTAAGACCTGTTCTTCAATCTTGTATGTTTATAAAAAGAAAGAGGTTAGCTTTATATAGATTAATGTCGTACAAAATTTACCATTTCACGAACTACTTGTTCAGCGGTATCCGTCTCCACATTGAAATCAAACTTGACAGAAAGTTTATCCATGCCTTTGAAGACGACTTGCAAGGTGAGATGAACCTGAGCAGGATCAGCGGCCAAGAGGACGACATCGGGTTCGACAGCAAGAAAGGTATGCTCGAGGATATCCTGAGCAGACATACGCTCATCTTCATCGCCCAAACAATTATCAATGATATGACGGACTTCTTCACTGGTGACTTCAGATAGACTAGCAGGTTTTACACCAGCGGATACTTTCTTGTAGATTTGAGCAGCGTTTTTACACTCACCATAGGGATAATCACCTGTAACCATTTCCAAAAGGCACATACCGAAGGCATAGATATCGACCTTTTCATTGTAACCTTGTTCCTCGTACATCTCAGGTGCCATGAATTCTGGGGTCCCGATGATGGTGTACTTCTTACCCATTTTCATTTCTGCGGTACCCATATCACCAATCTTGACCTCACCGTGGGCACCATTGATAAAGATATTATCGCACTTGATATCACGATGAATGATGGGAGGATTGTAGGCATGTAAATAAGCAAGTCCTTTCAGGATCTGTCTGGACCACCGTTTCACAATCTTAATGTTGGGCAGACTTAATTTGCGAATGTACTCTCGAAGTGTACCCGAAGTCATCAATTCAGTCACAAAGACGAATTCGTTCTTTTGATACCAGGCGTCGTGAAAAGCAATAATGTTGGGATGGCGTACCGATTTAAGAATCTCGATTTCGTGTTCCATTTCCTTATTGTCAATAGATTTTGTAGCTTGCATGGTGTTCCATGCCACTTCGTAACCTTCTTCTCGATCGATGGCTTTATATACTACTTTGTAAGCGCCTTTTCCTAAAAGAGTGTTCAAGCGAACATAACGTTCATTAGGTGAGACTTCAACTACTTTCTCCGTATCATGAGAACGGGATTGATCAATGATTTCATTGACAAGTGTCATGCCGCCTGTCCTACGAGGCTGTGGTTGTTGTGCTGTTGCTGTTGTTGGCTGTTGTTGTTGTTGTTGCATGGACTGATACAGACTTTCATCAGATTCATTGTGGTAACCTTGCGACGGGTCTAAAGGGTCGTCTTCAAAATTGACAGCTTCGTCTTGAAATGTGACAGATGGAGAACCTGACATTGTAATTTAAAAGAGGGGATTAAGGAGTGGGGTTGGTTATAAGAAATACAAAAAAGAGTAAAAAGAAAAAGAGAAAAAAAAAGAGACAGGTGAGCCTTAGAGGGTTAGTTGAACAGAACCACACTATTTTTTTAATGCTAGTTTTTTTTTTTTTTTGTTTCTTTTTTTTTCTTTTTGCTCTTTTGTTTGTCGATAAAAAAAGGTTGAAAGAAGAAAAAAAAAAAAAAAAAAAAAAAAAAAAATGAAGAGAAACAAATAGCTACGTCATGTTCACAAGTCACTTTTGGGCCCCACACTTCGGTACTCCAATGTTATTTGTGTGTCAAAATGTGGCGCTCCCAAGGTTCAATTGAAAAGGGATGACCCTTGAATATCTGGTTCTATAGTATAAGGTTTTCTATTTAAAGCAATTAATTAGTGATTAATTAAACAAAAAAACAAAAAAAAACTCTTCATACTAAGACTTACTCTCCTACAGGAAGGGACAGCATGCTTCATACAAGATTTTTATTTATAACTGATCGCATTCAAGAGTAATTATAGCAGCTAATTGTTGCCTTTAAATCACTTCCAATTGGAATCTGTGCGAGACTATTGTCTAGATAATGTCAACATATTTCTACATTTTTAGTTAGATCGACTAATTATTCTCCGTGGGCTCAATCAATGGATGCAGCGAACATATCTAATGGATCCACTACAATTCATAGTATGTTGCCGGTATTGCGTTCTAAATTCGAGCGACGACTTATACAATAAGGCGGGGACATAATGGCCTAGACAAAAAAAAAAGATTACGTCTAGCAATGGGATCGTATAGTTCAACCCCCGTTAAATTATTTTATTTTATTCTCAAGAAAAAGGATTTTACACCTCAAGTATAGATTTCTTACGGTGCGTCCACCTTAATTAGTCGATTCCTTGTGAGAAGGAACAAAAGTTCAAGTTGAAATTCTTTATGCAACAATGTCTCCGGTGCACTGCTATTGCTGATAGACATCTTGTTCAGAGCAGTTCCCTTCGAGAATCCCATGATTTATTTTCGAAAATAAGACAATAAACCATTTTAACTTCAAACTATAACTCATACTTATTAATTTTTGATATCAATCAAGCTTTTTTAAATTTTTTGCCAATTCGAAGACCACTCGACGTTAATGTTTCTGGCACAATATCATCCTTCCCTTCTTCATCCCAATAATTGTCCAGCCAGCTTGAGTCTCCAACATCATCGCAACCAACGGATGAAATTAAAGCGCCTTGTACATCCTTAACAACTTCCTTCGCAATCCAAGCAGAATAAATGGCAGGTAGGACTGTTGAACCAAAGCCAGAAATATCATTCGAGATGTGGGTTTTCCTTGATTTATTATCTTTTTTCAACAACAAATTATTCAACATGTCTTTCAGGCACTTGGGTAATTTTTTGCAACCTTCCTCCAGCCTTTTGGTTCCTTGGTTCCCATCGTAAAGTCCTCCGACTTCAGAAGCGCCATACTCAATGGTTTCATCGTGGCCAACTCGATTTTCGCAGAAAATCATATCGAACCGATGTCCCATCTTCTTCCTTTCCCGCAATTGTACACCATGATTGTTTGTGAGCTAGATGACAGAAGCACATTTTTTGTTCCTGCAATGATCACTAAGGCCATAATATCATGTTTAGTAAGCTTACATGCGTATTTTTCTCTTTTTAGTTGAGAATAGTTAATGCTAATAGGATAGATAACTTACACTATAGTCCAGGAGCGTTTTATAAATGCTTCTAAAGTTGGTGCCGATGTAGAGGCCATCTGTCATAGCATGTCCTCCGCGACAATTTCTAAAAATAATAGCCGTAGCCAAAGTATTAACAATACCCTGCAAAGACTAAATTGCGTCTATTTCATTTATAAGAGAAATAAGTGATATTGAAGCGTTTTCCTGAAAGACATCAAAAGTCGTTATTATAACTAACCTTTTTATGGCACTTAATCTTTCTTTTCTTAAACAGAGTGCTGTTATACATAATTAGATATAAGTTTGAAAATAAAAAGAAAAGGGAAGAAAAAAGTGTGTGAACGAGTTTATTTTAATGACTGATAAACAAGGGCCGAATTATGTATTATAATGAGTAAAGACTCAAAAATTGGCGTAGATATCCTTTTAATGAGAGTTAAGGCTTCCCAAAACAAACAATATAAGTTATAAGATATATTCATCAATCATATTTAAGAACTTTATCAAAAAAAAAAAAGCGATGGTTATAGTACAATTTGAGTGGACAGGCGATAGTTGTATGTACTATTTATGTTACCTAGTCAATTTCAGTTTAGGCGATATGGCATGTGAATCGACGTGTAGACCATCGCGTGATTCTAAAAAATACGTTTATTTGAAAAAAAATACGTTTGAAAAAAATACGGAGTTCTAGACATTTCCGGAGCAAGGTGTAAAGATAGATTCGTGTACTGATTTGACTTTATCTTTTTCGTTGGTATTACATTGAGCACTTCGGTTTTTAAAGTTCCTCAGCATTTCCTTGACATATGACTCGCCTAATATCTTCATGTTTTTCACTGAAGGTTCGACTACCAATCCTTGGTCAATGGCGGTTCTTAAAGCGGTTTCATATTTCCATGCAGAAATAGTCTGTTCCTCAAAGTAATTACTAAATATTTCACAGATCTTATCGCTGTCTTCCTCAAGATTTAAGGTAACTTTATCAGGCATTGTTGAAATAACTTTTTTATATGAAATCGCAAGAAGAGACTTCTTAAAAAAAAGGGGCAGAGTTGCGAAAACATAATCCGCGAGACGTCGCGCTTTCACACTAAATTTTTTCTGTTTGCTTAAATCTCCTTCATCATAAAACCTTTTTTTTTTCTTTACTACTACTGCTTGGAACTTGAATTAATTGATATACCGTTTCTGGTTACTGTTGATATGAAAGAGGTACTGTATGGTTTAAAGTATTATTTCCAAATGTTTTAATTAATTATCTAAACATCTTCGTCTTGAACCCTCAGATTCCAGGTACTTGCTCCTGATAGCATATAATTGTGTAATAAAGTGAGCATGAAGACATAACCAGTTAGAGAAGTATGTCTATTAATACTTTTCTCATGCTCAATTTATCATATCAAAGGCTGAATGCTACAATGTTTTTCAATTATCATATTTATAATAACTGTGTTGCTGTTTAATCTTTGTTTTGTTCTTAATTATAACGAGGTCATAAAGCGAAGAGTTTAAAAACTTGGCCGAAAACTTTATTTGACTAATACATATGTATCATATAATGCATAAGGAAGTGATAGAAAAAAAAAAAGCCTTATAAAATTCTGGCATACTTTATACGACCAGGCGCTCATTAATATGTTACCAAATTATCAAAAGATCTACATGATGTATAATGACAATCATCAAGGATAGTGTTTGGTGACAATTTGTTTATATACATAGATATTTTATGCTGCCAAATTTAGTTCTTTAATCAGCTAGTTTATTCCCTTCTTATCTTTCTTCCTCCGAAGTCTATGACCATGTAAGACTTGAGGGCTTATCCTGTGATTTAAGATTCATTTTCATTCATCACGTTATTGGTATGGGGAATGTCCACGGCGAAAAATTTGTGATATTGACCTCAATTCAAATTTTATAACTTTTTGTAGTCATTCTGACAGTGATTGATCCTTATTTACCACTCTATTTTTACAGAAGTAAAAACTCGAGATTACTGCTGTGCTTTACGTTCGTTAAGAAGAAGGGATATCTGGCCAGAGGCCCAATTATAAAAAAGTTAATGGATAGACCTTTTTACTTTCTTTCTCCAGCAAAACGCTTATTGAATAGTGTATGCTCCTGAATATCAGAGTAGGTGTTTATGTCCTATCTATGAGTCTCGCTCCGGTAAAAAAACACACGCAATTTCTCCTCCCTGGAGCAAGCAAAAGTTTTGGCTTAGATGGAAAGGAAATCTACCGCAGGGCCATTGTACCTTAATTAAGGGCCTTGTTGATTTCATCAATAGCCTAGTGGAGGGATATAGTTTTATCATCAGTCATGGGTCATTGTATGGTGGTTAGGACCACGACTGAATCTTCGGTGTTTGCTTGATTTTAAAATTAAAGAAAAATGTGTTGGGTTATAGGAAGAGAGTTCTCCCAGGAAATATGATAATCTATTTTGTGTGTAACCTTACCTTTTAAATAAACTTTTGAAAGTTCTTTCGTTCTCCCCCTTATTTTGCATTCTTTACTCATTACCAGCTATTTTTGTTTGTGGTTTTAACACGTGTATATTCTATCATAAATATACTTTACATATTTTTAGTTAGATCGAGATTTATCTTTTTTCGTTCGCCATTCTTTGCGCTTTAAATTGTGTGCATGGCAACGCGATAAACCTGTTCTTCTTTAATTCACAAACCTGTCAATCATGGTGAATACACAATGCATCAATCTCAGGGCTATTACTTTTAATTGTAGAAAACAAAAACAGCATGTAGAAAATTAAATCGAAAAATCATTTAAATTAAAGTTCCTTATTAAAACGAAGGACAGAAGGAGAGTGAAAACTCCTCTTTCAATTAGCCAGATGAAAGACATAGTTTCAAATGCCTTTGTCTATGTAGAGAAGGGGATGCATGGGAGGGATTCAAGTCACACACTATGTACCAAAACGCAAAAAGGGACACACACACACACACACAAATATTTGTGCCCTCCCCTCTCCCTCTCTTGTCTTTTTTTTTATGGTTGCTCAAAACCGTAGCTCTTCTATGCCTCAAAACAACCTTCTTTTTTACACATGATAACCATCGTACTTGAGCCAGATACTTCGAGTATTCACAACTTTAGTCATGGCACTGTATTACCAAACGAAAGCTTTCAAATGACAGGCATGGTAGAAATTCAAGCAATCCGTCCTGTTCACATAAAACGTTTGCACATTGGTTTTCATGGCAGAGTTCAGACTGTTTTATCCACCACTGACTTACATGATAGTTTAACCATGGGCGATGAAGTACCCATGGACCGATGGAATACGAATATGCCGACAAAGTTTATGGATAAATTAACCCGAGGTGTACTTGGCCAAACGCAAGTTCATTATACACTCGTGGACGAAAGTGTGGTTATACTTGAATCGCAATGTCTTCCCATGGGTAAAACTCGACTGCCATTCAGCTTAAATATTAAGAATATTCATTGTTTACCACCGTCACTGTTCTTACCGCACCATGTGATTCGATATACCCTTTGGGCCTCCCTCAAATTAGAAAAGCTAAAATTATCCTTGACCAAAACCAAATACAAGACCGAAATGCCCATCATCATGTACAATCATACGTATCCCAGCCTTAATTTATTGGATCTGTCTCGCATACGGTATCGGGGCAGCCGTAAAGATTGTTTGATGTATGAAATTAGTATGCCTAAATTTACATGTTTACAATCCACACGGCATCCATTTACATGCCAATTTAATTTAATACGTCGAGATACGTTGATTGAGTCCATCGAGTTTTATTTAGAACAAACTGAATTATACCCGTAAGTTTTTTTTTATTTTATTTTTTGCCTCTTATGGGAAACACGCAAAAAACTGATTTTTTGTACCACATTAGGATTCGTGCGGGTAATTATAATACAATGTATCAGGTCCATGAGGATACCTTAATTGCAAGACATCGCAAGTTTTCACGTACAGTAGTCTAAAGAGTTTCTATTTATTATTATTTTGTAAAACCAAAATGTTAAAACAAGCTTAATTTTTATATTTCAAAAATTAAGGTACAAAACATGATATGCATACTTACGAAAATGGAAAAGAACTGGGTAAAAAAAAAAAAAATCATGATTTTTGTTATTGTTACTAAAATAAAAAACGCCTCCTTCCATAGAATTATCACTTTCATTCAATTTACCACATATCTCACCATATATTGATACCAGTACACTGAAAATCCGTCATCAGTTACAAGTGCTGATTCGATTTAACAATAAAAAGGAGAAACAAATGTCACTTAGTTTTCCATTAACTATTGGTACAGTGCCTATGGAAGTCATGGTGACGACTGTACAACCTTCGCCTAACCAATGGCTTGCACCTGTTGTCCATGACGAATTACCCACGTATTTAGATGTTTTAACTGAAGGCCATCCTCCTTCGCCATTTCTGGAGGACATTTAAAATATTTTGTGTTACCTTTATTACCTTTATAAACCATGCTTTTGTGTATTATAAACTAAGCAGTAACGACAGAAAAAGAGAAGGGCTGGGGGGAGGGGTGTAGGGGAATGGGGCGAACATATTTAGAAGTTCTGGTCTTTTTGTTTCTGTAATGTTGTACGAAACAACGAGGTTGTAAAAAAAAGAAGAAATCCTACCTGGCTCCGCTTAGAAAAAAGCAATCAATTGGTCGTTAATTTGTTTGTTGATATTTGTTCAAAAAAAAAAATGTTCTCGGTGGAGTTTGTGTGTATTCCATCATTCTTTTTCTTTCTTTTTTTATTTCTTCTTTTTGTAATATAATAATAATAATAATAAAAAAAAAAAAAAAAAACTTGTATAAAAAAAACATAATATAGAAAATAAATTATACATATATGGGTGCAGTTAATTCTAAGAAAAAAGAAGTCAAGGCCTATGCCAGTAAATACAGTAATTCTTTAATGCAATATAGTTCATCTACTACTTCATCCCAGCAACAACAACAAACAACATCTTCTACCTCACATAAAAAAGTAACTGAAACCAATGATAGCTTAAAAACAAAGACATCGATTTATTCTACGGATAGTGCAACCACGCCAACTTCAAATACGACAGCCAATAGTAGTAAAAACACCAGTGTCAATCAAAAAAGCGTTGCTCCTCCCATTCCTTCATCCACTAACACCACTACCACCACCTCCACCCCTAATTCCACCTCTGAGCCACGTCCCTTTTTTTCAGAAACAAATTCCGTGCTTCAAAATGCACATCAATCCAATAGTTTCTATTTACCAAAGGATTGGGATTTGAAGGAATATCAATACAATGTATGTGGTTATTATACACGAAAAAAAGAAAAAGTAGGCTAAAATATATATCTCGTTTAGCTTCATTTCGCGCTAAAGAGTTTATTCGGAGGGTAAGTTTTAACATATAAATCGGGGAAAAATATATCTAAAAGGCAAAAATTATAATAGAAATGTAACACCAAGTGTAACACCAAGACTAAAGAAAGGCGCTCGTGTGGTTCAAATGGGTACATGCTCAGGCCCATGGATAATGGTACCCTTTTTTATTTTAAACCAAGCATAGCCAAATGGATGATCTCATTATTATTATATTTTAGGATATGGCCACTCAATATCCCGAGTGTCACTTCACAGCAGTCGAGGTGATACCCAATAGTTTACAAGCTTTACCTTCCTTACCAAACATCAGCTTTCAACGCGATCAATTGTTCACACAGGGCTTAGATTTTCCCGATGAATCGATTGACTATGTTCATTTAAGAAGTATGGGCTTGAGTATCAATGCAGAGAAATGGCCTCTTTTGTATGCCGAACTTCGACGAATCTTAAAACCTGATGGAGTTGTCAGATTGGAAGAAATACATCACGCCGTAAGTCTCTTTATCTTTTTATCTATCTAACGAAAAAAAAAAGTTGACACATATCTCTTTATCTTTTTGTTGTTATTGTTATTAGCCTGCAGGCACAGTCATGATTGAATCGTTTATTGAAACACGTAAATAATCTACATATCTTGTACCATTACCTATCTAACTTTGATAGATTAGTACGTCAAATCTTGGCCGATCATAATCAAGATTACGATATCGCACCCAAACACGGAGCCATCTTGCAAGAAAATGGATTTCAAGTGTTGGAGTCTAAAAAAAAGACAGTCGTTTATGGTAAAAGGAAATGCCACACAACCTTAAGTAATAGAGAGACTAATTTTTTATTGTATTACGAGCGTAGGCAGTGATGATAAAGTAAGTGAAGATCTCGTCATTGTAATTCTCAATGGGTTTGAAGATTTGGGAAGTGTACTTGCACCTCGATTAGGACTCGATATTGAAGATTATAGACATCGTGTCGAAATGATTTGTGCTCAATGTGTAAAAATTAATGCTCACATGAATTGGTATTCATGGGTAGGAAAAAAAGCCTCTACTACTATCTCCAACTAAAATTTACTTTATTTATGCTTTATCATGTTTTATGCCTTTCATTAATAAAAAAAACTGTTTTGAATTTTTAATATGTACTAAAGTATTGCGTTATCGTTTCAAAATTGTGTCATAAGAGATAAGACAGGACTGTGAGGAGAAGTGTGCGTGTGTGGGGGGTACACTCATGACTCATTAGACACCCAATAGCCAATTGCCGATCATGAGCATACTAGTTCTTTAAAAGGCAACTACCTCCTTTCATGGCATATATAAAGTGAAAGGGGCGGAGGGGCGGAGGATTCCACTTCTCTCTTTTTTTTTTTCTTCTTCTCTTTTCATTCCCCACACAATGCAAACTTATGGCACACAAGTGCCGCTTACAGCACTTGAACGAGATTTATTACAAGCAGATCGACCTGGTTATGGCTCTCGCTCTAAAATATCCAGCGCATTTAATTTGGTCAATTCCACTGTAGGAGCTGGTATCATTGGCTTACCCTTTGCCATTTATTTAGCAGGATTTTGGACGGCTATTGTTCTTTCATTGTTTGTGGCTGTGATCTCTCAATTGGGTTTACACATGTTGGTTGTTTCCGGTCAACGGGTGGGCGCCTACAAATATGCCGTCCTCATGGAAAACGTCATGGGAAAGACGGGTTTTTATTTCTTAAATTTCCTCATTCTTGTCCAGGCCGCTGGTGCTTGTGTGAGTTATTTTATACGTAAGCTCACGATTTAAAAGGGATGCAACATATAATCTATAAACGGGCTCATTATTCTTTTTTTTTAAAAAAAATACAAATTGTAGTCATTGGAGACACAATTCCGGTTTTATTACAGCTTTACTTTCCCGAATACACCACGCTGACGGAAAGGTCACTTGTCATTGCATTGATTGCCGTCTTTCTTGTAAGTCACTTGATAAATATATAAACTTTATATACTAAATAAGGAATACAAGGTATTTCCATTGAATTTATCAAGGTCTATTGGTGCAGTAGCCAATTGGTCCATCTTATCCGTCTTGTGTTTACCTATTATTCTCATTACCTTACTGATCAGAGCACCTGCTTATGCAAAGTCACATGAATCGCCATTGAACTGGGAAGGACCTGATATCTTTGGTGCACTGGGGATTTTAGCCTTTGCATTTGCATGTTCTCATGTTTGCTTTAGTGTCTTTCTCAGTCTTAAAGATCAAACGATTCGTTCCTGGACCATTTCCACTACATTGGCCACCATTATGAGCTGGTCTGTCTCTATCTCCTTTGCCGTGATTGGTTATCTCAGTTTTGGTCAGGATGTCGAGCCCAACCTCTTTTTAAATTTTCCTGCCGAGGATTATGTCGTCAATATCGGCCGATTTGCGCTTGGTTTCAGCATGATTTTGACAATTCCGTAAGTGGATTATTTTAAAAGAAACTGTCAACATTATCTAATTAAAAAAAAAAAAACTACCTATTGATTACAGAATGGGATTCTACCCAACCAGAGAAGCAGTACAGAAATTACTAGGATTTGAAACGGCGACACGTCAACCGAGCCAGATGCAGCATTATTTGGTGACGATTGGGCTATTTATTATAATTACGGTATTAGGTATCAGCGTCAGATCGTTGGGTAAAGTGTATGCATTGATTGGTGGGTTTGCAGCTACCTTTTTGGCTTATATATTGCCCGCGTTTGCATGTTTGGTCACAAGAAGGTACCCGGCAGTGACGGATGATGTAAAGCAACCTTTGCTTGCAGATGATGGAAATGAGCATCGAACACCCTCCTCTTTAGTGTCACAAGAAGATCCAAGTGTACCTCCCTTTGGATTGTTGGATTGGTCTGCTTTGGTCTTGATGATTTGGGGTACCGTTGTCATGGTCTTTGCTACCTCGGGCGCATTCAAGTAATTAGAGTCACTTTCTCTTATCAACAATAAAAACATTTATTATATACCCATTCTATCGCGTGATTTGTGTCATTTCTTTTCATCTATCATGTTATAACCCCTTCATTAAAAGATGCCGATAAAAGTAAGGGTCCCCTTTTTTTTTAGAGGGTTTCAATATTTATTCTTGTTTCAATGCACTTCTTCTCAAACAGTTTGTCTCACCCCCTCTTTGGGTGTTTTCTTTATCGGTGTTCTGATACAAACAAGGAACAAGGTGTATTAAATAAAATCCGTGTATTGGGTACGACATGAAAGAAAAAAAATTTGTTGTGTTTACTTTTTTCGGCCCGAAATCATTTGATGAAGATAAAAAGGGACCAACAAAAATACATAAAATTACACTATTCATATAATGAATATTATATTAATTTTTCTAATACACAGATATATGATTTTCTCTCCTTCCAGCAAGAAAAGGGAGAAGGGCTGAGCGAAAACAAAAAAAAAAACGATGCCGGGCATTTAATAATTGCAGATCACAAAAAATTATGCTAGTTACCCCATTGTAGTATCTTTCAGATACCGTATTCTTTGTGACAAAAAAAATATTATATCTTTTTATGTGTATACAATAGGAGTGGGTAAAGTAGGTAATTTTATCATGTTACTTTCTTAAGAAGTATCTCTACCACTAGTCGAGCGCACGGTTAAGAATTTGTGTGCGCGCTTTGATGAACATCAAAGAATAGCGTGTCGCATGAAGTTTTTCTGTTAGTGGATTTAAAATAAGCAGATCAATAAGGAGTGTACAAACGCTAAAAAAATGCTGTACGTTTCCTAGTAAAAAGAAAGTTTTTCTTTATTGATTATCCCCAACAAGTTGCGTACATACTATCCTACTCATTTCTACCTACTGAAACAAACCAAAGGCAGATACAGTCCAAGCCAAAAAAAAACATAGGTCTCAAACATCTATTAAACAGGTCTCACTCTTTCGATAAGCACACTTTATTTATCTTCTATCTTCTTATATCAAAAACAAAACGAGTAGACTTTCTGTTAGAAGCCTTTCTGTGTATACAACCGATGATATTCTCTATAATACTTTTTCTGAACACGGCGAGGTCGAACACACTGATCTTAGAAAGAATTGTGAAACAGGCAGGTGTTGATAGATGTACAATCCATTGGCAAAGCTCTAATTTTATAATCTTGTTTCGAAATAGGTCGCACGAGTGGCTATGGGTTTGTTACCATGAAGACGGCAGAGGAGGCTAAAGCAGCTATGAATGCTCTAAATGGCCATGAATTAGATGGTAATGTAATCCAAGTGAATCCAGCTTCAAGTGATAGACATAGAGGTGGTGTTAGTCACGGCTTTGCCTGAGGTGGCAGTAAAAATCATAATTAATAACGGACAAGAAAGGAAGACATGGTCAAACCATATGAATAGTACTGAAATCATGGATAAATTCGAGGCGATCACTTGCCCGTGGAAATGCCTACAACTGACTATCTTTGCGACGAGGATTATTTCTGAGGCAGAAGACCTGGTTTTCGCTAAAAAAACAGTGGCTCGTCTAAACAGCCGCAATTCTACGCTTAAAACACACATGATAAGTGTGTTTTTAAATTTTGGGCATGGTGCAAGTTTTGCTCGTCTGTTGGCTGATGTGCTGTCATTGAGCAGATTAGTTTATCTGAATTATAAGAAGCTCAACAGTCTATTACAAACGAAACAATCATACTCTCTGGAGCAATTGTATTTTTCTGAAGACGATGAGAATATTCTATTCAAATCAGACAGCAATGCTCCCGATGAATTTTTTGACAACAGAATTAATAACACCATCAATGAAGGATTGAAGGAACGTATTTTAAAAAAGTATCTCTGAAGTCGCCTTTGAACCAGACGTTCTTATCATAATAATTGGGGAGAACTTGTCTTAGAAATGTCAACCTTTAAAAGAAACTCAATTCCAGCATCAACACCAGTGACAGTTACACTATTAACTGAAGTTGATTAACAATATAAATTGTACATACGGCTAAGGCCTATTTCTTTAATTAAAATCTTATGTATATATCTTATAACATGTATTCTATAATTTTTGTTTGTTATGGGAAACCCTTTTAGCTCCCATGAAAGGATTTATCTAAGATGATTCACAAATTGTTTGATTTTGTTTTTTTGACTGTGAGCTACCACTTCCAGTAGGTCAAGCCATTCTTCACTGGACCATGTCAACACCTGTTCCTGGTCTTTAAGTGATGAATAAAGAGAAGCACGTTGAAACTATCGATGATTTTAGCAAAAAGAAGAACAATACTATTCAATTTTTAAACTTTACTCTGACGCTAGCAGTATGTATACCTATTCTAGTTTATTATGTATTTTCAGATACAGATTTAATTCAATTTTAACTTCCCATTTCTTATATATAAGAATTCATTGGAAGAATTCCATGTCTGTTCTGGATGCCTCAAAAGATGAGCAGAATTCTAAAATGAAAGATCTTAGATCTAACCCAATAACATGTCTTTCTCATCTTTACTTAATCATGTATTCCCGCAGATTGTCTGGCCCAATGAAAGTAAGCATATGGTGCAAATTGCCGATAACGGGCCTAAATCACCGGTGTATACTCCACGAGTTTGAACAGCCCGTGAAAGTTCGTACAAGTATCATGTTAAAAAATATAACGCTGTTGAGGATATTGAAGATTATATTAATAAAAATAATTGTCACATCACATTGATTAGATGGGCCAATCATATAGAATATATTTTGGGTTATGCATAATTTCCACTTGTTCTTACCATAAACCGCTGAAGGCAGTTTACAGGGTGAAACCTCATACAAAGCATCCAATAACTCTGCCGGAGAGAGATTGAAATGGAAGCGCGCTGAGGTTAATAATTTGTAATCCACTGTTTCATTATTCTTCTTATCAAAGAACTCATATAATAAAGGTAGAAAATGGCAAAAGAAAAAACAAATCCACAAAAGAGTCGATCAATGTTTGTGTCACAAGTGGGTTTATAAGTGACCTAACAGCTATGTTTGTTCTGATGTTAGTATACTGACAAAAAAAAAAGGAGACCACAATAAGTAAACAAAAGAGACCTTTGTCTGCTTTGACCGACGGTGTGTAACAGTAAATCAAAAGGCGTCTCACTTTAATTGCTAAATGGTTGGGTTTGTTCGGTGTTGCATCATCACATCAGTAGAGATTTTTGTTGAAGAATGTATCTCAACGTAAAATGACGATGTAATAAATGAAGCTCCAGAGGCAAAGCACCATGAAAGAATGCAGTTACTAAACAGAAAGCGACTGTCCTTTTCTCGAATTTCGGAAAGTCATTAAGGGGGGACGCACGGATGGGCATTTTTACGCTATGATGGATACTAGAGTGACGCGTCAAAAAAACAAAAGAGTAGATCATTAAGGAGTGAGACGACATTAATTAAGGTACGCCGTCGGCAGTGATTAAAAAAAGAAGGATAATACAACCCCACCCCCACCAGTAGATGCATGGATAACATGTATTACTCCTGATTTCATAGAAATAACAAGTATTCGTTTTAAAAACAAACAAACAAAAGAGGATGTAATCAAAGTAGAAACGTAACGAGAAAAAATCATCTATAAAATAACAAACCTATCTCGATTGTTTTCTCCTATCTTCCCTTATTTTTAAAATAAAAAAAAAATGAGTAGACTTTTTGTTGGAGGACTTGCTTGGAGTACAGTGGATGATTCTCTCCGTGCGGTATTCGAGGAACACGGTAACGTTGAAGAGTGTGTCATTGTCAAAGATCGTGAAACAGGCAAGTTGTTTAATAACAAATACTCGCGCTTTTTTTTCAAAAATATTAAACATGTTGTCTTTATAGGTCGTTCGCGTGGTTTTGGCTTTGTTACATTTAGCACCGCAGAAGAAGCCAAAGCAGCTAAAGATGCTTTGAATGAAAAAGAACTTGATGGTCGTACAATCAAAGTAGATTCAGCCAGTGCTCCAAGTGCTGGGCGTGGTGGCGGCGGTGGAGGTGGCTATGGTGGTGGCGGAGGAGGCTACGGTGGTGGAGGAAGTCGCGGTGGCTATGGCAGTGGTAGAGGTGGAGGTGGCTTTGGCGGTGGAGGTGGAGGTTACAGTGGTGGCGGTAACGATCACAACTCTGGATATTAAAAAAAAAAAAAACTTGTATATAAATTACCTTTTTCCCCCTTCTTTCTATTTGATTAAAAAATAAATATTTGCAACGTTAAATATTTTTCTGCATGAAAAGAAATTTCTGATAAAACTGTCACGAATAGCAACTACTGAAATGTAAACGTCACATTTTTCCCTTTACTCACAACTGGACTTCATACAATCCATTTTGTTATTCTTCTTTTTTGTCCCTTTATAAATACTTGCAAAAGTATAGTTTTCTTATTTTTCTTCTTCTTTTTTTCTTTATTCCGTTTTTTCAATTAACCAACAATACACTTTTGGTAGGTTTTCTATTAGTTTACTGCTCATTATATTTCTTAAGAAATAATTGTAGTTGGTTTTTTTTTTTATTGTTTTAAATAAAGTCACATTTCAAAAGTCATTAGGGGGATAGGGCGCACGGATGAACACTTTTGCGCTATGATGGATACTAGTGTGACACGTCAAAAAAAAAAAAAAAAAAAAAAAAAAGAGAGTAGATCATTAAGGAGTGAGACGACATTAATTAAGGTACGCCGTCGGCAGTGATTAAAAAAAGAAGGATTATACAACCCCACCCCCACCAGTAAAGATGCATAGAATAACATGTATTACTCCTGATTTTATAGAAGCAACAAGTATTCATTTTAAAAACAAACAAACAAAAGATGATGCAATCAAAGTAGAAACGTAACGAGAAAAAAAAACATCTATAAAATAACAAACCCATCCTGATAGTTTTCTTTTACCTTCCCTAATTTTTTAAAAAAAATGAGTAAGCTTTTTGTTGGAGGACTTTCTTGGAATACAAATGATGATACCCTCCGTTCGGCTTTCGAGCAATACGGCCAAGTTGAAGACAGTGTCGTTCTCAGAGATCGTGATACAGGCAAGTTGTTCACTAACAAATACTCGCGTTTTTTTTAAAAAAATATTAAACATGTTGTTTTTATAGGTCGTTCGCGTGGTTTTGGCTTTGTTACATTTAGCACCGCAGAAGAAGCCAAAGCAGCTATAGATGGTATGAATGATCAAGAACTCGATGGTCGTAGAATCAGAGTAGATTCAGCTGGCGAACGTGGTGGCAGTGGAGGAGGTGGAGGTGGTGGCTATGGTGGTGGTGGCGGAGGAGGAGGCTACGGTGGTGGAGGAAGTCGCGGTGGCTATGGCAGTGGTGGTGGTGGCTATGGCGGTGGTGGTGGTTACGGTGGTGGTGGTGATGACCACAACTCTGGATATTAACAAAAAAAACTTGTATATAAATTACCTTTTCCCCCCTTCTTTCTATTTGATTAAAAAAAAAAATATTTGCAACGTTAAATATTTTATTCTGCATGAAAAGGAATTTCTGATAAAACTGTCACGAATAGCAACTACTGAAATGTAAACGGCACATTTTTCCCTTTACTCACAATTGGACTTCATACAATCCATTTTGTTGCTCATTATATTTCTTAACAAATAATTGTAGCTGGTTTTTTTTATTGTTTTTAAATAAAATCACATTTCAAAAGTCATTAGGTGGATAGGACGCACGGATGAGCACCTTTGCGCTATGATGGATACTAGAGTGACGCGTTAAAAAAAAAGAGTAGATCATTAAGGAGTGGGACGACATTAATTAAGGTACGCCGTCGGCAGTGATTAAAAAGGGTTATACGACCCCACCCCCACCCACCAGTAAAGATGCATAGAATAACATGTATTACTCCTGATTTTATAGAAATAACAAGTATACATTTAAAAAACAAATAAAAGATGATGTAATCAAAGTAGAAACGTAACGAGAAAGAAAAAATCTATAAAATAACAAACCCATCTCGATAGTTTTCTCTTTTCTTCCCTAATTTTTTTTAAAAAAAAATGAGTAAACTTTATGTTGGAGGACTTTCTTGGAATACAAATGATGATACCCTCCGTGATGCTTTTTCTCAATACGGCCAAGTTGAAGACAGTGTCGTTCTCAGAGATCGTGAAACAGGCAAGTTGTTTACTAACAAATACTCGCGTTTTTTTAAAAATATTAAACCTGTTGTCTTTATAGGTCGTTCGCGTGGTTTTGGCTTTGTTACATTTAGCAGCGCAGAAGAAGCTAAAGCAGCCACAGATGCTATGAATGATCAAGAACTCGATGGTCGTAGAATCAAAGTACATTCAGCTAACGAACGTGGTGGCAGTGGAGGAGGCGGAGGTGGTGGCTATGGTGGCGGAGGAGGAGGCTACAGTGGTGGAGGAAGTCGCGGTGGCTATGGCAGTGGTGGTGGTTACGGTGGTGGTGGTTACGGTGGTGGTGGTGATAACCACAACTCTGGATATTAACAAAAAAAACTTGTATATAAATTACCTTTTCCCCCCTTCTTTCTATTTGATTAAAAAAAATATTTGCAACGTTAAATATTTTATTCTGCATGAAAAGAAATTTCTGATAAAACTGTCACGAATAGTAGCTACTAATAGAGTTAAAACCACGCTAACAATAGAAGAGACTAAAAAAAAAGCTATGACGGAGTCTTTTGTAGATGATCTGTTAAAGTAGATAAATATATTATAAGAAAAGAGTTCTATTATTGATATTTTTTAAAAATAAGGGGGTAAGATGCAGATCGTGTTTACGCCCAACAAAGTAAAAAAATAATAACAAGTATACAAGATTTGAGCATTTTACTGCGGTTGTTACTCTGTTTCTGACACTCAATTATTTAGACTCCATACGAAAATGACGTACTTGCTTTTTATAAGAGAAGGTTATCCTGAATGGAACATGAATATACCGAAAAAGGCAGCGAAATGTTATTTCTAATGTTGCAAATAAATAAAAGAAAATCCTCCTTTTTTCCCACTTGCCTTTGTAGTGAATCAATTAATCTTTATAATTTTTTATTTTTATTTTTTAAAAAAAAAGAAGAAAAGTGATGATGCAACTTTTTTTTTTTAATTTTTTGAATGTGTTTTTTTTTCTTATAAAAAAGAAATAATGTATTCTTTCTTTTTTTCTCTTTTTTCATTATTTTTAAACTACTTTTTAAAAAAAAACTATTTTAAAAATGTCTAAACTCTTTGTCGGCGGTCTCTCTTGGAACACTACAGATGATTCTCTCTATGATCACTTCTCCAAGTATGGTCAAGTCACCGAAGCCAATGTTATCAAGGATCGTGAAACTGGTAAGTTAAAAGACCGATTTATGGGTTTGGGCCCGTGTTGCGTAATGGAGGTGGCCCAGCTTGTCATCATTTTTGATTATTTGATTAATTTTTTTTTTTGTTCTAAGGTCGCTCTCGTGGTTTCGGCTTCGTTAACTTCAGCACCCCTGAAGAGGCTAGCGCTGCTGCTGAGGCCTGTAACGGTACTGAATTCGATGGTCGTTCTATCAAGGTAGATGTTGCTGCTGAGCGTACTGAACGTCCCGCTGGTGGACGTGGTGGTTACAACGGTGGTGGAGGTGGTGGTTACCGTAACAACGACAACTATTAAGTTGTTTCTGGTTGCCCCATACTAAAAAAAAAAAGCACACACACACACACACAAAAAGGAATCTATCTGCTGTATTAAAAAAACCTATTTTCATATATAAATAAATCGCATTCTCTCTCACTGTAAAAAAACGACTTTTTTTCTTATAAAACTTTTTTCTTTAAAAAAAAAAAAAACTTTTCACTAAATATATTATTTTCTTTCTCTTTTTTTTTGCCCTCCCCGCACACCATTTTATTTCAAAATTTAAAGTTGACCACAATCTACAATAGAAACACGCTTGGAAGTTTTTCCGTTGGCAGCACCACATTTTTCCATTTCACGTACAACATTCATACCGGATACAACGCGTCCAAACACCACATGTTTGCCATCCAACCAAGCTGTCTTTTCAGTACAGATAAAGAATTGACTTCCATTTGTATTAGGTCCTGAGTTAGCCATGGATAAAGTTCCCTACATACACATTTTTTTTTAGTCCCTCTTTTTACGCCCTATATCACTACACAACTTACAGGTTCTGTGTGCTTTAAGATGAAATTTTCATCAGCAAATTTAGCTCCATAAATCGATTTACCACCTGTACCATTACCCTTGGTAATATCACCTCCTTGACACATAAATTGGGGAATAATACGATGAAAGACTGAGTTCTTGAAACCATAGCCCACTTCACCTGTACATAAAGCTCTAAAATTCTCTATAATTTCCCATCTTGCATGTTTAGTAAAACTCCTCCCCTCCTTTCATTCATCACAACGTTGCCCTCCCTCTTTTCCCTTACCTGCAGTCTTGGGTACAACATCACCACGAAGTTCAATCTCAATACGTCCTGCTAATGAATTTCCAATCTGAATATCCAAATACACACGTGATTTGCCTCCTTGGCTACTAGAAGCACTTTTCTTTGTCTTGGGTGCTTCCTCCTCGTCTGAATCTTCATCGCTGTTGGCTGTGGCTTTTTCTGTCGTCTCTGGTGCCTCTTTTGTCTCGTCTTCGGCATTGGCGTATTTCTGTAACCAAGATTCTTCGGTCCAAACTAAAAAAAGGCGGTCCCTAATTTTTTAACATGCTTTGATACATATATGTGTGTATAACAACTTACCGGCACGATGAGAGGTTGCTGTAATGTTGTGAGGTTTGGCGAGTTGGACCTTAATGACTTTACCCAAAATTTCGCTTAAATGCATATTATCGATGGCTGCTTCTGCATCTTGAGGTAATTCGAATTCGACGAAACCAAAGCCCTTGTGTGTGTTATGTTTGGCATCTAAGGTAAAATATACGTGAGTCATGGGTCCTGATGTTTTGCTTTTTTTTTTTTTACTTCGTGAGTTGTCCAGGGATAATTGAACTGCTACAATTTCACCAAATGGAATAAAGGCTGCATGTAAAATCGCTTCTGTCACTTGTTGATCCACACCGCCTATGAACGTTTCTCGTTTTAGTCATGTTTTTTTTCGTGTTAATATCTGTTCTTACCGATAAAGAGTGTGGTTTTATTATCTTTAGAAATATTCACAGTAGCCATCGTGTACAAAAAGAAAATAAAAAGAGAAGAGAATATAAAACATGAAGGCGTGGCTTGATATACAAAAAAAAAATAATAAAATTATATAGTCACAATATAATGCAACGCGTTATTTTTTTTTTTTTTCTTCTTTCTCTTTTTCTTTCTTCTATTCAATTAACATGCCTCGATCGCCTTCACCAAAACGATACTCTAGTAGACAGCGAGAAAGAGATTACAGAGACTTGGACAGTCCTCGTTCAAGGTCACCACCTCGTAGAAGACGTAGAGATGATGACCGTGATTATCATCGTGGGCGGTCCAACCGAAGTCGATCCCCTCCTCGTCGAGACCGACGTACCGAGAAGAGCCCTGACCGCAGAGGTAAAATAATAAAGTAAACTGATAGACTTATGCCAGGTTCATTAAATACCATAAAAAAAAAAAAAAAGATCGAGGTAGGGCCAGATACAGTAGTCGATCCAGTTCGCCTAAATACCGTCGTCGTCGTAGTTCCGATACTCGTCCCATGTCACCGGTTACGAAAAGAAAAGCACCTTCACCTGAGCCCATGGCAGTTGAGGAAGGAGGAGGAGAGGATGGTGAGGAGGACGATGAGGAGACAAAGATGATGAAATTGATGGGTTTTGGAGGGTTTGATACGACAAAGAATAAGAAGGTACCCGGTACAGATGTCTCTGGTGCCAAAATTCGTAAACCCATTAAATACCGTCAGTACATGAATCGTAGAGGAGGCTTTAACAGGTAAGATGAGATGTATATCTTTTTTTTTAAAAAAACAGGGAATATGGTCTGACCTTTATATATGCTAGACCTTTGGATAATTAAATTAGTATACAGTATAATAATAATAATAATAAAAAAAAGAGTTGTCAAAATGCAATGTAAAACTTGTCAAAATGTGTACCACAAATGGACCACACCAAAGGCCCTGTCGCAAGTTTAAATAGGCCGCTGTTGCTGAAATGCGGCTGTAAAAAGTGGCCTTGCAGACATTTTGTGGCAAATAATTCAGTGTCTTTTAGTCCTCGAGGGAAGCTTATATTTCAGCCAACTTTTTTTTTTTTTCAAAATGGTTCGTGCGTATAAACAGTGTAGTTATGTTATTTAAAGTAGGCCATACAAAAGTTAAAGAGGGTGGACCAATTTTTTTTTTTTGGCTAAGAACACCCAAAAGAGAGACTGTTTTTTCATATGATTTTATATTTATTTGTTTGTTAAAATGCGTTACACGCTGATATGAGGAGAGGGGAGGGTAATTAATTCATGGGGATGAAGGGAGATTTTTTACTCGCTCATCATGTCACTACTAGCACTGCTATCATCACTACTGTAGGTCAATTCACTTTCGGTCAAGGTCAATACTTTTTGAATGGATGCTGTCAAAGTAGGATGAGAAGCCACTGTCTCCATCCACTGACATAATCTTTGTTTTTGACCAGCCATCAAATCCCTATCATAACTTTTTTTTTTTAAAAAAAAAAAAAAAAACTGTCAGCTTTCAAATTTTCTCTTTTTTTTTCCCACACGGACGATTAAATAATCAACTCACTTCTTGACAAATGTGTACAATGTTTCATACCATAAATGGGGTAGTTGCACCGGTAGATTGGATTTAACAAAGAATCGGACGACGAGGGTATCCACAGCTCTGTTAGGTAATGGAAGGCGCTTTCGGAGCAACACCGAGGTGATAATAAGGCGGCTGTAGGAGAAGGGTAACTCGGAGAGTTTCATTAAAGCATTGGCGGTTGGATGGACAGGCAGCTTTCGATGATGTGTCAATAAATTGGCCAAGGCGTAGGATTCTGCCAAAGTACAACGGTTGCTTTCTACCATAGGAAGAAGGAACCCCTTAATGAATAATGCTGGAGCTGTATGTAAAGCCTTGGATAAAGCAAGGTAGAGAGGTCCTTCAAGAGAGAAGGAGCCGGTCTTTGCAATATGCTCTTTAAAGTAAGGTAACAAGACCCATTGGAAGAAACTGAATAATAATAATAAAATTGTTGTCAGTATATGCGTAGTAAAGAATAGAGAGAAAATCTTACAGCTTTGTTTGGTTGGCTCGAATAAAGTTGAGAAAGATCTTGGTGGCTTCCAACATAGCCAAACGAGTCCATGATTGAGGATTTGTCAACAATAAAATGTGATCCCAATTGGACAAGGAAGGAATAATTTTAAAGGCTTTGGGGATTCTTCCCGATTCGTAAGTGGAAAGGTACTCGCCGATTCTTAGGAGAGGGGGGTTTGGTTAGTAAAAAAAAAAAAGCTATTAAAAGACCAGCCATGTTTTCATTGTTTATTTTACCTGGTATAGACAAGTGCGACTTGTGAATCCGTAGAGCATAAATCATGTTCTAGAAATTAATATATTATTTAATCGATATGATATAAGATGATGTCAGTGATGTAAATATTTACTTGATGTGGTAACAGCCTCCTCCTTATTTGCAATAGCTTCTGCTAAAGTGGTTTCCATGTAGACGTCTGTTGTGTTGGCGACAAATTCAGTTGCCATAGCTTCGTCTTCCTTTGAGAGTTGAAAAGACAAGGTTTCTTCCGATGAAACCGAGGAGGTAGGATGGAGGTCCAAGTTTCGAGCTTGTGACAAAAGGATGTCACTGCGCAGTAAAAAAAAAAAATTGTTGTCAATGTCAGGTAAATATATAAAAAAGTAAAATGTGGTCACTACTTACTCTATCAATTCGTCTTCTTCTTTATCTCTTTGGCGCTCCAATTGATGTTTTTCAATAGAATAAATGGTATCCGACATGGTTTTATCCATTGTCTAGAATAGCAAAAAAAAAAAAAAAAAAGATGAAAGTATTAAGTGATCAAGAGAGATGATGATAGTGAATAGTAAAGAGTTTACCTCGAATTCAAGGGATGAACCTTTTCCTTCGGCGTACCATGGAGAGAATAAGCGACTACGAGAAGTTGATAATTTATCTTTACCCATTTTTGTTAAGAAAAAGCTGAAAAAAAAAGAAGTTAAGTAATTTTTTTTTTCTGGGGAATGCTTTATTTATATTTGATCCACACTGTCTGTGTAATCTATTATGTATGAACGCGCGAGAAATGGGGGGTGGGTTGAAAGACGCGCAGAATCGTGACTTTTATAGACAAGGAGAAAAATCATGTTACTCACTTTCATCAAAAAAATTGTGGGTCTCCCAAATCCATTCAGACCCAGTCAAAATGGGAGAAGAAAATGTAAACAGTTTTTTTTTTTTTTTCTTTTTTATTCTTTTTTAATCATTATCACACCATAACCATGTCCATTAAATTAGATCTTGAAAACTCGATTAGTTTTGAACGTAAAGAAAAGAGAAAGATGAGAGTAGAAGGGGGATTACTAATATGTTTGCATCCTGTTAGGCCCTTTAACACGTGTTGTCAAAAAGAATATTCGTATCGAGAATCCTCATGACACACCTTTGGCTTTCAAAGTCAAGACAACTGCACCAAAGTTGTATTGCGTTCGACCCAACTCGGATATTATCCCACCTCGCGGTATCGCTGAAGTTCAAAGTAAGTTGCTTACATTCCCCCCCCAAAAAAACTACCCATCATTTTATTTACATTTTTATTAATCTGTTAAATAGTCATGCTTCAAGCACTCAAGGAAGAACCTGCTTTGGATGCTAAATGCAAAGACAAGTTTTTAATCCTTAGTACACTTGTTGAAGGACCCTTAACCACCATGAATGTCACGGATTTGGTAAACATACATAAAAAAAAAAAAAAGAAAAGATTTTTTTGTGACTAGTTGTTAACCCGCATGAGTTTTATAGTGGAATTACGTCGAGAGAGAGCAAAAGGGCAGTATTAAGGAACGCAAGTTGCGTTGTACATATAGCTTACCTGGACAACCCAGTGCTGCTCCTTCTGCACCTGTTGTCGCTGCTGCCACCACCACTGCTGCTGCTGCTGCTCCCGCTGTTGTTGCCAAGGTAATTATTGGAAAAAAAAAAAAAGATGGCCAGAGATTTTTTTTTTAACACGTTAGGGAATAATAGAAACAGACACCAAAAGAAACCGAAGACGAAATCAAGATGAGAGAAATGGAAAGAGAAATCTCGAAATATAAAAAGGAGTTGGAAACATTACGTGAACCCACTGTTGTTCATGAAAAGGTGATTGTTCAAACAAATTCTTTCCCATATGGAGTTATTATTTTGTTTGCTTTACTAGCTCTTGCTGTTGCTTATTTCTTGAATAAATAAGTTTGCCGAGGTTGAAGGACATTGGGAAGAGAGAAGGGAAAAAAAAAAAAAAAAGAGAAATATCAAACATACAAACAACGGTTTTTTTTTTTTACATATACTTTTTCTTTTTTGATTTTTATATATGCCATTTTCCCTTTTATGGATAGAATCAGGCACATGTTGATAGACTGATTATTTTGAGGAACCTCTTTTTTTTTTTAAGAAAAAAAGAAAGTGGAGTTGAGATAGAGTCAAAGAGTGTGGAGACATCATATAAGTTACTGAGAGAGGAACGTATAAAAAGAGGTATTGGTTTTTTTTTATCTCTTGTAAAAGCCAATAACAACAACCCAACACGCGTTATCCTCCCCCCACTGTGTTCACTTTAAATAAAAAAAAAAGCGTCACGGTCTATAAATATCCAAAAAAAAAAAAAAAAAAAAATTAAAAATTGAAAAAAAAAAGTGTAAAACGCCCTTTTTTTTTATCTGAAATATATCTGTATATCTCTTTTTTCTCCTTTCCGTTCTATATATCCTATTTTTTTTTGTTGTTGTTGTTGAAAAATGGAAAAACAAGGGGAAGGAAAGACGTACACGACACTGCAATACTTATCCCGACTAGCGCTGTGGGTGTATTTTCGAAATATCAAGGTGATTTGTCGTACACCACTTCCTGCGGAAGGGCCACTTCTTGTGGCTGCTAATCACTCTAATATGGTACTGGACCCTATTGTATTGATCGCGACCTTTCCACACTCGCGTCCCTGTCATTTTTGGGCTCTCGCTCGATTCTTTCGTATACCCGTGGTCGGTAAGATCCTCAAGGCGGCTGGGGTCTTACCCGTCGATACCAAAACGCATAGTAACGCCAAGTTATTTGAATCCACCATTCAGTCACTAGACCGAGGAGCGGTTGTTGCTCTTTTCCCTGAAGGTATATATATAAAAAAAAAAAAGTAAAAAAAAAATAATACAGGCTAAAAAAAAAGGGTATGTCATCATAGGTACATCATATACAGCACCCAAACATTTACCTTTCAAGGACGGTATCTCATGGGCCAGTTTTGAATACCTGGAACAGTTGGCTACACGAGAAAGTGGTCCTCGCTCTGTATCCATCATACCCGTTGGTATCACTTACAGTACCAAGAATCGATGGAGGAGTGAAGCCGTGGTTGAGTAAGTGGGGGATTTTTTTTTTTTTTTTTATAAAACACGTGTCCCATGGTTTTTTTAATTTTAAGAGAATCTATTCTATATAGATACGGTGATCCTATTATTCAGACAGTAGATGATTTAACAGCATTTCACAAGGACCCAAAAGCCGTTGTTAAGCAGTTGACAGATCGTATAGTCAAGGGTGTCGAACGTAGCACGATCAACAGTCCTGATTGGTAAGAATTTTTTAAAAAAAAGTTGCTTTTTTTTTTTATAAAAAAAAAAAAAAAAAAAAAAAAAAAAAACTCATGATTAAAAAGGGAACAATTATCAATATATAAATATATATATAAACAGGGATACAACACATGCGGCTAGAGAAGCACGGTTTGTATTATTTGGAGATTCAAGAGGAGTGCGATTAGAAGAATATGTGCACGTCTCACAAAGTTTCATCCGTCTCTTTGACGAATCGGACAACACGCTGTATCCGACCGAGCGATCTGAGTTAAAGCATCGACTTCTCGAGTTCTCTAAAAAGTTAAAAAGTCTACGACTGAACGCCTGTGATATCAGCATGTATGAAAATCAAGAAATTACCCAACCTAAAGCCACTTTACGTCTTCTTTCAACATGGATCGCCTTGCTCGTTCAAATTCCCTTTTTCCTGCCCGGTATCATCATTAATTCCCCTTTTTATCTCTTGGGTCGTCTTATTGATTCGTATGAACCTTATACAGAATCCGTGGCTCAGGATAAGCTCATCTTTTCCTTCTTCTTGGCTCTACCTTTTTACAGTACCTTGATTTATACCTTGTGGCAATGGACGGGCTATGGTTGGATGAGTTTGGTGTGTGTGGCCATGTTATTACCGATCTTTGCTTGGTATCATATGGCTCTGATCGATAAGAATTATGACATGTTGAAACAGGTGATTGCGTCATGGAGGATCTTTATTGCCGTCACAACAGGTACGACAGGTGTCGATGCCGATTGGACGCATAGTCGAGAAGCCCTCGAAGATTGTGTAAGATTAAGAGGTTGGTGTCGAGACCAGACCAAGTTACTCATCTATAAGCTGGCTAAAGCGGGAGATGAACATGCAAATTATTTAGTAGAGTATGGAAAACCTTTATTTGAATCTCTCGAGCAACAACATCAGGGACAATAAAAAAAGAGGTTTTTTTTTTTTTTTTTTTTTTTTTTTTTTACCAAGTGTCGTCTGAGAGGACGGATTGAGAATCCTCTTCTTCATTCTCGGGTTGAAAATGCTTTACACAAATAAAATCAGATTGTATTTCATAATGATGAGGATCCAAAGTACGTAAATAAGCACATAGGATATCTTGTGTCTTACACAAGTGTTGGATACGAGAGATCATCCAAAGACTGGTGATGGGTAGCTTGATCATTTCTTGTGGGTTTGACTCGATCCTCGCTCCTTCCTCCGTCATGACGCTAGACACGATTACTTTCTCCAGTTGAAATGTGCTCCAATCCATGGCTGGATCAATCACCAGTGTTTGATCCTCCTCCTCCGCCTGTCCAATTGCTGTTGATGATGATTTAGGATGAGAAGGTAGATAACTTTCTCTCAATTTGGACTCGGAAATACACAATGCTTTCAAGTAATACTCGATTTCTTGCATAATTTCCGTGTCGGGAGGCGGTGGATCGTTATAAAAAGGAAATTCCAAATGAGTCAATAATTGATGCGGTTGTGATAATGGGGTTAAAACTGGTTTTTTCTCTCGACGTGTAAAAATACAAGCTTGTGTACAATGACCATATACCAACTCATTTTCTTTTCCATGAAGTAATCCAATCCCATGAAACTCCACGTCATAATTATACTTCTTGGCTCCCTCCTCACACCTAAAACACACACATATATATAGATAAATTATGTTTAAATCATTTTCAACGTCTTTCTCTCTCTCTCACCCTCTCTCTCCCCCCCCCCACCCCCTCATCCGACGTTACCAGTCTTGAAATTGTTGTCGTGTCCACTCAAATTTATGATCGTCGTGTCGAAAGGTGGATTGATCTGTACCGTACTTGAGGTCAGGAAAATAGACATTGTATTCACCGTTGGGCGTAGTGACGATCATGACACGCGGTTGATAGGTACCCAAGGTTAAAGGTAAGAACGTATCCAGAACGTCGGGAAAGACATGCTCAATGACTTCTGTGCAGATAATAGCATCAAAGTTCATAAACCTTGCATCGGGATCGCCAATGGATCCCTTGTATATATCAATGGAAAGTGGGTATGTGCGAAGGTGACTAAAGTCACAAGACCATGGTGTACAACGGTCAATGGCTTCTGTCAGAACTTGGTCACAGATATCAATGCCTGCTAGTTTTTGAATGGGATAGGTTGATTCGGGAATAAGAAAGGATAATACAGCTGCTTCTCCACATCCGTAATCAAGAACCTATATAAAAAAGGGTCAATGGGAAAACCTGAAATAAAGGGGCGTGTCTCTCTTGGTTACCGATCCAGCTTTAAATCGAGTTAATGCTTCTTGAATGAAAATCCTTCGTTGTCTCCAAAGAGGAGGACAAAAGAAGTCGGTATATTGATCGTTCATATGTCAAAAGATAAAGAAGAAGTAGAGGAAAAACGCGATGTAGAATGGGATTTTTCTCCAAAACCGGTCACTGGGGGGCTATTGATTGATTGGAAATCAACTGGTTTACTACAAATAGGCCAGAATATGCTACACTTTCCAAGTTGTTTATCAGTAAATCTGGTAAAACATGTAGATACCCCTCAATAGCAACCCTATATAAACCATGCGTCTCAGTGAAAAAAAAAAAAAAAAAAAAAAAAAAAAAAAAGTAGAAATAGCACACATGCATGACTCGTAGTGAGGTCTATATGCGTAAACTTGTGTCCAAAAGCGTTACCAGGACAAAAAAAAAAAAAGGTGAGAGTGATGGGTGACTGTGATTCTTCACATGTGAATTTTAGAGTTCGCTCCCCTCTTACTCTCTCTCTCTCTCTCTTTTCCTTATTTTCTTTGTTTCTTTCCTCGTCATGACGCATGTATTTGTTGATGCCACTTTCAGTCGACTTACGTATTGCGACCATTGTCAAGGACTATTATGGGGTCTTGTAAAGCAAGGCAGTACTTGTACAGGTAAATAAACATCGATTCGCTATCACTTTCCCCCTTTTATGTTTTTTTTTGTAATAACCACCTTTTTCTTTTTTAAAAAAAAAGGTTGTGGTATAGTATGCCACCCGACCTGTGGAGACAAACTCCCACCATGTACACACGAGCAACCTCAAAAGCCTAATAGCAGCGATTCACCAGCGACCAAATCCTTACGTACTTTACAAGAACGTAGCGAAACCCCACCACCACCAGTGAGAAAACCCACGACCACAGCCGCCGATTTTGAAAAGGTGATTGTATCTGCTGCGATTCATTCAAGCGATCCCTCACAACCTGTGAATGAATATTTAGCGAATTTACCTCGTTTAAATGCTCAAAATACAGCGAAAAACTTTTCGAGATTTGTGTCTCGATGTGGACCCATGTTTTCAGCGAGGGATCAATTAATCCTGTTGTTGAGTTGGGATAAACCGATTGATACATCTGTGGCCTTACTGCTTTACTGCATTCTCTGTAAGAAAAAAAAAGGACATACATAGGTAGGATTTGAAAAAAAAACTAAAGGGGTTTAATATAAATATTTAGGTCTTCATCCAAAGTTAATGTTACTGGTGCCACATGCGATCTTACTTCAGTTACTTATCACAGGTTACAACAAACGTTTCAAGAAAGCAAATGGACCTACCAGTAATAGCCGATTTAAGTTTTTCACGTCGTACGATGATGAATCCTCTCCCGAGTATCTCAGAAATATGCAAAACCTTCAAAATATGATGGGAGAATTAAGCGATGTGTATGATTTGTGTGCGAGCCATGCGCATTACTTTGATTGGAGCTCAGAGGAATCTATGCGCTTGTTTCAAGGTACGGTCTTGAGCTTGGTCTTGTTGTGTGTGGGCGTATGGATGATCCCATTGCAATGGATCGCTTTGGTAGGTGGCATCAGTGTCTTTTTATTAAACACAAGGTTTGCCAAATTCGTCATGAAGGAAATGATGCCGCAGGTCACAGAGATGGGTCAAACACACATGGAAACAGCTGTGAAATGGTATACCCAGGTGGAGAAAAAATTGGATGATCAGGAGAATCAAAGGGAATTATCACTGTATGAAAATCAACGTTGGTGGTCTGGTAGTGGATTTATTCCTCACGTAAGAAAAAAAAAATCAACAAACTTTTTTTTTTTTTGACTGATGCAATCTTATATTTTTTAATAGATGCTGTCGGATGAACGCGGGTTATGGTCAGATATTACGGGTGATGTGGCCTATGCTGCTAAAGAGGAATTGCCAGCTCCTAAAGGATATCATTGGATTCAGGATAATTGGACATTAGACACCACAGGTCCATGGATGGATGACACGCTTGGTCTTGGTAATATATATATATATATATAGATAGACATAGTTGAGATGTTATTTAACACATACATGTAGAAGTTATGGTATATCCTGAAAGTGGAGGTTGGGTGTATACAGATACGCATTGGTCAAATCCTCGAAAAAGTGAAGAAGAATCCGAAAAAAGTGTGACACGAAGAAGACGATGGATTCGACAATGTGAAATAGACATGAAATACAGCACTTAAATAAAAAAAAATATATTTTATTCTTTCATATCGGGAGATTCACCGAAATATTGATCTACTAATCTATTGGCCAATGCAAATAACTCTGGATCAGGAGCAGGTGCTACAGCAGCAAGTGCTTCCATACAATCGGGGACACTGTCAATGATTTGTTTACCATGAGTGGCCTGTGTAAGTAACAATTCAATATAACCCAATCCTAAACGCATCATATCCGCATCCTGCGATTTTAAGAGTTCAAGAAAAGCAGGTAATAATTGTTTATGTGCAAGTTTGTCAAGATGTTCGGGACCGTGATTGGCAATGTTCATGATACAATAAGCAGCCTACATGATATAAAAAGATGTCAGCTCTCCTCCATATAAAAAATGGCTTCTAAAAAGTCATCTTACGCCTTTGCGAATGTCAAATGCTCCTCGACCCACCAGGTCAGTCAAGTTATCAATAGCATGGAGGTCTTCAACTTGTTTAATGATTTCAGGATCTTGACTGCATTTGCATTGATAAAAGATGAGTATGATTTTTTCTTGTGTGTGTGTATGTAATCTCATTTATATATTACCTGGATGTAATGTTGGACAGAACCCAAAGAGCTTCCTTCTTTACGACTCTACTAAACTCGAGTTAGTTCCAGGATACACATAAACGTGCATAACTTTTTTTTTATTTCATTTTTTTTACCTTTGATCTGATTTGGTGAGAGCCACGACACTTCTTAGGAACTGTTCCTGCTCGGCCAAACGTTTTAAAAACGCTTCGGTACCAGCTAAATTTCCCAAGGTTCTCAGTACGGGTAAGACGACAGGACCTTGATCAGCCAAGGTAGCTAAATCACTGACGAGAGGTGGACCAAAGTTCTTTTCCATGACCTCTTGACGAAACTTTTCACTTCCTGCGGTTAAATAACTGACGACCCAACAAACTTCAGTAGCTGTATCCTGATTGGACAGATGTTTCAAGAGCTTGTCGGTGAGACCCGTGGTAAAGAATTCAGAAAGTTGGGCTTCTTGACCACGGGCAAGATTGGCAAGAGCGAAACAGGCGGATTGGATCAGACGAACATCTTGACTATCCAGCATACGTACAAGAGGTTGAATGGCACCATTATCACGAATTTTAGCGCGAACTTTGTCATCTTCATCGTTCATGTCGCCCAAGTCTTCAGCAGCCATGTTGCCCAATGCACCAGCAGCAATTTCGCGAAGATTCTAGGAGTGGGTGGGACAAAGGTTAGGTTAAGGTGTATCATGGGGATATGGGACATACCATGTTGTCAGAGTCCAAGAGAGAGATGAGGTAAGGTACAGTAGATACTGACTTGATCCAAAGATCATATGAACCAGCAGCAATATCTATTAAAGAAAAGAAAAAAGCACGCGTTTTTTTTATATTGTTGTTGTTGATTAGTTTTTAAACAAATACAGAATGAATAAAAAAAAAAAGATTGTTATATACTAGAGATGGTTTGAGCGGCTTCTGTTTGTTCATCCAGGTTTGATCCAGAAATCATGTGCTACTTACAGGATTAGATTTTTGAAGTTGCAACACACGATTTTCTTTTTTTAAAAAATATAGAGGAGAATATCGTGTGTGGTAGTGGTGGGGGGGGAGGAGGAGAAGAAAAAGCCACTTACGGTAAGTGTTTTAATACAATCTCCCTCGGTAATGTACTTGATTAAAGCTTTAGCGGGTTCCAAGACAAATTTACCGATATGTTGAGCAGCTTCAATGCGAGTGGCTTTATCATCACTGGAAAGATCTTTAGCCAAAGCTTCTACTTGTGCTGTAGATAATCTGTAATAAGGACTGATTTCCTCTGCAATGAAAACGAGTAAGAATGACATGGATTATATAACCCGCGTAAATAATAATAATTATATACCATCGTCGTCGTTTTTATCAGCTAAAGGGTCTTCTTCACCAGCTGATTCCAACTCTTCTTGTCGGTTGAGGTTACGATACCGTTTAGCGGTAATGAGTTGCTCACGGTGCTTTTTACGAAGACTTTCGTCAATGGCCATTCTTCGTTGTTTTAATTCAGCGGGTGTTCTTGCAATACTTGTACGTTTGTAAAGTGCGCGATGGTCAGCGGCAGGAGGAGAGGTGCCACCAGAGTTACTACCAGTGGCTGCAGCAGCTTTAGCAGCAGAAGCTCTTCTTGTTGTTACCATTTTTGTTATATTCAAAGGGAAATAAAATAAAGGACTAAGGAATAAAAAAAAAAAAAGTTTTTATTGTTTTTTGCATGGGAATTTTCTTTGTGGGGTGATTCATGCAAAAAAAAAATCCGGTATGGACTGCTAAATGAGTGGTTTCTGTACGCTTTGACACTCAGAAGTGGCAAGTTGTTTTTAGTGTGTGAAATTTGAAGCAAAAAAGTCCCTAGGCTTTTTTTTTCCATTGACAGAAATATTTTTTTTTTAAGCGGGGACGGGGCAAATATGTGTGTGTGTGTGTGTGCGGGGGAAGAAGGTTGGCAGGCGCGTGACTCAATTGTTCTCATTCTGACTGGGCAAATGAAATTTTTCCTGGGCGTGTGGATTATAAGGCCGACTCCACCCGAAAAAAAAAAGAAAAAGAAAAAGAAAAAAAGTCTCACGGTGATTGCATAATATTTTTATTAAGTGATGGTGGTGGCAATGGGAGAATTGATAGTAGGTGAGATGACATTTCTGCAGTCTCTTGGTAAAAGTATGGATGCATTATTATTGAATGAAGTAGTTGTAGTAGTTGTTGTAGTGTTGGGTATAATGGATTCATCTTCTTCTTCTTGAGCAGAAGAGGAACGTAATGGAGAATGAAGGTCTTTTGTTGTAGCTGTATGTTTAGCAGAGAATTCATCTGCTTCTTCATCTTCTGCAGCCATCACACGTCGATTAGTACGTCTTGTACGAGCATTAAGAACTTCTTCGGCTTTGGCAATGGTGTTACAAAGTAAGAGCCGTTCTCGTACATGATACTTTTGTTTGCTCTGTTTATCATCACGATCCAATTTCTTACAGCCCAATGTATAAGCCTTATTCGCTATCTGACGAGGTGATAATGTAGTAGAAGAAAATATTGTGCAAGGCGCTTTGTTTCTCTTATTTGACCAAATTGCTGTAGCCATTCTGTTTTATTATATTTCAAATTCAATTGTCTGCTTTTTTCAGTTTTTTTTTCTGCTTGTTCATATACTAGTGGACTCTCTCACACAGCTTGCTACAATAATATAAAAAGAGATAGAGAGAAAGAGAAGAGAGAAGAGAGAGAGTTATTATGAATTAATTTCCTCTTTTTGATGTTAATTCCATAAACAAGTCACTGACGCCGGGTTTGTTCGGAAAAGAAAGCACATGAAAATCCATGTTTGTTCAACTCTTTCTATTTAGTCCCTCTCCCCGTAAGTCTCATTGGAGAAGCTTCCGAGACCTTAGCAACTTATAAAAGACTAATGCTTCCGAGGAAACATATCAAAAACAGACTTCCTTTCTCCCTCTTCCCTTCTCCTCTCTCTCTCCCCAAAACTATCCGTACCAAACCAAAATAGTCTTTTTTTTTTATGGCTGTCAAAAATAACAAATCCCCCCCCTTAGATCAACCTAAAAGGTGCTTTTTTTTTTTTTTTTTTTACTTCATCATTTCATCCCCTTAATGAGAACAATACACTCTACGTCAGAATTACACTATAAAAGAAAGAAAACGTCAAATTTATTGAGACATGTCCAGTAAACATACACATTCCCCTTTTTATTCAGAAATTATAGGAAGCACCAATCATCTGACGACGTTTAAAATCACCCCTTTTCTCCTATTATTTATTTACTACGCATCTGCCTACCTACCTGACTCATTTTGGTAACCTAAGCAATAGATTGGCTACACTTACGCCACAGTTGCTAAACAAAGCACATTTAGTTCTCACAGTCAGCACTGCTTCCCCCCTCATAGTAGATAATACATTGCATTTCCCACTCCACGTGGCATGTCCCCCTGTACAAAAGTCATTTGCATACATTATAAAAATATCAGTGATTTTAATAAATAGAAATAAAAAAAAAGTTTATTTAATAAAGAATAACTCGTTCAGTTCTCGAATTCTAAAAAAATTCGATTAACAGGACCGCCGCGAGAAGGCACGAGTGTAAATAGTCCCGAAAGAGCACCACTTTTCCATCACTTTTTCTTTTTTGTTCTTTAGATTTTCGTATAGCTTTTTTTCATAGTGATCATCTTAACCTTATCATGAAAAGGCCACAAAAATTAAATATAAAAAAAAAAAGTTTCAAAAGTATCTCCCATTGAAAATACAAGAGGTCATATCTTTACAACGTTGTAGTAACAATCTTTGTCCAGTCCACCCAAGCTGAAAGCGCAATTAGAACGTATCCGTGTACGAGTAGAATGACGGTTTTGAACTTGATATCACGAATAGCATACAGGGTCATCTCACAAAGCTACGTCAATCAGTTCCAGAGACTGACAGCCTTGTTTGCATTACAAGCTTCATATCTCTCTGATGTAACGTGCATTAAAGGGTTTTCGAAGAAAATAAGTTACATCTTATAACGTTCAAATTCTTCTTGTCGCCCCTTAGGTTCCTTGTGTGTAAACTAAATGTTCACGCAGTCAGACCGTAATCCATGTACTTAGAGAAAGACGGAGAGATCTCTTACGACGTAACGCAACAAAAAGTCTAGTAAGGCAAAATAAACCACATCCAGGCAGCTCAGAGGTTAACTTTAACATGAGCATCCCCATGGCAACATCAAAACAAAGGTATGCAGAGGTTATCTTTAACGTGCCCAATGTAACATAAAGAATCTAGGATCAAAAAGAGGTTACCCTGTAACATTAAAGAACTCCCATTCTTGTAAATATAAAAAAAAAACTCGTTTTTGCGTAAAAATCGTATTTCATGTACAAAGAGGAAGATGAAGTGAAACTTTAGCAAACCCAACGAAAAAAGTCTACCGAGACTTTTAAAAAGGGAGACATCAGAGGTTATCTTTAACATGAACTAACATCCCGAAAATATAGAAAGGAATCCTAAGGTAATTAGAGGCTACATCTTTGTAACGTAATCAACCCTCCTTGTCTATGCGCAAAACGTATGTCCAAACAGACTACCAAGCATAACAGTACCTAACCATCTGAAAGGACGCTATCAAGTGTAACTAATGAACAACTAATGCAGACTCATAATGAGCAAAGAAAAAAAACCCTCATCTGGAAAAAGTTTTGATTATTTATACCTGAATTAAAAAAGGATCTAAAAAAAAAATTTGTTTTTCCCGACAAAACCGTCACTTTTTATCCCGTTTTTAGAACTGTGTAAACAAAACCTAGAGCATCCCCAGCAGTAGCGCTTAGAATCCGTTTTTCGGTTACATAAGCGCAAAATAGTAGTTTTTCACCCCCAGCAGTAGCGCTTAAAAAACGCTTAGCTTAAAGTGCAGTTACATAAAAGTTCTTGATCAATCCAAGGACTAAAAAAATTAAGTGTGCCTGAAAAAAAAAACGAAATATGATGGCTTTTTCTACTCAATCTGGTTTCGCCGTTGTCATAATTGTTAATATAGATTATTTCCTTGAAGAGGAAAAAGACTCAATTTTTTTTTTGTCAAAGATAGATTTAACTTTAAAAAATCTCTTTAGCCAAATTTTAAAGTTTTTTTAGATGAAACAACTTTAAGCCCACTGCTGGGGGTGAAAAAACTACTATTTTGCGCTTATGTAACCGAAAAACGGATTATGATACTTTTAATAGGCAGCAAGAGGTCAATATAACTTATCATCTTGAACTAGATACAAATTTATCATAACCAACATATTTTAAACCAGCATGTGTGTGTAATAGCTTATTTTCAGCCTCTCATTTAGACTTGATCTTAATAATTCTGCGTAAGATTAAGACCAAACGAGCTTAAAGGCGAAAAAGGGATGATGGAATTGTCAAAGTAAGTATAAATCATTCAATATATATTTATTCGTAATTATCACATTATTTTTGATTGTATATTCTTAGGTCCAAAGGACAGATCTTACGTTTTGGCTACATGCACTTTGACTGTCCCTAAGAAAAGCGCGGGCTAACCCATATTGACCAATTCAAATACTACTTTGGACTATTTAATCGTTCCGTCTTGTAACCATTTGATTTTTAACCTTGGGCGTAAGTATTAGAAGGAAGTTCAAACGAAACGTTGAAAGTAATTTAGAATACAAATAGACATAATTACCATTTATGTGTATTGTAATGTAAGGTATCCAATCATATATCACGGTTACGTACACCCTGATTGCCCTTAAGAAAAATCGGGCTGTCCTTGTAAGTGGTCGAATGTAAAATCAGACAGTGATCATTGGTTGAGTAGATATATCATCCATGGTATGGATGTTTATGGCATCACTTTAGTTATATTTTTTTTTTGCATCTAATTATAATTTACACGCAACCAAAAGAAGAAACAGACCTCGCTAAATTACTATAGGGAAAGGAAATAGATTATCACAGGCAACAATCTCGTGTGAACAATTCATGTAAAGATTTCTCGAATTTAAATGGATTTTATCATGTCATTATTACATGTTTTGATAGGGGTTCTATTAATACTTTACACAAGATTGAGTGCATGAATTGTCGAAGTTCACTCTCATACACTCAAACCCTATGTTATCAGCGATCATTGGTCATCTATATCTGCTATTGAAGTAATACGCAATATGACCAAGTGCCATAACATATCTTCTGTCATTCTTAAGACCGACGCAATTCAATACATAATTAACTGAGTCACAAAACAAACAGACTGACTTTTACATTTGTGATGCGATTGAAATAAAAATCATGCTGCTGTCAACATGACTTGTTTATTAAACCGAAAAGCCACGGTGTGAATGGTAGTACGTGTTAGTATACAGAAGCATCAAAACGAAGGACAGCAAAATCAATACTTCATATTTTTACACGTTTTCTTTTGGGGGGATTACGTATCAACAACGAAGGTCAATTTTGCCGCTTCGGCACATTTTGACCGGGCTGAGCTGAATTGAACTGTATTTATTGAACTTTGTACTCACTCATAACATTCTCGACATTGATTATAAAGATGGTTTAACATCGAAAAATATTATAGCTGATTAAAGGCATTTAACGTGCCAGATTAAAATATTTCCTTCGACCACAATGATACCCTTTCAATTTTTGTTTGATATTCGTCACACAATTTTTTAAACGAGTCGCGATATTGGTGGCACACTTAAAAACAGGGACTGTCACACACAAAATGGCAGTTACATAGACCACGAACCAAAGCTAATAGCTGCTCTATGTACTGTGATTCCAAAGTGCTGGTCCGTAAATATTTCCTCGCTGTCTTGGGACTAAAAAGTTTTTTTTTTTTTTTTTTTTTTTTTTTTTTTGGCTAGAAATTGCTAAATGCATAAAAATGCATTGTGTAACAAACCCCTTTAATTTTAAGAAACAGTGACAATTCCAAGGTTTCACAGATTTTTGCATTTTGTTGGTAATTCATCATTAGGCTCGTGAAAAGTGAAGTTTTCTCATGAACCATTATTGAGTGACATTATAACTACATCGTAAGATTTATCGAAGTCCTTTCTTTTTTTGGATGTATTGATAATAATAAATAGCTTTTAACTCAGCTTGTTGAATTTTTAGGTTTGTTGGTATTTATAAAAGCAAATGATAGCCCGTCTATGCTTTATATATCTTCTATTTAACATAACTGCTTCATTGAAGCACTCCATTATTATTATATATTGTTTGAGAAAAGCGCAAGTGAATTGTAACGTTATTAAGGGTTGTTTATTAAAGTAATATGATAAAACTTGTACAAATAATATTATCATGTAATTGATGATAGTAAAAATTAATCAGCACCAGGCGAAATTATTATAGGTATAATGATTTAACATTCGATACGGAGGAGTTCACCACAACCATGTCCCCAGTCAGAGGGAGTCTCACCATCAGTGACAGGATCAACCTTAGGGATGATTGCGCAAGAGACAGCGGCGACGTAAGCTAAAACCAAGAGAAGAGTACCTTTGAGCATTGTGAAATATAAAGATGAGAATAATTTTTTCATTGAATGCAAAAAAAAATGTCCCTTTATATATCTTTTCGAGTAGAACGGTAAATTGTGCAACAAGGTGATAAAGTTTCAGGAAGTCGTAACTCGGTTCTCAGATTTTAAGCTAGTTTTGTACTTATCCTACTACTAGTTACAATTAATTGTCGTATTTCAGTATTTCCGATAATTTTGAAGCTTTCAAAAATAAAAACGTAACGATATTTGGTTTTGCGAGATGTAAGAAATTTCTGTAGGTAAATTTTATCTGATTGAGTGTCTGTCACAGACTTTTTTTTTGGGCCATCTCAAGCAAGAATTAAATGTCCGAAGAAAACGCACAGATGCACCCGCAGACAAATCCCGCAACATATTACAAAAAAGGCTGTTACTCAAGCATGTTCTTTTTCGTATCACTAATCAAACACAAACAGTATGTGTAGCCGTTGTATTTTTTTAAGGTTAAATTCTGTATTCATGGTCATTACATTCCTTTTTCGTGTTTTGTTCAAGGTTGTTTTGGCTGAACTCAACTTTAGGAATTCCGCCATTACCCTCCGGAACATTATATCTCCACTTTACTTATAGCTTACTAGGCATTTAAAACAAGAATTAATGGTCTTAATCAAATTCCAAGCAAAATATTATTATCAGCCTCCGAAACTACAAGAAAAAAAAAAAGAAAAAAAAAACCTGGCCTAACATAGTGATATTACTCGATCAATCACGACCATAAAACCTTTTCTTTTCTCACCCTATAGTAATTAAGGCCTCTTCCGAAAAACCTATTAGCTCTTTAAAAAAGTATTACCCCTTCTCAACACTTTTGCCTAAAATAAATTAGGATAGGGTTTTAAAAAAATCGCTATTCTGAGGGAAAACCACCTGTTCTCATATTGTGACTTTAAAAATGACAGTTATCTTGATAGGACTGGCTGACTATTCATAAAAGTAAGGACAGTAGCATGATTTTCCAATCTCAATTAAAGTAAGCTCATAATGATTATTTCATCTGCTATTCGGAACCTTCCGAACGCTGATTTCTTGAAAGCCTATTATGGTTTATCTGGGATATATAATTTATAAATTTATATTTATATCCCAGGTAAACATAAAAAACATAACGAAGAATTTAATGTAATACGATAAAAGATTAAAAATAACATATAACTTTTGGGAACCAGAACGTAAGTTAAAAAAATCAACTTAGCTTCACTGACAATAATGTTATGATCCTATTCTGGAAGTAGAAGAACATCAGCGAATTAAACTGGAATATATTTTGTTCCTGAAAAGAAAAAAAAATTGCCAAAAATTGACCTTTCGTTCTGCAAAGGTTGTCTAATATTCTACCGTCTACAAATACTGTAATCATTAGTTAATTAATAAGTTGTTTCTTTGGGAAAGTTTACGATTGTCTTTTTATATTAATCGGAGGTAAGCGTTCGGATCATTACCTTGTCCTAATTGCAATCATTACAAATAATACATCACACTATAAATCCAAAAAAAAAAAAAAAAAAAAAAAAAAAATGCGATTTATTTTATCAAGTTTCCTAGATTTAGTCAATCATAGCCAGGGCAGTATAACATGAATTGGAGAGACCAAAGTATATTTTGGATATGATTCGGACGCTTTTTCTCGCGCAAGTATTTGAATTAGATGTATTTTACTGGATATATAATTAATCCAATGATAAAACGGTGCTTTCCGAGTCTTATATTTCAGTGATGTTATATTTCTGTTGGTCAACATTGTTATTGTAAATACAGTATTTCCGCATAAAGGATTATAGTCTACACATTGGTGAAAAAAAATCGTAGTAAGCAGTGTGGTATACAATCCATTGAAATTTGCAACTATTGTTTTATTCATGCAACTTCTCTAGGGGTACATTTGCTTCGACACATATTAAGACCATACTCACAATCCGCTTTAGAAAAGAATGAAGGGGCTTACGTATTAGAAAACCAAAATAATGATGAGGGTAAACGTAAAATTATTTATTATTAAATAAATAAATTATTGAATTAGGAACTTGTAAAAAATACTATTATTTATGTTAAAAATAGGGATTTAGCTAACACCAAGCGAAGTTATTCCAAGAAAAAATGAATTAACAATCGATGACGAGGAGAAGTTGACAACCACGGTCTCCCCAGGCCTCAGAGTCGTCCTTAGGGTCAACTTGAGGGATGACTGCGCAAGAAACAGCAGCGACGTAAGCCAAAACCAAGATAAGAGTTCCCTTGAGCATTATTAAATAGATATAAAGATATAAAGATAAATACTTTATGGATGCAAGAAAAATCATACTTTATATACATTCTTTTAAGTGAAACGATAGATTGTACAACATGTTGGCTTTAAGATGAAGTGGTACACTTCTCAGATTATAATTTAGCTTCATATTTTTCTCTCTGCTCATAATCGTCAGCTACTGTTTTATTATTTTCCATAGCTTCAAATCAACTAAGGGTGCTCTCCAACAAAAAGACAATGGGGTTAGTATTCCGTTCTGCTGGGATTCAAGAATTTTGGAGTATAACGACCATCAGATTAAATGGTGTGTAACAGACCATCTGAATCTCCGAAAAAACGCACAGATGCACCTCCAAACAAATCCACAACAAATTACAGGAAACGCTGCTACTCAAACATATTCTTTCTTGTATCACTAAGCAAACACAAGTCAGCCGTGTAACGGTTGTATTTTATTAAGGTTAAATAATATATCTAAGGTCATTAGAGTTTTTTTTTTCGTGTTGAGTTTGGTAACTTTAGCTGTAAAACATCGACCCTAGAAACCAGGTACTATCCTCATAGAAATAAAAAATATGACAAATTTTGAATGTCCCTCTACAATAATTGCAATTATGAACTATGCCTTTCTGAAGACTCTACCCGAAGTGTTTAAATCTACAACAAAAAGTTAACAGATTCCAAAAGCAAATTAATATAATTTGACCTAATATGAATAATTTTTTCAAATATTAACGAGTCATTTTGCTATTCGGTCTTTTGTTTCTCACAATTTAGTTACTTTTGAACCTTCTTCATCATGTTTGCGTAGAACAAATTAAAATAAAGTTTTTTTTTGAAATTGCTACGCTGAGATAAAAACTCTTGTTCTTAAGTTTTACCATAAATTGACGAATCATTTTTCAGGGTTTTGCTGACCATGCATAGAATTATAAGTAGCATAACTTTTGTTATTTTACATACACTAAATACAACTTTTTTTTTCGAAACCTTCCGAACACGGCTTTCATGAAGGTCTTATGGGGTTCTTCTGGGAAGTATCTTTAAATTTCCATTATAGGCATTTTTCTTTTACCAGGTAAACATTTTAAAACACACGATAAGTTAACGTAGTACGATAAAAGGTCATAAGAGCATGAAAAAAGACCAGACCTATAAAGCCCTGTAGGTTTGGTAAACCGGAGAATGAAGTATTCAGCTTACCTTACGATTAGCCAACCTATCAATTTAAGTGGCCCATCTTACTTTACGAGACTAGCTACATATACATAAACAAGATACGTTCCAGATTTTTTTTTTTTTTTTTTTTTAAAAAAGTCTACTAAATTCAAATATAATCCGTTTAGTAATTCTGTTCAATTAAGTCCAACTTCGGCAACATTTAGCATGCATTAACAGGCCTCAAAGCTGTACCTGTATTTTGTTGGTTTCATACAATTATTCTTTATTATCGAATGTCCTTTTTTTGCACAAATTTCCTAAAATAGATCCATATGTGAGCTATAGAAATCCAATAAAAAAGAATATCTTCTCCAATTTTCCATCTCAGCGGCATTACATTGCTATTAGTCAAACTTATTGTTGTAAGTACAGTATGTTTTATTAGGCTTATACATTACATAGTGTTTAACAAAAGTATGGAATAAGCGTTGTTTCATAATACACTTTAAGACAAAGTGACAATTAACCAAAGCTAATATTTATGCAACTATTTTCTATAAAATTTTTGTGGATGTTTCTTACAAGATTCTTAGATATAATTATGGTCTGTTTTAGAAAAAAATATAGGGTAATCATGCATTGGAAAAACCAAGAAAAAATTGAAAATGGTAAATGTAGATTATTTATTAATTAATAATTATGGAATCAGGAATTTGTACAAATTTACTATTACTAAGGTTGATAATAGAAATTTAGCTAAAGCTAGGCGAGGCAATTACAGATATCAATGAATTAACATTCGATACGGAGGAGTTCACCACAACCATGTCCCCAGTCGGAGGGAGTTTCACCATCAGTGACAGGATCAACCTTAGGGATGATTGCGCAAGAGACAGCGGCGACGTAGGCTAAAACCAAGAGAAGAGTACCTTTGAGCATTGTTAAAATTTAAATGTTTGGATATCGACATTAACTATGAAAAAAAGTCTCCTTTTATATAGAATTGATGAGTGAAGCAAAAATTGTGGAACGCGATGATTCAAGAGATAAATTTGTGTAGCGACAAAGTTCTCAGATTTTGTGTACACTACCAGCATTTTCTTTCTTTGGTCGTACAATTTTTCCCTGTTCATTTTGTGACAAGAGTTAAAAATAGTTGCAGCGAATAAATGCTTCCCTATGGTAATCATCTAGGCTTCATAAACTAAAATTATGCGTAAACTGGTCGGTATTTTAATCTATCTGTCATTCTATGATAAGTGCCTATTTATTTGCCTGTGAACAACACACATGTATGTGAAAGGCAATTTGTTGACACAATTCTATATTTTTTCAATTGTGAAATATCGCTTCAGCTTCAAATATATTTTATTTCATATCAAAAGTATTTTTCTTAACATGAGGATTTGAAGGAACAATCCGGCCAATGAAAGTGTGTAATTTCTGGACAAAAGAAAAATGTGCTCATCTGTGCTCATTTTCAGCTATGATCATACACAGTAGTGTCAATAAGTAGACCAACATAAATTTAAATATTAGACATGAACGGTCGCTTAATTGAAAGAGAGTAATTCTGCAAATAACTAGTTTCCCTATCCAATTTCATAAATAGATCATTCGATTTTTCATATATGTAGAAACATCATAATGCGTGCATAATTTACACGTATCATCTTGATCTCAACACATTTATATAAATAGACCAAAGTGATTGTCTAGTGGCATATACGTATCTTCAGATACATATCTTCGGGGCAACAAAAATCTGTATGGTTAAAACGTCTGAGAACCTTGCTTTATCTTGTAAGCTGTTAAATCGTTTTTAAGCTTTTGTGATAGAGCCATATGTTATCACACCATTTAGTAAAACTACTTCGGTTTTAAAATGTTGATGTTTGCAATTACGGATATTAGCATCAATTACACAGTGGATCTATCTTTATACTCTGGCATGTAGTGAACTTTTATCTCAGTAACCTTTTTTAATTGCATGCAACTTAAGTACTTTATCTAAATTTAACACTTGTAAGATAGGCCACTTTTCCTAAGTTGAGATTATTTGTGGTTAATTGTGCCACTCGGATTTTAAGCTTCCACCAATTTGATGAAGTCAATTTCAGGCCAAGATTATGTCGATCACTACGTAGACAACTCTTCGCTGATACGACAGTTTAAATCTACGGCCGTTTTTTTAAAAGCTTTCAAGATGAAACAAAAATAGATCGAAAACTCCAATCAGCAGCTCCCTTCTCGAGCAATTCTAGAATACTGATGCATATAGAACTTTTTATTATGTCGCCTTGATAATGAATCGATGTTTTTCAAACATCATATCCTCATATATCTCAATAGTTTTGTGTTACAACTATGCTCTTACAATTACGGATGTGTGTCTCAGTGAACAGTCTCTAAGAAATTGACTGCATCGTATTTCTTCACAAGATCCGACGGCTTATTCTCCAAATTATTAACTATGTCCTCTACAAGACTTGGAGTATCTATATCACTATTTCTCAGCAGTTCGTTTTAAAATATCCGATATTATTTAAATAAAATGTATATTACAAATAACACAATACATTAAAGTGTCTCAAGATCAAGAGATATTACTTTTTTTATTGGGACAGTAAAGTTGGTACTATAATTAATAATACTTCACTTACAAGGTGTTGTTTCAACCGAATTTGAGTACGGATCCTTCCTACAGTTAATTCGTTTTACTCAACAACCAAATAGAGGTCGATGAACCAACCCGATCTTCGGGTTCAGTCAAATTATACTTCATTCCCAATTTTCACCTTTTATTTTTATTTTCTTCAAATAGATATATATTGTACAAGCTCTCCTTGTTTTGAGACGTAAATCCAGCTAACAAAAATTCAAATTACAAGAAAAACTTATTGTATATATTAGAGCAATTAAATTTTAAATTTGCTTTGATTTTTTTTTTTTTTTTTTTTTTTTTTTTTGCTCAAAGTGCCCTATTACGAGGTTCCATAAGCACTTGGAAATAGCAATACATTTTCGTGTCACATTTTCGTGTTACACTGTTGGTATTTTCCCGGTAATTTCATCAGTTTTATGTTAAGTAAATGTACTCAATTCTGTGATACCTTTGTTGCTCAATTATATTTGCTATTATTCTGGATACCACTTTTTACATTAAATAAAATACTTTTAACTATATCGTTTCATAACATTGTAGGATTTAAAATATAATACCGATTACACTATAAGCCCTCTAAAATATAGATATACGAAATAAAAAGGGTACTCTTTAAAAAACAGTTTATGAGTCATTATAGCTTTTAGCTGTGTACAGATATTATCAGACTCTTTATGTAGTTGTTTCCCTAAGATCATTTACTCGTTTTTTTATAGCCTTATGAAAGAATTAAATGCCTCATTCATTATGCAAATTGTATATTCGAAAGAGGTATATGTGAGATTATTTATTATAAAATAAAAAGTTAAGGCTTGTACATATACTATGATCCAAATGAATCAATAGAATTTAATTAACATCAAATGAGAACATTAAAGATTTGAATATTTAGCATTCAATACGGAGGAGTTCACCACAACCATGTCCCCAGTCAGAGGGAGTTTCACCATCAGTGACAGGATCAACCTTAGGAATGATTGCGCAAGAGACAGCGGCGACGTAGGCTAAAACCAAAATAAGAGTTCCTTTGAGCATTGTTAAATAAAGATATAAAGATAAATATTTTATGAATAAAATCCCGTTCTCTTTTATACTATGTAATAAAGCGGTTGGATACTCTGCGTATCACAATAAAATTAAAAAATTAAGATAGAGAGTGAACGGGCTGCTAGGATTGTATATGTGTTCCTAAAATTCTTTTGTGCTCTAATTTAAATTTAGCTACAGAGTGAATTTGCCGTTATTTGGACAATGGGTACTTTTATTTTTGTCGCATAAAACACTTGCGACAGCTGCCCTTTCTTCTGAAAATTAGTCAATCCCTTTTTTCTTGCTCAATTTTTGAGTAAAACTCTATTTTATAATAAAAGATGCGAAAAGCACCGACTTGCAACTCTTGTCGGTAGGACGGAAGGAATTTGGAAATAAAATTGACTTGTTTAAGGCAAAACGATTTCTTGGAAAGAAAAACAGAAATTGCCGATTTCATGACCTGCTTCAAATTCTTCTGTTCGAACGCCATGACCTCTTGACTGCATAATGAAAAAAAGATCTATTTTTAGTTGAGGGAGATTTAAGATTTCATTGCCTTTT